AGTTGGCAGTCCGGAGTTGTTGGGGCTCAGTGAAACCGCCCATGTATCTGAAGATGTAGCATGAGCATGATGTAATCTCTTGATCCAACAAGGCAAATCGCGCCGCAGCTTGTGTGCACATCCACGAGACAAAGCACACTGGGAGCATCAGCTGCAACTGGACGTCGTCGCATTCCGCGACTGTGCTGCGTCTTGAGTGCGACCATCCCGGACCCGGGTACATTGAGCGCTTACTGAGCCTAGCATATGTGCTCTCGCGTAACGAGCTGCATGTCACATCCCACTGCCCCATCAGGAAGTGTGGCCAGACAAGGCCAGTGTATGTCCAGTGATGCGTAGAGCGGAAACTCGACAAAAGCGACGCAGAAAACACACGACTCACGTCTTCACCTCTGTGAGAGCGGCAGTGATATCCATACGCTCGTCCGTCTCAGCCTTCTGGATGCGCCTTTGAACAGCGCGGACAGCGGCGTTGGCCTCTTTCTCGCGTATGCGGCGAGGCGGCTTGCTCTGGTCGTCACGGGCGACAGCCCGGCCATTCTCGTCAGCGGGGGTAGCATAGTGGCGGCCACCAGCGAGCGCAGTGCGGCGGGCGTTGGTGGCGACGCGGCGGGCGAGTTTGGAGCGGGGTATCATAGCGGGGAGCGCGTAGGACAGTGCAGACGGCGAAGAGAGAAGGCCCATGTCTATATGCTGCTCCCCGTGTTGTGTCCTGTTTGCGCCGCCCCACCCGGGGCATGGCGGTGGCGCACTGATGTTGCCTTTTCGGGACACCGACGCCGCTTTCCAGCCCGCCCGTCCCAATCCGGCCTGATCACGCCTCGATAGGCGCGCCCGCTGTGTGCGCGGCTGCGGCCATCACCACGGAAGCCCTCGTCGCTGCCGGCCGCCCGCAGTGGGAAGCCGGGCTCGCCTGGCGCTCTCCTAACCCCAAAACGGGGCTTCTCTCTGCCTCCGCGTGATTTCTCCCACGCGCCCTTCTCGCCTCCGCCACGAAGTCTGTTCGCTCTGCTGTCTCTGTCCTTTAAATGGATGTAGTCAACGCACCTACCATTTCCTCTGAATCTTCACCCGCCTTTGTTAGGTACGCTGGTATGCACCCAGAGAGCGCGCCGACAGACGTTCTCAGCTGCGTCACATCTTGCACCCCACTTTCGTGATGTCTTCGCACCGCTCGCGATCGGCTATCTTATCATTTACGACATTGTCGCTCCCCGAGCAGCGCTATAACTCCCAGCGTGCATAAAGCCTGCAGACCTTTCTTCCGCGGCACTCGTGCGCGTGAACGCTGCTCACCACTGCGCCGCTCATGTGAGCACAACACACCAGGCACTCCGAGTCTCCGACGGGGAAAGGTTCAAACGTTCATACCCCAGGGCGTGATTTCACGACACCACCGAAGACGCGAGGGCGCTGCAGACATGTGTTTACCACTCGTCCGAACAACAGTCCGGAGGTGTGTAGATCGAGCCGAATGCAGACCGCTGTGAACGGGATCTATTACACAGAGCCTTGTGAACGCAGTCCAAATTACTCTCAACCAACCAAGGGGCTTCGCCCTCAGTGACAATAAAGGGATCACAAACAAACAAACCAAGGGGAAAGTAAGCTACCGTACCCATATACTACCGTTCAATGGTGCATGCTAGCAGTGGGATCATCGCTCGCATCAAGACCGGTCGCAAACCCAGAAAGACAGGCGTGTGGATACACATATAGTACAGTAAACAAAGTTCTGACCCTCGTTCGCAAGCGCTGACTCAGAGGCTAGAGCGCGCGGAAGGCGAAGGGTGGCATACACAGAAGACACGGAGCTTCTGGTCATATGCCTTGAATAAGTGATCTGCTGCGAGCTCACGAGAAGATTGGACTCCGAGTCGGAGGTGTCTCCGGCTCGCAGAAGAGGACGGTCGACAGTTCTGGTCATCGATCTCGTCAAAAGTGTGCGCACTAACCTCAGCCCAACCTCAGTCCCATAGAGCAGTCGTGCGACACCTACGAACGCCAGATGTGCAGGAGATTGCCCCCGAGCGGCAGGCTATACATAAGTTAAAGTAAACGTCGGGCGCAGTACTACCACCAGGCTTGCCGAGTTCCGCCACTCAGTACTCAGTACTCAGTACTCATCCTTCCAACGACTGTCATGGTTGCGCACTGCCCCGACTTACATATAATGACGATTTCGCCCAAGAGTACGCCACCGTACTGCCGCCTTGCTTCACCGCTCTCGTCTCGCTAGTCTACAGTCGCATCGCTTGCTTGAAGAGGACGTAATGGTACTGGATGATCCGTCGGTGGAACATATCAGTGTCATCCAGCCACAGAACAGTCCGCCGCTCAGATCTTCAATCGCAACATCTACTTACAACCAATTCCACATCCTAGACCTCGAGCGTAAATGTGCGCAGAGGCGGAGCGTGTCGGTCTTGGTATATATGGGGCATTCCCGTCGAGGTTTTACCATATCGACGAATGTCAGGGGGTGCGAAAGCTATCCTCGGCCGCCGGTGCGCCATGCTCCACCTTCACTCGTCGCTGGACTGCCTCGTACGTACTTCCCAGTGCAGCCAGCAGGACTCTGTCTGATGAGGCTGGTCACACAGCGCGCCGCGCCGATGCGTGGTACGTCCTCTTGATCCACTTCGCCCCTAGCTCCTAGCTACGTGCGTCCTGCTAAGGAAGCTACCGCTGCTGCCGAGGTCAAGTGATCGTCATCTGCTCATGTTCGCCCGCTCACCGCAGATCTGTTGGCGCGTGCCCATAAAGCGAGGGATGGTGAGGGACACCTGGACGTACCCATTGCTTCCCCCCTTCTTGCGAGCAGACTGACTGGAGACGTCACACCGTACATACTCACGGATAGCGGGACATGCCCCCTTCGCAAGCACATCTTGCTCTCGGCTGCGACGACATACTCTACGAGATCTTCCGCCATGTCCAGAGGCTCCCTCCAGACGACAAGCCTCAGCGAGCACTCTACGCCTGTGCCCGCGTTTGTCAGGTCTTCTGCGAGCCCGCATTAGATACCCTCTGGATGGAACTTGACTCCCTTCAACCAATCCTCGAGCTGTTCGAAGGCTGTCAGGCCGGATGTAATGGCTACTACTACGTAAGGCATTCTCCTTGCCGCCCCGCTCGCCCTCTCCAGACTCATCACCCCACGGGTACAGTGTCTCAGCGTCGTAGACCTCCCGAGAACCTCGTGCGGTTCCGCAAGTACGCCCCCCGCGTGCGCACCCTGGCGGTCCCCCGCGAAATGAAGCACAGGTCCGAAAAGCGCTCCGCCTTCCTTGCCCACCTCTCCTATGCGCTTCGCCTCCCCCCTGCACACCGCTCTTCCCCGCCTCGCCTCCCTCACCTGGGGCGTCCTCGGCGGGCGCGACCCCTCCCTCCCGTTTCTGCTCTCCCCCCACCTCCGCGCCCTCCGCCTCCACTGCGTCTCGTGCTACGGCGCCCTCGGGCCCTTCGTCGCAGAGGACGGCCCCCCGCTCTCCGCGTTGCTCGCACAGGCTGCAGTGTGTGCGCCCGCGCTGCGCGAACTCCGCCTCATGGGCCTGGAGGGGTACCCACCGAGCGTCGTGAGCGCGCTGCGCGGATGGGACCAGCTTCGCACAGTCAGCATCGCAGACGTCGAAGTGCACGCGGGCATGCTACGCATGCTCGCGGAGATGCGCGTACTCGAGGAGGTCGATATCCGCGTGGGGAGCCGGTTCATACTCGATGACTGCGACTTGGCGGTGGGGAGGGTCGACGGCGCGACAGGGCGGACAGAGTCTGGTACGGAGTGGCCGGCGTTGCGGAGACTCACGCTGTCGGGCCCGTCCACCGCGCTCGCTGCTGCTCTGCTGGCCTTCTCCCCCGCACCCCGCTTGTCCGCCCTCCGCCTCTCGAGCACGTCCACGTCTTCGGCGGGCGAGGCACCTCTCATCAGCGCCATCCCGGCGCTTCGACACCTGCGCAGCGTCCGGCTAGAGCTTCGGGCGCGGTGTCCATGGACGAAGCTTTATCATCCTTGGCAAGCGCATGGCCGCCAGAGCAGCTGCTCGAGTTCGAGTTGAAGTGGCACAACCTGCGTGGCTCTGCCAGGTTGTCCGCTCGGGTGCTGGAAGATGTCGCCAGACACTGCAGAGCGCTGCACAAGCTCGCGCTGCCTCCGGTGGACTTCCCGCCTATCTTCTACCAGAAAGTGACCGGTAGCGCGTCTACGGATGAGCGAGGCATAACCATGCAGAACCTCTCCGTGCGAGAGTTGACGCTACAGTCGATGCCGCCCACTGGCGAGGCGGGCTGCGATGCAAGTGCCGTCGCGACGTACATCGAGCGGCTCTTCCCCGCGCTGGACCTGGGCGGCGACCTCGGCACTAGTAAGTCTGCTTCCAATACGTGGGACAGAGTCGAGAGGATATTGAGGGAGAGATCGAGGATGCGTTCAGTCTGCATAGGTATGAAGCATCTCCGCTTGTCCCTTTAGGGCACCCTCATCTGAGGCCTGAATCTCAGTGCTCAGCGCTCAGTACTCGCTGAACGTCTAACATAATTGGGCGGCATTCCATGCAATCCGTAAATTATACAATGCAGTAACTTACTCCATTGTGCCGGCCACCGCTGGTTCCATCCGCTTAATTAAGGAGAACTGTTGTAGCTCTTCCGGAGAGCATCTTCTCCCATTCTCCTCATGCGACAACACAACGCCCGGAGAGGTTCTGCATACCCTCGTCTGTACTGAAGCACTGACTCAGACACACTAGCATGGTGGCTGGGCACTGAGTGGTATACAACAAAATCAGAACGTAGCAAAGCGACAATTGGCAATGACGGTCCCAACTGCAGGGCGAGACGATACAGTCCCTGTGATGCTACAGATACATACAAGTTTAACCTAGAAGTGCAACAACAACATGATGGAAAGTAAGGTAGTTAGACGGCAAGATCAGGCTTTCCGGATATGATCCCGCGTGGCCTCGGAATCTGCACAAACCATGGGTATCTTCAGGGTATCTTCACTGGTACGCCCCGCCCCCGCTCCGTCTATCCCGCACCGCCTTCACCTTCTCAACGACCGCCGCCCACCGCAGCCACTTATCGTCGAACGGCGGCGACGGCTTCTCGACCCTCCTATCCGCACTCCGCGCCATCCGCCGGAGGTCCAGCGCGGCGAACGCGCGGTCCACAAACAGCGGCAGCGCCTCCTCCCACTCCCACTGCACGCCGTCGACCATATTACTCACATTCAGCTCGCGTAGGGACCGCGACAGCACGGCCGTCTCCGGGGGCGCGTTGGGCGGGAGGACCGGGCGGAAGTCGAGGGGGGGTAGGGAGAGCGCCTCGAGGCGCGGGCACTGCCGCGCGAACGCGAGGAGCAGCTCGAGCGGGAGCGACAGCGCTTGTCCGTACGGCCAGCGGATCGACATCGTGCACGTCTTGAGGCCGCGCCAGAGTCCGGGGACGTCGGTCAGGCTGGGGGTGTTGGTCGGGCTGATGTTGTCGGTCAAGCTGGGGATGCCGATCGACTCCGCGTCGAGGAGGAAGTGCTCGATGTGGCGCAGGTCGGAGAGCGCCTGGAAGAGGTGAGGCGCCACCTGGGACGGTGCGCGCCAGTCTGTGTGCAGTTGGAGAGTGTGCAGGTGTGGTGAGTGCCGGAACGAAGGGAGGGACAAGGCGATGCGGGCTGATGATCCGGAGATGATAAGGGATCGTAGACTGAGAAAACCACTCTGGACCGTATGGTGTGCGACCTCGTCTGAAGCCGAGAACTGTAGCTCCTGCAGGTTCACCAATTGGGAGAGAACGTCGAAGTTCGGTACGTCGACGGTGAGATCTCGTGAGCCGAAGGCACGAAGATGTGTCCAATGATTCAGAGTCGGGAACGTCAGTGCTTCGCAAATACCGCTGAGATGGAGCTCGTCGAGATCGAGCAGCTCCTTCTGCATGGTATGCAGGACCTGAGAGATCACTGCGGACCCATCGACGGGCGCATCCCACCGCTCGTTCCAGTCCCGATCGTCCCAATTCAGCTCGACATGGCGGACAGAGGGGGTTAGGACGAGCTGTAGGCCTGGATCGGGCAGGAAGAGGGCTTGCCACCGGAGGCGCCGCAGGTTGGGGAACAGAGCGGCGGAATGACGTTCATGTCTGAACAGGGCGAGGAGGAATGCGGAGCGCGCGCTCTGGTCGTGCTCGGAGTGGACATGCAGCGCACGGATGCGCCACGCATACTCTTGAAACCTCGACACCGACTGAGCATCGATGGTGCGCTCCATGCACGCCGTCGTCTGCGAGCAATCAGCTCGCACGTCTTCCAATGAGGTGCGTACGAGGAGCATACCTTCGGATTCGTGAGATCATAGCACTGGCATGCAATCTGTTGTCGACACACCCGGAAAAATCGTAGGATGGGCTTCAGCGAGTCGACGTCTGCCCACAGCGCGTCCAACGCGTAGGACGAGAACGCTCTGCACACTACGGCAGCTCTGGCGAGTGAGCCAAGCGACCGCGTGCCATCTTCATCCTGCTCCTGTAGTTTGAGAAAGATCTCCTCGAGTATGTCATTGCAGTACAGAGCACGATGAGGGGTAGACGTCATGGCTGGCATGTCGGTAGGCTCGGAGGGGTTGCCAGCTACGCGAGACCGGCTATACCGGTGTGCGACGGTTGTCTCAGAGTGAGTTGGACGGGGACCGGAGTACAGTGGACCACAAATAGGGTGCGAGAGAACCTCGAAAGCTTCGGGCCTCAGCTGGCCTCAAGCTCAAGGTTCTATATCCTCAGGCCGCAAGCACACGTGAACATGGTGCGGCCGGGGCGCGGGAATGGTCGCGGGACCAAATGCGCTACTTAGTAATGGGAAGCCGGTACGAACTAGCTGACAAGAGAGAATATACGAGCGAATCACATGTGCCATAGAGAGCGACATGCAGTGGAGGCTAGCGGGTGAGACGACAACTCGTGGTGGACGGCAAGGAGCAAGATGCGCGCTCCGAGTCGCCCGTGGGGCGTCCGAGCTGCCAGTGACGCCGCCACCACCGATGGCTCGCCGTAATTTCAGAATAAGACATTCCCAGCTACTTATTTGCACAACGCGGGACACTCCAGCGCGATCGTTCGTACGGCCGAAGGAGCCCTGCGAGCTCCCTTGACAGGTAGCACGCACGAGTCGGACGTCTCAAGTACTGCTTCCGCCCCAGCCGTCGCGGACGTAGGTCCCAAGTACTGGAGTACTATGTACCGCCCCAACGTTGGTCCTACATAACGTTAAATATGGTATGTATACAGGCTCTGAGTCTGACTGTTTATGCGCACTCGTCCAGAGGATGACTAGGACTGATGATATGCAAATAACGGAGCTGTCAGACGCGTTCGACGCTAAGTCAGCGCCGCGGCTGTGAAAACCTAAAAGCTTAAGTGACATTCACCCTCGAAGCTCAAAAAGTAGCATCGGTACAGAACAAGTGCAGAATGGTGCACTTGATGCCGTCGCAGTGTGGTCGGGAGATACAATCTGCCAGGCGCGTTCAATACATCTGCGCAATAACAGTCAACACTAGAAGAATCATAGGCATAAAGTACGTTCGTGACATGACTAAGTATTACGGGCGCAGGTTCCATACAGTACAGACACCTGGGTCATTGCGAGAAGCCGCACTGCAACACCGCGTCCGGTGTTGCAATGAGGTTCCTCTAACCCCGAGTCAGGATAAAAGGACGAAACAGAGTATTCAAATCGTGATGAGACATAACCCAAAAAGAAACATAGAGTACAAGCCAAAAGAAGATCCCAAGACGAATAGATATGGATAAGGATAGGTTGCAGGATTTGCAGGACGACGAGTGTACGACTCGGAGTTGACGAATCTGGCTACTCAGGACCGTCAGCGGAGCGCAACGACCAAAGCTTCTACGAGACGAACCTTATGTAACGACACCAGATACGCGTGCGACAAGACTGAACATTCAACCAGGAGGGCTAGCAGGAGGTTCACCAGGGATCGAACCGCGACCAGAAGTAGAGGAAATGCCGACGTGCACTTCTTCAACAGGAGGTCGCTCCGCGATGTGATGAACCGCTTGGGATGCCGCAGCTGGCATAGTTGCGCTTGCAGGATTTGATGACGAACAAGGATGAGACGCGTTGCCCACAGAATACGTAGAGTCGGGAGACGCCAGACCAGCTTCGAGATCGTCGTACTTGCGCCAGAACTCGGTGTCGTCCGAGGAAGCCTGGGAAGAGACGAACCGCCAGTTCGGCATAGACTCGACGGAGTAGCGAGGAGGCGCCAGGCATGTGCCGATAACCAAGACCGACAGGAAGAGACCGGCAGCCATAAGAGGAACGAGATCCACCATATCGACCGCCGGAGCTAGGCGACCTTCAGCCGAATCAAGAGGCGAGGCGGCCATGGATGTTGCGTTAGACAGAGAAGCGGCAGGACTTGCAAGTTCCCCGACAACAGTAGATACCATGATGGGCACCGTGATCGACGTCGACCAGACGTAGACGGGAGGCAGCTCCAAGTTGTCTGAGAGTAGGAAGTCGACCGAAGGACGAGTTGGCACCATGGTGGGGCGAACGAGGCCGTCGAGTGACGACGTCTGCGTCGGGTTGAAGTCGAGCGATGAGCAAAGACCACCGGGATAGCCGCAGCCAGACTGGATGAGACGAACGAAATCCGGGTCCGGAGGAGGTTCAAGGCCGTAACGTAGGCGGGCCGGAGGCAGGCTGCACAGTCGGGTGAGAGTCATAAGTCAACGGCGGCGTCGTAGAACATGCAACATACCCATGAGCGACAAAAAGCGTGTTCAGCGAACGCTTGACCACCCGCTGGTAGTGACCCATGTTCCGCGAGTATTCCAGCATCAACATACTGCCACAAGTCGAGCAGTCCAGCGAGCGTGTGCACTCGCGCAGGATGAGAAGAGTCCCCGGAGCGGCGAGCGGGACGGAGGCGATGAGGGCGAGGGCGCCGATGAGAGCCGCGGCACCCTGGACGACGAAGGCGAATATCAACATGGTGTATGCAAGATATCAACCAATAAGGCGACGTATATCACAAGAAGGCAGAGACAGATGGAGGTGGTTCAGGTTCAAGAATGAGTGAACGGAACGGAACGCGAACGGCGCTTTTTGAAGACGGGCGCTTCTGGTTGACAGGTTTGGCGTTCAACAACGTCACGTGAACGCGACGCGACGCGTTGATGCTAAGCGCTCAACGGACTCGGAGGCTCCACAATTCGTTCCCCATCCTCCCTATGTTCTTACGTCCGGGAAACTCTGATGCGGAACACTCGTCGACGATGCCGTATACAGTATAAACTACTCTGCATGCTCAGTCAGCATGATCTCACGGGCAGAAATGGTAAGGCATGATCCGTTCAAATGCCAGTGTACTTACCCCGGGCCAGTAGATGGTGCAGGTAGGTGCGCATCCGACTCACTGGCCGAAAACCCCGCGTTGTTTACATATTTCTTTCCGATTTTAGGATGGTCGCTTGCCGGGTTTACTTGTCGTCAATGATCATTGAACATGATCCTGGGCCGGCTTTAAAGCTGCCCTCTCCGCCCGACAAGCTGCGTAACCGCGCAGACTCAGCGTCGCGGCATGGAAACAGAAATCACCGCTGCTGCCCGGGTACCTGGGTGAGTCGTTGTCCTCGAACGATACCCACAAGCAGCACACTCCGAGTCGGCGCTCACATCTACTAGAGTAGAGCTCAGCTCCTCCTTGCAGCGTACGCGGCGCTACGACCTACGCCGCACACGGCTGCGACTCGCCATTCGGAAGTCCACCGAACAACAGCGTTACCCGGGCCCCAAGCTCGGACGGACCCTCGCGTCGGTCACGCTACCACACAGTCCCTACCCGTGGCCCGAGGACGCCCCCGGAGCGCGCCCGACTTGGACAGCCGCCAGGGTGGTCTCACTTCTCTATGTAGGGAGCTACGAAACGGCTCTGAAGGCGAGCGCGTGCCGGACAGGCGACGTAATTCCGGTGTCCAAGTTCAAGGTAATATCATAGAAGTCCCCTGCCTGCGCCAGCGGTAGAGACGTCCAAGACGGATATCCTCGCCGCGAGTGGGTGAGCTGCATCGACCCCGCTCATTAGCTGTGCAAGTATGGAATCAGACGCACACAGCTCTTACGCACGGTTGACCGCTTGTGGTAGTACTTCCGCGTACTCACAGGCCACCGTTCCGCGAGCATCGACGTCGTACGACTCTGTCTTGCATACGTGGCCGTAGCGCGCCGCCAGGCTCTTTGACCTCCGTGTGGTAGGGTGCGGCACCGGCTTCTCTGGCAATATGTAAGCCAGAGCGCGGCCGAGCTGCGGTGCGTTGCATGTAAATGATGAGCATCTTCCGCCAGTGAAAAGTCGACGACGAGGCCCAGTTCTCGCACCCGTGCTACATCCTAGTATTAGTGTTTCTCACCGTGGGCTCGGGAACTTGAAAGCGAATCCCATATATTTCAATCGCAACTGCAACCAAGCAAGCTGAACAACTATCTCGCCAGTGGCACAGAGGCCGTTCGACGGCCCGAACATATGGACAGTACGACACGTGTATATCGACATGCTACATAGATTAAACGCGTATACGACTCGGTAGCATGACGGACCACGTCCATGCACGTATAATTCCAAGTTCAGGCTCGCGGTCAAACAAAGTAAGGAACGGCAGCGCCTATGCTCGACGCAGAAAGTCCGTCGACGCGTTTTAGACTAGATACAGGCATACCACGGGAACCAGAAAGCGGCACAACTCTCGCCGCGGTATCAGGACGCGCGTCCTTGACGACACGCCGTCCGGGAGGAGACCCCGCGACGCGGGAAACGATTAGAAACGAGGATGGTTGGATAACGCAGACGGGAGACGGACTGCCAGCCCATCGGTGAGTGCATGCACGGAGATGCGAAGTACCGTGGCCACGTACAATCGACAAGGTTCGGCCATACGGGGTGGACGGGAGACGCCCCGCTCACGAGGAGACGCCGATCGGGACGCAGCCGATGTTGATGAGGCCGTCTGGGGCAAAGGTGCCGTTAGCATGCTACAGCAGAGAGAACGTTCGACGGCCGACGCACTGTAGGTGTTGTTCTCGCAGCACAGCACGCTCGCAGAGCTGCACGCGCACGCATCAGCACACACCCCAAAAGAACAATCCGTGGCAACACTGACCAAGAAGCCCCGGCGGCGAGCGAGGAGCACCCCACGCCGACGTCGTTCAACAGGTTGCTGACATCAATACCAAGGATTCCCATGAGGGTGCTGGTGCCGTTGCTGAGGTTATTCGCGGACTCGACGGTGTTGCAGCAGGAGACAGGGCCGGCGTTGCACGAGCCGGAGACGGCGGTGGAGGCCGGCTGCGCGGCAGAGCTGGAGCTCGAGGCCGGCTCCCAGGTGTCGGTGGACGTGGTGGTGGGCCACGTGTCGGTGGACGTGGAGGTGGGCTCCCAGGTGTCAGTGGAAGTGGTGGTAGGCCAGGTGTCGCTGGACGTGGTGGTGGGCTCCCAGGCAGAGCTGGAGCTCGCGGGGTTGCAAGGCGGTGCGGCGGGGGCGGCGAGGACCGCGATAGCGGAGACAATGGCGGCGAATACGGCGAGCTTGAACTGCATGGCGAATGGAGCGAGCGGAAACGAGGGAAGAGCCTAAGGAGAGCAGGCGACGGAGGGAGCGAATAGATGCCGGTGGGCGGAAGAGTCGATGCGGTGAGCGACTTGGGTTGGGAAGGATCAGGAGGGCGGTATTATATATGTGGGAGGGCGGAGGCGACTTTGCGTGGATCATGGCGCGGGGGAGGTGGACGCGATTAGTTCTCCGCGGGATGGGCAGGCGGGTGGAGTGGAGGCGATCGGACGTATGTACCAGAGACATGGCAGTGCGTGATGCGGGGCGACGGCGATGGCCTCCCGAGAGCACGGCGCTGCGATTGCGTCGGCAGCGCAGGGGGCGGCGCGCAGACGCAGCCCCACGCGGTGGACGGAAGCTGCTTGATTAAAGACCATACATGCATGGGAGACGTGACAGTCCTCGGGGAGCATGACACCTGAGCATTCAATCGAGCGACGAACGCGTCCACTTCGACGTCGGGTCAGAAGGCCTTGGACCCTCTGACGAGTCGACCCGTGCCGCACAGCGATACAAAAGCATACCTTACATACTCCAGGAGCGCATCTGAACATACGCACAGGGGATGGGATGTTGCGCAGGTCGTACATTAATTTCATTTTGCACGTTCTGAGCGATCCAGCTAAGCTCAACCTCGGGAAGAAGCACCAGAGACCCTATCCGAGAAGAGTTCTCAACGTTGACGCTTGCAGTGCATTTAACGTAAGAAAACCTTCGTAGACGGCGTCTCCAGCGCAGAATTTGACCGCTTCCGAACTGTGTGACACGACAGCTGGCATGCTCGTCCGAGTCGACGCTCGTTGCAGACGTCGGAGAGAAGCATCCCAGAACTTCCCCAAGAGGCAATGAGCGTAGAGTGTACCAGACGCCACGTTCCGAAGCACAAAGAGGGTCGTGTCAGCATAGGCCCCGCGCAAGTTAGCGGAGAGTGCAAAGTCTCGTTCGACAACGTGCGTCATCGTGGCCGATCTGGCCCTCCTCGATCGCGCCTGTGCCGCATTTGGAAGGTCTAGTCGTCATCAACCACACCCACTTCGGTTCAACACTTTGAAGCGATCTCGGACATCCGCGGTCGATAACCTGCTTTCATTTTCACTCTCATGCACGTGGCCAGCGTTGATGAGGCTCCCTGTGCGCTCCTCCAGCTCACAAGGGACGACTGCCAGCATCGAGCCGTCGGTTGTATGCGAGTCCAGGCAGATCCAGTCGTCGTGCATCAGACGGTGATGGTACTAGCCTGCAGTATCGCAGGTACCAGATCCTGGTCCGCACCAGTCTGAGCTACGTAGCCTCGCGTTTCCAAAGTGCAATAATGCCATGGTTGGATATTGGATGTAGGCCAGTGTGCGCGGAGCCGCTCCTACAACCTTTCTGCATCTGCCCAAGAAGAGCCGGCGAGCCCCGCCTTACCGTCCTTCGACCGCACCTCGTCTTCGGGGACGTCCGAGGTAGATTAGGCAAGATGATCGCCGGAACCGTCGTGGCGTACGTCGCCCCTTTGAGCTTGCCACGGATCGAGCGAAGAACGTCCAGCCGCCGTCGGCCACTCGCCACTTGGCCATCACACGCCCTTCCCGAGAAGCGCGGAGACCCACCACAGAGAGCATCCGCGGGAGATCGTCAGGGGACGCCATCATCTGCATAGCCTTAACTGCTGACGGCCACCAGTAAATACTGCCATCCGTCGGCGAATCGCGGTACACGGCACAGGAGGATTAGTCCTGAACCGGCCCGTCCGGAATAGGTCCTCGACGGTCTCTGCTTTCTGGGGGACCCGACGCCGGAATCCAGGACGCCGTGGCCACGCTGGGAGCGAGTCGCACCCGCAGCGCATTGTTCACGTTCTTCGTCACCGACACCCCGCGCCCCGCGACTGAGTGCGCCGAGTCCGAGCGCGGGCTCCCGACGCGTGTTGGACGCGGTGGACACCGGGGCGCGACCAGCAATATCTGCAGCAGGGAGGTGGGCCGATCCATTTCCTCGATGTCTGCCTGTGGCTGTTGAGACGTGACGCGTGGTGCGTGAAGACGGGCAGAGGAGCGTCCCCTCCCCTCCGTGCGCGTGGAGGACCACAGATCGCACTCACCTCTCGCCTTGCCTTCAAGTCCTGACGTTCTGCAGACAGCGCTGCACCGCTCAAACGTACGAGCGCCCCTCCACAAGAGCGACACCGCACAGAGTACCGCTCACCGGCGCACATCGATAGAGTGGACCGCATCGTCCGCTGCCAGGGCGCAGCAAGGCCTTAGATGTCCCTGCGTCCGTGGAGGCCGTCAACTCGGGGGCCAACGCATGACATCGTGACACGGACGACGACTCGAATGTGAAGAGCGCCGCAGAGACACGACGGTGTGACGCCGGGAACGACACCCACAGACAGCCATGGCGTCCTCGAAGCTAACGGCCCCAACACCGCCAGGGCGCAACGATCGCGAGGTATAAGAAGGCCCGCCCAACGCTCTCACCGCCCGCACCGTGACGCACCCCGCCCGCCTCAGACCCATCCACGCGACCCCTCAGCCTCCCCCTGCCACGATGTTCGCAAAGCTCCACTTCATCCTCCCCTCCCTCGCGCTCTCCAGCGCCGTCCTCGCGATCCCGCAATCTAGCTCGAGCTCAAGCCAATGCGACACGGGCCCTGTCCTGTGCTGCAACAGCGTCACGCCCGCGAACAGTGTCGACGCGTCGACGAGCGACCTCCTCGCCTCGCTCGGCATCTACACCGACGACGCGCTCAACGGCATCGCGACGGGGTGTTCGCCGCTCGTCGGCGGGGACGGCTGGTGAGCTCATTTGTTATTTCGCGACTGGAAGTATACGGGCTGACTCGGTGTGCGTGCAGTGAAGCAACCCCAGTGTGCTGCAAGAACGACCAATTCAGTAAGCGGACAGGGCGTGCTTGCGTACCTCTTGCGATTGGCGTTGATGGCCTTGTGTTTCCAGCCGGCGCGGTCCCGATCAACTACGGCTGCGCGCCGTTCAACATCAACATTTAGATGCGGTCCCTCCACGCTCCTTTGACGCATATACCTTGTTATCCGTGAGTGCGACGACGTCCACGCTACGGGAACGTTGTGTGCTGATGGTTCATCTGCAGGTACCAGCTCCCGCCTGCCGATACCTGTTTGTTCTCCGTCGCAGTGATGATGTGATAATAAACGATCAGTTTTTTGTTTTCCTGGCAGCAGGATGTTCAGTTACATGCAATACACGTGATGTAACGATCGTGCCCGCAATATTGTAGACATGCCAATTGCAGAGACCACGGGCCCTCGCGAAGCGGATGGACCTCTATGCACCTTCGCAAAGGATGGCGCTTCGTCCCAGCGGTTTGCAATATCGCATCGTAGGTATTGAGGTCATGGCGTGACCGGATGTGGCCGACAGCGAATGACACTCGCGAAGCCGAGTCGCGTCCGGATGAGTGGCGTGCGCCTCCGATATGGACCCTACGGAGTGCGGGGGCTGAGTAGGAACACTGAACCTCGCATTTCGAAGTTGCACCCTAGTAGGGTTGATTGCATCAAGTGCTGGGATCCGAGTCGGAAGTACGAGAAGAACGCATCAATGCTGAACTCCTGTCAAATTCTGTAGAGAAGAGTGACGTTGGAGTGACGGCACCGTCTCACGGTTGGGCATCTTCGGTTCGCGGAATGTCTGGAGCGGCGACTTGGTATGGTCCTTGTCCAAAACGGAGCTGGCGCCGAGTTGCGGGTGGCACAGACACGACTGCGTCCCAGCCATGTTCGGTGTACGCCACGGTGGCTTGCTTGGTCGTACCAGAGAAGGAATTCGAGATGCGGCACGGCGCGGGTGCGAGGATAAATACCGCACGGGCGAGCTATAGGAGCCCTCAGGTCACTCGTCAGAGTTGTCTACCCATCCGAACGCACCAGTACTCACCGCCCTCTGGCACCCACCTTCGTTCACCCACACCCGTCGCTCTTTCACAAGCACCGCCATGCAGTTCATCCTCACCTTCATCTCGGCCCTCTTCGCCGCGCTCTTCGCCGTGGCCGCCCCCACCAACATCGGCGCCAACCTCAACGCGCGCGCAGGCCTCGCCGTGCGCGACGGCAGCTCGAGCTGCAGCGCCGGCCCTGTTCTCTGCTGCGACAGCGTCGAGTCTGCGAACAACCTCAGCAGCAACACCACCTCCACGCTCGGGGCTCTCGGGATCAGTGTCGGCGACCTGTTGAATGACATCGGTGTGGGGTGCTCGTCCCTCTCCGGCGGTGCGGATTGGTAAGTCCCGGGGCTGGTTCGATGCATGCGGTGTGGCTGATGGGCGTGCGGACGTGTGTAGCCCGACGAAGACGCTCTGCTGCGAGGATAACACCTTCAGTGAGTGCCTGGAAGACGTGTTGACGTTGAGGAGGGTTACTTACGTGGGCGTGTGTTGTTGCAGGTGGCCTCGTCTCCCTTGGCTGTTCCGACGTCGGCGCTGGCCTGTGAGCAATCCGCTCGCAGGATGGGCCGTGACTGCTGTGCTCGCATCTGGCCCTCCATGCTCAGTACGTACCTTCGTAGTTCATATCAAGTCCGCCTGTTGATCCCGACTTGTTAGGCCATCTGGACTCTGCTCCACGCCTTTGCTCTATCTTTTTGCGACTCTTGCTACCGGAGCTGTTATGTGGTTCATCTCAGCCGTCGTTCTCGGTACCTGTGTAGCCTTGCGTCCCACCGTGTTAGGTCGATCTGCGCATACCTGTTCAAATTAACTTGCCGGCAACGGATGGATGATTTGACATCGGTCGTCTTCGTCGCTGCGCTTGAACAAACCTGAGCAGGGGCAGCATGTGCGTTCTCGGCCACGTAAGTCTTGCCTATGCCACGCTACGCGAGCTGTCTCGTTCAACGCATGACATGTGTTGTGAGTGCTTGCAGAATTCATCAGAAAAGCTGCATTGCCTGATCTGGATGTGTTCTATGGCGTCGCTTCTGTTGAGCATAACGAAGATCAGACTGTCGCTCCTTGTCGACCACGACCGTGACGGCATTATGTCTCTGCGCGACTCATTGACCTCTGGTTTCCAGACAGCTATTACCGGAGGAGCTTCTCAGCAAGGCGAGACTTGTGGAATGTGGACTCACCGCCAACAGCCTCCGACTCGAGTCCGAATGGGCCTGCGCGCAGCGCGTGTCTGACCAATGATCATTGGTGGTCACTGTCCTGTCGGGTGCGGTACGGCTCGTCTTCTCGGCGCACTCTGGCATGCATATGTTGACGAGGCTTCAACATAGATGCATGATACAAGCTCTCGAGTCTTGTGCGGCCTTAAATCGTATGGATGGAACATTGGAAGCATCTGGTGCACATAATGTACAACGAAGAGTTGGCACCAAGTTGGCGCCGACAGTACAACGAGCGTCTAAAGGCGTCGCGTCGCGTTCACGTGATGTTGTTGAACGCGCCAAACCTGTCAAACAGAGGCGCCCACAGGTTGAAAAGGCGCCGTCCACGTCCCGTTCCATCCACTCATTCTTGAACTCGAACCGCCTCCACCTGCCTCTGCCTTCTTGTGATATACATCGCCTTATTGGTTGATATCTTGCATACACCATGTTGATATTCGCCTTCGTCATGCGGGGTGCCGCCGCTCTCATCGGCGCCCTCGCCCTCATCGCCCCGGTCCCGCTCGCCGCTCCGGGGACTATTCTCATCCTGCGCGAGTGCGCACGCTCGCTGGACTGCTCAACATGCGGCAACATGTTGATGCTCGAATACTCGCGCAACATGGGCCACTACCAGCGGGTGGTCAAGCATTCGCTGAACACGCTCTTCGTCGCTCATGGGTATGTTGCATGATCTATGGTGCCGGCGTTGACTTACGACCCTGCCCGGCTGTGCAGCCTGCCTCCGGCTCGCCTACGTTACGGCCTTGAACCTCCTCAGGACTCGGAGTTCGTTCGTCTCATCCAGTCTGGCTGTGGCTATCCTGGTGGTCTCTGCTCGCCGCTCTACTTCAACCCGACACAGACGACTGTGTTCGACGGTCTCGTTCGCCCTACCATGGTGCCTACTCGTCCTTCGGTTGAATTCCAGCTCTCAGACGACTCTGAGCTGCCTCCCCTCTTCGACTACGTCTGGTCGACGACGATCGCGGTGCCTGTCATGGTATCTACTGCGGCCGGGGAACTCGCAAACCCTGCCGCCTCTCCTCTGTCTAATGCAGCACACACGGTCACTGCGTCTCTTCTCTCGACTGAAGCTCGCCTAGCTCCGGCGGTCAATATGGTGGATCTCGTTCCTCTTATGGCTACCGGTCTCTTTCTCTTCGTCTTGGTTATCGGTGCATGCCTGGCGCCCCCTCGCTACTCTGTCAAGTCTATGCCGAGCTGGCGGTTCGTCTCGTCGAAGGCCTCTCTGAACGACACCGAGTTCTGGCGCAAGTACGACGATCTCGAAGCTGGTCTTGCGCCTCCCGGCTCTGCCTACCCTGTGGGCGACGCGTCTCGTCCTTGTTCGTCATCAAGTCCGGCAAGCACAAGTATGCCAGTTACGGCACCCCAAACGGTTCATCACATCGCGGAGCGACCTCCTGTTGAAGAAGTGCACGTCGGCATTTCCTCTGCTTCTGGTCGCGGTTCGATCCCTGGTGATCCTCTTGGTAGCCCTCCTGGTTGAATGTTCTGTCTTGTCGTGGGCGTCTGGCGTCATTACATATCGAGGTTCGTCTTCTTTGAGCTTTGGTCGCTTTGCTCCGCTGACGGTCCTGAGTAGCCAAACTCGTCAGCTCGTCGTACACTCGTCGTCCTGCAGGCCCCACATCCTTCTGCGATTCGTCTCAGAAACATCTCTTCTACTGTGCTTCTGATCGGTTTGGTTATCACTTTCCTTCTACATAGTTCTTCCTTCTATTGTGTGCGACCAGTAGTCTTACATACGAGGAACCTCATTACAACACCGGACGCGGTGTCGCAGTGCGGCTCTTCGCGGGGATCTTGATCCGATTTCTGTAGCTCTTGTGTATGTATGTCGGTCCCATTTCGCGAACTTGTCTCCTTTCTACATAGTCTCCTGTTGCCAGTGTGTAATGTGGCTGATATTTTGTGAATGTCATCGTCTCGCGCAGCTTCCCGGCCGTCTGTTTCGGTCACCTATTACATACGATGTATTGCCCTGACACGTAATGATACTCGCCTCACGGAGGTTGCCATGTGTTCACGTGCCACGAAGTTTGAGGCTATCGTTTCTCCCACCGCTTGTTGAACTTTGAACATCGATACTCATTCATACGTGACTCGAGGTGAGTCGGCCGTGCACCCTTACCAGACTCTCATTCTTATTATCGTATTTGCAGAGGCGATGGCAACCCTTTCGATCAGACCGATGGCACGGTTCATGGTGCCCAGTCCTCACCGGGCTCTATTCTGCGATGATATACTTGAAGAGATATTTCTCAGACTACAGGAATGCGACGAGCAGGGAGCTCGGCCGCTTGGCTCACTCGCCAGGTCTGCCGTCGTGTGCAGAACCTTCTCACCGCATGCACTGGATGCGCTATGGGCGGACGTAGACTCGCTCGTGCCGATTCTGCAGCTATTCCCCGCGCGCCGGCTGAAGGTCGAATGCCAATGCAATGATATGACGAATCCTGAGGTAGTTTTCCACTATTTGCAGATATGGCATTCGAACTGACAGATTGCAGTCAACAGTGTGTATGGAGCGTATCGTAAACGCTCGTTCGATGCGTAGATTCCAGGGCTATGCGAGGCGCATTCGTGCGCTGCACGTCCACGCAGAGTTCAATCAATCTGCACGCACGGCGTTCCTCCTCTCCTTGTCGAAACGCCAAAAACACTCTCAAAAACACTCTATCCCTCTGTTTCCCAACTTGCAACGCCTGCGGTGGGGAGCCCGCTTCTTTCCCGACCCCTGTTTCACTCTCGTCCTCACACCTTCCGTTCGCCATGTCGAGTTGAATTGGGACAGCCGACGCGACCCCAATCATTACAAGGACGTGGATGAGCTTGCGGTACTTGCCTCTATCCTCCCCCCTCTGTTACGCATATTGCCAGTTCTTGAAGGGCTCTACGTCGACGGTGTTAGCCCGTGGGATGCACTGTCATTCCCGGAGCTGAGCCATTGGACGCATCTCCGTGCTTTTGGCTCGCGTGACCTCACCGTCGACGTGCAGACCTTCCACGTCCTCTCCAGGATGGAAAAGTTGCAGGAACTACGGCTCTTCACGACGAAGGAGCTTGCATTTCATGATCGTCTAGTACAGGATGGTTTCCTGGGTTTACGATCCCTATCAATTGTGGGGTGGTCATTCTTTGTTCCTCCGGTTCTGGCGTCATTCTGTCATGCAAACCATCTGCGCACCCTACGCCTCTACGCTGGTTGGCACTCAGATATAATGACACCGCAACTCATTCAGGCCCTCTCGGATCTACGTCATGTCGAGCATGTCTTCCTTGACACTCCGTACATCGATCTCCTCAACCTCATCAAGATCCCACGTCTCTGGCAGGGGCTCAAGACATGCGAGCTGTCCGATCAGTGGCCTCCAAACTGGCGAAACCCAAATGTACAGCAGACGCTGGATCTGCTCCTTGCCTTTGCGCAGCGGTTTCCTTGCCTAGAGACGCTTTCCCTCCCCCCTATCGATTTCCAGCCAATCCTTCCTCCCAATGCACCCACGGAGACCGGTGGCGTGTTGTCGATGTCCCTACGCGAACTCAACATCAAGAACATGTACATCTCTGCGCTTTGTGAGGAGGCCTTGCCGGCGTTCATCGACCGCTCTTTCCCTGCACTAGATCTCCGGCGTATGGCACAGACCGCGGATAAGAGAACCCATACACCTTGGGAGCCTTATGACGACAAGTGGTTGCGGTGGGCGGACGTCGTCGAGAGAGTGAAGACTCTGAGGGACGCGGCTGTACGCGACGAGGGTGAGATACCTCCAAGCGAAGATACCCGTTATCTGCGCTGCGGTAATGACCGTGGATACAATCCGCGCTCCGGCACCATGACTTGCACGGCAGCACCAAGGTACCCCGACCCCGTCACCTGGCCGCACCCCCTCTGGACGGGTTTTGTGATATTTTTGTTGTTGGAAATTGTGGGACGATACTTTGATTTGCAGTGAGAAGTCAAACACGCCCCTTTCTTCAATCCCTCCATGTACAGTATATAACAATAGCAGACTGTACTGTATCGGAGATCTGCATTCAGATCTTCGCGCTGCAGCTGTGGATGCTCCTTCAGCTTGAACTTGCGACTCTACTTTGTACCCATTTTGTTGGACACTGCTCGCAGGACCTATCTTATATATCCTCATTGTCCAGAGTTCGTATCTCACTGTCTAGGACGAGCAGAGTCAGTCTACGTTGCAGACTACGTTTACACATTGGCGACCACTGTCAGTGAGCAAAGCGAGGGCAACTCATAAGACCACAGCCCGCCGAAAGGAGTAATACCAGGTTGCTCGTCTGTCCATCAGTACATACTAGTACTGTTTCAAAATCCGGAAAGCTGCAGTACCGGCCAACGGACAAAACATCCTGAGCAGTCTACCGACAATTCAGAACTTGATTCCTGCGGTAACCAAGCAGCGACTCAAATACTAGGGATTCGATTCTCCCGTCTGTCCACTTACCTGATGACGCCAGCGTTTGCATGACTCGCTACGATGATTGTATCGTCGTATGTCTGAATGTCGGCACAGCGCCACATTTATACGTGGTATAAACAAAGCCGGATTGATTCGTCGACCTCATGTAGTTACTCAGGACTGAGGAGTTCGTTCGCTGTGAGACAATTGATGAACACTTCAACGGCACTTACCTTCCGATTAGGCAGAATTCGGGCCCGCCCGCTGTCTCCCACTGGCAAGCCTCGCAAGATATGCCAAGGTCGAAGTATCGTCGCACACTTGCCAGTCACGGCGTTCGCTTGCTTCAACTCCATGGTCCGCGATGGTCGCTGAGGCTATGAACGGATTCTATCGTACAGATGCAAGATGATGGGATGCGAACAACACGACCGCCGGTGGTCAAGATCATTACGGCGTTCAGACGACCGAGCATCGAGCTCATGCGAGGACGCAGACGATCGGCCAGGCACGCCACAATCCCGAGGGCTGACCCGGGAGTCCAAAAGCGACCTCTGGGATGGCGATGCTAAGAACACTGGCCACTGTACGTTGAGTGACATCATGCGCCTGCCCAATTAAGATATATTTCGATTGATAAAGTAAGTGTTCGTGAGTACGACGCAACCTCAAATATGCACACCTTTCTGCGCGCGTCGCACTCGTTCCTTGTAAGATGGACGCCCGCCGTCGTAGCTTTGATGGGTGTTTGCAAAAGGACCCGGTGAGGAATGATTCCCGAGCACCCATAAATGGCACTGTTCGGTTATCGAATGCCCTGTCAAAGATCACGCCCTATGCCATGTTTTGCGTGCCGGGGCGAAAGGCTCCAGCCAGGCAGTCCAATTCTTGTCTCTGTCCAAGAAGACGGACATTGAACATAAACATGGAGAGTCGAGAACGACACACCTTCGAGCCATAACGAGCGCAGGGCACCAAGCGTTTCGAATTCATTGACGCTGTGGCGTTTCCGAAGAGACGCAGGCAGACATCGGACAGCCAGTACTTGTTCCTCTATACCTGGAATTTCGATATTCAGATTGGCGTACACTGAGCACGCGGCAGTGCGAGGCCCGACCAGTGGATGATGGATGTTTTGGAAGACCCATTGCGTGCGTGCGCCTCGGTCGTTCTGTGGGATCGTCGTGGATCGTCGGGATCTTGTGCATCGCGCAGGCAGGCAGGAAGAGCGGGCAGAAGTGTCGCCCACGGTGTGAGAATCACAGAAAGGTATCCCGTAGACGGGCAGGCTCACCTACAGCCCACAGTGTACGACGTGACTATAGAGGCCCATTTGTCTTTCAAGACTCGGGATGGCAACTCGGATGCGCACGAAGCGCCGCGGTGAACAAATACGACTTTGTCTCATCAACCGCGTGAGCGATGCTAGGTTCGGCGTCGGCATTCAATGACACGCTCTATTTTGCTCGGTCCAGCGACCGTTTCCGTCTGGGGATTTCCAAAGACATCAGCATCGCCAATATGCGGAGGTCTATAAGAACCGGTGCTTCTTCACCCTACAGGCCCAGAGACGTCCGTGCACCTTCTCTCGTGAGTATTCCGCACCGCTTAGTTGTCTTTTCTCTGCACGAGCTAACTGACGGGCCTTGTGCAAGAGGCGACGCGCCGAGCATCCAGCAGGGCCACCCATTCAACACGATGCGCTCCGCTGAGATCTTCGCGCGCACGAGCCACATGCTCTTCGTCGCGGTCGCACCTTTTGCGCCGATTCCGGGCACAATATTGCACACGACGTCTCCGACGGAGGTCGTTGTCCTTCTCGACCGGCCGACGGTCAGTTTCACGCGCATGGAAGACGAGTTCGAGTTGCTTTCCTTGCGCTCCGTATCCGAGCAGAGTAAGCCCCGCTTTTCATACGCTGCTGGCGAACGTGACTGACTAAGTGCGCTACAGGTGCGAGCAACTGCAACAGCGTACCGGAACGCTCGCAGCCGAGCGTCGACCTCTCTCGTGAGGGCCGTCACCCGTCTACCACTGGCGTATACCGGAACGGCAGGACATCCGCCTTCGCCAGCGCTGTCTCAGTCGCCAAGCGGTCGGCCGTCTCTCGCACTCGAAAGGTCCTCTCGAGTGCGTGGAAGCGCGGGCACAGTCCATACAACCGCGTCTGAGCGGCCACGTTTCCGCTGTGGTCGCCAGAGAGTTCATCGGCGAGAGTCGAAAACGCGCTTGAGGAGAAGGCGACGTACCCGGGCCTGATATCTCACCTTCGCCATTCTTTAGTGTTCATTGCACGAGGAGACTGAGTAGGATCTTCTGTTTAATGTTTGTCTTGCGCAACGAAGACGCAGTTTCGTTTTCGTTGCTTCATACCCTGGTACCACCCGTCGTACATTACCTACTCCAGGCTCAGTTTTATGTCCATACACATGTCCATAACGACGAATGTAAAATGCTTGAAATTTGTCAACCTTACTTTATTGCCCAATCTCTTCGTGCATTTCGTGCAGAGAGGGCGGCGATGAACTTTGGATGAACTGGAGCCAAGAATGTATTTGTGATGAGGAGGGCTTAGGGACGCGGTGGCGCGACGAGTCGGACGACCCGGGCCATCAGCGCATCAGCCACAGACGCGCCGCCGCGTGACATGATTGACCTGGACCAGGACCTGCAGCAACCTCCCAGCCTCGACGACTACAACAATGCCAGCATCTCTACATACTTCCGCGACAGATTGAACGCCACACCGTGGACCGCAAGATGTGTGATCGGTCGTGCGTTGTTGAACGACGAAGGGGACGCGAGTTTCGTTTCGGGCAAGGGCAGACATATCGCGTCGCGGTCAACGACTCGCAGTAAGTATGTTGTGGACCTTTCGTCAACGAAGATGATAAAGGAAGACAGAACTGTCACAGGACCTTTCTTAACATTGACTCTCCCACAGAAATCTCTATGTATACTCGTGGGACAGGGTGAGTGGTCAATTCTCACTGTCTCAGTTACTCAGCAGACGGATTCCTCTTCAGACGTCAGTCATGAAAGCCTATCTGTACACAACCCCGGGATAGCTCCTATATAATGTATTCACTGGCCAATATCCTCGTACTCCAACCTCCATCATGCGCACGTATCTCGTCGTCGGAGCAAGCAGAGGCATCGGCCTCGCCCTCGTTCAAGAACTGGTATGTTTCCCCATTGACTTCCTTCCCATGCACAACTAATCAGCTTCATTTACTACCCAAGCTCAAGGACCCGACAACCCACGTCCTCGCCACCGCACGCTCCCTCCCCCGCTCGCCCGGTCTGTATGCCCTCACCTCGTCCTACCCACCGACACGCCTATCCATCCTCGAGCTCGACGTAGCAGACCCCGCGAGCGTTGAGCGCGGCGCTGCCAACGCAGCCGCTCTCCTCTCAGAGCACGAGGGACTGGACTGCCTGATCCACAGCGCGGCGATGTCGCTGCAGGAACTCGTTCCGTTTGAGCAAGTGTGAGTGCATTCACGTTCTCTCCTTCCGCATTTCCATCTTAATCTGAAAAAATGCAGCGACATCGCGGCGTTCCACCAAGAGCTCTACACCAACACCGTCGCGCCCCTGCACGTCGCGCGCTCCTTCCTCCCGCTCCTCCGCCACGGACTCAGCGCATCCGATGCCGAGACCGCGAAGAAAGTCGTCTTTGTGTCCTCCAGCTTGGGCTCGCTTGAGCTCGCCCCGCAGTCCATCGGGTTGAGCGAGACGTACTCCGTAACGAAGGCCGGACTCGGCATGTGCGTATTAACGACATATAGACTCGCGCTGCTAGGGCATCAGTGTTGACCAGATCGCATATCCATTACTGCTGCAGGATCGCACGCAAATGGGGGGCGATGCTGAAGGAAGAGGGTATATGCACCATGGTCCTCCACCCAGGTATCGTCATCATACCTTCCGCTATTCGGAATGATGTCTGGGCGCTGACACCCTGCTGGTTCTCAGGCTGGGTCGACACGGACTTGGGTAACACCGTCAACGCATGGTTCTCCGAGCACCTCCCTGCGCTCCAGAAGATACGCCCCGCTGACTGCGCGGCGCAGTGCCTGCAAGTGATCAGGGACGCCCGACTCGAGGATGCAGTCGCGTTCTATTCGCACGATGGGTCAAGGCTACCTTGGTGACTGCTAAGTTGCCTGCATGTATTTATGCCCGGCCGCAGAGTGCGTTGGTATGTCTCAGAAACGATCCATATCGCGGACGTCGGCGCCCATCTATGTAACGTGTTAACTTACGGCTCAACGATGTCTACTTGGGACAAGACGAGCCACGTCGACATGCGCGCCGCGACGTCTGACTCTCACGGCCTTCCAAAGACAATTGCAGGATCCTGTTGATTGACGTTGTAGACGTGTAGGGTCTCAGCTCAAGAAGGACGGTGTCTTTCACAGCCCGAGTTCGACCTCGATCCATACACGTACATTCTGCAGGTTACGCAGGTGATACGTCACACACACCACGTCTCAGTCCCTGTGCAAGTCAAGTTGTTATCCGTGGCAGAATGTACATCGCGGCGTCCGAAGGTCTGGATGTCATCGGGACGTACATAGCCCGGGTTGTGACGCTCTGGTTCACAACTGGTGAAAGAAGAGATGGTCACCGAGAGCGTTGGATGGGATGTCTGACGGCAACACGGGCAGGGTCTGCGCGGTGATTGGATGCTTGTTGATCGTGTAACGTTGACAGGTATAACAGCGCGACAGTAACTCGAGCGCATTGACGATGTCAAAACTAAGTAGGGCAAGGGCAGACATAGAGTTGTGTCAACGGCTCGCAGTATGATGTGGGCCTTCCGTCTACGAAGATGATAAGGAAGACAGAACTGTCACAGGACCCCTCATGACACCGACTCTCCCACAGAAAGCTCCATGCATACCCGTGAAACAGGGTGAGTGGTCATTAATTCCACTGTATCAGCTCAGCGAACGGGATCCTCTTCTTCAGACAAAAGCTTCACGTATCTGTGCACAACCCCGAATAGCTCCTATATAATGCATTCACCGGCCAATATCCTCGTACTCCAACCTCCATCATGCGCACGTATCTCGTCGTCGGAGCAAGTAGAGGCATTGGCCTCGCCCTCGTCCAAGAACTGGTATGTTCCCCCGTTCCCCAATGCACTACTAATAATTTCCATCTACTACCCAAGCTTGAGGACCCGACAACCCACGTCCTCGCCACCGCACGCTCCCTGTCCCGCTCGCCCGGGCTCCAAGCCCTCACCTCGTCCTATCCACCCGCGCGCCTCTCCATCCTCGAGCTCGACGTTGCCGATCCCGCGAGCGTTGAGCGCGGCGCAGCCAACGCAGCCACTCTACTCTCAGAGTACGAAGGGTTGGACTGCCTGATACACAACGCGGCGGTGTTGCTGCAGGAGTTCACTCCGTTTGAGCAGGTGTGAGTGCACTTCCAGTCCTCTCCGCACCGCCGACCCCCCTCTCATGCCTGAGGAACATAGCGACATCGCCTCGCTCCACCAAGAGCTCTACACCAACACCGTCGCGCCCCTGCACGTCGCGCGCTCCTTCCTCCCGCTCCTCCGCCGCGGACTCGGCGCACCCGCCTCAGAGAAAAAACTCGTCTTCGTGTCCTCCAACCTCGGCTCGCTGGAGATCGCCCCGACGTTCGCCGGGCTGTGCGAGACATACTCCGTGACGAAGGCCGGACTCGGCATGTGCGTACGCCCGTCTCTCGCGCTGCTGCTGGGGCATCCGTGTTGACTGTATCGCGTGTATACCACCACAGGATCGCACGCAAATGGGGGGCGACGCTCAAGGACGAAGGCATCTGCACCATGATCCTCCACCCAGGTACCGTCACCGCACTAAACCCTTTCTCCTTGAGCCCCACTGACGCGTTCCCATGCCCTCCCCAGGCTATGTCGGCACGGACATGGGCAACAGTATCAATTCATGGGTCTCCGAGCACCTCCCTGCGGTCCAGAAGATAAGCCCCGCCGACTCCGCGGCGCAGTGCCTGCAAGTGATCAAGGACGCCCGGCTCGAGGAAGCGGTCGCATTCTATGCGTACGATGGGTCGAGGATCCCTTGGTGACCGCGAGCTGCATGTACTTGTCCCCGGCTGCAGTGCGCTGGTATGTCCCAAATACGATCCTTCGCGACATCGGGGTTGTCGCGCATATATGTACGATCGCGAAGGCGCCTTATACGAACTCGATGACGGCCAGTGTCTTGATGGTACGAATGAGTCGCGCACCGGCTCAACGGGTCCCACTCCGTCCCGTCTCTGCCATTGTTGGGCGAGTCTTCGCTGCCACCCATGCGTCCACGCGAACGCGGACCATCCATCCACATCCGTGCGTATGCCCTGACGTGGGCTATCAGCACGAGAGCGAGAAGCGCACGCCGGGAGGGGCCAACCCGACTTGCGACTCAACGATATGCACCTAGGACGAGACGAGCCACGTCGACGTCACGGTGCGCGCCGCGACGTCTGACTCTCACTGCCCCAAAGGCGTTTGCAGCGAGCGCGCAAGCTCAAGCTCAAGCTCAAGGACGATGTCATTCACAGCGATCCTGCTATGATTCCTGACTGCCTCTCCCGAGACTCACAGCCCGAGTCCGACGTCGATCCAGACATGTGCATTCTGCAGGCTACATATGTACATATGCACTGGCACAAGTGATACGTATCACAGACCACGTCCAAGTCCCTGTGTCACTGAAGGTCATCGCGAACGAGCTGAGCGCCCGACTCGCGGAGAGGGAGCATTGATCTCAACGCGGCTCAGGAGCCTCAGCCTGTCGGCGAGCTGACGGAGGAGCTTTCGTTCTTAAGGAGCAGGAGGCTTCTGTGTCCGAGTCGAAGGGCCCGGTCAGTAGTCGTGAATCATGATGCTCCCTAGCTCTGACGTCTTCCGACCACCTATATAGGAGAACAAGGCGATGCGCGGGCAGCTCAACCAGCTTAGTTTGCAAGGCGAGCGCCCGAACTGCGACAATTAGGAGAGCGTCATCTGTGACAGAATGTGCCATGCGCATGCCCATGGCTCCTGCAAGACGAGATGTCACTGCTCCGAGAGCGTTGAACGCGATGTCTGACGGCAACACAGGCAAGAGTCTACGCGATGATTGTGGATTGTGTAACGAGATTAAAACAGGTATAACAGCGCGACAGCAACGTGAGCGCAACGACAACGTCAAACTAAGCGGTACGAAAGCGAGCGGACGTGCAGAATGTCCAACGAAATGAACGGCACAAAACGTTAAATGGCCGATCCCCCGTCATCCGTGAAACCCAGACCTACGAGACGAAACGAGAGAAGAGAGCGGACGAGGTGCGCGATGCACGGACACCACTGCAAGTGAAGCTCGCCCGCCTTTGGTAATAGATCTAACAACATCCGTCAGCGAGTGTCCCAACGACCGCCTGAAGTGCACGTACCGCTCAGGCCTGGATGACCTGGCCGAGGTTTTGCAGGGCGCCAGTCAACTCCTGGATAAGCCCGCTGACATCCAATCCCGACCCCGACCCCGACCCCGATCCCGAGCTCGTCGACGCCGCACCGGTCTTCGCGTCGACCTGCGCGCCGACGGCCGCCGTCGCACTCACGCTCGGCGCGCTGCCCGAGCCAGTCGCCGACCCGCCCGACGCCCCGCTGCCGCCCGCGCCGAACGCATCGACGAGGCTGCCGACGAGGTCGAGGATCTGGCCGAGGAGCCCGCTCACGTCCGCGCTGACGCCCGCGGTGGCGCACAGCGAGATGTCGTCGCCGGACGAGTCCGAGCAGGACTGGCCGGAGGGCGCAGAGGTGCTGGTCGCGGTGGGCTCTGTCGCTGAGCTCGAGCTCGAGGCGGGGGCCGTGGAGGTGGGCGCGGGCTGCGAGTCGGTGGCCGTGGACGTGGGTGCAGGGTCCGAGTCGGTGTCCGTGGAGGTGGGGGCAGGGTCCGAGTCGGTAGCCGTGGAGGTGGGCGCCGTGTCCGTCGCCGTGGAGGTGGGGGCAAGGCCAGAGTCGGTGGCGGTGGAGGTCGGCGCGGGCTCCGAGTCGGTGCAGCCGCAGTCCTCGTCGGGGCCGCTGGCGCCGTCCGTGCTCGCGCGCTTCAGGTTCGCGTCGACGCCGACGTTGGCGTTGACGTCGACGTCTACGGCGTCGTCGGCGCCGCCGTCCGCGCGCAGGGACACCCCGACGTTGCCGCCGGCGTTGACGGATATGGCGTTGTTGCCGCCGTTCCCGTTGCCGCCGTTCCCGTTGCCACCGTTGCCGTTCCCGCCCCTGCCGCCGCCCCAGGTGCGACGCGCCACCGAGATGGGGGCCACAGCTAAGCCGGAAAATCTCAGGTCAGCATATCGTACACACCCGGGCGCAGAGACTGGTACTCACTCGGCTCAGCGCCGCTGGCAGCGGAAGGCTCCGCAGACGGCACACCCGAGGGCAAGACGCTGGACATCGGGACACTAGGGCCACTCGGGAAGGCACTCGGGAAGGCACTCATGAAGGCACTCGGGAAGGCCGGCATGCCCGGGAAGGCGGAGGAGCCCATGCCGGGGAAGGCGGGGGAGCCCGTCGGGACGGGCGCGGCGGGGTACGCGGCGGAGGGGTACGCGGGGGCGCCGAGGGCGGCGAGCGCGCAGGCGAGGAAGGAGAGGTAGGCGGAGCGCATGGCTGCTGGAAGCTTAAGGAGCGTGGGGCTGCGGGGCGGGTAATCAGCGACGCGTAGGCGAACGAACCTGTAGAGAGCACTCACCGAAAGAGCGACTTGTGAAGAACGAGGAGGTAAGGCGAGCGGGGAGTTCACCTTGGGGCTCGCCGTCTTCTCGAGAGTGTCTTATAGCCCGCGGTCGGTGCGTGGTGGGTGTTCGAGCTTCGAGCTGGGGAAGGCTGCTGGCAGAACGCGGAGATTGCATGGAGGCGGCCGAACAGATGTTCTGCGCCGCAGAGGGTGCAGATCCGCCGCGGTAAGAGATGGCGCATTATCGACCGGGGATGCGAACAACGTCCAGCGCAGAAGCCGCGCTCGAACTTGGGTCAGTGGGGTCTATCCCTCGACACGGGATGGCGGGCCGCGGATACCACAGGCCATCGAACTGTTGTGCGTGCGGTTGACTGCATCAGCCAGCTGAAGGATCCAGTCACGCGCACCGACCATCCCTTTGCCCACAACAGTTGCACAGACGACGGGGCAGCCGAGTCGTCGGGACAGCCACAGAGCGGCGCACTTCCTCGCAGACCCTGCACGCGCCCACCACGCTGAGGCAGCGCGACTTCCTGGACGGTCTCCCGAGTCCGAGCGGCGCGCAATCCTGCAGGGAGGCGCGGGTGGCGGGTGACTCATCGCAGGGAAGCGAGTCGGCGGGTGGGCGCACAGCGCAAACACTGGCCCCGATACCCTTCTCGGCGTGCTCGCTTCAGACACCCGCTTCCATGGCGTCGTGGCGTCGAACGTGCACGCGTGTGCTCAGGGCCGCCGTGTCGGGGGCCGCGGGGTGTGCGCGTCGAAACGGGTGGCCCCAGCGAGGATGAGCGCATGCGCGCGTCGGGATTGAATGACGTCATCGTGTCGGTGCGTCCAAAGGCAGCCATAACGCGGGGATCCAGCTGGGGCCGTCGATCCGCGCCGTCCACTCTTTGGCTCGGAGGCGCGCGGCGACGACCCGAGCAACGCATAAATGACACTTGACGAACGATCAGACCCGCTTCTCCGCGACCCGTCCTCCAGACCATTGAACAGCGCCGAGCGATGGCAGGAAGTGCGCGCGGCGGGATTCCATGACATCACGACGTCGGGGCGGGCCCGAGGCCTCCTCCTCCTTCTGAAGCGCATTTAGGCTTCGGCCTGCCAGGCGGATCCGCGCCGTCGCGTCGACCGTGACTGACGGTAAGCTATCTCCGGCTCGAAGGACTGACACGACCCCGGACACGACGAGCGGCCGCGCTTCCCCGCGACGCGTCCTCCAGACCAACAGATGGGCCCCGCTCAGCCGTCCGTGTCCTGACGGCGGCGCCGGACCCAGACGGGCGAGGAACCATCCGCATGCGGTCGCACCGGCGTCCTGGATGCTTCACGATCCATCTGAGCGGTGGATCATCGCGTTGCTTCGGCGGCGGGCTGCACGGTGTCCACAGCTGCAGTGTCTTCCCGTCTTCCCGACGCCTGGCGGTCGGACGTCTGTCAATTAGCACGCCTCTGTGATCATATAAACGCATTCTGCCCTAGTATACAGTAAGTAGGTTAATTTACACCACAGTTGTACACCGTGTCCGCGGGGAAGGGGATCTGCCTCGCGTTCCATACGGACGGGACCCCGGCAGTAGTCGTAGCACAGCAGCAGAATCAACGATACAGCTTTTCGCAGTCGTGGTCGAACGGGAGCCTGAGCACTCAGCTCAGCGGGCGCGTGCGACGGGGCGACGGGCACGGGCACCGTTCGCAGCGATCGACGACACCGTCCCAGCAGAGACGCAAGGTCCATGCGCGCCCAACGACACAGCCACAGTCGCGCAGACACCACAGCAAGCGCGCACGCCCAAAGGCTAGTTCCGCCCCCGCAGACGGGCGTACCCGCCCCGGGTCTGCACGCCCAGCGCGGGGAGCACAGCGTTGAGCGCGCGGCGCGCCCGCGAGAGGATCGCCGTCCGCGCGGTCTTCACCGCCTCCGCCGCACGCGCGCTCGGCGGCGCGTCTCGCGTGTGCGCGCCCGCCGCGGGCTTCGCGCGGGCAAAGCGGGGACGCGCCGCGGACGCATGTTGCGCGGGCCGCGCGGAGAAGCCGGACGTAGTCGCGTCGAGCAGGACGGGCGTCGTGCCCTTGTCCGGGCCTCCGCCGCCTGTGGTGCAGAAGGACTCAGTCAGTCAACTATCGCGCGCGCAGACCCGCGTAAGCGACACCTACCCGCCGAGCATGCCTGCGCGCGCGCGCCCTTGCGTGCGTCGCCCACGGGGCGCAGCTCGATCTCCTCCCACCCCTCGTCGGCGCGCGTCCTAGTCGCCCGCGGGGCCCGGGGCTGCACGGCGATCGGGGCGGGCCCGAACGAACTCGCAGACGGGCGCCGGGGCTCGACGACGGGGAGGGCGAGGTAGGCCGGGGGGAGGGGCGCGAAGGGCGCGACGACGGAGAGGAGCGCGCGGGTCGTGTGCGCGCTGAAGCTGAGGGACATCGTGTGCGGTGCGGTGCGGTGCGGGTCGTGGAGCTGTGTGGGTGGGAGCTTATTAGCTTCTGGTGCGGGGTGGGGACGTGGAGGGCGACGTACCGTTCGTCTCGCCGCGCGTGTCTTGTCTTGTCTTGTCTCGTCGTTCGGTGCGTGCTTGGAGGGGACGGGAGGTCTTCCACTTCCAGGCTGAGGCCCTCGCCGGCGCGGTGTTAGAGAGGACGACGACGACGACGCGCTCGCTCGCCCGCCCCGCGCGCTGGCCGCTTTATACCTCGTGTCCCCCTGCCCCGTCCTGTCCCCGTCAACGCTTCAGCACCGGCATCATCCATGGATCCGTAGTGCACCCCAGATCCAGCTGCCCATCGATTCGGATCCACGGGCATGTGAGTCTACGTGAGTGCCCGCCCCGTCGCGCAGGCATGCATGGAAGCACCCTCCTTCGGTTCGACCGTCGACGTTCGGTTCGACCGTCGGCTTCGGTTCCGCCGCCGCCTTCGCGTCCCACAGCCGCGGAGGGCCGCCCCGCCGCGGGGGTCGATGCCAGGCGAGCGAGATGATGAGGTCATGAAGATTTGGCAACAGTTGTGGGGTGGGCTCCCGGTCGGTGCCGGCGTGCGCGGAGCGTGTTGGCGAAGGACGGCGGGGTGACGAGAGGGAGACATGGAGGGATCGATGTTCGATCTTGCCATGTCTACATACATACCTTCGCTTCTCCCGGTGCGGGGCTGGGACGCGGACTCCGTGGAATTCCAGAAGCGTTCGCGTTCTGAGGTGGTGGCGACCCTCGTGTTGCTGTGGTACCGTCGAGCGGCGCGTACACGATCGTGTGGCGTGCCCACGGCCGCGGAGACTCGGACGAGAGCCGAGTGGACCTGGCACGTTAAGATCGACTCGACGTTGCGTCTAGGTTGGACAGGTCCACGCCGCGCAGACCCGAGTACCGTACCTGGCTATGATAGATGGGCAGCCACAACGCCGCACGGTGCCTTCAGCCGTCATGGATGCTCTGGCACGTCGGGCGACGATTCGTGCAACGCCTGCCAGGAACGCGTCCAGACTCCGGCGTGAGCAGAGCGCAGCTTGAGACATCGAAGCTTCGTGCGTACCGTGACGATGGACGCGACGGCCAGCTGGAGCGTGAAGCTTTGCACTCGCTCGCGTTCTCGCAGTGGGCCGTGAGTCACGGAGTTGTCCATGGGAATGCAGGACGCAGATCCAGGCGAGGAAGCACCGTGCAGAGAAGCAACCAGAGCGCGCCGCATAGTGACTAGGGTGGTTGCAGAGTTCGCCCGGGCCAGCTACTGCGACGACTCGGACTGGCGACGAATCCTGCCAGTGCGATGTGTGTGTTTCATTGCTTGATGATTGCCAGCTACTAAGCTAGGTCGTGTCCAAGTTTGGTTCAAGTTGAGTTGCCCACTGGCATACTTACCCTTAAGTTCTTTTTATTGCCGATGTCACGTGGCTATTGTAGTACCTACACGGTACGCTGCGGTACCGCCTTGCATGTACTTCTTGCGCACATCATCAACTGCGGGTTCGCAGCCATTGTCCAGTTGCTCCAACAGGTCGGCGATTCACGGTGATGTCCACGGAAGACTCGTCCATAGGGGACCACATGTCATCATCTATACTTGCACGCTCTGAGGCTTCAAGTTGCGAATGACTCGTAGTGCCGGCCTGCATCAGTGCGTCTAGCTAGGGCGATTATACTTATTTTGGAAGATCAGCCTTTGTGAGTAGGTATGTATCTGACCGCCGCCAGTGATTCACAGCACGATACTCTACGGCGGCAGCTGAGGTCAGTGCCAGACCTGACACTGACCTCAGCTACCGCCGTAGAGTAGACGATCTGCCTGTAACTATTGACACCTTCACCAGCACGGACTCGGAGTCTGGTGTTCGACTCGCGTTCAATCCGCTTGGCCGTTACGTTGACTGTCGCAACAACTCCATGCGAGGCGAGGCGAGGTCAGCAAACCGTTACGGACCTGATGGAATGTGCCTTCGAACGTACGTGATCGTTGTTGTGTCGTGATCCTACACTCGTAACCGGGCTCGCCGCTGATGAGCGTTCCACACCAGCTCTAGTGACACATGGGAAGTTCAATCCACTCCACACGGAGGTGGTGTCACTGGCATGCAGTCAGTGTCACTCATTCTCCGATTGCCACACATTCAGTCGAGGTCCACGAGAACCCCCGGGTTTTGATTAGGAAGCCTAGCTTATCCTATCCAGACGGGTTTGGGCTCTCGGCCTGAGTTTATCCAGACAAAATGCCGGAAGAGGCCTCAGTGACTGGTGAGTCGTCCGAACAAATATGGGCAGTACGTTTGTCTAGGCCGATCACCAGGCATGAGCTTGCTACTCGCGAGCGAGGTGAGTGGTAGTGCATATTACGATCTGTCTCTGACCACACATCAGATGGCACACACCTTCCGGTGGATAGATGAGACAAGCCGTAGAGTCGACGCTCATGTCTAACGCAATGGTACGTAAACTATTTTGGCGTTGCTCAGGTTGTGCGGTCGCAGATGACGATGCATTGGCTGGGTCGACCCGATGTCCTCTATAATGTTTCTTCCTGCGTCGTACTTTAGTGACATAGACACTAAACCATTTGGAAGCGCACGCAGTTGGACCGACTCGGATGGTACAATTACCCATGCTTTGAGGTCAGTCCTACAATCCGAACGCGCTATGAATGCAAGCTGACTCCCACGACACATATGGCCATTTGCATACGGTCAGTTGTATGCATCCGGGTTACACAGTGACCGAGCATCCCCGCTCAACTATCGTCTCAATCCGAAACAGAAGGCCGGACTTCTCCACGACGCTTGTGCTGCGCCAGGCTACGCGTGTAAGGCCTGAGACCTCCATCCGGAATGACTAGCAACGGATGCTTAGCTGTGTAAAGGCCGACTCAGAAGAGCTGTTCGCTAGCGTGAGCTTCGACGGCTTGTCTCGTATATCCATCGGTATGGTGTGCGCCGCATCCGATGTGTGGTCAGAGACGATCCACACAAATCGGGATGTTGCTTACAGGGATCATTCGTGCTGGTGGCTTGCTGCCTACGTATAAGTATGCAACCTGGTGAGCATCACCCTCAGCTCCTTTTCTTTCTTCTGAGCTCACCAAATAGGGCACCGGTTGGTGAGTGACAATTGATGGACAACTCTCTCACCGTCGCTCATGACGATCCGTCTATCAGCTTTATTTGTTTTATTTTTGTCTAACGACACATCGCATCCACGCTTTGCCAACGACTCAACTTCGAGGAGACATCATGCGCTACTCCACGTTCACGTTCGCTACCCTGTTCGTAGCTGCTGCGGCCCCTGCGCTCGCGGTCCCAGTCAACCTGTAAGCTTCCATCACGTTTGAAAGCTTGGTGTTCGTGTCTGATCGCCCGCATAGCTGGACTCGTTTCGATGAGCTCGAGGCTCGCCACGATTTACCGTATGAAGATCCTGGCCCGGTTGTGCATGTCCCCCGCCCTCCGACGCCGCCGCCCCGTATCCATGTTCCAGCGAACGTTGGCCCGCCTCCCCCGAGGCCGCCGCGCCTCCCCGCCCGGCCAGGCGGCCATACGCGACGGGCGTATCATGACGAGGAGCTGTTTGCTCGGATGGACGAGGGGCTGTATGACGAGCTGTTCGGCCGTGCTTAGGATGCGGAGTGGCTTGATTGATAATAGTTGATATGTTCTTGGCTTGTGTTCCGCGCGATGTACCAACGCCGTCACGGTAATACTCAGTAGTATGGGTTTGAAGACACTTTTAGAGTTTTGATGGCCCATACCGACTGAAGTCAAGACTCAAAAGAGTCGAATACGAACGGTGGACATGGAAGATGAAAGATACTCATCGCGGGGCTTTCGTAACGATACATGCAGACCATGTCGTGCAAGGTAATGGCATCACTATCGTATGATATGCCCTCCTTGCTGTGTGATGTGGATTGTGACGTACGTGCGGACCTTAACCCCGCCGCCTTCAATGCCAGTGCCTCAGCTGCGCCACGGCTTGGTGGCAATCTGTGTGGCACTAATGATAGTAGACGTCGGCGTTTGTGCGGTACTCTCCCGCCTGCGCTTACGATCGCTCGAGAACCCTGAGGCTGTGCACCCCGTCTATACAATTCTGAGAGACCTGTCGGAGTACGCGCTGCTATTGAATAGTGACACCTCACGCACCTCGTATACCAGCCCACTTCGATCTCGATCACGAAAGCGGCCCATGATCTGGTCAGTTGTTCAATAGTACCGCGGTGCCTAGAGTGCCCACTTCAACCTTGGATGTTGACAGGGCAACTCGAGATCCTTGGAGGAAGGTAGTCGAGAAGCAGGTGAGAGGCTTCCAGGACGTCACTCGTTGTCTCATGACTGCTCTCCGTATTCATGGAAGGCAGCTCCGCACTATGTCCGACGGCTCGCCATTCACGCCCGGATGAGACATAAGTCTTGGTGCCCCGCACACAAGCTGCGCGTCGAACGTATGGTGTACGATACGTGCATGGCGATCTTCGAAGACAGCCAAGCCATTCGATGAATGGTCGGCTTGCAAGTCTGATGCTCCATAAATCAAATATAACCGAGATAATGCGAATACTTACGACCACTTCCATTGCCTCCCTCCAAACGACGAGTCCGCTTCAGCCGATCACAGCATCTGCACGGAAGCCCAACCATGCCTCGAGAGGCTCAGAAGCTTGTAAGCCATGCATATAAAGTCAGTACGACGCACCCGCCGTCCTATTAGGTGACCTCCCACACACCTACCCACACTCTTTTCAGTCGCTCTTTTAGGTGAGTGCTTACCTGCACTGTATGCGATACCTCATCGTCGATCATTGATGATGTACCTCGATTATTGGGATAGGCATAGCCGCTTCCACTCCTTTCAAAATGCATGTGCTCTTCATCGCCCTTGTCGCCTACGCACTCTCCGCCATCGCTGCACCCGTCTCTATCCCGGGGGCATCGGTCGCTATCGCGACCAGCAGCATTGTACCGTCTGTGTCGTCGGTCATTATCCCCACTGTGTCTCTTAGCGCAGTGGCTCCGGTTCCATCCAACTCTTGTGGGTGTCTGCATATGTTGGATCATTCACACAACTGATGGTATTGTTAGCTGCCTCGGCGCCCGACAACGCCGGGGGAGATGAGGGTGAGGACGAGAGCGGGGAGGACCAACAGGATGGGGATGAAGACGAGCAGGACGAAAACGAAAACGAAGACGAGCCAGATGAAGATGAAGAGGACGAGGACGAGAAGGAGGGCGACGAAGACGAAGACGAGGAGGACAGTGACGATGACAGTCACAGCGGCGGCACTCACGAGAAATTCCGTGTCGAGTTTGAGATCGACACGAAGCACTCCGACGTCGTTCTCAGCTCCATCTTGCAACCAGCCGACACCCATCTCGACGTCAAGGTTGAGCTCGATGCAGCCAAAGCCGGTAGTCTTCTGTCGGTACTCCTGGGTGACCTGAATCGCGTCCTAGATGATGCGGCCAACCTCGTCGAGGTTGGAGGGCAGGTTGGGGGCTCAGGAGGAGGTACTGGAGTGGACAACGGGTCGGCCCAAAACGGCACCCTCACTACCCAGGCGTCTCGCCGATCTCTTCCTTCGCGCGATCTTGCTAGCAGGTCCGAGGGGAAGATAACTCTTCGTGCCAAGACGCGTCTGCAAGAAAAACACTGATTTTGTGGTACCGGGCGTTGTTCTGGAAACCCTAACCTTCTTTCTGCTTCGGCGACCTCGAACATGTAGCGGACATATTCAACTTACCACGGACCTCGGCCATAGATAATATTATCGCTCTGTGGTACTTAGTGTGTTGCCAAGGAACTTGAGGATACTACTCCCCTTCCCACCTTCTCCTTACCTGGTATTTTCCACTTACTGTCGGAATCGTCTTGTGACTACCTTCAACTTTCACCATGCCTGCCGTTTGTTCGCATCCGTGACGTATTTTACTTCCATTTGCCAGTGGGTCATTACCCTGGGCACAAAGATAGGCTGAGCGAGGAAGACCGTTGAGATGGAGATGGAGTTCCGCGGCACCGTGACAAGTTCCATACACGCACCGAAGGTCAAGCGCATACTGTCGACTCCCTAGAGATTCTGTATGTGCCATTGAATGCCATTGAAGCGAACCAATTCAGGAACAAAACACCCATCAGGACTCGAGGATAGAGTGCACCCGGGCTCCGGGGACAGATCGAGGAGTGAGCGAAGAGAGAACTTGGCGAGAAACTTGATGCATGCTGGCAGACTGATCACCATAGAATGAGTGCACCAGAGGGTCAAGATCGGACAGTGGCAACGGGTAAATAGGTAAGTACTTAGAAGAGATGAAGACTCAGAAGAGATCGACACTGGATTTACATAGACGGTGACCTCCGAGTCCCTCGGAGTCGCCATCACAGATCACGCCACCGTGTCTTCCCGGTTCCTCCTCCTAGTCGCGAACTTCAAGAATATGGGTCTCTGTGCATTCGTTGCTTTCCATTGTCAGCAACATGCTTCCGCCGAAGTTAATTGCGGAGGTGCAAAGAAGGTCGCTTCCAATCAATCATTAGGAATGCGGCTGCGTCGGGCCAAGAACGAGTGAGTTTACGCCTTACCTCCCTTGCGCAACATGATGGCGGCTAGAGAGCCACGCTATATTTCGAGTGCCGCCAGAACCTTCGGGCGGCTCTATGCCAGTAAGGGTGGTCAAGTTCATACCAGTGTATTGGTTGGACATGGCCATCTAAGCCCAATTTTCAGCTTATGCTCCGGTCAGACGGAAGAGGCCCTTGGGGCACAAACATTGCGGAGTGGATATGGAATGTGGTATCGTAAGCTACGCTTTGATTATATGATACAATCATCACTTCGCACCGCATTGACAGCCGAACAGTGAACGCATCATGCATAGGGCCTCCGCCTCTGAGCCCAAGGCTCCCGGGTGACTCGCGAATAGCGTCGACTTCGGTACTACCATTAGATATGGAACTTCACATTGCCTATCCTCTAGGTGAAGACGTTAATCGGTACCATTCACTCTCCATCGATGTTAGTGAGGTCCAGAGCAAACGACGTTCTGAGTTTTGCATAAGACCACCAGTCCTGGTAGGACGACACACGGATCCACCGCTCTTGGAAGCAACGTTGTGAGTATCAACATTCGTTTCTGGTCTCTCTTTATGGCTGAACTCGCCCATGTAGTAGCCACCACCGCTGTCCCATGCTTTCGACTCGGAGCTCCCGTCAACACCTACGATGTCGACGTCTAGCAGCAGCGCAACATCCAATTCTGTCGTCGACCACTCTGTTCCTCTTCAATGCGATAGCGCCATTCGCACCGGTTCCTCATCATAGTGTACACAATCGCTCAGTATGTGTATGTTTCGCATACATTCCTGGTGCCCTCCCCATCCACGAGGAGGAACTGGAGCTGTTACCCGTGCGCTCTGATAGGCCCGGAATTGAGCGAGGTGCGTCAATATCCAAGCGCATCTGCATCCTTGCTCATACAATATGTTTCTCTCCATACGTTTCACAGACCTGAGGAACGGTTCCCGAGCCATGCCTTCCCGTGGTGTTACTGTCCAGTCACGGTACCATGCCAAAACGTCGTCGACGTCTTATTCGAACAAACAGTTGACCGGAACAGCCACCGCGAGGAAGGCAACCAGAGATGGAGTGAAGAAACTCGCGCGTCAACGCAGGGAGTTCAAGGACGTTATACACGCCTCGCATGGCCAGTACGTCCGCATCCCAGAGACGACCACAGATCATAACGCATGACCGGCCAAGTCTATCCATCCGCCGTTACTTAGTCAGGATGACAGTACCTTAACTCCATACGGACATTCTTTTGGCCAGTAGAATGCGCCGTGTTGGATTCATACCCGGGGGTACGCTGATTGAAGACTCCGTGTACTTAGTGTAGTGACCGAGAAAGTTGCCTACACTGTGATTTTGGGATGAATTCATGACCCTGATGACATGTAGCAGTTGACGTTGGCTAGATTGACGTTGTGTATGTTCGACTCGGAGTCGAGGCAAAATCGAGGAACTTCAAATCTTGAGGCTACGCGCGTGTCCGCGCAAACGCACACGTGATCGTGAATGGACTACATGATCGGGACCGATGAGATCTGAGAATCGGAGACTCGAGTCAACTTGAGTCTCACCAACGCTACTTTCGGTCTTCCACCTTTGCTCCAATGGCAGAACCAGACAAGAGCACAAAGACTGTTGTGCTGGACGACGTTGCAGAGCAAAAATATGATATCATAAGACGACGCGTGCAAGAGATCTTGGGAGGAGACGCGATCAGGTCGATCCTTGCGGAGGGACGGTCACCGAAATGTTACTGGGGTGAGTGTGCATGCTATGCACCTAGCCGAAAGCTCATGCAAACCACTATGCCAGGAACGGCACCTACAGGAAGACGTAGGTGTGCTTCAAGTGGTTCTATCGGGTTTACGACACTCAAGAGTATCACCGTTCAGCACACATAGGATACTTCGTACCACTAACCAAGATTGCCGACTTCCTCCGCGCTGGCGTCGAAGTCACAATCCTTCTCGCTGGTGCGTTTTGCTTCTCGCATAGGACAGCCTGACCACGGACGGTCCGAATACCTCGGCTACAGTGCTTATACCTGCACCCAGATGTACATGCATTTCTTGATAACCTCAAGGCACCTCTCGAGCTCGTCGCCCACCGCACAAAGTACTACAAGCACGTCCTCCTCAGCGTCTTCACGTCGCTAGGCATCCCGACGAGCAAGCTGCGCTTCGTCGAGGGCTCCTCCTACCAGCTCACGAAAGAGTACAACATGGACAACTACCGGCTCTGCGCCATCGTCACGGAGCACGACGCCAAGAAGGCGGGCGCGGAGGTGGTCAAGCAGGTCGAGAGCCCACTCCTGAGCGGTCTGCTCTACCCCGGTCTGCAAGCACTAGACGAGCAGTACCTCGGGTGTGACTTCCAGTTCGGCGGTATCGATCAGGTGCGTCTCTCGCATTCACCACGAATCATACACATGTGCCTCACGCGTTGCCTCCCTTCCAGCGGAAAATCTTCACCTTCGCCGAGCTCTACCTCCCCCGCCTCGGATACGCCAAGCGCGCGCACCTCATGAACGCGATGGTGCCCGGGCTCGGCGGCGGCAAGATGTCTTCCTCCGACCCGGACTCGAAGATCGACTTCCTCGAGACGCCCGCGGAGGTGAAGCGCAAGATCAAGCGCGCCTTCTGCGAGGAGGGCAACGTCCAGGAGAACGGCGTCCTCGCCTTCGTCGAGGCCGTCATCATCCCGATCAGCCAGATGCGGCTGGAGCGCCTGCACGGCGAGACGGGCGCAGACGCAGACGAGGGCGCGGGTGCGGTAGGGAAGCAGGCGGCCTTCGCGCTCGAGGGCGCACCGGCGGGCACGGTCTTCTCGATCATCCGCCCGGAGAAGTACGGCGGGCCGCTGCACTACCAGACCTTCGGCGACCTCAGGCGAGACTTCGAGGAGAGGAAGGTTCATCCTGGCGACCTGAAGACCGCGGTGGCGGACGCGATCGTACAGCTGCTGGAGCCGATTCGGAAGACGTTCGAGGAGAGCCAGGAGTGGCAAGATGTGGAGAGGCTGGCTTACCCGCCCCCACCACAACCGGAAAAAAAGAAAAAGAAGGTTTGTCCTGATTATATCTCGTAGTGAAGCGCGAGCGCGAACTCACGCGGATGCTGTAGGAGAAGGTGTACCACCCTCCTCCTCCCGGCAAGGGCAAGAACGCGGACGCGGCTGTATCCACGAGTGGGGGCGATGCTGTACCTGCTTCCAACGAAGAGGCCCATTCCGCCGCTGAAGCAGCCAAGCAGCAAGCATAGCGAGCTCGGGGAGGGTCAGCAGGACTAGGATGAGCAGTATCGCGCGATTGTATACAAGTAGACATAAACCAGGTGTTGTAGGCTAAGCCACGCTAAGCATCGCTCGTGAAGTAGGACCAACATCTGGCGAACAGCGCGAGAATCGGGTGCGCATCGAAAGAGTATTATAGCTACACGGGTCTACACAGCAAAGCACACTATCCACGACTGCGGCCGTCCAAACCACCCTATCAGTATCACAGTGCTAACACAGGAGAATTACCTCGCTCATCGTCGATCATCAAGCTTACTGTGCTCGCTGCTGGTCGCGCTGCCGACTGCTCTTCGTCTCCACCTTCACGTACTCGCTCTCCTCTCTCGCCTCAGCCTCGTCCTTGCGCACCGCCATGTACGCCTCGCCCAGGATCTGCAGTGCGATCGCGCGCAGCTGCGCCTTGCCCCGCGGGAGCGCCGGGTCCTCGAGCATGCGATCGCACGTCTCGCGGAGGACCGACTCTATCTCGAGTTTCGTGCCCTGCATGGAGCGCACGTCTGAGCGGGCCGTCTGACGGACAACAGCGCGCGGGACGCACCTTGAACAGAGCCTGCAGGCCCTTCTCTGCCGCCTGCTCCTCCAGCCGCTGCCGCTCCTCCGGCGAGAGGTTGCCCGCCTTCTCGGCCGCCTGGATCTGCTCGAAGACGTTCTTCAGGTCCATCGCCGCACGCAGCGTCGACATTCTGCGCGAGGGGATCCGTTCTCAATAGAAGGCAGGGAGGGGACTGGTATGGGGCACGCACGTTTCGCTGAAGACGTGATATTTGCCCTGCACGTTGTGCAGCCACCCGCCGACGCCGAGGAAGGTCTGGTTCGAGGCGAGGTACTGCTTCGACTTCGAGACGTAGACGAAGCCGATTGTTTGGAGTAGCTCGGCGCCATAGGACTCACGTTTGAGTTCTCTGCGACCCGGTCAGCACTGGTTACCGCGCGGAAACGAAGCACCTACTCTGCCTCAAGCTGACATATCGTCCGATAGCTCTGAGTGACCTGCTCGTCGCTCGGGCCTGTCGCGGACTCGGTGAAAATGCCCAGCTTGCGCTCCAGGTTCTCCATGAGTTTCGCGACGCGTTCTGCTCGCGCCGCGGCTTTCTATGCATCCGCGCTGTCAAAAAGTTATCTACGTTCGGCGTGGGGTCCAATGCTCACCTCTGCGGCTGTCTTCCTAGCCTTCTCCTCTCTTCGCGCCTTCTCCTCTGGTGAGAGAATCTCCCGCCCCTTCGCATCCTTCTCAATGGGTTTGCCTTCTGCATCCTCCTCCATCTCCTCCGCTTCCTGCAGCGCCGCCTTCATGTCCTTCGCGAGGCTGATGTGGCCAATGATGGGCACGAACCGCTCACCACCGAAGATTGTTCCGAACACTTCCTCTGGATCGACGAAGCCGCCCTCCGGTGCGCTGTCCTTGGACCCAAACTCGTTATACTTTCTACGCAATTCGAGGTCGGACAGTGTCTGGTAGGCGATGGCGATTTCCTTGAAGCGCTCTTCCGCATGAGGGTCGTCGCGGTTCTTGTCCGGATGGAACTTGATGGCAAGGCGCCCTGCGAGGAGAGGTGTACGAACGGCGAGCGGGTAACATGCAGACACACGTACGATATGCCTTCTTGATGTCCTCCGTGCTCGCGTCTACCGGCACGCCCAGCAGGTCGTAGTACCCTGTCTCCAGCGGCTTTTCCTGTGTGCCAATCTTCCGTCCTCTCTTTGCCGCCTGTGCACCACCGCTTGCGCCGCCGCCGCTCTGGCTCCGAGAGGGCCCATGTCCGCTCGTTCCGGACACGCTGTTCGCGAGGCCGGGGACCTGGGTGGGGTAGAAGGCGTGCGAGAAGACTTTGCTGCAGCTGAAGCAGCGGACGTTGAGGGCTGTCGACGGGCGTGGAAGAGGTTGGGGTACGGGGAATTCGAGCGGGGAAGAGCAGTGTGTGCAGGTCGTGGCGATGTGAGGTGCGAGGGGGCGCGACTGGATGGTCGGGTACGTGCTGCTCATGATGTCCGAGGAGCAGCTCGCAGCTGGGATGCCTTATATGGCTGTCGTGAATAGCTGCGACGTGCAGCTGCGAGCGTGGGCGGTGGGCACGGAGGCGAGCGCAGGACCGTCCGTGAGCGCGCGCATCCGGTGGATGCTATCGATCACTCACTGTTCGTGGCAGTCGTTGATCGTTGCGTCGTATGTCGAGTGGGCTCTGCGTGCGAGTGAGCGCAGAGTGAGCTCAGTACGGAGGACTGAATATGCAGTGACCGCGGCGCGGCATGGGTGTACGATTCAGGATGACCTGCGTCCGGTGGCGCAGGGGGTAAGGTCGGGTTAGGGTCTGTATGTAGTAAGTACGTTGCGGCAATCCACATCACACGTTACGGCGAGGTACGACAGTGATACCGCCATGTTCAGGTATCGTCACGAAAGCCCCGGGCTGAGTGTACTTCATCTTTCATGATCAATGCTCGTATTTGACTCGCCGAGTTCTGCCTTCAGTCTACTTACATATGATGAGCCATCCGAGCCTGTCGAAACTCTCAAAGCGTCTTCAAACCCACTACGGAGTATTACCGTGACGACAATGGTACATACATCGCGCGGAACACAAGCCAAAAACACCTCAGCCACTCTATCAATCAAGCCATTCCGCATCCCAAGCACGGCTGAACAGCTCGTCATACAGACCATCCTCCATCCGAGCGGCGAGCTCCTCGTCATGATACCCCCGTCGCGCATGGCCGCCTGGTCGGGCAGAATGGCGCGTCGGCCTTGGGGAGCAGGGCCTGTCCGTTTGGGATTGCGCGGCGGCCTCGTGGGAGCCGGGGCAGGTGGAACCCAGATATTGGCGGGAGGCGGCCCCGGGGGCCGCGCACAGGCGGGCCCAGATCCCCCTGCCCGGGGAGATTGTGGCGAGGCTCGAGCCCGTCGAAACGAGTCCAGCTATGCGGATGGGTCAAACAAAAATACCAAGCTTTCAACTAGGACGAAAACTCACAGGTCGACTGGGACCGCGAGCGCAGGTGCCGCGGCAGCTACAAACAGGGTGACGAACGCAAACGTGGAGTAGCGCATGATGTCTTCGAAGCTGAGTCGTTGCAAAGAGTAGATGCGATGGGTCGTTGACGAAAATAAAACAAGTAAGGCTGAAAGACGGATCGTCATGAGCAACGGTGAGAGTTGTCAATCAATTGCCATCACTCACCAACCGGTACCCTACTCGGTGAGCTCAGAAGAAAGAAAAGGAGCTGAAGGATGCTGCCCACCAGGTCGCATATTTATACGCAGGCAGCAAGCCACCGCTGTCGGGATCTTTGACGCGACTGGTCACTATGAGCATGGGACATCCATTTGTGTTCCTCGCCTATCTGATGTGCACGGGTGTCTCAGACTCAGGCGAGACTAGCCCGCTGCGAAGCGACCCGTCGGGCACTGGCATGCACAGAGAGCTGACACATCCAGTGGTCAGTAAAGAGCCCATAGTTGTTCGGACGATTCACCAGGCCTCTCCTGGTGAGTTTTTGTCCGGATAAAATCAGGCCTACTACCCTTCCAAAGAGTTCAATTCCGTCCGGAGGAGTGTAAAGCACCGATAACCGGGGGTTCTACTTACTGAGTCGCTCCCGTCAACGTGCATCATGTTCACTCTGTTACTCAGCGGCCGAACTTGAAGCTTAAAGCTAAAGGATCAACCTCCCGAGACTCAGGTTACCCCGCCCGAGGCGCCTTTTTCATTGGCAAAACGTCTTCATTGACGTAGTACAGGATTAGGGTATCATATCACAGGCTATAGCATAGCTAATGTCTGAGCGGCGACGCGTGGTCTTCCCGCAATCTTCCCGCCGGGTGCCGTGCTCGAGTCATGGAAGGAAGGCCCACAGCTAATATGTCGCAGGGCCTACGGCAGTTGTTCTGCACACGGAGACTAGTCAGCATCGATGATGAATTCCACAGTTGGCAGCTCACCCTCCGCACGGACAACATAGGATACCCGCGATGCAGTCGACCACACCGGTAAAGCAGCCGACAATAACTTGGTGCGTGTTCCATCGGTCAGGCCTGCATGCGCGAATGGAGAGAATGCTCACCGCTGACGATACACTCGAGGAAGCCTACAACCGCCTCGACGACGACCATGACGGCGCCACCATGCATGCGAAGATGCCTGCAATGCAGGAGATGATGAGGCTAAGTAAGGTAGTTCCGATTAGTATCTCACGAACATCGTAGCAGCTTGATACGTACCCCATGGTTCTGTCCGATTGTTTCAGTGAAATAAAAAGAGTCGTGCAGTCGAAGTCGTCAATTAGTCGTGGGGGTGTCGTGTCGTGTGGAAGGGTAGGTTATCGCGTTTCTGCCGCTCATATATATGCTGCTGCATAGTGGTGCATTTGGTGAGATCTTGTGGCGCGGAGGACGGGAACATATGGCACCCAGGCTGGAGCTGGAGCATTGACGTAGACAGGTATGTACGATGGTGGAGGTGGTGGGGCGCTCATGGCTTCTATGTAGAATTGATTGTCCGTTCCTCGTGTGGTGAGGGGACCCGGCGCGATGCGAATGGAGTTGTAGTAAGAGGCATGCGATGATCGTCCCGAAGTATAAATACAGTAGGCATTGTAGGTGACGCATGATTCAGCAGACTTTGAAGACTGTCGTCCTGTGTATTGTCAAGTGAGCAACATTGCACCAGTCAGAACTTCGAGTGTACCTTAGGATTCCACGCTTATCCGCAAGCGGCATCTTCCCTCGGACGAGTTTTGCCCACTCGTCCTCAGAGACTCTCAGCACCTCGTAAGGAGAACATCCTCCGACCGAGAAAGCTAGGCCCACTTCGAGCATGTCCGGCTTGATAGATGAGAATTTGTGCTGCGAGAGACGTTTGTCGATGTCCGCTAGCTCGTCCTCCGTATCTAATCGGTACAGCAATGCACTCAATCGCTCGTCGCGATCGTCTCTGCCAATGTGGAAATGGATTTGGACTTCGGGGATGTCGTACGTCCCTAGAGATGATAGCATATACGGAATCCATGAATGTTTGTCTTCGAGAAAGCACCATGACGAGAGCCGCAAAGAAGTCAAATGCTCGAGAAAGCTGATGTCAAGCTTTTGACCTGTGCAGGGGTTCAGTCACCTGTTAACGGTGGCCTCGTAGGATGAATGGCAATGAGACATACAAATTTTGTCCGGGGATTTGTCGATCACACCATTGAGGTTCAGTGATAGGCCGAAGTCGCGGAGGGACGGGGCGCATGCACGGAGCAGCTTCTGTATGTCAATCGCCCCTATAAATATGTCCTGGAAGTGTACACCCATGTCCAGGGTGCGTAGGTCGGCACGCTTGGCTATGCGGAGGATGAAGTCGTGGACCGCTGGAGGCATACAGCCCCAAAGAGAGATGTCTCGAAGCTGTGTGCTGTTCAGGGGGAGTGACGACAAGACGGGAGTATTCTGATCGCAGGTTAGGTCCTTGCAGAATAAGTTCCGCAGCTTCGGTAAGGCAGACATCAGCTGCGTGAGCTGTGATACCGTTGCAAAGCAGACATGATCCAGCGTTAGTTCTGAAATGGAGCGGAACGCGGCCAAATTGGCGATGTCTCCCGGTCGGACAGAGCCTGCGCCCCATTTCGCATTGTTGATGACCAGGGTCTCCGCCTTTGTGAGGTACCGAGAGAGCATGATAGCGAATGTGCCAAGGTGTGGGATGGGTCCAGCCGACTGGCCATCTGGCGCACCAACTATCGTGACGAATCGCATTGTGGGTCGAAGGTACGGATTGTCACGTAGCTGCCTCTGGAACAAGACGACGTCGCCTCGGTTGGAAAGGACGACATTGCCCCGCAGATGCCATCGCGCGCGATTGTATAAGGTCTTGCATGTCAGCGCACAGGATATCAATGTCGCCCACCAAGGAGAGTTCAAGAGATTCCAGTATCTCGTAGCTTGTGTCGCCATCAAGTCAATGATATGTTCCCAAATTTCCAAGGGCAGCTGGAAACCTCCCGCGCAGGTCGTCTCGTCCGATGAGCCTGCATGGTTATGAATTGTCTCATGCTGCTATGATGCGACTCAGTCAGGGGGAGACCTCCGGTAATCATAGTAACCTCACTCACTCGCCGTCAATCAACGTCGCGTCAGTCCGTCGGAGAGAGATCAAGCCCGAGACCCTGTCTACGGTAAATTCGATTCAGCGGTTTGTTAAAACATGGAAGAGACGGTAGGCGTCATACCTAGCTCTGATGACAACGTACTGAATGTTGGTATCCCCGTGGTGCTGTATACTGAGCTGTAGCTTTCCGCTGGCGGAAAACAGAGGCGTCGACAGTGAGTACCATCATCAAATGATGTCGCCCGGTGTGACGGAACGTACGGCCACTAAGAGTAGTGCCCAGAGTGTGTGCACTCATTCGCAATAGTTGATGCGCCGGTGGCAAGCTTCAAGGCCACTTTATCGGAGGTGGTACGGACGATCGCGTCCAGTCAGGTGGTGTTGTTGCCAATGGCTGCGACGGTAGGATGATGCCCTGCAGACCCGAGCAGACATCAATCGTGTACATATAGCAGCGATCGCGCTTACCAGATGCACCGTGTGGTCCAATGCTGTGCAGAGGATCTTCCCGTATAACTGTTGGCGCATCGGTTTCCCGCGTCCTACACACATCCAAAAGGTCAGGAGACACAGCTATCAGGGCGCCGACTGAATGGCAAGTTTCATCAGTCGGACAGCTCCCTCCTGAGTAGGCTCGTCTGAGGTTGCCAGTATTGAGACAAAACCTATCTTTCTCGTGAAGGAGCTAAAGTTGGCATGTTTCTATCAGCCTTGACTCTTGGATCGAATATCGGTATATTCCAGTGAATCCCTGATTCGTCGGAAAGCGTCGGAGCCTCCTGACACTGAGTCAGTAGAGGTGATGTTTGTTGATTACAAGGTATCGTTCGTCGTTGCTTTAACTACGAAGTCCAACGGCAGAGGAGTGGGGGTTAGCCACTTCGACTCGGACGTGCAACTAGCTGTGCCCGCAGAGCCCGACATCCTGAACGTTCGTGAGAGTAAGTAGATGGTAAATATCGCGCCTTGGCATATTGACGACGTACTGACCTTGCCTGATGATCACCCTCAAGCATGCAATTTGTGGCTGTCTCAAGCATTTTGGTCGACGTCTGACTGATTTTTACCGAAAGGGTTATGCAAGGGATACGCATGCGCTCTCAGGTGGGGGGATAAGACGATGCGGTTCGCAGTGCCGCGTCTATAAGTTGTCCCCAGTGACGACTTGTTGAACACAGCACCCACGATGCCGCTGGCGACTCTTGGCGACTCTGAAACATTGTGGTCAGAGGCCATGATGCAAAGGATACAGTACGTACTCAGGCTTGATAACCAATTAATGCACATGCATTGCCCGGGCAATCAGAATCTAGACACAGTGGGCCAAGATTCAAATTCAAATCGTAGTAGCGCCAGCCACTGAGTGCGTCGTCGCTGCCACATCTTCAGGCTTAGATAGTAATACGGCCCATCCAGCCCCAACTTCCCCCCAGTAGTTCACGGTTGCTGACCGGGATGTCGTTATCATCATCAACGGGCTTGAACCTAGTACATATCACAGCAGCTGGTATCTGTGTGGCATGGCCATCCTTGTGAGTCGAAGTCGTTCATTGTGCAAAAGAACGCGCTCACTCACCAGTGCTACTGCCACTCATCGGTCTACGTAGGTCAGTGAAGGGATTAGAACAGGAGGCGCTCGTTCAGTACATACTGATATGTAAGACCAAAAAGGCGGCCAAATTTGACGTCACGGTCAGTCATACTCAGTTCATCTTTCTTACCTCCTCTAAGTATCTTGCAATTGCAGGCACCAAGGTCAGCCGGTCATGTACGATGATCACGATGAACGCAACGAAGCTCAGCCCGTGCAGCAACGCCCCGGAGCGGAAGAAATCTATTTACACCTGCTCATTACAGGCTACAACAAGCACAGTGCCGTCTACATATCATCTACAAGTGCGTCTATCTACAGTGCCTATGTCTATGCCGTATATATGCGAATGAGAACGTGAGTACGGATGATTGCGATCGTCAGAGTGCGTGAGAGGATCTAATCGTGAGTGCAGAGATGGAGAGACGAGACGAGATGGGAAGATGAGACGGAGAGACGAGGAGACGAGGAGACTGGAGGAGAAACGCAGCAGGAACAGGCAAACCAAAAGCAGACATCTAGAGAGGAACGAAAAGAAACCATGCATCATCATACCAGGTCATGAAGAATCACCGGCACCGTTCACCACCATCACACAGGCGAGTTTCCCACCCGCCGCTCCTCCACCTCCGCCTCCTTCCGGAGATCATCATCTTCCCCCTTGCCGTAGCCGTCACCGCCGCCACCGTCGGTGAAGCGCTTCTCCTCGTCGACGGCAAAGAAGCACACGCGCGTCACGTCCGACGCAGGCGTCTGCGGGCTCACCGGGCTGCCGGGGCCACCGGGGCTTTCGTGCCCAAGATGGCCATGGGCGCGGGCCGCCTCCACCATACCCGTCAAGCCAGACATGACGCGGCCCGCGCGCATGTGTACGGCGAGCTTGCCCTGCTGCTCCGGGTCGCCCTGCACGTCCGCCGCCCCAGCGCGAAGACCCTCCTCCGCATCGGCGAGCTTCCCCTCGACGTCGCGCATCTTCTCGTCCACCCCTTCCGCCACGCCCTTGCCCTGCGCTTCGCCCGCGACCCGAAGGCCCTGCGGGCCACGGAGCTCCCGGTCCGTGCGGTAGAACACTGCCATCGCGACCAGCTCCGCGACGACGACGCCGAGCAGAAGCCAGAAGGCGGCGCGCTGCCCCGCGTAGGGCGTGTTGGGTTCGCTTAGCTGGATGGAATCCTCCAGAGAGTCAACAGCAGCGATGCCGACGGCGGACCCGAGCTGGAGCGCGCCATTGAAGATCGCGCCGACCGTGCCGGCCATGGAGGAGGGGGACGTGCGGAAGATCGCGATGCTGCGCGGGGATGAACATGTTAGCGGTGGACGTACAGAGGGAGGGAAGAGCCTACTTGGTGTGGGTGTAAGTGAGCGAAGCGCCACCGCTGCCGAGGATGAACGCGGGGAAGATGAAGCTCCAGTACTTCTCGGGGCCGTCGGCGAACGCGAGGAGGATCGTAGCGACACTAGAGGCTCTCGCCAAACATGATGATCCACTTCGGGTTGATCTTGCGTGCGAGCGGGCCCGTGAAAGACATGCCAACGAGAGCACGCCGATCGGGATCCTACAGGGCGTCAGCGTTGGCCTTCGGGGAAGCGGGCGGGCAAGAAACTTACATGTGGATCGCGGTCGAGATCGCGGACCACTCGTAGTCATCCTGCCACAGCAGCGTGAAGACCGTGAAGATCGTCGTCCACCAGAAGTACGGCAGCAGCGCCGTTCCAAAGAGCACCGCGAAGTTCGGGCGGAACCACGTCTGCGGGGGGACCGCTGCCGTCTCGGGCGGGATGCGCGTCTCGTACCAGAAGAACGCAACGACCATCAGGATGGATACGACCAGCGGTACGAGCACGGCGGCGGTCGCCCAGCCATCCGCGCTTCCGGACGTGATCGCGAAGATGAAGAGGATGAGCGCGGCGGTAAGGATCGAGACGCCGACGAGGTCGAGCGAGCGCCAGCGCGGGCCGGCGGACGCCAGGCGCACCTTGGGCTCTTGGGACGGAACGAAGAGCAGGCACATGCCGGTGACGAACGCAGCGACGATAGCGACGAACCAGAACACCCAGGACCAGCTGGCGAACTGCACGAAGATGCCGCCGATGATCAGGCCGAGCACTGAGCAGATCGAGGTCAGTCTCGTATGGCTGATGGGGGGAAGTGCTTACCGTTAGCGACAGCGCCGCACCCACCGAAGAGACCAAGGGCGCGGGCCTGCTCGTTGGGCTCGACGAACACGTTGACGAGGAGCGCGAGCGCAGAGGGGATGGTCATCGCGGCAGCAATGCCACTCAGCGCGCGGAGGACGATGATCACAATCTTGTCCTTTGCGAAGCCCGCACCGACGGAAATGACGCCGAGCGCGGCGACACCGCCGGTGAAGGCAATCTTCGGGTTGTACACATCAGAGATGCGGCCACTCTGTGAAGCCACTGGTCAGGATGCGATCTAAACAGAACAACTCGGACTTACGATGAGGAGGAAGGAGGCAAAGGTGAGCTGGAAGGCGGAGATGACCCAGGTCGACTCGGCCTCTGTGATGCCCAGGGAGTTCTCGAGGTCAGGGATGGCCGAGAAGAGCGCGGAGTTGTTAATGGAGTCGAGGAACTGTGCAAGGCAGAAGATGAGGAGAAGCACGTAGCGGCGCGCGGCCGAGTATCTTTGGGGGACGCGGCCGTCGACAAGCGTCTGACTGGGCGAGAGCGGGTTGCTGGATGTTGGCGGCGCGATCATGGTGAGTGTGCGTAACGTCTATGCTGTCTAATTGCTGTGGTGTTTCCTTGCAGAAACCGGTACTTTTTGCGGAGGAAGAAACGACGTGAGTGACTCTATTGCTCGCTTTACTACACAAGAGTGGCCCCTGGAGTGGGCCGGACGGAAGAAATGAGAAACGGAGGAGAGAAGGAAGTGGGAGGCACGGACGGGAGGGATGGGACGGGGACATGAGCACGACGAAGCGGTGTCTTTTATTGGGCGAGCACGGGGAGGCGGTGGTGAGCTCATGGGGAGGACTGACGTGTGCTTGCGGACGTTGGGAGACAAAATTGCAGCGTGCTAGGCCCTGGATTGGCGAGCACCAGACGGCGGAGAGTCACGGTCGTCCATCCGCACCGGTTCCCCTATCGGGCGTCTCAGATCACCATCCGAGATAATGTTCGGACACCACGGTCCAGAACCTTCTTTCCCCATCCCCCATTGGCTCGCCGCCCGTGCTGACTCCCGCTTTAGGTACCACGCCGATCGTGCGCCCACGTTTCATTTCTCCGAGGCTGCTCCTCGCCGCGGGTGGTGTTCGCAGCCAGCGACGACGCCAACTCTGGCCCGCTTCTCCAACTCGCAGCACCTGCTCCAGCTTCGCAGCGCCCTCTCGTCTACTTCTTTGCCGTTCGAGGGTACCCCAACTCGACGATCGCACAACAGCACTTGCTGGACTCGACAAATGACTAAAATTACGCGGTGACAACCGACCTAGCGGTCCAGGCAACCTGCGTCCCGGGCTTCTGCCAATGCGTCCTGACTCATGGCGTTCCCTCTACTACTGGTCTGCTGATGATCACGCTCTTGTGCTCATTGGCGACACGGACACGGACACCCGTTTGGCACTGACTTGCGCGACCGCCAGGCGACCCCGCGTTGGCCTCGAGTTGAGGACGCAAGAACCCCGACCACGACCCCCACTCGCAACCCTCGACTCATATCGGACGTCACTACGACGCGCTCGTTCAAGCCGATCATTCTGCCGTATCAAACCCCATGGAGGGGACCATGTGAAGGCAAGATATACATTCTTCGCGAACGCGTACGTTCTACGCATGTTGTTAACGCTGACAACGGACTGCCAGAGCAGACTCAGAACTCATCATCTTTTGTGTTCCACGAGGCGTGGCGGAGGCGTCGGTCGCTGTATATGGCCAGTCGCGCAAACGTAATGCCTTTCAGAACATCCTTATCACTGATCAGCGGCAGCGACGGCTTGGCCTGCGAATCCCTTGCGCAGCCTCATAACCGTCTCATCACTATGTATGTGCTGCAGGTAAGCACATGGGCCATGAGCTGAGCTTGTACAACAGCTGCGACCTTGTTCTTACGCTGCCGACCCGTGCGGTGTACACGTTTATGTGCCGGAACCCCATATCTTCTGCGAAGCACAATGCCGGTCGTGGAAAGTAGGCCTGCTACCCCTCTTTGCCCATCGATGCTGTACGAGAAGGCAGAACCTGTCTTCATTCCCCCAAGTGCTCGACCGGCGCCGTTTCCTTCCCTGCAACCGGCTATGCGGCGGATTCGCTTGGACTGGGTTCAGCACGTCCGTAACGCTCATCATTACGGATGTTCCTACGAATTCTAGTCAATGATGATGCTGCTACTGCTGCTGTTGTCGTCAACCCGCCCGGACCTTCCGTTTGAGGCCTGCCATCAGCCTCATTCGGCACAGATAGGCGCACCTGTGATAACGCATTCATCTCGCACACAGTGTCCTGCATCGTGTATCTGCCGCAGCAGTTTGCAGGGCTCGTGCCCGGGCACGCGGATTGCAATCTTCACCGGTCTCTCTCCCGCAGATCAATACCGTAAGGCCACATGCACTATGGGTTACCTCCTGGCGCTCCGATGGTCATTGTCGGCGGTAGCTTGGACGTGAATCTGAGTCTTCCGGGGTGATGCGTTTCTGACCATGTGTGAGTGCTTATTTGACGCTTGGCGTCGTAACTGTGTTGAGACAGTTCGGGGATTCGAGTGGGGAGTGGGGTGTCGTACCATGGGGTACATAGGGAATTCGGGAAGGAGGGTGCGGAACGCTGGGGACTCAAAAATGGTGCTCCGGCCGTGCATGCGTGTTGTATGGGATGCGGACCCGAGATGGCCTACTGACCAAGGGAATCTCCATTGCTGGGATTCTTGAACGCTACGGTGCAGTCACTTACGTGCGCTCGCTGGACTCGTGCTGCGCTGGCGTGACGCGTTCAGACGGGGATGAGACCGTCGGTGCGGGCCCTCCCACTTGCATCGACCGCAACCGTTCTTTTCATTGCACCCGCGTTTCCATGACACATGTGCCACTTACCAGAGATAGGCGTTGCAGCGTGGCACTGCGGCGCTGTTGGCCAACGAGGATGCGCGACTGACAGCATCTGCCACAATATAGTTCACACAAAATACCGCTGTCAGAGTGGGATCAAATTCTCAAGCGTCGTGCTCGCGCGTCACCGTGCGTTTTGCCATCGCATCGTGAGTCTGCGCTCAGTGAGGCTCATTATGTGGTACGTGACTGACGTTGTCGCACCAGTCTACAGGTTTGGCGAGCACGTCGCGTTGAGGCAGGCATGGCATTCCCGCTGTCGCGTCAGTGACGAATAGTGAAGTTCGAGAAGCTCGGACAAAAACAGGATATGCGTTAAAAGTGGGTTGTGCGCGGATACCAGTAGACTGGTTGCATGTACGCGACGTGGATGTGCGTTCTCCAGGATATTGCACCATATTACCTCATTCGCGAACGACAACAATGACACCACGCACGGTCGCGCATTCCTTCGCTCGTGGAATAAGTGAGTACAATGATTGTTACAAATTGCAGAGGGAAGCCTGCCGCTAAGCATCGTATGCATTGCTGATAGCAATGCGAGGAGATTCACACACGATCTTTGACAGGTAGCTGCAGGTAGCCGCGATGGCAACAGCGCTGCGCAATGGTCCGAGTGTCGCCTTCAATCGGTATGAGCTATCAATCCTCTGAAAGCGTCTCCAGACACGGAGTATTGCCGTGACGACATTGGTACATGGCGCGGAACACAAGCCAAGAACACATGAGCTACTCCATCAATCAAGCCACTCCGCATCCCAAGCACGGCCGAACAGCTCGTCGTATACACTATTCTCCATACGAGCAGACAGCCCCTCGCCATCCCTCCTCCGACGCGTATAGCCGCCTGGCCGTCTAGAAGCGCGTCAACCGTGACTGACCTGCGCGCACCAACGAGTGGCAGTAGCACCAACCATAACCAAGGTGTTTGAGTTTATCAAAATGAGAACGTAATTCTGTTCAGGTCAGCAGTAAGCACTGGTGAGCTCTCCGTTTTTTGGCACGGTGCACAACTTCGACTCATAAGGACGGCGGCCATGCCATACAGATGCCGACAGCGGGCTCTGGCGTGATACGTTCAAGCCCGTTGGTGGCAGTGATCGCAACATCCTGGTGAGCAACCGTGACTCAAATACTCTGGGGAATTGGGGCTGGATGGGTCGTATCCGACTCTGAACAAGTGAAGATGTGGCAGTGATGACGCACTGGCATTCACCAGTTCAAGGTGCTACGACTTGAACGTGAGCTCGAGCCCTGTGTGCGCTGACTGCCCTGGCAACGTGTGTGCATGGACATTGGTTATCAGCGCTGAGTAAGTACTGTATCCTTTGCATCACAGCTCTGACCACAAATTTCCCGGAGTCGCCAGCGGCATCGTGAGTAAGTAACTCCGATTGACACTGGGGACCTGCAGACGCGGCACCGCAACCGCACTGTCGTCTTATCTTCGCTTCGGAGCGAACATGCATCCCTCCATAACGCTTTCGGTGAAAATCAGTCAGACATCGACCAAAATGCTTGCGACAGCCACAGATTTACACTTGAGGGTGATCATTAGGCAAGGTCAGTACGTCTAGTCGCCAATACGCCAAGCTACAATATTCACCATCTACGTATTCTCGCGGACGTTCAGGATGTCTGGGTTCTGCGGGCACAGCTGGTTACACGTCGTAGTCGCGATTCAGCTTCGCAGTTGGAAACCAACGACGAGCGGTAACTTGTGATCAACGATCATCACCTCCACTGACTCATTGTCTGGAGGCTCCGACATTCTCTGACGTACCAGTGATTCACTATAGTATACCGGTGTTCGATCTAAGAGCTCAAGGCTGATAGAAACATAGACCAACGAAAGCTCCTGTCCGAACTTGAACAAGATGACTTCCGTTTCAACAGCATACATAGGAAGGGGCGGTCCGACTTATGAAACTTGTCATTCAATCGGCGCCCTGATAGCTGTGTCTGCTAACCTGTTGAATGTGTGCAGGACGCGGGAAACCGATGCCCCAACAGGTATACGGGAAGATCCCCCGCACAGCATTGAACCACACAGTGCACCTCGTTGAGCGCGATCGCTGCTATATGAACACGAGTGATTGTCTCCTCGGATCCGCAGGCATTATCCTACCATCGCAGCCATCGGCAACAACACCACCGAACTGGACGCAAATCGTCTGTACCACCTCCGACAAAGTGGCCTCGAAGCTTGCCACCGGCGCATCAACTATTGCGAATCAGTGCACACCCTCTGAGCACTATTCTTAGTAGCAGTACGTCCCGTCAGAATGTGCGATATTACTTGGTGATGGTGCTCACTGTCGACGCCTGTTAACCGCCAGCTGATACCTACAGCTCGATAAATACGGCACCACAGGAATACCAACATTCGGTTGGTTGTCATCGGAGCTAGGTGCGACCCCTACCGTCTCTTCCCACTCTATCGCGCGACCTTCGAATTGAAATACTTCCCGGCTGCCTGGAAGGAAGCGAAGACAGTGGTCCTTCGCAAACCTGGTCGAGATGACTACCAACTCCCAGGATCCTACCGCCCTATAGCCCTCATGAACTGCATGGGGAAGATCTTATCTGCGTGTGTCATCGAGTCCCTGAAGTTCGAACTCGAGACGAGATCCCTACTCCCTAATACCCACTTTGGTGGCCGTCCCGGCCGCAGCGCCACCGATGCGATCATGCTCCTAGTCACCACCATCAAAGACGCATGGCGGAACGGCCTCAAAGCCTCCACCCTCTTCCTCGACGTCAAAGCTGCCTTCCCCAGCGCGAGCCCAGAACAACTGTTTCACGATATGCGTGACTTGGGAATCCCAGACGACCTCGTAGACTGGTACCGACGTAAAATGGATGGACGGACTACCGTCCTCCTCTTTGATGATTACCAGTCCAAGCCATTCATCCTCCGTAGAGGGATCAACCAAGGTGATGCCGACTCGGGTGACCTGTACAACATCTACAACTCGCCGCTCCTACGATCAGACATCAAGAGGGTCACGACCTCCGGCTTCATCGACGATGTCGCTGTCACTGCAGTAGGAAAGACCTTCCGTCGCACGCACCAGCTTCTTCGGCAATACATGGAAGACAAACGCCCTGGCCAGAGCGCACTCCACTGGTCAGCAACCCGACACTCTGCGTTCGAGATGAACAAACTCGCACTGCTCAATCATGACCCGGCAGGCGACGACGAGGGTCCCGCCCTCCGACTGTCGCAGCAGACCATCCCAGCCTCGAACTTCACCAAATACCTCGGTGTCATCGTCGACCGACAATTGCGATGGAAAGAACACACTGCCCGTGCACTCGCCAAAGGGACGACGTGGCTCAACCTCTTCAGACGCATCGCCAAACCTACCCAAGGCGTTGTTTTCCGGTACATCAAGCAACTCTACCTCTCTATCCTCGTCCCACGGATGCTCTATGCTGCGGAAATATGGCTCACTCCCACCTACGACATCCCAGGCAAATCACGCCGTCATGGCTCGGTTGGCGCAGTCCAACGCCTATCACGGGTCCAGAGACAAGCCGCGCTATTGATCACAGGTGCGATGCGAACTACGGCATCAGACGTACTCGACGCGCATGCGAACCTACTTCCCTTTGACCTTCTTGTTGACCGTGTTACGATACAGGCTGCTACTAGGTTACTTACATTACCACCTTCCCACCCACTATACGATAGAATCCAGGATGCGCGCACCCCCGTGAATCATCATAAGTCCCCCCTCCACGAGCTCACTCAAGCCCTTCGGCTCGACAGATGCCGAAATGTCGAACACATCCAGGCGACTCGGCAGCCTCCAGGCTGGATGCCGAGGCATGCAACGGAGATTGCGGACAACAAAGATGTGGCAGAAGAAGAGGACCGTACCTGGCAGGCGAAGGACATCCCGGCAGTCTACACAGACGGCTCTGAAATCGACGGCGGAGTAGGAGCCTCAGCAGTCCTCTACATCCCCAATGACCCACGACTACACATCCTCAGATACTACCTCGGGTCAGCGACACGACACACAGTGTACGAAGCCGAAATCGTCGGGATCATCATGGGAATGGAACTCCTCACACAACTCGCACACCGTCTCGTCCAAACATCCTGCGCTGCCGACAACACGCCATGCCTCCGAGCCTCGCGAACGCGCTCCCGCCAGCCCGGCCACTACCTCCTCGACGCCCTACACCAATCTATCAGTGCCTTCTATGATGCACACCCTGACGCGCGGCTCACACTTCGCTGGGTCCCAGGACACCGCGGAATTGACGGCAATGAATGCGCAGACGAGGAAGCCAAGAAAGCCGCAAGGGGCGACAGTAGCCCGCCAGGCGATCTCCCCGAGTTCCTCCGCTCCACACTCCCGTCCAGCATATCCGCGATCCGCAGACATCTCCTCGAGCAAATCAAAGCAGCCGCTGTCCAAAGATGGAAAGACTCACCTCGTTTCGAGGCCCTGGCCCGTATCGACCCCGACATGCCATCGAAAAAGTTCTCCAAACTTGTCGCACCTCTACCTCGCCGCCATGCGAGCCTCCTCATCCAGCTACGTACTGGACACGCGCCGCTCAACTACCACCTCCATCGCATTCGCCGATCCGACACCGCACGATGCCCCGCATGCCGAGCCCACCGAGAGACCGTGCGCCACTTCCTCCTTGAGTGCCCGGAATACAAGCCACAACGCGACTGGTTACGACGCGAGATTGGAAGCAAAGCCCACTCGCTCAAACACCTGCTCTCGCAGGCCGACACCATCCGCCCACTTTTCCGCTTCATACATGCCACTGGCCGCTTCGACCGCACCTTCGGAGGACTTGACCTACCAGCCGAGGAGGACGACGACTGATGACCCACTACCCCTCACACGCGCGCATCCACGATACCCCACTATGAACCATCGCAAACGAACACTATACATTGTACATGGACTATACAACAAGGACTAATCACTCTACTGTACATACATCATAGCCCCTTACGATAATCCATCCCAACTGGCAGAGTGGTCTCTACGGAGATACACCGAGCCAATGACTAGTTAGACACAATCGCTTCGAACTTAGTAGTATAGTACATGTGTATAGTTAGAGTCTACATAGGGCTTCGCCCTCAAATGACCATAAACGGGATTACCAACCAACCGTCTCTTCCATCCCTTGACAAACCACTGAAGTCGAGTGTCTCGCAGACAGGGTCTCAGGCCTGATATCTCCCCGACAGTAAGACGCGATGACGATTGACGGCGAGTGAGTGAGGTTACTATGATCACCGGAGGTCCTCCTCTCACTCAGTTGCGTCTTAGAGGCATGAGACAACTCATGACTCATGCGGGCCCATCGGACGAGACGACCTGCGCGGGAGTTTTCCGGCTGCCCTTGGAAATTTGGGAACATATCATTGACTTGATGGCGACACAAGCTACGAGATACTGGAATCTCTTGAACTCTCCTTGGTGGGCGACGTTGATATCCTGTGCGCTGACATGCAAGACCTTATACAATCGCGCGCGATGGCATCTGCGGGGCAATGTTGTCCTTTCCAACCGATGCGACGTCGTCTTGTTCCAGAGGCAGCTACGTGACAATCCGTACCTTCGACCCACAATGCGGTTCGTCACGATAGTTGGTGCGCCAGATGGGCAGTCGGCTGGACCCATCCCACACCTTGGCACATTCGCTATCATGCTTTCTCGGTACCTCACAAAGGCGGAGACCCTGGTCATCAACAATGCGAAATGGGGCGCAGGCTCTGTCCGACCGGGAGACATCGCCAATTTGGCCGCGTTCCGCTCCATTTCAGAACTAACGCTGGATCATGTCTGCTTTGCAACGGTATCACAGCTCGCGCAGCTGGTGTCTGCCTTACCAAAATTGCGAACCTTATTCTGCGACGGCCTAACCTGCAATCAGAGTTCTTCCGTCGTGATGTCACTCCCCCTGAACAGTCCGCAGCTTCGAGACATCTCTCTGTGGGGCCATATGCCTCCAGTCATCCACGACTTCATCCTCCGCATAGCCAAGCGTGCCGATCTACGCAGCTTCGCCATGGGTGTACACTTCGAGGACATATCATCGGGGAAGATCCACATGCAGGAGCTGCTCCGTGCATGCGCCCCGTCCCTCCAAGACCTCGGCCTTTCACTGAACCTCAATGGTGTAAACGACAAATCCCCGGACATAATTTGTACGTCTCATTGGCATTCATCCTACGAGCCGTTAGAAGGTGACTGACCCCCACATAGGCCAAGAGCTTGACATTAACATTCTCAAGCACTTAACTTCCTTGCGGCTCTCGTCATGGTGCTTTCTCGAAGACAACCATGCATGGGTCCCGTATATGCTGTCCTCTCTTGGGTCATCCGACATCACCAGACTCAAAATACACTTCCACATTGGCAGAAACGATCGCGACGAGCGACTGAGTGCATTATTGTATCGGTTGGAGACAGAAAACGAGCTATCGGAGATCGACAAATGCCTTTCGCAGAGCAAATTCTCAAATATCAAGCCGGACAAGCTCGAAGTGGGCCTAGCGTTTTCGACCGGAGGCTGCTCTCCTTACGAAGTGCTGAGAGTCTCTGATGACGAGTGGGCGAAACTCGTCCGAGGGAAGATGCCGCTCGCGGATACGCGTGGAATCCTAAAGTACGCCTGCTCCTGACTGTTGGAATGTTGCTCACTTGACAATACACAGGCCTACAGTCTATAAAGTCTGGTGAATCACGCGTTACCTACTATGCCTACTGTAATACGTACTGCATCAATGCATAGATACTTCGGGGAGATCATTGCAGGGCTCTTACCCCTGATCACATAGGAAACGAGCATCAATGCGAGAAGCGATGAGCCTCGCACATCTCGCATGTTCGCGGTCGGGTGGCTAGAATTGTGCAGGGAGATTTCAGGGAGATTGTTCTCGGATCGGGATGTATCGCTGGGTGGATTGTAAATAGGTACACATCCTGGACCAGCTAATATTTAGCCGCAGTTCGGGGCCGCATAGCAACATTCGTACGGGTCCATATCGCGCGTTTCAATAAAGCGCGTGCTATGGCTCATTGAAAAGGTTGATGCTGTGCTTCAACAGATTGTTTAGGATAGTGATGGTGGGTACTTACGAAATGCTGCCAAGGTGACGCTGCGAGTTGAAGACGCCCCTCACATCGACTACATCGACCGGCGTGACGCCACAAGAACTTGTTCGAGAGCAACTCGTGCCTTATCGTCCTTTCTGGTCTGCAACGGAGAGTAAGAGGAACCACACAAATTAAACGCCTCTCTAACACCGGAAGACCTACCGAGATGCACACAGTTGAGTCTCTTCTTGGTCTCTTTAGAACTCTGGGCTTCGTCGTCATGTCGTATACGGTGCATCGATTTCCATAGATACAGATGCAGGTCCTTCTGGTGCATCGCTAGACCATTGAACAGCAGAGCTCTCCCCTTGGCGAGCAGGCAGGTGGGCATAAGCAACTGTGAACCCTCCCAACGCACCCACGCCGATAGCGGTACTAACGTCTCCCGTATTCTCTCGCAACGTATTCGCAGCCGAAGGACCCTCCTCGCGATCATCCACATCCATGGCCTCGTTGGTAGGGTCGACCGCCTTCTCCTTCCCTTTGCCCTTGTCTTTCGGTCGCCGTCCTCGCCGCCGACGAGGCTGCACTTCTGCGTCCACGGTCCCGACCACTTCCTGTACGGTCTCCGGGAGCCTGTCTTTCTTACTATTCTTGCCTTTCGTCTGCGGCGTCGCCGGCACCTGCTCTGCGTCTTCGGGGAGCTCGTTCGTCTTCGCTCTCACTTCAACCTCCTTGAAGCGTATGCGTTGCTCGCTTGCGCCGACATGGACAAGAGGCTTCCTGGTGCGATCCGCATGGTCGTCTGCGAGCAGGCAGTCAGCGGTATACGTAAATGCACTGGGACCCTCGTACCCTTCGCGTCTGTGAACAGAAGCTCCGTGCCGAGCAAGCTCTGATGTTGCCCTTTGAAGACGGTCCCCGACAGTTGGAGGAACGGGGTCGGGGTGTCCAGACCCTGCGGTGCCGTACAGCTCGTGCTAGAAGCGAATGAACAGGACTCACAATGAGACGAAACGAGGAGCTGCTCGGAACCAAAGCTGGTTCGACGGCACCGAGGTCAAGAGTGACATAGATAACTTCCTCCTCGGATTCGTAGTCTTCGTCAGGTCCAAATGCATCTACTTGCTTGTATCCAGGAGCAAGAGATGCGTTGCCCATGTTCGTTAAATCAGGTATCAGTGGTGTACGACAGAACAGAGGAGGCAAGGCGTGCACGAACGGCGACGAGATGGATGTATGCGCAGAGGTCGACCCGGAACGGGCGTCAACGCGTCCCTTCGCGCATGCGCGCTTCCACCCGTGCATGTCCTTCTCCGCCACCCGCATCCTCCTCTCTGCCAAAAGCGCCTCGTCAAAGTCATGGCTCGCCCGACAGTCACACGATCCATACGTCAAGAAACGCGCCAGTAACAGTCTCTTCAACTTCCGCGCGCGGTCGGCGTTCAAGCTGCTCGAGCTCGACGAGCAATGGAAGTTCTTCAAGCCCGACGTACGCTCGGTCGTCGACCTGGGCGCCGCGCCCGGAGGCTGGAGCCAGGTCGCCGCCTCGAAACTCGGATGGATGGAGGATGACATGGACGAGGTGCCGGAGGATCCGTATGCCGACTTTGGACTCGCCGGGGGACACTCGTCCGGTGGACAGGGCTCAGCTGGTCAGGAAGCTCCGGTACGCTGTGTCTGTATTCTTAGCAGGCCGCGCAGGCTGACACGCAAACGCCAGTCCCACAGCGGAAGAGGCACAATAGTTGCCATGGACCTCCTGGACATGCTTCCCGTCCCCGGCGTGCAGACGCTCAAGATGGACTTCCTATCCCCACGGGCAGACGCGGCCATCCACGCGCTCCTCAAGGACGAGCAAAATCCAGAAGGCAAGGCCGATATCATCCTCTCCGACATGGCAGCCAACATGACTGGGAACAAGACCGCGGACATCGAGTCCGGACTGGACATCGCCAACGCGGTGATTACCTTCGCGAGGAAGCATCTCAGAACTGTGGAGAGCGTGGGTCGACGGAAGGCGGGCGTCCTCGTGTGAGCTCTCTGTCCTCACAGCGGGACGTACAGTTGCGCTCACACCGGGGCAGTATCAAGTACTTTCAACATCCGCTGACCAACAGCTTTCGTCTGGAGGAACTGAAGCCGTACTTCACCGACATCCACAACAGCAAACCGAAAGCCAGTAGGGGCAATTCAAGTGAGGGTTACTGGGTATGTATGGGCTTCAAGGGCGACGATGCTAGACATCGACACAATGGCTATCTCGGTGAGAAGGGAGGTTGACCCAAGGATGAGATAAATGCCAACACAACGCAACGAGATACATACATAGATGTCTCGCTGCGCCTTCCAGGTGCTTGGGTTGCGCAAGGGATGATCAAGCTTGGTTCTCCGCACCGTCCTCAAGCGGGTGACAAGAGTCGTCGGAGGCGTCTTATTCGTGATCACAAACCTTACAAGCTCACAGGGAACATGCGGTGTTTACTTTGCTCACCAACATGGCCTTATCGAGGCAGATTCAACCATGACTACATACGTCCTCATTATCACATCTCCATACATTCTCGACCAGGTGTACTGTACATACAAGACATAACGAGGCGAGGCGGACAATACAAAGCGAAACGATACGTGGCATATATGCTGTCAGACGGAGCGAACTGTGAGGGAGGCCACATGAATATCCTCTTCGCACAACGAGGACTCTAGTGAAGCAGCTCACCGGAACGGCCACAAAGGACTTAAGCACCGAAACCATAGAGGGTACGGCCAGAGCGCTTGAGCGCGTAGACGACGTCGAGCGCCGTGACGGTCTTCCTCTTGGCGTGCTCAGTGTACGTAACCTGCAAGAAAGAACAAACGGCTCAGGAGATGACAAAGACGACGGGCCCGCAGCAACACACCGAGTCACGGATAACCTGGAATGCGCGAGTCAACAAGGGGGCCGAACAGACGGACGGAAGATGAGCACGTACGTTCTCGAGGAAGATCTTGAGGACACCACGGGTCTCCTCGTAGATCAGGCCAGAGATACGCTTGACACCGCCACGACGCGCGAGACGACGGATAGCCTACACCACCAACAAACAACTCAGCATCCAGGCCACCTTTGACGAGGTGTGCGAGCACGACTCACCGGCTTGGTGATACCCTGGATGTTATCGCGCAGAATCTTGCGGTGACGCTTCGCACCACCCCTAAGCACGACCGACCGTCAGTCAGGCCACAGCCACTCGACGCCCCAAGCCCTACGCGCGCGAACACTCACTTTCCGAGACCCTTCCCGCCCTTTCCGCGTCCAGACATGGTTGATAGTGTGAGGGGTTGTGTAGAGAGTGAGGGGCGAGGTGGTATGGGTCGAGTCCGACGACGGTGGACGAAAGGAGATGGGAGTCCGCAACGAACCGGGGCCGTCGAGGCGCGTCATCTAGAGACACGTACGGCACGTGACAATGCGTACGTTCCCACGTTCGATAGGTGTCGCTGGACTCGAATTTCTGTGCAGGCTTCCAACGATCCACTGGCAAGTTGCATGGTGCCTATGTACATAGGTGTACGGCGCTCTTCAAATTTCTTGGTGCTTTGAGCCAGGCCTTGGCTCGAACGTTGGGTGATATCCGCTAGTGAGCATACATACATATCAAGTAACCACTGCGGTGGCCGTTCATGCGACCAGAGGTACATACGCCAAGCAACCCCGTTCAAGCTCAATCCACTCACTCAATCACAGCCCTGCCCAATTGTGGGAGACAAGCTGCTTGCGCCGAGATCTATGCGATACTAAGCGTCCTACGATCTGTCGATGAATCTCAGTGTGAGTCAATCTGGAAGCACACTACTATTCGAAGTAACAGCTATACTGGCGAGGGTTGCTTCTCAAGGTGCGCCTCCACCCCGGGCCTTGCATCTCATCACCATCAGGCCCATCAAGCGAATTTCTCGGCCAATGATCGCACATACTCCTCCATCCCCACTCGGCGAGAGGATCCCCGACACTGTGATGACATCCGACGATTTCTACGTGTAGAAGAACAGCTCGGTCAATTGCCACCAGCTCGTCGACCATGCGGTTTCGCTCACAGCGGCATACCAATGACCCCAGTGTGGCAGGCTCTGCTGTTCACGGAGTGTTCACGGCGACTCCGATACGTTAAATATGTCTATCGAGCAGGGTTGAAAGCTGCGCGCTTCATCGATACCACAGTTGTCAACGGCTATGAGTATTTGGCCGCGTGGAGCAGCAGCATTCGGATGTACAGTATACTCTTGTGTCGCCGCGCAAGCTTGCAAGCTGGAGCCCAACAACTCATCGCCCGCATGCAGTACTTCCGCGAGCCTGCCTCCGGGGAGTGTGACGCTGTGTAAATTATGTGGATCTGATGCCCCATTAGAAGCATGTGGCGCACGAGTCAGAGCCAGCTAGCGTCGTATCAGCTTATGAGTGGGATCGCTCCAGCTGGTGTTCGGCGACTGAGCTTAGAAAGGGTCGAAACGTTCATTGTACAGTCTTCTTCAGTTGCGTCCGTTAGCGCTCGAGCTGCGAACAGTGAATTCATGTCGGTGGATTACCAAAAGAAATAAGGCCGTGCGGACCCGCCGCGGAAGTTGTTGGGTATTGTTCGTACTCGCTTCGGTTGCAACAACTTGAATATTGTCGCGTCGTCTCGCGCAGTCACGTAAAAGGCAAATGCCGTAGCCGACCACATGGCTACCAGTCGGTCGAAAACATAGACGCCCACTTCTCACTCCGGCTCGCCCACTTGCCTGCACTCGCGTTACGGAAGCCTTCGCCGTGCGATCTCGTGCGACGCCTCTCCACGGCTTTTCTGGTCGCAGAAGAACATCGTCCTCGGCGTGCTTTACTTAGTAGGGTTTCGGCTATGCCCGGCGGTCCCGGGGCCAGTTAATCTGCCAGTGTTCAACAACCCAATCCAATTGTCTGCTTATGTCGCGATCTGTGTCTCCTCCCGTCGCTGGTACGACGGCGTCTCGGTCTCTGGAACTGAAATACGCTGCTGAAATTCGTTGCTGAAATTTCCTGAGGCTAAATATTGCCGTTGTCGCTACCCTGCAGAGCCTATTCGGACAGCGGACGGATCCGAGGCGATGTTAACCCTCTTCAAGTTGCACCACTCCGCCCTTCCGCCAACAGATCTGACATGATCAGTGTTTCGTCTGCTTCAGGAAACATGAGGACGATGCCGGCAGCCTAGACCTCCTGGCTCTACGGACGTCATCGATACAGGGAAGCCTCTACACTACTCCATTTGTCGCGGCATCCTGACCGACATCGTCTGTTCAGGGTTCGACTCGCTCGCGCGGCTCTGTGGAGGGTCACGCGGCCCGTGCTTCTCTGCCGCGGTTGGACTTCCTAATCTGTCGCCTGGCGGTCTTCGTGTCTGGAACGCCGCCTCCTGCAGCTCAGTTGGAGGCACCGATCACCGTGCCGCAAGTTGCGCTCCTGCTCTCTCGTAATCCCCTTCCATGCATCATTCGTCCCTGGGCATCTTCAAGGTACGTCATTCTAGAGCCACTTCTGCATGAGACTGTGCCAGGCGCGGTCTGAACCCAACGCAGCAATGTGGTGCGTGCGAGGAGCGGTCACGGCAGTTCTCAGAGGATGGCAATCTTGCAGCTTGAATGGGACTCTCGGAAAGGTCAAGCACCGGCCGGCAAGTTCGGGGAGGTGTGCCCAAGTGGAGAAATGTTGGAGAAGACATGCAGCGAAGACGCGGTGTTTATGTGGCGGGGCGTGTGATCCCGCTGCGATCGCTCCCAGGCGCGCCGAGCTGGAGTCGTTTGCTCTCGTTGGCTTCTCCCAGGCTTCTCCCGATGCGGTTGTGTCGATGATCGACATCTGATTCGAGACGGGAGCTCCGGAGACGGTCTCCTTATCGAGGCCCGACGCCCGTTCGAGGCTCGACGACGCGGCGACTTCCCGCGGGCGCGGCGGTGATCGCGCTATGTCTGCCTCCGCGACAGTTGCAGTGGCGATGGCTACGCGGTCTCCAAGGTACCAGGGGCGCGTCAACGGGCGTACCGGCGTGCAGAGATCCAGTGGACGCCCCCAATCGGGCAGCGGCAGGCAGCTTGGAATGGAAGGCGGGGACAGGCGGAGGCGCTTCGGTGGCCACTGGTCGTATGTCAGGCGCGGGGCTACGATATTAATGAACTTGGCGCACATCCTTGCTGGATCTGTACGGCTTCTCCACTGACTTTACGACCACGCGCCACCACTTCGCGTTCCCTGCACCCCCATCATCCGGCCCGTTCAAAAGCCATGCGCCAGCCCCTCCCGCAGGACACGCACGAGCACGCACACACCCCGCCCCCGCCCCTCCACCCCATTGCGTGGACAGACTCGCGCGAATACCACGAGGACGAGCCCGGATACTTCCCCAGTGCCCCCGTGACGCCCAGCGACCCTACAGCCCCCGTCGCAACCATGCCAGAGCCCTCGCCGATCGCTGAACACCCCGAGCACGCCGACGAACCTTCTCCCGTCGACAACCTTGCTCAACAGCCTGGGCGAGCCTCGGTACCCACCATACGCCTGCCAAAGCGCGACAGCACGCTGCCGCCTCTCCCATCGCCCAGCGAAACAGCGACCGTCCCATCGACTATTCGCGACCCCTCCGCCCCCGCCACTCCTTCCACAGTTGCCCGGGGACCGATCTTCGCGCCCACCCCAGCTAGACCACGGTCTGCGATGCCCGCCGTGTCCGCGTCCGTCACGCCTGTTGCAGGCCCGTCGCAGCGTCAAGGACAAGGGACCTCTTCCGACGAGTCGCCGACGGAAGACCACGTCCTCCTCCAGCGCCCCGCCGCTCAGCCTGGCGATCGTCCTCGCGTCAACCACCGTCGCGCGGTGAGCGCTAGTCACGCGGCGCACCTCTCTGACGGCGGCCTCGCATACCCCGCGCTCAGCTACAATGGATCGAGGCATAAGAGACACGACAGGCCGGACAGACCGTCATCGGCTGCCTTGGTGGGCGTAGGCCCGGGCCCGTACCCGGGATTGTCGCGACGGTCGACGCTAGACTACGTTGTTCCTACAATGGATCCGGAGAAGAGGGGCTCGATGGTCCTGTCGGACACGTCGGTGAGTGAAGATGGGGTACCCCGTTGATGAGGCGCGGCTGACGAGGCATGCTGGGTGAATGCAGGCGCGAGAGAGAACCGTGGGCGAGCGTCTAGGGCCTACCCTCAAGCATGCGTTGAAGGAACGCACTATCGCAGAGAGAAAAGGTGACGTAACCTCTGCCGCCTCACGCACGCGCGCCGGTGCTGACATACAGAACCGTTTATCACTTGGACAGCCAAAATATCGGGCTACGCACTGAATGTCTGCATCGGCCTCCAAGTCGTCCTCGGCGCGATCACGACAGGCGTTGCCGCCGCCTCCACCACTTCCCGTACTTCCGTAAGCTTCCGTTCTCTTCTTCCTTGTCAACGAGTGACCTAAGCCTTACCTCCCAGACATCCGTCGGCATACCAATCCTCGGCGGCCTCTCGACACTCGCCGCCTCGTATCTCGCGCGCGCCCGAGGGTCCGGCGAGCCGGAGAACAGCATCGTGCGCGCGCACGACCTGGATCACTTCGTCGCGACACGGAAGCGTTCCTGCTCGATTTCGGGCATCTTACCGGCACGCAGTACGACAGGGATGTGCAGCAGTACCGCATGCGGTTCGAGGAGATCATGGGACACTCGGTCGGGATGAACAACACGCAGACGAAGGAGCAGCTCCATATGGGGGACCCGCCAACGGCTGGGCGAGCGCGAGTGCGGATGGACGCCCGCCGGTGAGCCCCATGTCGGCGGGCCAGATGGGGCATGCGGGCCAGGTGAGCCCGATGGCGCAAGTGGGCCCGATGGCACAAGTAAGCCCGATGGCGCAAGTGAACCAAATCCCACCTGGCCATATGGGTCAGGCCGGGCACACTGGGCCTGTCTATGCGGGACAGATGCCAGGGGGCCAGCCAGCGCCGATGGGCTACCCGGGCTACATGCAGGGGACCGGGCAGATGTTGCCTATGCCCGTGACGATGCCGAACGTAGGACACTAGGAGGACGACTCGACCGCACCACGATTTCCATGCACACGTCACATATGCTTGCACGCACACGTTCATCACCGACAGGTCTTCCATACGCACGGGCTCGACGCATACACGAAACGCAATATATAGATCGCATGACACGCACGATTCGGCATAGGGTTCAAGTTTTTCGGTTGGTTCTGGGTTATGTCCGGCTCAATGTTTTCTTCTGCTCACTTCGATTTCGCTGTTGTTGTAGCCTGTTTCTGCTTCTATTCTTCGGGCCATTACGATACTCATGCTGTACATAGGATACGACCTCATGCTTATGTTATTCCTAATGTTGCATTTACCGTCTCACTGTCAGCGCGTGCACGACGTCGCTGTAAACTCTGTTCCGTTCTCATCATCCCCCGAGTGAGATCGGCCTTGCTGTCGCCTTGCGGTTGGGCGCCAGTAGGGCGCCTCGGGAATAGGGCGGTCAGTAGCCTGCAGGCAACCCGCGATCGTCGAATTTGACAACGCCGCGCGTCAGGGCGTCCGACTCAGTCTGCGCCTGCGTTCGATCGCGACAGGAGCTCGGAGGCCTGCAAGCGTTGAACCGAGTGCCGGTGCCGGTGCCTGGTATGGGTGTGTATCACAAACGAGGTGTCAATTAGTGAGTAACGGTACAAGCAGCCGGTCCAGTGGAACGCATATCACAGTATGTACATATCATCGTCCGGCGACTCGGGATAGGCCCTGTCCATCGCTACAGTGTGTTGGAAGTGCGTGTCGTGCAAGAGCCATTACTCGATGAGGTGCAGGTGGAACTCGTTCTTGGGGAAACTATCCCGATACCAGCGTGGCCGGCAGCCGAACAGCTGTTTGAGCCATTTGTATTGCGCCTTGGTCGGCCGCCTCTTGTAGAGGGGGAGTCTGGCTGTGAAGCAGATGGAGACGAGTGTGATCCGCGGGACCTCATCCTTGCCCGTCAGCGGCGGGATCGGCGCGTCGTCGGGCAGGACGGTGCAGAGCTGGATGGGGCGGAAGCGGGAGCACCACTCGAGGACCTCTAGGACGCGGATCAAGTAGGGGAGCTCCGCGACCTCGGGGGGAGTGTTCTCTTCTACGTACGTTTGAGGCGTGGATGGTTGGTGTCCCACCCGAGGACCCAATACCGGTCGTTCTCGTACCAGTCGGAGGGCAACTTGGGATAGAGGACTTCGGGATGCGCCGCGCGCGTAGGTGTCTGCTCTACTGTGCTTGAGGATGAGATGGCCGCTGGTGGGTCGGGTTCCTGATGGTTCTCAGTGGCTCCCGGGTGTATGAAGCGGAACATGAGAAAACGCACATCCAGACTTGAGGTTCTCATAGAGCCTTCGATGCTTTGTCGTCGAGGCCGTGTCGTGGAGGTATCTAGATGGTATAGGCTATTAGCTTGTCGAACCATCGTCACCATATTCGAGACACAGCGGACCGTGGGCACGAGTATGATTAGATGAGGACTGCGAAGAGCGAGATGGAGGCATAGTGAAGGTACTAAGGGGACTAAGTTGTCAAAATTGTCCTTCTGCACTCGAGATATACGACTTGTGGGTAGATTATGCGGTCAAACACACTGAAGACCTCGAGAGGGACACGACGGTGACGACGAAGACGAACTGCACTCGGGAGCCTCGCGTCCTGTCACGATCACGTGGGACGTGACATGCCTGAGGGCCGATGCGCGCATGTCGGCAGGTCTGCAAGCGTCGAACCGAGTACGGATACCAGTGCCTAGGATTCCAGGCAAGATCATTTGGAGCACACAGAAGTTGAAATCATTGTCTACTCTGCCCATGGGAGACTACAATCCACCGCGAAGTGATCGTGTTGGGTCTGCCTCGAACTGACAGGACCGGGTCTACATAATGCCTAAGAGCGACAGTTCTAGATGATCATCTCATTGTCACTTCGCACGATGAATACGACGTCCGTCTCGGGGGTACCCACTAATTCACCGTTCAGTGAAAGTGGTAATTACACAGTATGCGCAGCCTCTGAGTAGTCAGTACTTGAGTTACAATACATTTTGTCCAACCCGTCGAAGGTCCGCGAAACACACCCTCTACAATGGATCACGATCAGGATTAGTCTCTACAGAGACGCTACTCGATGAGATGTAGGTGGAACTCATTCTTGGGAAGGCTATCCCGATACCAGCGTGGCCGGCAACCGAACAGTTGTTTGAGCCATTTGTATTGCTCCTTGGTCGGCCGCCTCTTGTAAAGGGGTAGTCTGGCCGTGAAGCAGATAGAGACGAGCATAATCCGCGGGACCTCGTCTTTGCCCGTCAACGGCGGGATCGGCGCGTCATCGGGCAGGACGGTGCAGAGCTGGATTGGGCGAAAGCGGGTGCACCACTCAAGGAGATCCAGGGCGCGAATGTAGTAGGAGATATCCTCGGCCTCTGGAGGAGTGTTCTTCTCTACGAATGCTTTGAGGCGTGGATGGTTGGCGTCCCACCCGAGGACCCAATACCGGTCGTTCTCGTACCAGTCGGAGGGCAGCTTGGGATAGAGGACTTCGGGATGCGCGGCGCGCGTAGGTGTCTGCTCTACTGTGCTTGAAGATGAGGTGACCGCCGGTGGCTCGGGTTCCTGATGGTTCTCAGTGGCTCCCGGGTGGTATGAGGCGGAACATGAGAAAACGCACATCCAGACTTGAGGTTCTCATAGAGCCTTCGATACTTTGTCGTCGAGGCGGTGTCGTGGAAGCACCTAGATAGTATGGGCTATCAGCCCGTCAAAACATCGTCACCATATTCAGGACACGGCAGACCATGGGCACGAGTATGAACGGATGAGGTTTGCGAAGAGCGAGATGGAGGCATAGTGAAGGTACTAAGAGGACCGAGTTGTCAAGATTGACCTTCTGCACTCGAGATCCACGACTTGTGCATAGATTGTGCGGTCAAAAAGCAACGCTGAAGACACTCGAGAGGCACACGACGATCGGTGACGATTCGCACTCAAACTCGGAAGGCGCGAGGTGCCTCGTGTCCTGTCACGATCACGTGGGACGTGACACGTCTGGGGACTGATGCGCGCATGTCGAAGTGCAGGTCCGATGCAAGCGTCGAACCGAGTACGGATACCAGTGCCTGATGTGTCAAATACTCACCACGGTTGACCCGGATCAATTGAAGGACCTCGACGGATGCCAGTGTATGAGGACGTGATGATGTTAGTTAGTGAATGATAGTCGTACAAGCAGTCGGTCCAGTGGTATGCAATTGCAGTATGTGTTACATGTTACCATCCAGTGACTTGCAGTCTATCGCTGCGGTGTATTGGAAGTGCGGGACGTGTGAGAGCCATTACTCGATGAGATGCAGGTGGAACTCGTTCTTGGGGAAGCTATCCCGATACCAACGCGGCCGGCATCCGAACAGCTGTTTGAGCCATTTATATTGCTCCTTGCTCGGCCGCCTTTTGTAGAGGTGGAGTCTGGCCGTGAAGCAGATGGCGACGAGCATGATCCGCGGGACCTCATCCTTGCCCGTCAGCGGTGGGATCGGTGCGTCGTCTGGCAAGACAGTGCAGAGCTGGATAGGGCGAAAGTGTGTGCTCCACTCGAGGAGATCCAAGACGCGGATGTAGTAGGGGATGTCCTCGGCGATATCTGGAGGACTGTTGTCCTCCACGTACGCCTTAAGGCGTGGATGGTTGGCGTCCCATCCAAGGACCCAATACCGGTCGTTCTCGTACCAGTCGGAAGGTAACTTGGGATACAAAACTCCCAGATCCACGGCAAGCGGCCGCTCCTTCGCCTTCGGTGTCGAGTCCTCATCTTCCTGCGCGAGCGCGAAGTGGCAGTCGTGTCAATGTAGTCTCAGGACGTCGGTAGCAAAAACAGACGTACATTTAAAGTCATGTCTCTCATGGACGTTGTCAGACAGCGTTGGGGTGGCATGTTAACGCGTTGTCTGGGACTCTGGGTGTTCAAGTAATTGGCATTGGACCCTATATTGATACACCGAGTGCGTATCTTGCACTGAAACACAGCACTATGGAGGATTGTGAGGGTTGGCGTTGAGATCTTAGGAGATTGAGACGACAGGATGTAAGTTACTAACCTCAGGCCTCAACAGAATGGGATATGGGTACTACCAGGGTAGCATGTACATTGTCTCCGTTGTTGACCAAAAAGAGTCACGTGCTCTTGCCACAGTGCGCCGCGGCGAAGTGATCGTGTTGGGTCTGCCTCGAACTGAAAGGACCGGGTCCAATATCTAAGAGCGACGAGTTTTAGATGATCCATTCGTTATCACTTCGCATGATGAATACGAACTCCGTCTCGGGGGTACCCGCTAAGTCAACGTTCAGCGGAAGTGGTATATTACACAGTAGGCGTAGTACTTGAGTTACAATACATTGTCCAGCCCATCGAAGGTCCATGAAACACAGTCTCCTCTACAATGAATAACACGCGCGATTGTGCTCAGGCCTGGTCTCTGCAGAAACGCTACTCGATGAGATGTAGGTGGAACTCATTCTTGGGGAGGCTATCACGATACCAGCGTGGTCGGCGGCCGAACAGCTTTTTGAGCCATTTGTATTGCTCCTTGCTCGGCCGCTTCTTGTAGAGGTGGAGTCTGGCCGTGAAGCAGATGGAGACGAGCATGATCCGCGGGACGTCGTCTTTTCCCGTCAACGGTGGGATCGGCGCATCGTCGGGCAGGACGGTGCAGAGCTGGATTGGGCGAAGCCGTGTGTACCACTCGAGGAGATCCAGGGCGCGCATGTAGTAGGGGATGTCCTCGACGACATCGGGAGGGCTGTTCTTCTCTACAAACGCTTTGAGGCGTGGATGGTTGATATCCCACCCGAGGACCCAATACCGGTCGTTCTCGTACCAGCCGGAAGGTAACTTGGGATACAGAACTCCCAGGTCCACGGCAGGCGGCCGTTCCTTCGCTTTGGGTGTCACCTCCTTGTCTTCCTGCGATGCGAAATAGCAGTCATGTCAGACTAACCTCGCATCATAAGCCACAACCGCGAGGGACGTACATTCAAGGTCATCTCTCGCATAGACGTCGTCAGACTGCGTTGAGGTGGCATATTATCTGAATGTTCCAGTGATTGGCACTCGGCTTAATCTCAGTATACCAAGTGCGTACCTTGCGCTGAAGCACTACAGAAGATCGCGAGGGTTAAGACATGGAATCGAACATGGGTGGCGTTCAATGCGCACTTGTGACTTCATCAAGAATGAACCATTGAGAGTAGGCCAACGCGCCCTGTCACGATCACGTGAGACGTGACGAGTGAGTCCGACTTCGGGATGGCACATTCAATGAGCACCGTGAGTACGGGAGTGAGAGATTCGCCATATTGATTGGGTCAATGTCTCCATACATCACCCCGAAGAAAGTGACCCAACAGTGATAGTTGTACCCTGGGCCATTATTCAACTTTACTAGGAATCAATGGACTAAGCAGTGATATGCTTAGACGGCGTGTCCCGCCAAGGTTCTGGTTCTAAGTCACGCCAGTGAACATAATAATATTCCCTGGGAAAAGCATCCCTGTAGCACCACTGAGGACGACAACGGAAGACCTACTGGAGCCAAAGGCGCCGCCCTCCCTTCTGTCATAGGTGCGTTTATCCGCCGTGAAAGCGATGGCAATGAGGGACTCTCGGACCGTGGGGGGTATCCCATGGCTCTGGGGCCGCAGCATCTTGAGGAAGAACCGTGGTGCACAAGCGGATGTGCCGTCAGCCACAGTTGGCCTCTAGGATGTCGAATGTACGGATAAGGTGCCATACATCCTTCTCATCCTCCCGAGTGCGCCTTCTGACGTATTCTTGTAGCCGCGGGTAAGAGACGTCCCAACCGAGCACGAATCGACAGTCCCGTTGAGACCAGTCAGCCTGGAGGCAGCTTGGGTCAGCGGACAGGCTTCGGCTGCCGCTGATTGCTTCGTTCGGGAACGACCACCTGTGAGTTGGTTGTCCTAGAAGGTTTGTCAGCGTTCAAATTGATACGCCGTCCATATTTTGAGCTAGATCCACCTCCACAGTGAGACTGACTGGGGAGTCGTGGTGCGCTTTGGCTGCAGCGACCGCGACACCATATTGTTAAAGGAGCTATATGTAAAATTACCCGCGAGGGTCAGCATAAGCATGCACGTCTATATCCAACGGCTCACCTTATGGGTGGGAGGGACAGGTTGTGCGCGACATGAACACTACGTAGATGTGGTCATAGACCGGTTGTACAAGCGTGACGGGTGCCATCTTGCTACGCGCGCATAGTTGAACTTGTACGATGACAGGATGATCCACCAAGCTCACCACCTCCTCGGTGACATGTACCATCGGTCTCCTGGTCCAACGTCCTACTTGCGCCGCGTAGGAGATCAACTATCACCATGCGGTAGCGGGGAGAGCTAAAATAGTGACAACGCCACGATACCGTGCAAGGAGAGCATTTGGTGCTGTGTATGAAGCATGTGTCTATTACATGCTAATTAACCGTAGGAGGGATATCGTATCGTATACAGGTCGAGTACTCCGTCGTCACAATAGGCAAGGTTCATGCCACCTTCGTCTTGCTGCCGTACTTGTACGACTCAGCGACAGCCTCGGCCTTGACGCCCTCCTCCTCAACCTCCGCCATCATCTGCTTCTCCATGGCAGCGAGCTCCTCGCTTGTCATGTTCCGCTTTTTCATGTCCTTGACGCGCGAGCGGTATTGGCGGTACTTGTCGTCAGTCCCGAAGAGGCGGTCGCACCAGCGGAAGGAGGTGGAGAAGTTGTTGACGAATGCCATGTGGTGGAAGTCGTGGTGCTCAGCGCCGGACCAGAAGGGAACGATATGCTGCAGCGACCAGGGGAAGTCTATAAATGCAAACGTATTAGCCAAAAGCCAGCAGTGCTACTAGCAGCGGTACATACCGTAGCCGCTGTGCGCGTCGACGGCCTGGAACAGACGGAGAGTGATCCAGATGTACATCGTCACGATGTGCAGATCGCGACAGAAGTAGCAGTAGAGAAGGGGACCGGCAATCGTGCCAGTACCGAGGATCATAACCTCAGCCGGATGAGCGTACTCCGCAGCGAGGCCGAACGGGGCAGAGTACTTGTGGTGGATTTTGTGGATGTGCTTGTAGAGCGGGCCCCAGTGCAGTGCTTGGTGAGCTAAGGGGTCGTGAGCACACGAGCGCTCGCGCAGGAAAGCGAACTCACCGAAGTAGTGGAATATGTCCTCGAAGACGAAGAACAATGCAATCTGGGGAGCCATAATCTTCCACGACGGGAACGGAACCTGCCATGTCGACATGTTGAACATCTCCGCCATGGGGTGGAAGAACCAGATCTGCGTAAAACCCGGTTAACATAGGCATCCCGGATAGTCCAACGTAGTACACACCATAGGTAGCTCAATCGTGAAGTGCGAATAGAGGACCTGCTTGGTGCATTCCCACTGCTCCTGGGACGAGGGAATCTTGTTGGCCTGAAGCTTCCACTTGCGGAAGTACGGCATCGAGTCGATGATGATCCATGGGATGCAACGACCAAAGTACACGATCTAAGGAAGCGTCAACGAGGCATTCAGATAAGAGGGCTCTGTTGCGCACCTCGTGAAGAAGGAAGCTCATGAGACCAGTCGCAATGATGGGGTTACCGAGCCAGATGTACCACGCCGCCCATTGCACCTCGAACCAATTAAGCTTGCTGAAGTCGGTGTTGGCGTACAGCACCTCGGCCAACTCGTAGGCGGGGGCAGTAGAGTTCATGGCGGAGACTTTGGAAACGAAAAGACAGACGACCCAAGCACCCGCTGCAGCACCCGTCAGTGGGAAGAGACCAGGACTGGGGAATGTCCGCCGTCGCTATGTGCGTAGATATATTCTCGCCGTGGGAGCAGCACGAGTGGTACGACAGAGGAATTATGGCACGTGAGCCTCGCGTAAACAGTGCTCTCGACTTTTCGGGCCTTCGGTGCTGTGACCACCTGTGACGGACTCATCAGTGTCGTCACACAGCGGGTGACAGCGCCACCGATCTCAGCCACCTTCAGCCACTGCACGGTACACGTGACCTTCAGTATGTAGTGGAGGAAAAATCGTCATTTTTCCTCTTCCTCTTCCTCTTCACCCGACCCAACTTCTCTGGGCGAGCGAAGAGGAAGACGACCGCCCGTTTCACGCACAATCATGGCCCTTTCTAATCCCACTACCAAAATCGGCGTCGCTCGACCTGTCCTCGCTCGTTCAGCCAGCAACTACCCCAACGGTCTCCCCGCACCGCCCATTATTCCTTCGCAAAACGATCAGGCCACTTCAGAGGCTGTTCTCGAGCTCGCGGATGGAACCGCTTTCCGCGGCATCAGCTTCGGCGCGGAGGGCAAGAGCGTGGCTGGAGAATGCGTGTTCCAGACCGGTGAGTCCAAAGACGATCGTCTGGCCTCTCGTCCTTCACCAGCCCGCGCGTCGTCGTGATGCGCTCGTGGTTTATGTCGCGATGCCATCTTCGCAACAAGGGGCTGTACAAGCGCTTTTCGTGCACTTAGACGCGTCAATACCCTTTGACATGCGGAACCCGATGCGTGCATGTCCCCTCGAACGCGTCCCCACCACCGGTAGACGGGTCGCGCACGGCGCGCAAAACGCGATCTACTGGCGTTACGCGAGTAATAGATCCAGATAGCAGCTGCTGATTTGTCGAGCGGCGCGTCGAACCCAGAAATTCACTAGATCTGGACGCGCGCCATCCCGACCAGGCCAGAGCCCGCCGTCCTGCCGAGAATGGGAACTAGGCCACCTGGACCCATGGAGGCTACAGAGCGAAATACGATCTCGATGTCGTATGACCCCATGCTCTGTGGCATGGGTCGGGCATGGGTCTTGTATCTGCCAACGTGGAGTAAAATGGCGAACCTCTCACGGGCCGTGTATGTTTTGAAGAGTCACGCGGGAGCAATGAATCTTCGAGCCTTCAGTTGTGTCGCGATAACCGTCACATCGGTTGTGGCTACCAGGCTTTGATGCCCTTCGGGCATAAGTCGCGGCGACACACAGTTTCCTCGTCCATGGCGCACTGCCACCCATCGAGCTGCTGTACGCCTCGCACCTTTCTGAGAACGATTGAACCGCGTACTATCGCTCGCTCCCCGGGATAATCTGTCTATGTCATAAATATTATTTGATGCTGACTTGGAAACGACAATCGCAGGTATGGTGGGATATACCGAGTCCCTCACGGACCCATCTTATGAAGGCCAGATCCTCATCCTCACCTATCCTCTCATTGGAAATTACGGTGTCCCCCCTCGCCCCAATACGGGTTCGGTCGAAGACATCCCTCTCGATTTCGAATCAGTGCGCATCCATGTTGCGGCGGTCGTGGTCGGATACTACTCGGAAGACTACAGCCACTTCCTCGCGGGCTCGTCTCTCGGTGCATGGCTCAAAGAGAGCGGTGTGCCTGCTATCTACGGGGTCGACACTCGTGCCCTCACGAAGAAAATCCGGGAGCAGGGCTCCATGCTTGGCAAGGTCCTCGCCCAGCGTGTAGAGGCAGCCACCGCCTCCAACGGACTCGTCATCCCTGGGCGCGCCCGCCTCGCTGGATCGGCGCAGGAATCGCGCGCACCGTCTCCGTCGAGCACGGGCAGCGGAAACTGGCGCGAGGAGTTCTCCGACATTCCATTCCGCGACCCGAACGGTGAAAACCTCGTTGCCGTCGTGTCAGCCACGGAGCCTCGCGTATACAAACCCGTCGTCGAGCCGCGCATGCATCCCACCCTGCCGAGGTCACTGCGTGTCATTGCCGTCGACGTCGGCATGAAGTTCAACCAGATACGCTGCTTCACGCACCGTGGGGTGGAACTGAAGGTCGTTCCGTGGGACTATGACTACTTGTCGGAGTCCGAGGAGCCATTCGACGGATTGTTCGTGTCCAACGGCCCGGGCGATCCCACTACTGTGAAACCCACCATCGCCCGATTGGCGAAGGCCATGGAGAAGGCGGACCGGCCGATCTTCGGTATATGTCTGGGCCACCAGCTGTTGGCTCTCGCTGCGGGTGCGTCAACGTCGAAAATGAAGTACGGCAACCGCGGTCAGAACATCCCTTGCACGGACGCTCTCAGCGGTAGATGCTACATCACGAGCCAGAACCACGGTTTTCAGGTGGACACGACGACGCTCCCTGAGGGATGGACAGAGCTGTTTCGCAACGCCAACGATGGCAGCAATGAGGGTATCTACTGCATAGACAAGCCGTTCTTCTCCGTGCAGTTCCACCCGGAGTCGACCCCTGGGCCCCGAGACACGGAGTTCCTATTCGATGTATTCATCCAGAACATCATCGACTGTGCGAAGACGCAGACGCTCGTTCCCATTTCTATGCCCGGTGGGAAGAAGGAGGACAACGAGAAGCGCGTCCCCCGCGCGAACGTACAAAAGGTGCTCGTCCTCGGGTCCGGCGGTCTGTCCATCGGTCAGGCGGGCGAGTTCGATTACTCCGGCTCGCAGGCCATCAAGGCCCTCAAGGAAGAGGGCATCTACACTATCCTCGTCAACCCGAACATCGCCACGATCGCTACGTCGAAGGGTCTCGCAGATAAGGTCTACTTCCTGCCGGTCACGCCCGAGTTTGTGCGCAAGATCATCAAGTACGAGAAGCCCGACGGCATCTATGTCACCTTCGGTGGGCAGACCGCACTCAACGTCGGTATCAAGCTCAAGGACGAGTTTGAGGCGCTCGGCGTCAAGGTCCTCGGCACGCCCATCGACACCATCATCACCACCGAGGATCGACAATTGTTCGCCAGTGCGATGCTCGAGATTGGGGAGCGTTGTGCCCAGTCTAACACGGCGACGACGCAGGACGAGGCTGTTGCGGCTGCCAGTGTTATCGGGTACCCGGTCATCGTGCGTGCCGCCTACGCTCTGGGTGGTCTCGGCTCCGGGTTCGCGCAGGACGAGAAGCAGCTCAAGGCGCTTTGCAGCAAGGCATTCGCGACTAGTCCTCAGGTTCTCGTCGAGAAGAGCATGAAAGGCTGGAAGGAGATTGAGTACGAAGTCGTCCGCGACTGCCGAGACAACTGCATCACGGTTTGCAATATGGAGGTATGCCGTTCGCATTTCCCATGGCAATCATGCAGCTGACTTCGATGTCAGAACTTCGACCCGCTCGGTATTCACACTGGTGATTCTATCGTCGTAGCACCCTCGCAGACCCTGTCCGACGCGGACTACAACATGCTGCGTACGACGGCGATCAATGTCATCCGGCACCTCGGCGTCGTCGGAGAGTGTAACATCCAGTATGCGTTGAACCCGATTTCGCGAGAGTACTGCATCATCGAGGCGAGTTTGCAGCAACGTGCATGTCAGACTGTGTGCTAATGCACTCTCCAGGTCAATGCCCGTCTTTCTCGTTCGTCTGCTCTTGCTTCGAAAGCTACTGGCTATCCGCTCGCCTTCATTGCAGCCAAACTTGGTCTCGGGATTCCTCTCAACGAGATCAAGAACTCAGTGACGAAGCTTACCAGCGCTTGCTTCGAGCCCAGTTTGGACTATGTTGTCGTGAAGATTCCTCGATGGGACCTGAAGAAGTTCAATCGCGTCAGCCGGCTTCTAAGCAGTAGTATGAAGAGCGTAGGCGAAGTTATGAGCATAGGTCGGACCTTCCAGGAGACTATCCAGAAGGCCATTCGTTCCATTGATGACCAGTTTAATGGGTTTTCCAAGGTCTGTCATAACGTTGGGTGTCATGAGATGTGGGCTATAACAAGCTGTTTTAGAACGACTTCGTCGAGGACATCGACGAAGAGCTGATGAACCCCACCGACAAGCGTATCTTCGCCATCGCGGCTGCCTTCCATCGTGGCTACAGCGTCGACAAGATCTGGCAAATGACGAGCATCGACAAGTGGTTCCTAACTCAGCTGCTGTCGATCTTCAAGATGGAGAATCGCATATCGTGAGTGACAGCAGCGAAAGCCGTGGCATCAACTAATAACTAATAAAATCCGTAACAGAGAGCTCACTATATCCAACATTGGTGGCGCCGTTCTTAAACAAGCTAAGCAGCTTGGCTTCTCCGACCGACAGCTAGCCATGTGCATGGGAAGCACTGAACTTGCCGTCCGCCGTCTTCGTCAAGAGACCGGCGTCATGCCTTACGTGAAGCAGATAGACACTGTCGCTGCGGAGTTCCCGGCTTACACGAACTACCTCTACACGACCTACAATGCTATCGAGCACGACGTGACATTCAACGACCGCGGTGTCATGGTCCTCGGTTCGGGTGTGTATCGTATCGGTTCCTCCGTGGAGTTCGATTGGTGTGCTGTTCGTGCTATCCGGACGCTCCGCGACAATGGACTTCCTACTGTCATGGTTAACTACAATCCGGAAACGGTCAGTACAGACTACGACGAGGCGGACCGGCTCTACTTCGAGAACATCAGCTTGGAGTCTATCCTCGATATCTACGACACCGAATCGTCTCGTGGTATCGTCCTGTCTATGGGTGGACAAACCCCGAACAACATCGCACTCCCTCTGTACAGGCAGAATGTCAAGATATACGGGACGTCGCCGGAGATGATCGACACTGCGGAGAACAGGTTCAAGTTCTCTCGTCTGCTCGATGAGATCGGTGTCGACCAGCCCTCATGGAAGGAGCTGTCGAGCTATGAAGATGCGCGGGCGTTCTGCGAGAAAGTCGGGTATCCTGTGCTGGTCCGGCCGTCATATGTCCTCTCGGGTGCCGCTATGAATGTTGTCTTCAGCGAGAACGACCTCTCCAGCTACCTGTTGCAAGCGACGGCCGTATCTCGCGATCATCCGGTTGTGATTACCAAGTACATAGAAGGCGCGAAGGAGATCGAAATGGACGCCGTGGCTAAAGACGGCAAGATGATCATGCATTATATCTCAGAACATGTCGAAAACGCAGGAGTCCACTCCGGCGATGCCACCCTCATTCACCCGCCGCAGGACTTGGATCCGGAAACAGTTCGCCAGATCGAGGAGGCGACCGCGAAGATAGGCAACGCTCTCAACGTCACCGGGCCGTTCAACATACAGTTTATCGCCAAGAACAATGAGATCAAGGTCATCGAGTGCAACCTGCGCGCTGCTCGCTCCTTCCCCTTCGTGTCCAAGGTGACTGGTGTTGACGCGATTGAGATGGCTACGAAGGCCATGTTGGACTTGCCAGTCGAGCCGTACCCTTACGTCGGGCTGCCGGCCGATTACGTTGGCGTCAAGGTGCCGCAATTCAGCTTCAGCCGTCTGTCAGGAGCCGATCCAGTACTGGGAGTAGAAATGGCGTCAACGGGAGAAGTTGCGTGCTTCGGCAAGGACAAGTACGAGGCGTACATTAAGGCCCTGATCTCGACTGGCATCGTTCCACCCAAGAAGAACATACTGTTCTCCATCGGTGGCTACAAGGAAAAGATCGAAATTCTCCCGTCAGTGCAGAAGCTACATGCTGCTGGATACAACATTTTTGCCACGTCAGGTACCGCGGACTTCCTCACAGAGCACAACGTTCCATGCAAGGTATGTAGATGATTGTCACCCATCAGCCTGTGGTCTCATCAAACGCCTCCCTGTTCAGTACCTCGAGACTCTTGCAGAGGAAAGCGAGCAGAAGTCTGAGTATTCCTTGACTCAGCACCTGGCCAACAACCTAATAGATATGTACATCAACCTTCCATCGAAGAACCATTACCGTCGACCAGCTAGTTACTCCAGCAAGGGATACCGCAGTCGTCGTATGGCGGTTGATTTCGCTGTCCCGTTGATCACGAACGTCAAGGTTGCCAAGCTCCTGGTGGAAGCTTTGGTTCGCCGGTTGCCTCTGGACGTCTCTCCTGTAGATTCGAAGACGTCGCATGAGACGTACACGTTCACCGGTCTGATCAACATCGCCACTTTCGTGCCCGGTTTGACCCTTCCTGGGAACTTGGACTTCTCAGATGCTACTCGTGCCGCTATTGGAGGCGGCTTTGTCACGACCCTCGTCAACCCTGTAGGCGAAGGTAACAGGATCATCGATATTGAAACTCTCGGTCGAGCGCGTACCAACATCACGGGCTCTGCGTATTGCAATTATGCCCTTGGCGTCACTGCGACAGCCGACAACACGAAGTCCTTGGACGATGAACTTCAAGCAGATGTTAAGTCACTCTTCATTCCTTTCCGCTACAACACCGCGGATAGCCCTGTCTCATCTCTCGCCGAGCACTTGACGTCCTGGCCAGTCGACAAACCTATCGTCACCGATGCCAAGGGGTCGGATCTCGCGCCCATTCTTCTCGTAGCCGGCCTTCAAAACCGCAGCCTACACGTTACGAACGTGCAGAGCAAGGAAGACCTTCTCCTCATTTCCCTCAGCAAAGCGAAAGACTCGAAGGTAACCTGTGACGTATCCGTGTACTCGTTATTCTTCTCGCGTGCAGACTACCCCTCAGCGACGTGTCTCCCATCGCTGGAGGATCAGAAAGCTCTCTGGCAAAGCCTCGATGTGATCGATGCTTTCTCCGTCGGGACCGTGCCGTACAAGCTCGCGCAGGAGACTGGACAAAGAGCAGCTGCGTCGTCTGGCTTGGAGGAGTGTCTTCCCCTCCTTTTGAACGCGGTAGCCGATGGTCAGTTAACCATGGACGACATTCGCCAGCGATTACACGACAACCCCGGACGCATTTTCGGGTTGCCCGATCAAAGCCATACGAGTGTAGAAGTCACCGTCGGCCGGAAGTCCCAATACCGGAACAAGAAAACATGGTCTCCGGTGGAAGGAAAACTACTCAACGGTACAGTCGACAGAGTACTCGTGCATGGCCAGACCGTCTACCTGGATGGCGAGGTCACTTCCGAACCCTTGGGTAGGGATATCTCTGGCGCTTCGATAACCCACGCAGTCTCGGAGAGGCGGATGTCCGTGACTGGATCAAGACCTGAAATCATTTCTGCTGCGCCCAAGGGAGCGGATGGATCCGCTCAGTCTATACTTCCCTCTTCTACCGTAGCTCCCCTCCACGGACCAGCGCCACCTGCGTTCATCCACCATGCTCCTCATCCCGCATTCCATCGTCGACACATTCTTTCTGTCAAGCAGTTCAGCCACCGTGACGTACATGACCTATTTTCGCTCGCGCACGAGATGCAGTTGCAGGTCGAACGCAACGGCATCCTCGACATTCTCAAGGGCAAGGTTCTGGCCACGATGTTCTACGAGCCGTCCACCCGTACCAGCTCGTCCTTCGACGCGGCTATGAAGCGCTGTGGCGGCGAGGTCGTCAGTGTCAACGCCGAGATGTCCTCCGTTCTCAAAGGCGAGACACTTCCGGATACGATTCGGACATTAGGCTGCTACGCCGATGCCATCGTGATTAGACATCCTGACGTAGGCAGCTCTCAACTGGCGGCGAAGTTCTCTCCCGTACCCATCATCAACGCTGGTGATGGTATTGGCGAGCACCCGACCCAGGTATGTGATCTGATCACTCTGTTCACATCTATTGACTTAACTATGGACAGGCTCTACTGGATGTCTACACCATTCGTTCTGAGCTTGGAACGGTGAACGGCAAGACGATTACGCTCCTAGGCGACCTGAAGAACGGGCGCACTGTCCACAGCCTGGTCACCCTCCTGTGCCTCTACTCCGTTCGCCTCAACTTCGTGTCCCCGCCGTCGCTTGCGATGCCCGCCCACGTCGTCTCAGCCGCGCGCCGCGCAGGCGCACACGTTAACGTATGCGACTCGTTGGAAGACGTCCTGGGAGAGACCGATGTGCTGTATGTGACGAGATTGCAGAAGGAGCGTTTCAAAGACGACTCAGCATGGATGGCCGTAAAGGACGCGTACCGGATCGATCACGCTCTGCTTTCGCGAGCAAAGGAAGAGATGATTGTCATGCATCCCTTGCCAAGGGTAAATGGTCGGTGCTGCGTTCCCCTGACTTGTTGCCTGTCTGACGCAGTCCATCATTGTAGAAATCGACCCAGAGGTTGACTTCGATTCTCGTCGCGCCGTCTACTTCCGACAGATGCGATACGGGCTTTTCGTAAGTAATGATCAAGCCATCCTCCACAATCACTCCTGAATTCTCTTAATATCCAGATTCGCATGGCCCTCTTAGCCAGCGTGATGGGCTAAAGCCTTTTCAAAATATCGGGCTTGCGGGCTACAACCGCTCAGCGCTCAGCGCTCAGCGCTCAGCGCTCAGCTGCAAGCATCACAACTAACAAAAGTATACACGGATTATAGGGGAAGATCGCAATGACGTGTCGGAGCTTTGAACAATGTATCTTTAACTCGACCATAATGACAACTCGAGAGGTAGAACAACAATGAGTCGTACTTGTAGCACTAACACTAGGACAATGCATGTTGTTTCAAGGTGATTGTCGAAGTCATTGACGCTGTGAATCAGGACATGGTCAGGTGAGTTCGTGGCATGCGAAGCGTCGCCACGGTCCGGCCACACGGTGTCCTGTGGCTCGTGTCCTTCGTTGCTTACTTTGCCTTGCAAAACCGGCTGCACTGGGGTTTGAACAGATCGCGTGCAACAGTGGGTAGGCTTGCACAGCGGGATACACAGTAAGTACGCGTTTCTTTATGATCCTAGAAGTTGTTGACTGGCTGGCAACTCGAAGAGTACTACTTACAGTCGCTGTGTAGTATGTCAGCCTATGACGCATTGTTGTCTGAAGCGATGCGATCACTGAACGTGCGTCGGGCAGACGTGTTCCATGTACTCGGACTACTTATGCTCACTCTGACGGACAGATACGCTCCAACAATTCACGCTTAAAGGAGCTTGTGCAGTTGCACATCCCGCCTGGATTTGCCTATATTTCATACGCTCTTCGCGTGAAGCGCTTGCTGAAAGAATAGTCAGGTTAAGGCCACGTACATGTCAGCGCGGTACTTCAGCTTCAGGCCTCACCTGTTCAGCAAACAAATAATGTACAGATGATTGTGGCGATTTCATTCACTGCACTGCATCGGCACGCCTCTTCCTCAGTAGGCCGACGCAAAGGGAGTATGACTTATTCGTGCAGATATTTTACGGACAGCAAGTAACTGGTATCAAACTTTGGCGTACTACTACATGGCGATTAATGTTATTGTGCTTCTTTACATATACCACATTGGGACGGGTCATCGTCGCGGTCCAGGGCGATATAAAATGCGTAGGATTTGACCCAAAGATGAGCAGTACCGCTCGAGTTTGGAACTGTAGGGAGTTCCTGCAGGCCTGGGGAGTTCTGCCAGGTTCCTTGTGAGGTCAGCCGTGGCTGACGATGATTACATATGCAATGATCGATCGGATGATTCAGCGTTGAACGTTTCGGGACTTGGTGGACCGCCGTCGCGAACTTGAAGTCCACCAGCATCACTGGCAAGTGAACAGCGTCGTAGTGGACACACACAGAGTAAGCCCTGACTCACACACTCTTCGCTACAACGACACGGACTGAATCGTTCCAAGGATCAGTATTAGCCGATTGAGTCGTCTCCGTCAGCCGCCACCCCGCTAGTACGGCGCATATCCCGACGCAGGATATCCAGGAAGGCGTTCAAGTTGTCCACGTCTCCTCCTAGCACAATGGATACATCCCTAGCGCAAGTCAGGCGAACACTTCCTGTCGAGGTCCTCGAGCTCATATGTCAAGACATCGAGCAGAACGATTTCCCGCCCGTCCTGCGAGCCAACAGCACGCTCTACAGCATCGCTGTGCGAGTTCTGTACCGGAATATCCCACAGTTGCCGGTAGCACGCTCGATCGCTTTTCTGAAGGCCATGGATCGTAATACAACACTTACAACGTTCGTTCACGACTTATTTGTCGACTGGTCCAGCTACCATGTTACCGGAAACCTCCTTCGTCTACTGCGGCGCGTCCTCCGGCAGCTCAAGAACCTACGCTTCTTATCTATCGAGCTCTCCCCTCGAGACAACTTGGCCAGTCACGCGTGGATATTCGTCGACGGACCATACAAGTTGCGCACATTCGCGACATCTACGCGCTGCGATAACGCTCTCGCGCACGTACTGGAACAACAACCGCTTATCTACGAGCTGTCGCTCCGTGGATTCCAGACAAATCTGCCATTCCGGCTCTCGTCGACCGCGCTACCTCGACTCAACTCCTTCCGATGTACCCACGCTGACACCTCTGTGATCACAGAGGTGATCCGAGGCCGGCCAGTCGAAGGCATCTCCATCTCGCTTTTCGCGGATGAGGGGTTTGAACCGCTGGACACTCTTCGGCTAACGAGCACGCCGCTCAAACGACTCACCCTTATGGCGCTCGACGAAATCCCAGCCACGAAGATACTCACACAAGTGGCGATGCGGGCCAGCCAGCTTGAAGCGCTCCATATCGTTGTCCTACTATCGCACTATACGTCTGTATGTCGCCCATTCCATGCCATCCTATGCTTTCGCAATCTCATAGCTCATGACCATTGACAGGAAGGCCTCATGGAAGCGGGTCCCATGCTGTCGAGTTTCAAGGAACTCCGCTATATCACCGTAATGGGCGGCCTTGGAGTGGATCTCACCAATGACCAACAGATCGCGAAGGAGTGGCACAAGCATTGCAAGACACTCAAGACCATCATTCTTCCAAAGGGCCAAGTGTGGTTTGAACGCGACGGAGAATGGGGTTGTTGTCTTTGATCGCGCGTGACTTTCAGGACTCGCTTACGAGTTAGTCGCATAGGCCGTCACCACAATCTACCGCAGTTCCCTTGTGTCAGTATATAGGTTTTGTACACAGACAATATCTTGGCCCAATATACAAGTAGAGGAAATGAGGGCGGGAGGAAGTGGATACTTTGATGTCAGTACTTGGAGTGAGTTTATACATCCGGTGCGTCTCCCTATTCATTACCAAACGCGTTGACATGAGGGAATCTCACGACGTGAAAGGCGCACCTCTCGCATGAATGTCAACATGTGGCAGCTGATATACCTTTGACAAAGCCTGCGCCAGCATACGCGAACAGATACTCCCACTTGCGTGCGAATACCGCGAACTCCATCGGATCGCGCAGCGATGGATGCGTTTCCGCAACAGCGTCTTGTTGCACATTGCTCTTGAAGCGGCGACCCCACGTCCGGAGGGTACGAGGATAGTCTGCAAGCACTTGGAATGTCAACATCGCCGAGACATGTTATGGCTGCTTACGCGCTGAGTGGTTCTCAACGGTGTGCAGCTTCAGCCTGCCTTGAGTGGTCTTGTTGGCCGCATCAATCAAGGCCGACGCGCTCGGAAGAGCGGAGTTGGGCCAGATGTACCGCCGCATGAAGTCCTCAGCTCTGGACATCGTGAGTGAGAAGGGTACGCACGGAAGACACAACGATCGCGCTTACTGATACTCGCTGTACCGATGCTCAGGAAAAGTGCTTGAGCTGATAACGGCGGTTGCGTTGCGCGTCTTCAGAGCGAAGTCAACGAGGCGGAAGTAAGTGTTGTAATACTTCCGGTCGTCAATCTATCATGAGCGCGCCAAACTTGCTACTTAATGGTTCTTTGGTACTTCTTACCTTAGGTCCGACGTGTTCTATCATCTCAATGCTTACCAGCGCATCAAAAGCGTGCTCAAAGTGTCGCGGGATATCTCGATAGTCAAGCAGGTGGACGCGGATGCGAGCCTCCAAGCCGGCCTCCCTGATTCGTTCTTCTGCGAGCGTCTTCTGCTCGATAGACAGCGTGAGCGTGTCCACCTCGCAGTCATATGTCGAGCAGCCTGATTTTAGGATAGGTTCAGATATCGAGTCACTGGGATTCAAAGCAATCTATCCTCACTTCAATCGAGAGTGCCCCCCACCCAGTACCGAACTCGAGCAGCCGATGCCCTGGCTGAAGGCGTAGTTGACGGAGGACGTGTTGGATCTTGCGGCGCTGAGCTGCCTCTAGATCACCGGCAGTAGGGCCAGACGCCAGGTCTCCACCGACGCCGCCTTCCCCGTCGCCCCACAGCCCACAGGAGTACATCATCTCCTTACTCAAAAATGCCTTGTCAAGCCAATGTGAGCCGCTACACAGGGATGAAAAACAGTAAGCAGACCTTATACATGTCGTTGGATAAATCATAGCTCGCAACAACATTGAGACGGGCCCGGGAATGCGTTTGGCCAGCGAACGCATTCCACACCCCGGATACGGCGGCGATAGTCTTGTTGTATAGCCAGGAAATATTTGAGAGGCCGGATAGATTGTCGATGAACAGCTGTAGTTCGTAGATTCGATCAGTGAAGGCAGCAGAGGAGGCGCAAACAACCATGCCTCTATGACTGCCTGTAAATCGTCCACTCGGACTTCCCCCATCATGAACGCCTCACTGACTGGTCAACCCCCGGTGAGCACCTCGTCTGGCTTGTCGTGCATAGTACTTACAGCCGAGGTTCCCAGATCTACCCAATGATGTTCATCACGTTGGTTAATGATCTCGTTGCTCGGCTTGAAGGGCGTTAAGACTCACAGCAGGACTCGAGTCCAGAAGTACTCGTCCACCACGCTGATGCGAACATTGTCGCGTCCCTCGCTAGGCCGGCCGAAGGGGACAACCTTGCCGCCCTCTTCAATCTCTATACATCCCACCTTGACCGCGCCCTGCAGAATATCTGGATCCACGCTCTGGCTGATAGAATTGATATCAATGGCGGGGGTTCGGGACAAGTCGCATCGACGTACCAATGTAGGTTAGCCATTGGCGAGGGCTCGACAGCATCGAGGGAGGAGGGAGGAGCGGACGTTTCCGCTGGGAGATGTTTGCTGAGTAGTAGTCCGGGGCAGCCGAGAGAGACATCTTGAGCAGTAGACTAGTAGATGAGCAGGAGGGGCGGAACGGTGAGTGTCAGAAAATTGGGAGGGGAATCGGAGGCAGCTCTCTGTATTTGTCCCCACTGGCAACCGGAGGTGTGTACATAGAATCGGAGACAGCGCACCCATGCAGATATGGCTGGCAATGCAGGTGGAATGTCGCAGCATCCAGAATTGATGAATGACCAGATGACTATAGCTTCAGAGAATTTTAGGTGACGGTGTCTAAGAATCGACATGTGGGGCAATCAAATGCCGACTGATGAATAGAAAACGGACCTGTCAGGTAGATAGAGACCGTTTTCTGGAATTGGTAATGGAAACATCACCTGTTCTGACTGTGTTTTCACACACTGTCACAGTCCGGTTAACTGGAGCGACCGTGCATGGCAACAGAAGGGGCATTGAAAGCCAACGTCGAAATCGTCGTACACATTTGTCTGACAAATCGGGTATCAGTATCGGGAACCCTTAATGTACTGTCTACATATGCACGATACATTCGACTGCACAATTGCTGCGTACCCACCAGATTCGAGACGGCAAGAATCAGAGTGCTGCCGTCAACAAGACCATGACACTGGCCACTGACGAGATACGATGAAAAGAATGTGGTCAAATTCAAAGTGCGTACATACCCCCCCTGATCGAGACGAGTTATCCAAACGCCCTGATGCGAGTTATCTTACGGATCATAGGACGAAGATGAGGGCAGTCTGAGTAGCCTCCGAAGGAGGATGGCTACGGCCGTCCGAGTCGGCGCGGTGACCTTGGACCCGGGCCAGAGAAGCGCACGTACTTATTCGATATGTGGTATCGACGCGGTTGTCAGTCATCATTGGCTCTCCACTCAATGACATGAAAGGTAGGCGTGCTCACTCTTTCCATTATCTTTGATCTGCTCGAGTCAACACAGTGAATTAAGGGATGTCCTTGTCCTTACTAATCTCTTCAGGCGGCGGATAGCACTGCCCATGCCTTCAGGCGCTCCTAGGACGTTGGAATATCCGACGTCTGATTTGATCCTAGGGCATATGTATGTACTGTCTTCCAGCGGTTCAGGGACTATGACTCGGAGTAACGACGTTTCCGAGTCGGCGTGGCACGACCCCAGATCGATGCATTGACCAGAACGGCGGAACTTGGAGGTCTAGCGCCACCGATGTAGCCTGAGGGGGATCTACACAGATTCTATGAAGAAAAGTGAGTAAGGATGCCACGTCGCTTCCCTGAACACTGTAGCCCTAGTAAAGGTGCAGTACTTACTGCTTCTGTTCTCGATCTCTCAGAGTTGTACGGTTTCATTTACATACGTCCTAGGTGACCTTTTCTCCGTGAGATTGGAAGTGTAAGCATTTGTTCAGGTTCTCCGCGTCTGCAGGAATGAGTGTAATCGTACTCACATGATGGTCATTGGTGAACTTGAATATCCCTTAAATGACCGGTCCCAGCTCAGTTCTGCCGATTCCGAGTCCACAAGCGATTGCAGTCGGCTGGCGATCTTCCCTTCCCTAGACTTCTCGCCGTCTATCGCCGTGAAACTCAATGGATCATCGAAATGTACGGCGGACAAGATAGTGTTTTCGTTTTTCTCGCGGTTCCGCATACTTTTGAAAAGCGCTGTAATTCCGCTGGACGTGTGCCAATCGAGTGGCTTCTTCTTCGTAGGTTATCCGTGTGCGGCGATACTAAGTGCAAATCTCGGAGCAGAATATGTGGCATGTGTGTACTCACCTTCTCCGAGTCCTGACTACGTCTCTCACGTCCCACTATATCCGGTCTCCGTGCGTTCACTCACGGGGATACCGCGGGGGACTCGTACAGCCTGGAATATGGATTACTCCGCGAGGTCAGATCCATGACTTGGCATGCCACCCAACAGCTCTGCGCTTGTAAGTGAATGCCAGACAAGGGTTTGCCCTGTTTAAAGGGCCCAGTCGCCAGGCGAAAAGCACTACTTGCGGTAGGTATGTAATACAAGCTGGAGGAGGCTGGAGGATGCAGATGAGTCCGAAGAACGAAGTTGCATTCAATGTCTTCCGCGTAACTGGCAAGACAATCTTGTGTAATTTTGTCCGGACTGCACACTTATGGTTTAGTGGTGTAGTTGGTTATCACGTCCGTCTCACATGGAGTGTTTATCACGGGAGGTCTCCGGTTCGAACCCGGGCTGAACCATTTTGCTTCATCATCCAGTGCATCGTTCTCCCAATGCCAGATATGTGTCTTGACGTGACAGATCGGGATGAGTAGCGCTCGATCGACGAGCAACTTGGAGTCTACTGGACTACTCCCTACGTAGTACCACCACTAGGGCCGAGTGTCAAGATTACCCCTCTGTCTCAGTAGTTTACCAGTCAACTTATCATCGCAAGAATGCCTCTTCGGCGGCCGGATGTTAGTGGAGCTTGCTTACTTGCATCCGCGCGCCGCGCACTAGTCGGTGCAACTCAACTCGGCCGAACGTATTCAAGTTCTGCCACCAACAGTTTGTTCTTATGAAGTTCATCATTGGTGATGTCCCCGACCATGCAAATCCCAGGCGCATTCGTCATGCGGAACATTTCAGAGAGGTGAAGAATGGAGATGTCGTGGATGCGTTCGACCACATCATTGTGTGGGACGATGATTGTGTGACGGCGGATCTGGTTCAGAGGTGAGTGAGGTATCCGCCCCTGTGACCTGTCTGCTACACTGTTCATGACATTCGTTCAGGTGGCGCATGATGGACGACCCGTTGTGCGACAAGGCGCTACAGACCGTCTTTCAGGCCTCTGGATCAAGCGTGGGGAAGGAGCTTCTCGCATGTTTAGAAGAGCATTCTGCTGAGCACCCCAGAAGACGCCGACGGTCCCGTACATGCTTTCCTTCGCGAAGTGTCACAGCATCCACCGGCGGGCATCCAACTCACCGGCAGTGAAGCAGATCTCGCTCGAGAGCTTTTCCTTGACAACAGCATAGAATTCAGTCAAGCACTGTTACATTACAGTCTTGCCGGCGGCTTCGCCAGGTGAGTGGGCCTCGCTCTTATAAAAGGTCCCTTCTTCAGGTGGGCCGAGAGCTCTGACGATAAGTCATCAGCCCTCGCATTACACGGACCCTTCAAGCCGTTTCCTACCTCGTCCCACACTCTAGTAAATCTCGCCAGGAGGCGAATAGCGACGCTGCCTCCTTGGCCGCATCTCAACGCATTACCGGTGCCTCAAATGAGCGTACCTTCATCCGGCTCTTAGAAACATTCCAAATGGTATTGGATGTCTTAGACTGCACAGCCGCGGCCCCTCATACAGGCCATCACAGTCCTCACTCGCTCACTGATTCAAAGGAGAGAGACGCTCGTACGACGTATCTCGAACCGGGCGGATACGCTTGGCGATCGACTGTCAATGTCCGATTATTGCACGGCATAGCTCGTATGCGTGTTCGGGAGCGATGGAGAAGAGAAGGGGAGAAGATTTGATGGCAGCGACCGTGCCCATCAACCAGGAAGAGCTGAGCGGGACGTAAGGACAACTTCTTTGAGTAGCATTTGAACCTTGTTTACATTCTCTACAACAGCCTTGCAGCGTTCTCCACCATCCCAATCTGGTGTCTGCACCGTCTCCACGTCCATCCCTCAGCTGAGCATGTCCGTGCATACCTTGCTCTCTGGCGGCATGTTGGCTTCTACCTGGGCATAGACCCCTCCATCATCCGGCGACATTTCTCATCGCCCATCACCGCCGACAAGTTCATCGTCACCACAGCAATGCATCTCTTCTCGACGGACGACCCCTCGGACGCTGCCGATGCCCCGACCATCCCCATCCTGCGCGCGGTCTCGAACCGCGCTCCGATGTACAACTCCTTCGAATACAACTGTGCGCTGACGCGGCACATCCTGGGACCCTCCTTGTCTGACCGGGTAGGCTTACCCCCGACCCTGTTGCGCATGTCCATCCGGATGCATACCGCGCTCCTCCTTCAGCGCATCCCGCACTGGGTGACGCACTACTATCCTCGCAAGGGGTGGACGGCCAAGAGGAGGGCGGTGCTGAAGGAGGGCGTTGCGCTTAGTGTACGATGGAACCTCGGCATGCGCAAAGTGTCCTTCCGTCCGAGGACAGACGTGAAGAACGACGGGATCAAGAATGGGAGCAACGAGGGTGAAGGCGGCGAGATAGCGGCGGGCGTCCAGGAAGCGGAAGCGGTACAGCTGGACATCGCTGGTAACCGCCGCCTCGCCCGGCAGTGGCGCGAGGTGCTGGCTGAGATGATTGCGGTCTGCGCTGGAGTGGGTATTGTCGGCGTTGGACTTACCTGGATCACTGTCCGCTTCCTATGGTCTCGGTGGTAGATGAGGACTCGTCTTGGATCGTCTCGTATGTCAGCCTTCGTGATTCACTTTAGATTGACTGTAGAACTTACGGCCCCAATATAGTGCTGGCGTATGAAACATCCAAGGCCCTATTCGTGGAATGCGTGCTAGGAGCTGTACGCGGTCACGTGAGATGTCTTCAATACCGCGACAGTCTGAGCGCCACTCGACGCGACGGCCACGAAGGTCGTGCGCATGTATATCAGTCTCACGCAGACAGATAATACAATTGGTCAAGTGGATAGCTGTGACTAGGGAGATAACTCACCTAGCTATCACAAGTGCCAACGTCTCTTCCATACTTCATGCGCGACGCGTCGAGTATGAAAGAGGGTTTGGCTCTTGTAGCATTGTGCTTGTAGAAGAGGGCACCTCATGAAAGAGACAAAGAACATGAAGCTCGCGCCGAACACGCGGCAACGAGTGGCGGACGGTGGCGGTTCAAGCGCAGGGGGCTTACGCAAGACGTGGGAGAGGTGGCCCGCCTCAAAGCGTGCAACAATGGGCCCCGCGCCACATGCGCAATTAGGCCACAGGTTCAAGTTGCGTCTTGTTTGCGCTTTGCTCCGTTCACATTCACCACCACTTCAGCTCCTGAGCACCGACCTGACCCATCCTATCCAACCCCCTTTTGCTGCTTTGACCATGGCAAAAGGCTCAAATCACCACCGATTACCACCGGTACGATCGCTGGACACACCCCGGTCCAGAACAACATCTTCTTTCCTCGACCGTCTTCCTATGCGGTCCCGACAGGATGGGAGCCGTATCCGTCAGGGGCCCCACCAATTCTGTACACGCAACGCGTGCTAGGGCGCGCAGGACCTGTTTCTCCGCCAGCATCTCGGGGCAGTGGTCCTCAGTTCAGTGTCGCGGGGGCATCAGCATTGCAGGGCCCGAAGGAGCTCGCCTCCGAGTTCCTCTCCCAACGGCACACAAAAGCAACGGACGAGGGGCCCGTGGCCACAATTCGACGGAAGACCTACCCGGCGGAGAACAACGTCCGACAGTCGCTCCCTGCTCCCTCCCCGCGACCCTCGACATCAGCCCCGACAAGGGCCACAACGCGTCGACTTCGCAGTCGACTCCTACATCTCCGCCGCCGCCATTCTTTGCGGAGGATTTCTTTCGGGGTACATCATGTGCCCCGATCAATGTGGACGATGACCCACAACCTACACCGAGCGTTGTAGGGCCCAGTGGAGGAAAGCGGACCCGTGGGGAGTTCGCGCGTAGGATCTTGGAGGATTCAATGCCTCCATCAGCCAGGACAATGGGCCGTTCCAATGCATCCTTAATCACGACAGTTGCTCCTGCAGTGTCCAGCCGAGACAGGCACCTACTGGCCGCAAACGCAAGCGGACGAACGCGGAGGGGGACTGCGATGCGGCGCCATCGTCCAGCGCACCCAAGTCCTCCACCAGCAACCGAAAAAGGAAGCGCGTAAAGAAGGCTGTTCCGGCCAAGGCGGCAGTGTTCCCGCTGTTGCTCAGGCATCATCGCCGGAGCTGCCACCACGGGATTCGTCGACCCCAACGACGAAGGATGTGGAGACGTCTACCGCGATTACAGCGGAATCGTTGCCGGCGAGACCCGCAACCGCGCCCCCTCAGGTGTTCTCTCCCGGTCCAGTCGTTGCCGCTGTGGAAGATCCACTCGCTTCACCCATCGAGAGGGGCCAGCCCGAGCCCGAGTCCCCAGCCGTGAAATCCACCGGCTTGGATGCAGCGCCCCCGACTGAAGCTGTGGCGCCGTCGGTCGCGAAGCGACCACAATCTACTACGCCTCCTGTTGTTGCGGCGAGCCTCAATTTCATCATTGGTGAGTGCAACTGCCTCGACGTCCTTGATTGCATTCCGACTCTCGCTCAGGTACGCCGCCCTCAGTGGAGCCTGAGGACGACCTCTGCGACTTGTTCGGCGATCCACTCGACGATGACTCCGTTTGAGCTACATCTTGTGATTGTGAGATTCCTACGTAGTACGAGGTAGTGTCCAGGTACTGTTTATTCTTCTTCATCCAATGTCTACCTTAGATTCAACCGCATCATATACCCAGCACTTCATCTATACCCAGTATACCAGCATCCATATATACCTCGCATTGTGTTCATACAAAATTCTACAGTAATCAGTCATTCAGTGCCGGCAACATTACTGGTAGAGGCGGACACTGTGCCAGCGATCGACTCCGCAATGCACACCAAGGCCCATATGGGTGATGCTGTCCTGCGCACCCCGGCCACTTCGATGTTCAGCGTCAAAATCGGCCACGTCTTGTATACAACGTATGCGGTGAGGGCACGTCGTTAGCCAGGCAGGATCAGTGGGTGCTTTCGATAGCGGCAGCTGCATGATAGCCTGCTTTTCCAAGTCTTGAAGTTAGTAGCAGTCTGGGGCCGTATCATCTTTGGTAGTACGCAGAGCGAGCGCACGATGATGCATTGCTTAAGATTATCACAATCCGAGTACAAACATGAGTGGCGATTCGAGACAAACAAATGTGACACATGATACAGTGTGAATGATATGAACGGTGCATCCAAACCGCTCACAGGAAGAAGCCCTTGAAGTCCCAGAACGTACCCTCTACCGCCATGCGCGTCGCCGTCAACTGCGCCACCCTCACAAACAGGGTTCCATCCAGCACCTCCGCACCTCGAGCAACTTGCCTCGAACGAATCAGGCCCGCGTCGCCATACACCTTCGAGTAGTGCAGCAGCGCGCGCTGCACTTTAGCGACGTGGTCGTCCGGGTGCACGAGCGCGCCCTCGACAAGCGCGAGCCACGGTTCGGCGTCGTCCCTGCGGGCGCGAGGGACGGCTTCGGGATCGTCGGCGGCACGGTGGCGTTGAGGGACGTGCCGGCGTAGAACTCGCGGATGTTGATGGCCTGCCTGCCGCGCGCGATCCACCAGGACAAGGCGGTGATGAAGTGCTTGCGTAGAAGGAGGATGCTCGAGCCTGGCGAGAGGTACTCGACCAGCGAGGGCATGAACAGGCTCGAGGTCAAGACGTGCATTCTGTGGGAAAGGGACGGGATCAGCTGGGGCATTCCATTGACGGGGATGTTGGAGCCCTACGAGAAGAAGTCCGCGTTGAAGTCACTGCTCGCGCTCCAGCCAGTGACACCGTATAGCAGGACGCTCAGCCAACTCAGCTCTTCGATCTTCTGGTCGAGGTTCGCACCAACAGGGAGCCACTCCTCCGTCCACGCCAGGAGGGGAGCCGCAAGCAGGTCCGCGACCTTCTCGTAGTACTCCAGGGCGCCCGTGGGGTCCATGTGCGGTTTCAGGCCGAGCGTGGTCACGCTGAAGCGGTCGTCCTTGAGGATACGCGCGATGATCTCGAAGGCGTGTACGCCCGCGCTGGCCTTCGGAGGGACCGCGGGGGCTGAGGAGTTCAGGAGGAGGTTCGAGAGCTTCGCGGAAACCTGCGAGACTGTACTCGGCACTGCCTTCGACAGTGTTGCGAACTCGGATGAGGGGAAGTACACCGTAACCTCGAGGGGGTGGCACGCCGTCTGCGCAAGACCTACAACATGATCAGTGAGAATCGGCAATGCGCACAGGAGGGAACGTGCTTTACCTTCTGCGACAAGACCAAGCAAGCCAAACTCAAGGCCATAGCCGACGTAGATCATGGGGTGATAGATGCGGGCATAGAACCGGCTCAACATGCCAGGCGTCAGCGCATCGCCATCGTCCGTGAAGTTCGCCGCGTGCGAGAAGACATATTCCTCAATCGTTGCGCCCGCGCCCTTCTCCTGGAGCACACCGTAGAAGTGGTGCAGGTACGCGTCGTAATAGCTGGAGACAGATGAGGAATGGCGGTTAGTGGAATGTAATGAATGAATGCCAGTATGCGAACCTGCGATCACCAAGATGCTCATTGAAGTTCTCCTTTGTGATTTTTCCCGGCGAAGCGGCGTAGGGGCGCGTCATGGGCTCCTGCGTCTTGAAGATTGCATTGTAGAGCGGTGCTGCGCCACCAAGTGCATAAACCGCGAGAAGCTGGTGTGAGATGTGGCTGAGACGGTCACATCAGTTCTCGACAGGAGCTGCAGTAATAGACCGAAGGACACACTTGTGGAACCCTTCATCGTTGATAAAGGCATGACGCTGCTCATGGTTCTCCTTAAGGGTTTTAGTCACAGCGAGCTTCGTTTCGTATGTGATGCCTGGAAGGCGTTCGGGACACTTGGTCGACGGCGGAGGCGAGGGAAGGGGGAAAAGCGCGTCGAGGTTGCTATCGGTCATAGCGATCTTGGGTGTGGGCTGTGATATCCCTTGACAGATGGCTGGAACGATGTTAGCTGTCGATTGGACGAGCGTGGCTATCGCAGCAGCCTTTTATACACGAGGAGCACAGCTTCTTCTTGCTCGCCCAGGAACATCGAATGCATAGATCGATTGTGCTGACCCGGAGCCTGACACCATCAGCTGCGTTCTTGGTATGATGGGGCAGCAACACGAGCACGCGATGTGCGTAATGAATCACAGTCAGAGGCCGAATGGTGCGGCACATCTGTATCGAGTGGAGACTATAGGCAATTAGAGGCGTGTTCGATGTGTACTAGGGTGTGTCATAGCACTGTCAGCCCGGATGCGTAGCCGTTATGTGGTAACTCGCGGGAAGCATGGGCTCAAGTGAACGTCACGAAACTGGTCCAAGCAGGTATACACAGAGCTCGAGGTGCAGCCCAGCGCGGTCAAGACTCACGACGCCCACGTTGTCTGACCTCCATCCGCCTAGCATCCCTCTGTGGCCGGATGAGTGCGGTCATCTTGAGGATAACAGCGGAAGTTGCAAACACTCCTCATTCGACCTGTGCAGAGACTCCCGAGAAAGAGACAGACAACTCACAGCAATAGATGTGCTCGCACAGCGCTGGTGCCATCCGACGCCGTCGGCTGCACACTCCAGGTCAGCTGTCGACTGTCTCCGATGATATCCTTGTCGTCAGGCCAGTTCCCGTCGGGAAATTCGCCCAATGGCCATGGAAGGTTGTAGAGACTAGACGTTCGGTCAGACGCTCAGTCGTGGTTCAACTTCGACTAAGATTAATCTACCTAGACGTTCGGTCAGACGCTGCTAGGTAGTTAGCTACTGAACGTATTGTATAGTATGTGTGCGGGGGCTTACCTCAGTCGTGGTTCAACTTCGACTGAGGAAAGAGGGAGAGAGGCGGAAACGGACGAACCACCCCCGGCGGTATGTCACGTGCACGGTGGCGGAGATCGAGATCGCGGCGCGACCTCAACACTCCTCCTCGGCGCGAATGGCGAGAGAGACGACGGGGGGTACGTGAGGTACGTAAGGGGGATGTAGCATCAAAAGGTGTCGCATGTATCGTAGGTATCGCATGAGGAAATGATATGAGTCCATGAGGGAACACTATGAAGTGAAACAGAGACCGTAGTGAAAGGCGTGTGGGATCGTAAGGATATGAAGAGCGGGTGACGCGAAAAATATGCATGGCGAGATGAAAGAGAAAGGGAAGAAAAGACTCCTCCTCTCGAGGAACTCCTCCTCACCGTGAAGACTCCTCCTCGCATGGAGGCCGGAGGCCCATAAGACCACGCAGCATCTGGAACGGCTTCCGTTCAAGAGGTTTCGTGAAGGCGTCGGCGACATTGAGATGGGAGGGGACATGCTGGATGACGATTCGTTTGTCCGTCACCACCTCGCGCAGATAGTGCCATTTGATGTCGATGTGCTTGACGCGAGAGTGGAACGTAGAGTCAGCGGAGAGAGTGATCGCGCTCGTGCTGTCGACGCGCATGAGTGATGCGGCAGGCTGGGAGAAGCCGAGACCGTCCAGCAAGAAGCGAAGCCATACCCCTTCCTTCGCCGATTCGGCAGCCGCGATGTATTCAGCCTCGGTAGTGGACGTAGAGACGGTGGGTTGCTTGCGCGCCGACCAAGAGATAATGCCGGAGCCCAGGTTCCAGCAATAGCCACCGGTAGAACGCCGAGTGTCGATGCAGCTGGCGTGACTCGCATCCGCGTACCCATTCAGATTGGCGACATCGGCGCCGCCGAGGTGCAGACGGAAGTGCCGGGTCCCCTTGAGGTAACGCACAACGCGTTTCGCAGCCTCCCAGTGGATCTCGGCGTAACAGTCGAGGAATTGGCTGAGATGCTGGATGGCGAGGGCGATGTCCGGACGCGTCCCGATGGCGAGGTACATTAGACAGCCGATGAGAGAGCGATAGGGCAAGCGAGCGGCGCGTTCTTTTGCCGCAGGCGTCTTCGGAGAATGCTGAGCGCGCGAGAGGCGGAGGCCGGCTTCCATGGGCGTAGAGACCGGCGCGCAGTCGGGGCCGTCGAGACGAAACTGCTTGACGATCTTGTCGATCAAGGCAGTCTGCGAGATAGCCACGGACCGGCGAGCGCGATCACGGTCAATTTGAATGCCGACGCAGAAACGCGCCTCACCCAAGTCCGCGATTTTCCAGACACGACGGAGGTCGTCCTTAAACTCCTCCTTAGCCGCAGCCGAGCTAGCTGTCAGCAAGAAGTCGTCGACATGGACGCCGGTGAGAACAGTGCCCTTCGCCGACTTGCGGTAGTAGACACAATATTCACAGGGCAAACGCGTGAAGCCGATGCTCAGCAGATGCGCGTTCATCGTGTCATTCCACGTACGACTGCCCTGCTTCGTCCCATAAATACCACGCACCAGTTCCCAAACCCAATCCTCCTTGCCCGGCTCCTCGAAGCCGTGCGGCTGCTCCATGTAGCAGTACTCGTCCTCGGGAAGGATCCCATAGAGGAACGCGGTCTTCACATCAAGCTGCTCTACTTCCCAATCGAGGGAGGCGGCAAGGTGGAGGAGAGCGCGGAAGGACTCCATGCGCATGGTAGGTGAGGAGGTCCGGTTGTAGTCCTGCCCGTAGACCTGTTGAAAACCCTTCGCGACCCATCGAGCCTTGAAGCGCACCGGGTCCCCGTTCTCATTACGCTTCAAGCGAAAAACAGGTTTACCCTTCATGACGCGACGCCCGGCCGGCACCTGAGCTCGAGGAATGAGGCGGTACACGCCCAGGTCCTTGATGGACTGCAGCTCATCGCGCAACGCGGCACGCCACTCCTCGCGAAAAGGCGACGCCTCTGCCTCGGCCAAAGTGGCCGGGTCCCCAGGATATTCAACGTTGAGTGGCAACACATCGTCCCCGGCCAACGCCGCGAGCACAGACTCGACGTCCGGCGTGGCGTCGACGGGCGGGTCACCAACAGCGAAGTCGGGAGGGGGCGCGGGAGCAGCATGCAGTAGCCCCAGAGGGGCAGCGACTGCGCGCGACACCGGAGAGGCCGGGGCAGGAATGCCCGAGGAGGAAACCCGGCGAGGCGCCGCGGAGCGTATCTGGCCCAGCGTGCGGTCCAGGCGCGAGATGAAAGGGACACCGTCCGCGGCAGCCTTCTTCTGGGTCAGCAGAGGCAGACGCGAAGATCGACGCACGGGAGCGAGAGGCGGCGGCACGGGAGCGAGAGGCGGTGGCACAGGAGCGAGAGGCGGCGGCACAGGAGCGAGAGGCGGCGGCACAGGAGGCGCCTCAGCTGGCAGAGGCGGAGCGGAAGGAAGAGAGGCCGGGGCCGCATGGGTGCCAGACAAGGAGGGAGGCGGCGGATCATCGTCGAGAACGTCGAGAGGCGCAGCAATGGGAGACACAGCCTGAGGAGACATAGAAGGCGCGACCTGCGCGACAGGCCGTGAGGCCGGGGAGGATAGTGTCGGAGACGTCTCGTGTGATTCAATGAATGCAACATGGAACGACTCCACGACCTTGTGAGTCGCGCGTGGTACAGCCGGTAGGTCTTCGAGTGCTGCCCGTAGCCGATGAGAACACACTCGACGGAGCGTTCATAAATCTTAGGGTTATGCCGATTCTGGATGAGCACGAAGGCCCGACAACCTATCTCCCGCAAATGCGACAGGTCCGGCTTCTTCTTATGCCACATCTCATACGGTGTGACACCTGGAGGCAAAGAACGAGAGGGGGTGCGCACCGACAGGTAATTAGCGGTGACGAGAAACTCGTCCCAACGGTTCGCCGGAGCAGCAGCCGCCAAGCGCATCGCCCGGGCACGGTCCATGAGAGTGCGGTGGAAACGTTCAATACGACCATTCTGAGCGGACGTGTGAGGCGCCGTTGTGCGCCATTGAGAACCGCGGCCCTCGATCCATGCCTTGAAGTCGTTCGACAGAAGTTCCCCATTGTCAATCTGGACGACGCCCAGACGCTCGCCCGTCTCGACCTCGCGAGCAAGGACCCAAGCCTTGAATCGCTCGAGGATGACCTTGGATGGCACGGGGATGGCCCAGGTGTGAGACGTGAAGTCGTCGAGAATATTCATTGAATAAAGGTTCCCCAGAGCGGAACGAACATCCTGCTGCCCTTGTACATCTACGAACACAGTGCCAAGAACCCGCTTTGCTTTCTCCCCCACTCGCACCTTAGGAACTGCAGTTCTGGTCTGTTTACCAAGAATGCAATGTTCACATTTTGCAGGTGGAGATAGGACGATAGGCATACCTATAGCGGATCCGAAGCGTGCCATGTCGTGAATCGTACGATGATTGACATGTCCGAGGCGGCGGTGCCACACATCGAGCGTCGGCACACGGCCTGCATACAAGGCATGTTCGGTGGAGGGAGAGGCGCCGTCGAGAGAGTAGAGGCGCTTGGACGTTAAAGTACCGGTAGCGATGACAGCCCCGCCCGGTTTGAGAATGCGAACACCGGCACTAGAGAAGAGCACCGAGTAGCGAGCCGCAGACGCGCAGAGAGACGAGATGCTGACGAGCCGAACAGTGGCCTGAGGCACATAGAGGACATCCTCGAGAAGGATCGACGCGCCGCGACCGATGTGCAGGCGTACCTTGCCGACGCCGCAAGCGTAGATAACCGATCCACTCACCCCACGAATGCCGCGAGGAGAGATAGGGCGGAGGTCATGGAAGTCGGCCTTGCGAGGAGACAAGTGCGTAGACGCGCCAGAGTCGAACACGAAAGGCTCAGTCCCTTCAGTGGAGAGACGACGAGTCGTCGTAGGCACCGGCGCCACTGAGAAGGCGGTAGGGTCGGCAGGAGCGCGAGAGTGGGTAGACCAGTTGAGCGAAACCGACTCCTCGTCTTCAACAGAGACCAGGGACTCATACTCAAAGAGGTCCGCCGGGACAGAGACGGAGGCGAGCCATTCCGGGGACGTGTCAGTCGCAAGCCCAACGAAGTCAGTCTCGGAGGTGGTATCCGCCGAAGACGGTTCCGAGGTCGATGTGGCCGAGGGCGGGACCGTACTCAAGAGATAGGCGTGGCCGGTCTTGCCGTCAACGATGTACGCGCGACCTTGCTTGTCGCGGTCGGGAGCGTTAAAGACGGCAGGCTTACCAGGACCCTTGCCCTTCCTTTTGTTTGCGAGCACTTCCTCGCGACGACCCTCCATGCCGCCACCGGGGGCCCAGCACTCCGGAGCAGTATGCCCATTCGGGCGCGGGCACTTGGCGTTGGTGCAAGTCTTCTGCGATGAGGTCGACTTGCCTGGCTTGGAATAGGCGGCGAGAGCGGTGGCTGATGAGGACGCCTTGCTGTCGGTGAGGATTCGCTGCTCGAGGTCAAGGCGAGCGGCGATGTCGACGGAGGTGTACGGAATGCCCGAGGTGGCCGATGCCGTGAGCGACGAACCGACCTGCGATTGAAGGTGCGTGAGGTAACCGTTCATCGAGTTGAGCATGCCTATGGTCATGAAGACCTCGAGGTTCGGGATGCCTATGTGGAAGATGCGCTCGGCCAACTCTTGGAGGCGCATGGTCGTCTCCGAGAAGTGCTCCTCGGCTGTGTAGCGACAAGCGAGGAAGTCTTGGAGGAGACGAACCTGGGCATATGCGCCGGGCTGTTTCTCGTGGCGAGCACAGAGGGCGACCCATAAGGCGCGTGCGTCAATGAATCCGGCAATGAAGCGCTGCTCTTCCCTCGCGGCCTTCGAGCTGAGTAAGGCGATGATAACTTGCTCGTTCCGCCGGAAGTTGGTGACAGAGCTGGGGTCGTCGTCGACAGAGGGAGCGACTTGTTCACCAGACAGATAGCCCCAAGCGAAGCAGATCTTCAGGGAGTTCTCGATGTAGGTCTTCCAATCGTACCAGTTGTCCTTCTTTCGGTCGAGGATGACGCCGCCGTTGAGCAGGGACGACGGTACGTGGAGGAGCTCGATTTTCTCCTTGGCGGTCGCTTTGAGATCCATTTTGGGCGCCGGAGATAGTTCCGTTTGAGTTCTCGGCGTCTTGGGTACCGAGACTCTGGGACTCGAGGTTGGGGTGATCGTCATTGATCAATTGGCTGGCTATATGCGGGGTATATGCGGGGAAAGCACACTTTGATGGGTGCCTCGATGTTGTTCCTGGGTCTGAATAGCCGAAAAGAAGTCTCAGGTAAGCGGGCGAGTTCAGAAACACCGCCCGGGGCTCATAACCTGTAGAGACTAGACGTTCGGTCAGACGCTCAGTCGTGGTTCAACTTCGACTAAGATTAATCTACCTAGACGTTCGGTCAGACGCTGCTAGGTAGTTAGCTACTGAACGTATTGTATAGTATGTGTGCGGGGGCTTACCTCAGTCGTGGTTCAACTTCGACTGAGGAAAGAGGGAGAGAGGCGGAAACGGACGAACCACCCCCGGCGGTATGTCACGTGCACGGTGGCGGAGATCGAGATCGCGGCGCGACCTCAACAAAGGTGAACCGTTGAAGTCTGCTGCTGCCGTCAACCAGTGCTGGATGCGACGCGCACGTCGAGGCATGCCGTAGAAGCATCCGTCTTGGTCAGTTCGCCGAACGCTTCCGCAAGAGGGGTCGTCGGCATGCTGTAGGATTTCAGCAGACAGAGAAGCACATCCATGAAGTTTCGTGAGCAGGACATCGCATGCCGAACTTGTGCTGAGCTGTTGCTGGCCCGGTCGATTACACGCTTGTGTCGATGTCGACTCGGCGCCGATCCACGAGCGCCAGTTCGCGTGCCGTCTCAGAACGCGGTCACGTGGAAGCCTGGTCGACCAGCAATGGTGACGCCGACAACTTCAAGCTTCAAGCTTTCAAGTTGACGCCACCGTTGCAAGTGGTTCTGCATCTATGCCTCGAGACAGGACTTACCTTTTGTTGGAATCATCCCCTATACTCGTTCTCCTTTTCGTTATAAGGACTAACAGTGAGTCAGTAGGACACGACTCGCATCGTGCTCAACAAGGTCGACAGGGTCAACACGTAGCGATGACGAGAGCTGGTATTGCGAGCTTATCGGCCACAATGGACGATCATTCCAGGAATCCTTTGTCAGAGCATTCTGTTCAGGGTACAATCCATGCGCCCCTTTCGCACTCAACACGGCAGCAGTGGCACAAATCGAACAAAGGAACAATGCACCCCATTCCGCCGCTCGCAGCCACTGTCAACCTACATAAAAGGCGCGTAAAACGCTCATAGCTCGTTAACTTCTTCCCCTCATCTCCTCCCCCAGCTACCTGAACACTCCTCATACATCTACGACCTGGCTTGTACCATGGCTACCGGTCAGCAGTCTTCGTACGCACAGATATCGCCCCAGTCTACACGTCAACATACCCTCGATTCCATACACAAGACCAGTTCTGACGACTCCCATCGTCATCCGCGCACGCCACCGGAATGCGAATGGGTGGACCTCGGAGACGGGATCTTGATGGGGATGGCTCCGCCTTCAAAGCGGTCGTCACCGATGAAACCGCCAAGGACACATACACACCAAGAAGCGGAGAGCCAGGGAATATGTGAATCGGAGGTGGGCCCGTCTGGCTCCCAGGGCCTTCCGAGTATGTCCTTGCGTCTCATTGCGCGAGCACGTTCTGACAACGGATCATAGCAACTGTACCAGCGCCCCCACTGCAGTCCCCACATACGCCCCAGAGAGGCGACTTCCGCCGGAAAGTCATGCGGTCGTCTATACCCCGTTCCGCCCACGTCTCTCCCGAGAGATGTCTCCCGAACGCAGTACAAGCTACCTCAACCACTCCGGGCCCATCCTCTCCGGCTGGAGGGTTCTCATGGTCCTCCCCACCTCGGTCACCTATCGGGTCTCCTTTGTTTCACGCGCCCGAGCTTTCAGAAATCCCATCCATGGAACCGGAGATGCAGAACGGAAAGAAACGGAAGAGGACACGGCGGACCTCTCGCGGGACTACTAACGAGCGCTGCCAAACGACAACGCATTCGCAAACGCATCCACGTGGATGGGACATCAGGACGCCGGAGACGATGGTGACACCGAAGACGGCCGCTGGACACAAACGCAGGGAACTGAAGCACTCGGACGGAGAGCCTGCCAGTATACCCCCCGCGGCGAAACGCGCTCGGACAGACAACAACGATGGACTCCATACGATCGCTGAGGCACCCTCTGGCACGATCGCGGCTACCGTCGCCGCTCGTAAGGCACCAAAGAGAAGCCGCGCCAGAGCTCACCGCGTGGTCCCTGCTAATGACGAAGGACGGAGGCTGTCTCCTGTCTTGCCCGCCGGTGGTGGGTACCGAGCAAGGGTGTCCCATATCTCGACGGCGCGACTCTCAGTCAATGACGCGACTACGCGAGCCGATTCGATGGCTTGTCCCTCCAGCAGCGATGTCAATCCTGCCGACCCCGAATGTTCAGCTTCCGGTAGTGACCCGCGAGCCCATACGTCCTCAGCCGAAGCAGGTCTGCCTGCGCTCCCTCCCATCATCGCAGTGGCAAGCTTCGACATGCCTGGATATTCCCCGATGATAGGTACGTCTTTGTCAGCTCCGCGTTCTATCAAGTACTAACGAGGTCTCGCGCAGGTGACGCCAACAGTGGTCCGCAGTGGAAGCCGCCGGTGACGCCGACACCAGACAGCGGCTCATCCTTGTTGCTAGACCCGCCGAAGAGAGGAGGTAAACTCGGTAAGCCCACCTCGCGCTCCGTGCCAGCGGTGGAACTCATGTCAGTTCGCGCAGGGCCCACCGACAGTCATAACTCTCTGTTCAGCGAGGCTCCGAGCCTGGGTGACAACTAAACATGGCCAGAGAACCATCCAGGTTCTCTTTGCGCTGCAGCTTCGACCATGGCAAGAGGCTCGAATCGTCATCTACCGCCGCAGACTGGACACATTCCGGTTGAGAGCACCTCCCGGGTTCCACGACTGTCTCGTCATATGATCCCAACAGGATTGAGGCCTTATCCGTCAAGGGCCCTGGCTGTCCTGTACACGCGACGCATGCTAGAGCACGCAGGACCTGTTGTTCCGCCACCTTCTCGGGGCAGTGGTCCTCAGGTCAGCATCGCGGGGTGATCGACTTCGCAGTGCCCGAAGGAGCCTGGCCACACATCGTCATTAGAAGCATCCAGCGCAAAAAAAGTTCGTCAATCGCTCCGTGTCTCTTCCCAGCGACCTTTGAACTCAGCCTCAACAAGGCGCACGTAGGCCACAGGCGCGTCGACTTCGCACTCGGCGCCTACAGATCCGCCGCCGCCATTCTTCGCGGCGGGTTTCTTTCGGGGTACATCACGTGCCCCGATCGATGTCGACGAGGACTCACAAGCTATACCAGGTGTTGTAGAGTCTGGGGGAGGAGAGCGGACCCGTGGAGAGTTCACGCGTAGAATCTTATGGGATTCAATGGCTCCATCAGCGAGGATAATGGGCCGTTCAACGGCATCCTTAATCACGACGGTTGCTCCTGCCAGTGTCCAGCCGTCGACACAGGCACCTACTGGCCGCAAACGCAAACGCACGAACGCGGAGGAGGACTGCGATGCGGCGCCATCGTCCGGCGCACCCAAGTCCTCCACCAGCAACCGAAAAAGGAAGCGTGTAAAGAAGGCTGTTCCGGCTAAGGCGAGCAGTCTTCCCGCTGTTGCTAAAGCACCATCGCCAGAGCTGCCACCACGGGATACATCGAACTCCATCACAAAGAATGTGGAGACGCTCGCGGCCCACCGCGACCACGGCGGAATCGTTGCCTGCGAGATCCGCCCTCACCACCGCCCCCCATCAGGTGTCCTCTCCCGGCCCAGTTGTTGCAGGATCCACTCGCTTCACTCAGCGAGAGGGATCTGCCTGAGCCCTCAGTCGTGAAACCAACCGGCTTGGATGCAACGCCTTCGACTGAAACTGTGGTACCGTCGATCGCGAAGCGACCACAATCTACTACGCCTCCTGTTGTTGCGGCGAGCCTTGATTTTATCGTCGGTGAGTGCAACTGCCTCGACATCCTTGATCGCATTCTAACTCTCGCTCAGGTATGCCACTCTCAGTGGAGCGTGAAGACGATCTCTGTGACTTATTCGGCGACCCACTCGACGATGACTCAGTTTCAATGGGCAAATGAGCGTGAACAGAGCACTTTGACGGCCGAAGCCTCCCTGGTACAACTCGGGCTCTATCGCCAGAGCGCAGGCGATCTACGCAGAAGGTTACAACGACTTACAACAGCTCGGCGAAGGACCACGTTGATGTTCACTAACACGTCGACGGCCTCGGAACTCAACAGCAGTATCCCAAGATGTCACGGAGAGCAAAGCGCGCAGCCGGTAGTGACCACGCATCCAGGGTCGAGAGGTGCATTCGCTGAATGCACCTCTCGAGTCTGGCGGCGCTGTCTTTACCCACATCTGCATCGTACTCTCGGATTGGTGTTACGAAGGCTCACGCATAAAATCCCAAACAGATACATCAAGGTGAGTGCATTCCTGATCGGAGCGACTGACAGCGGACCCTAAGTTACCAACACCAATCGAGCGTCCTCATTCGAAGAACCCATGGAAATCCCAGCCCTTGTTCTCCTCGCCCTCCCTCATCCAACCAATCCTGTCCTGGCTCAGCGCCGCCACCCGCAGGAACAAGCTCCCGTCCAAGACCTCCGCGCCGTCCAAGCCCTTCACATCCTTGAAGCGCCCGGGCGGCGTCATTCCGTACATGCTGGCGAAGTGTGCGAGTGTGCGTTGGAGCTTCGCGATGTGGTCGTCGTTGTGCATCAGCGTGCTCTGCAGGATTTGGAACCACGAGTTCGTCGTCGGGTCAGAGGTGAGTGCGTCCTTGTGGGGGACAGGCTCCGGTGCTGGTGCGTGCGGGTGAGCGGTGGTGGCGGCGTAGAAGTCGCGGATGGGCAGGGCGGGGCGACCGCGCGCTATGTACATGGCGAGGGAGGTGCTGAAGTATGCGCGGAGGAGGATCGAGATGGAGGTCGGGGAGAGGTACGGGACGTAGGAGTGTAGGAAGAGGACGGAGGTGACGAGATGGAGGCTGCACGCCATTGATTAGCCAGCGATGTACCACGAGACATCGAGAGTCACTCACAAGAGGAAGTCCCCGTTGAACTTCTTCCCTGGCGCGGAATGCCTTCCCGCCCAGCCGCCAACGCCGTACAGAACGACATTCATCCAATTGAGCTCTTCGATCTTGCGGTGGACCGCCTCCTTGTCTCCGCCGTTGACAGTCCATCCTGAGGCCAGCTCAAAGATCTGCTGCCCCCGCGCCTCCAGGACGCTGGTTAACATGCTCCCGTCTGCGGCATCCTCCACGGGTATCCCGACCGCAGACGGAGCATACGCAGGGTCATTTGCGATCTTCGCAAGGATCACCAATGCATGCGACTCGTTGTCTGCTACGGAGGTGTTTGTCGCGCTGTTCAGGCCGACCGACGACAACGCGGCGGTGATGGTTGATACTGATGTAGCGATGGCTCTTCCCGAGGAGGTGAACAACGACGGTGGGAACATGTCGGGCATGTGGTCACGTTGAACGCAAAGCTGTCCTAGGCCCTCCGCCACCATGCCAGGGAGTCCAAACTCACATCCGTATCCAACGTGAATCGCTGGATGAAGAACACCCGATAGGAAGCGATTGAGCATCCGCTTAGGGGGCTTGTTGGCCTCGGGCGAGAAGAGGTATTGCTCGAGAACAGCACTGGTGCCCTTTTCCAGAACGGCTGTAGCGAAGAACTCCATATAGGCGTTATAGTAGCTAGGACGTGCCATCAAAGCGCCGAGATGCTGAACCAATTGAACTATGACTTACTCCTCATCCCCCAGGTGTTCATAGAGGTTATCGTGCGTGATAGCTGCCGGCGACTTGTACGCGGGTCGCTGAGACTTGCACTGAACTTGGTAGGCAGCTTCAAGGAGCGCCGAGTTTGCCCCCAGTTGGTAAATCGCTAGGAGGAAGTGGGCAGCATGGCTGCGGGCGACTGCAAGTCAAAAGTCGACTGGTCACGGACGATGCACGTACTCACTCGTGAAAACCTTTCTCGTTGAAGAATATGTGCCAGCGCGTGTGGTTATCCTTCAGCAGCTGGCATAGTGTGCTGCCAGACTCATGAGATACTCCGGCCAGGCGCTGGGGAGACAGTGCCAAAGGAGAAGACGAGGGAAAAGGAAATAAGTCGCCTAGTCTGTCGTTCTTTGCGATTGTCTTCGCCATGGCTCTCCGCGATGTATAAATCCCTGCAGTGCAGAGTTACTGAGACGCTCCTGAGATAGAGGGGCCTTATGGTCGAGTGCCAATACCAAAGCTTGGTTTAAGTACTCCAGCATACACCTGAATGATGACATCAACAACGACTCGGATGTCTGCTGACTGTAGCTGACACGAACCATGATTCAAATCGTCTCCGTTTCTGGCAACAGCTATCCACGAAACTCATCCGTTGTCTCCAGAATTGAGCGAATCGGGAGTGCTCAAGTCTCAAACACCTCTTCGCAAAGTCCTCGTGCAGAGACCGCCCGTGAGTGAGCGTGCCTACTCACCAAACTTGCTGACGGTGAACGGCAACCTCGACACCAGGTTCGATACAGACCGCGCACTCAGGCTTGTGCACTGGCCTGGACGCTGCCGTGACTGGCTTCGACACGCATTGGATCAAATGACCAGGTGAGAAGACAACCTCGAGGCGTGGCAAGAAAATTGTTCTGCTCTGCTTGGACAATCGCTTGTCAAAGGTTCATGATACTTACACAACCTGGTCGATGTTGGTCAGGGTCCTAAGGACATAACAGTAGTGGGCGCACCTGTACCCGGGCCGTAGACGTACCGGCGTGCAGTCTATGCTGGTCCAGGGAAAACTCTACCAACGTAAGTACTAGGGCAGCATATAGGACCATAAAGATATGATACTGGTTTTGACCTATAGTGCATGTCGCTCACAGCTGACTGAAAGCGCGAAGGAAGGATGCAGATGTGTTTTATGTCAAAACGCGATTGTTTGTAGTCACCGACTCAATGTCGAGTCGGACTGCCAGAGTTCTGAGAGTATGTAAGTAACTCGGCCAGGGAATGGCGACACCGTAATGCTTGTATTTGCTCTCAGTGGCTGACGCTGCAAGTTGCAACGCCACCACTGGCACATCTTGAACGTTCGTTTGATAGCCAAGCTGACCTTGCGTCGTAGAAGAATGCCTACAAAGAGTATGCGCTCGTCTGGGCAACCGCAGCCGGACCATGTCTACAGCTCCCAGTCGCAACATCATTGACCGTCTCTTCCGTTTGCTTTCTCCTGCCCCGTAGAACCGATGCCTCGAACGGTGCCCCGGGGCAACGCAGGAACGTCGACATGGCTTATTGTTACGAAGGCTTCGAAAGAAAATCATATGAATTCCACGCCCGCCATAACGAATGAGGGCTGCACTGTACACCAGTACGTCACATTGTCGACTGCAGGTTAGTAGCCACATCAACTCACGCAGGCCTCAGTCTTATGTTCCACCAGCTACTCGCAACATTTGCCATGCGTGGCTCAGCACCTCTTTACGCTGCCATGTACAAGAACCAGGAGCGTAAATGACTCGCTGCCTTCCATTCGCCAGAGGAACCCACGGTAGAGAATCATCACAAGCAGCAAGTAGGCAATACATGTCGAGGCCACAACGAGTTGTATACTCACATTTCATCTAGGTAGTATGACGTATATCTGGAGCACTTCCGCAGCGCTGTCTTTGAGGATAGGTTTGCCGCTTCGTTGGAAGAATACGCCTCTTCATGCTCCTCGACACATGGTTAGCCCCGGCCGCCTTCTTGCATGACCCATTCACCTTATCAGTCATTTTGGCTGCGGCCTCCAGCCTGGAATCCTGAGGCTGGTAGCTGCTAGCAGAAGTCGGGCGCTCAGGACGAGGTCACGTAATGATCTCGCGGCTCACGACGCACATCGCACACATGGCCGTTCACCTCTAAGAACTGCCTAGCCTCCTGCTCATTGCCGACTTTGAGGTGCCTGAAGATGTCGCGGACGCGCCCGACCTGGCTCCCATGCGGACAAGCTTCTTCATGGCCCTCAGCGAGCGCAAGACTCAGAGCACTTCGATTTCCGACAAATATCTGACAGGCAGCACCAAGCCCGCCATTCATGCCTTCTCGATCCTAGCGCGTATCATGAATGATGACCGCGCGAGGTCTGAAGCCACACGATGACCCTTTCGCGGCCGCGTACCTCCTCGAACACGTCAGTAAGGAGGGTGGCGGCGCCATCGTCGAATATGCCCTTAGCTTATTCCCAGACGACGCTGGTGCATACATGCCTGGCAGCAAGGTCGAAGAGCAGTGTTGAGTCGAGGTCCTCATGTATGGCGTCAGCGGCTACCAGAAGGACGACCAAACCGCAGTAGCACTCTCGTTCCGGGAGACATGATTACAAGCGCTCGTAATGTCAGACAGTTATGATGATTGTTCTTCTTACGAGCGGGTATCCTACATGAACGTACGTCGTCGTACTATATGAACACACGGCAAGCAAAGTCTCCAGGCTGGGTGTTCTTGCCTTCAACATTTATCTATTCAGGGCACTGCTTTCAAGGCCTCCTCAAAATCGGCGATGATGTCTGCGATGTTCTCAATGCCAACAGACACCTGATGACAAGGAATGTCAGACGAGGCCAATCGTTCCTCAAGTTCCGAGAAGAGCACGTACCCTGATCAAGTCAGGTGTAACACCCGTTGCGAATTGCTCCTCCGTCGTGAGCTGCTGGTGCGTTGTCGTCGCGGGATGAATCACTAGTGTCTTCGCGTCGCCTGTGGGCCCAAAAGGGTCAATGATTGACCGAAAATGCATGTACGTCGCAAGTACATACCAACGTTAGCAAGGTTGCTCGCCAGGCGCAAGTTGTCTACGACAGCACTGCCGACCTTCGCGTCGTTGCCACCCTTGACGCCGAAGCTGAGGACACCGCCATATACATTTGGCCTTAGTAGCCTTTGCGCGACCGAGTGCGATGAGTGCGACGCAAGGCCGAGGTACGACACCCATGACACTTTCGGATGCTGTTCGAGCCACCTGCGGCCATCCGAGCCCACTCAGACGAGTCCTCATGACAAGAGCGAGTATATGAACGACGTACTGTGCGAGCGCAAGTGCGTTCTGCGAGTGCCTCTCTCCTCTCAGACTGAGCGTCTCCAGCCCCTGCAGCAGGAGGAACGCGCCGAATGGGTTGAGTGTCGAGCCGAGATCGCGCAACACCTCGACGCGGAGCTTGATGGCGAAGGCGATCGGTCCAAACGTCTCGCTGAATTTGAGGCCGTGGTAGCCCTCGGACGGCTCAGTGAAAGTGGGGAATTTGCCAGACCGTACCCAGTCAAACTTGCCTGGAGCGTGAATCAGTGAGGTTCAGATGCACAAACGAGGCTTGACGTGTCCGGCGTACCAGAGTCAATGACCACGCCTGCAATCGTGTTTCCATGGCCGCCTATCCACTTCGTGGCGCTGTGAACTGCAGGAGACGATCACTTCATTGTAAATACCTGGACTAGTTTGTGGCTTACCGACAATGTCTGCACCATGGTCGATGGGACGAATGAGGTAACCTGTAACAGACATAACGTGAACACAAGACAATGAATGGCGCCTCAAGGCTCACCTCCGATGCCAAATGTGTTGTCCACAATCAACGGGATACCGTGATCATGGGCCACCTTCGCGTATTAGTGCGCAGTTTGACTGCAGAAATTCGTTACAGACCTTTGCAAGCTCCGGGATTGGCGCAACGTTGTACTTCGGGTTCCCGATGCTCTCTATGTATATAGCCTTCGTCTTGTCATCAATGGCCGCGGCGAACGCCTCTGGGTCTTCGCTGGTCACAAATTTGACACCGATGTTGAATCGCTTCAGGTAGACTGCAAGGCTCGCATGAGTGACAGGTAACTAATGAGAGTCAAGCCACGCTACCTTTGAACTGATTGTAGGTCTACGATGCCGTATAGATCAGAATCTGGGCCTTACGAAGGCAAAGTAGCTTACACCACCGTACAAGAAGGACCTGCGAGGTCCCGTTTAGTTACATCGCAATGTTAGTTGTGTTTGGAACTTACGTAGACACGATGTTGTCCCCGGCGCCAGCGATTGTCGAAATCGCCATGAACTGCGCTGCTTGTCCACTAGAGGCAGCGACAGCGGCAGCTCCGCCCTCGAGAGCGGCAATACGCTTCTCGAATACTTCCTAACGTTCAATTGTCAATAAACTGACAACAAACTGTATGTGGCTGTTGCGTACTACTGTCGGATTGCCAATACGAGAGTAGATGTTGCCGAACGTCCTGAAGAGAGGTTAATGGGGTCCACCATGCAGTGACACCAGAAATACCAACCTAAGGCCGAACAAGTCGGCGCCGTGCTGATTGCATCGAAGCAATTATATTCAACTCATTCATTCACAGAGCAAGCAAGCACAATCACCTCAGAATTGTTGAAGACGAAACTAGTGGTAGCGTAGATAGGAGGTGCCCGCGCATTCGTAGTAGGGTCGGGCTCCTGCCCAGCGTGTAGCTGGAGAGTCTCAAACTCAGGAGCTCTGTCGATTGTCAGATGTTAGGGGTATCCGGGCTTTGAAGAGGGACTTCTCGCAACTCACTTGTGAAATTGATGGGCCATGGGAGAAGACTCGAAGGAGGTGTTCGCAACACTTTGGGCCGGATCCTGTCATGTACATATATTTATTGGGCGTACGTTCCGTCATCGTGCCGCCATGAAGTTATGTCAGTGCGTGACTCGAAAAGCCGCCCCTGTATGAGGTGCAATGGCAATCGCGTCATGCGGTAGAAAGATCGCGAGCTCGAGACTACTGCCGGTTCGGAAAACACAGAGTCACGAGTGGTTGGATATCAGAAGACATGGCAGTCGATGTCAGGCCTGAGAACGTAAGTATATGTTATCGTCGAGAGTGTTGGACTGTCTCCATGGAGAGAAGCTGGAGAGAAGTTCGAGAACCGGTTTTCGGCAACAGCCGATTACGAGCGCCCAGTTGCTTCAAGGCCTTGAGTTGGCCTTGAGCGCGAGCACCATACCTCATTGTATGAAACTTTCAATGAAACTACCATACCTGCGTCCTCTCAAGTGCTCAGTGGATGCTCGACTACCCCAGTCGTAGCGCATCACGATATATCAAACAGTTACGGGGGAGCAAAGAGTCTCGTCGATACAAACTCCTGCCATACTACCGTGACCGTAGTCCTGCGATGCCAGAATGCCAACTTGAACCCCGGTCCGATACTACGCCTTGGACGGTCCAATACACCAGAACAGCTATAGCCGTATACTTCTGGTCTATAAGCCCGAAGCCGAAGCTTGAATACCTAACATTCACTGGACTGAGCAACCGCGACCGAAGGCTGTAGTGGCAGGTGCATCGTCACCTTTGATATCAAAGACATCCTCGTAGAAATGCAGCTCCTGCTCCAACGCCGCCTTGATGGTTTCTGCCTTCCTCCATCCGTGTCCCTCGCCTTCAAAGACGGTGTACTCAACGCGTCCGTGCCGCTTTTTGATCGCCTCTACGATGACTTCCGCTTGGTCAGGTGGTACCACAGCATCGATTGAGCCTTGCAAAACCTGGCAACGACACGAGCCGTTAGAAAATCACTCTGAGCGGGTCAAAGATGACCGCTCACCAGCAACGGCGTCTTGATCTTGTCCGCGTGGAAGATGGGCGAACGTTCCTCGTAAACCTCAGGCACCTCCTCCAGTGTGCCTCCTATGAGCTTCTCCAAGTAATGCGACTCGAACTTATGCGTCTCCTTCGCGAGCGATCGCAAGTCCGCGATTCCGTATAGCGACGTCGCGGCAGCAAATGCATCTTGTTTGAGACAGATTATCGCCAGAGTCGTGAAGCCACCGGCGGACCCTCCACGAATGACGCTTCGTTTGGGGTCGATGAGGGAGTAGGGTGGACTAGAGAGCTGTTGCATCGCACGAGTGCAATCCTCCACGTCCACGATACCCCACTTGCCCTCTAGTCGCTTTCTAGTGGGACCTGGTCACGAACATACTGGGAAGTGGCGAGGACGAGTGAAGACTTACATGTACTTCCGACCATACCCTGAACTTCCACCGTAGTTGACATCCACCCTGCCACAACCACGTTAGTTGCCTGCAACAGACGCAGTCTTCACGGCACGGACGTACCACGCCCAGCCACGGCTCGTGAAGTACTGTCTGGTCCAGCTCAGGGACGCGGAATCCCGTCCGGTAGGGCCACCATGGGCATTCACCACACATGGTGGCCTCTCACTCTCCGGTGCCTCGTATGCGGGGTTCTTCGGTGGCAAGTACAGAACGTGCAGCTCGCCATCCTCCGTCGTCAGCGTCATAGACTGGGCGATAGAGATCAACGAATTCGGGAACTTCGGCGCAGTACTCGTAGACGCAACATTGACCTCGCGGAACTGAGGCTTCGCACCATCAGCTAAGACGCATACGATGAGTACTTGCGGAGCCTCCGCGCTGTTCGCGAGAAACACGAAGGAATTGGGTCCAACGCGTTTTAAATCTTCGACATCCGTATAGGGGCACTCAATTTCCTCGATCTCACCCGTGAAGAGCTGGACGATGTACAGCGCGATGCGGTCATCCTTCAGTGTTGTGTAAATCGCACGCCCAGCATGCAGGTCTAGCGGCGCGCTGTATTCCCCACCCAGGCTGTGTAACGGCTGGTTGAAGTCCTCGTCTATGGGTGACGGAAGGACTGGTGTTGCTTTACCAGATGACACGGAGTATATCCAGGGGTTTTGGTATCCAGTCTCATCGGTGGTAAACAGGAGGATGTCTTTCGACGCCCAGGCAGGCGAAGATGCGCTGATGTCGATCTTCCTTCCCGCTACGTAAGTGGTGTCGCTCAGCGCGAGGCCATCCTCGTTCACGTCGACCTTGGCGACATAGATCTCCGAGCCCTCCCATGGCATGTCAGGATGCGCCCACTGTTCCCAGGCGAGGTACCTGCCATCCGGCGAGAAGGATGGGAAGGCATAGAAATCGGCTCCCGAAACGACAGTGGCGACGCTGTGGGTCTTGCTGTTGATGATGCAGAGCGTCGTGACGACATCCGACGGACGTGGCTTTGTGTGATCCTCTAGGATCGCGACAAGGATATGGTTGTACTCAGGATGCACATTGAGCTTGGCGTAACGGAAGTTCTTGTTATCTGTAGGAAACGCTCAGAGGTTGATCACTGCAGTCAAGGACTACGCACCAGGAGTGATGGGTTTGGGGTCGTGTCCCTCAGCGACCACGTACACCCTATTGTCTGTGTAGTTCGAAAAGTATACCGCGCCGCCGTACGCCATAGCTGGACCGCCGCCATACTATCAATGGTGTGAGGATTCATATACTGGACATAATGTGCAGCCACGCACCTCTTGTACGCCTGTCCTTGCATTCCACTCCTTTCCAATCACGTCCCGACCCGTACTCGCCTCGACGATGACATCGCGACCACCCTCAGCAGGCCTCCCTTGGATGTAGTATATGGCGGAGGTGACCGGGTCGACGAACAGTTCGGACTTTGACCCGCCCTGAATAGCGGAATGAAGTTTGAGTCACGGTTGGGCATGAGAGTTACATACTCACACCCTGCAAGATCGCGTCCGCTGTGATGGGCGACGCCCAAGTCCCGTAAGGCGCCGTCTTCTTGGCCACCGCGGCCGTAACATCCTGCTTCACTGCGGACATTGCTGCACTTGTTGTCCTTGCTTCTTTCGCGGAGATGCCCCAACTATGAAAGCGGAGAGAATCGAAGTCAAGGAGTATGCAAATACTGGCGAACGTGCCCGAACAGTATGTACTAGTCATCCAGCAGTCATCCCACGTCAGTGATCGCTGCCACCACTATTCGTTGTCTATTACATCCCTCTAAGTAGGCTCTACCCAACCTGGCCGACCACAATGGGATGCCTCACATTCGTACCGCGATAACCTCTGGGTGTACCTCTTCAGTGAGCAAGAACAGATCGGGTGGTCTTGCTATTGCGTGGGGAGATGTGCATCATATCGTCCTGGGTAAACTTGTCGAGTATGGAGTCTGCGCCGGTGTTCCACCCACACTGTGAGTACATGACCATACTGCAGCAAGGCCACGGCGGTCGCAAAGAATGTTTGGTACGCACGAGGCCGCACCTCGGCCTCAGGCTAGCACTGATCGAGGCGGCTGCAATAGATAATGGTCATGGTGTCTTGGACTGCGCGGAGCCGCGGGTCTCACAGACGCTTCCATCTCACAGCAGCTCGCAAAGCGTAAGATGTCTATCAGCCCGTCGTACAAGCAACTGTACAACGAACAAGGATTCGTGGTCATCCCGAATCTTATCCCAGAGGCGTCGTTCAAGGAGCTGAAGGACGCCGCGGAGCGCGCTATCGCACGCACCCGTTCGGGCGAATGGAAGCTCAGGCGGACGGTGAGCATAGGACGTCTAGATATTGTCAATCGCATGAGTTCTGAGAAACGTCCGCGCTATAGGTTGGCAGCCAGTTCCCACCATATGACCCAGACAGTCCGGATGCATGGGGTGTCCAGCACATCATGCACCCTGACATGAACGAGCCGGCCTTCGCTAAGTGGTACACGTCCGACCCACTCGTCGAGGCCGCGGAAGGGCTCCTTGGTTGCACTGAGGGAGAGCTGCAGATGGGTGAGCCCGCATAGATGTTCAGTCTTCAGTCTTCCCTAATGCACTCAATCACTTTGCGCAGAGCTGTTCAACATGCTGATCAACCCCGAATCACACGCCTTTGCCTTGAGGTGGCACCGCGATGACGTGCGCGAGAAAGCGACAGAGGACGAGGAACGCCAGGCGCTGAGCATCTGGCACCACGGCGTACGTCCCAAATCTTGCTTTCGAGCCGATCGGACGCTGAGACGGTCTAACATGACCACAGGTTCAATGGAACACGTATGTTCCCAGCTCGTTCCCGTCCTTCCCTTGGCTAATAGTTGATTAGTGCGCTCTACGAAGATTCATGCCTCTACGTCGTCCCCGTTCTCATCAGATCCCCCGAACGCCGGAACAGCGCGCCCGTTCAATCACTCAAGACCCTCCTGAGAACCCTCTGGACATGCCGGGCGCGCTCCAAGTCACACTGAAACGTATGCCACATTGCTCCCTCCTCGTGATTTGGCATGCTGATGTTCCGCGTGTTCAGCCGGGGAGACTGTGTTCTACAACAACAATATCCTGCACTGCGCGACATACGACCCATACCAGAAGCGCGCAACTCTTCACGCGTGCATGGGCGATACCCGCGGGGGCGCCATCCGTGCGCGCAACATCCTGCAGCATGGCTTGTTCTGGATGAAGGAACCACCCTTCCGAGACACTCTTAACGAACGAGGGAAAAAGATGCTCGAGCGACTCTTGAAGTTGCAAGAGAGTGTGAATGGGGATCTGGGTTACTCGCAGGTGAACTGACCCTCGCTCACATCGCTCGACGCCTGCTGTGTCTTGTTAGATGCGGCGGTAGGCGAGGAATTGAACGCAAGATGGGGTGCGTTGACTCGACTTGCGATTGGCGATTCAGACGACATGCGGCGAATCATCTCTGTTGCAATGCATATAATATGTATTCTGGGCTTCTTCGCTTTCGGGAGTGCCGTCAGTGCCGGAAGCGATTCATGCGCGTCCATGCCAGCAACCGATTTAGCTTACCGTGAGTAGATTCAATGCGATATATCGATCGTATGGACGTCGTCGCTGACGAAAATGACTGTCATCATCGGCACACAGCGGTCGATACGGCTCCGGTGTTCATTCGTAGCATCCGGGTCGTCACTGCGAACGTCCAGGTAGACACCTACATGCATCCGCCCCAGAAATGCAACAACCACGGGGCCTGTTCTCGTCAGCGCTGTGGTGTACACGGGCTCTACCATTCTAGTCGAACAGTTCCTTCCCATTAGGAACTCACCGGTGCCACATAAACTCATTCCGACGATCTAGAGGTTACCCCGGCGATCCTCGGGAAGGCTCCAGTGGGGACGTCAATGCGAATACACTGTCACTTAAGCTTTTGTTGAAGACCAATTGGCTTGTCCATGTAGCTATGGGCGCTTGGAGACGACCGCAAGCTCTGGTCGGGATCGTAGTCCTGCAAGAATGCTAGTGAGGGCTTGGAAAGTACTTACAAGACATACGCAAGGAATTCATTATGATATAGAAGGTACGCAACTCTCCACACATCTACGCATCCACTTGTCATCTTCACGTCGACACAAGCTATCTGACCCAAGTATATGCAGCCGAAGTTCATCTCAAGCGCGGTCATCCTCCTATCCGATTGTTTAATTGCATAAAGTCCCACTGGCTTCAACAAAAAATGATGTCTACGTCTACAGCTACATCAGCATCAATGCACCAATCCCAGGCTCTTCATGACAGTAGCCACAGATCCAACAAAAGCCGTCGTAACGCTCGGAACGGTAAGACTAATCAATAAACTCCAGTTGACGTATAGTGGTGCCGAAATACACAACCAAGTAATGGCCCAGGCGTATCCCGCGAAATGCGCGAGGTTCAAGGGAATCTTCACCCCGCTCCTTCTCACGATGCCGATAATGGCGTCCTCGAAGGTAATCGCCACGGCCTGCGACATGAAGAAAGGAAACGACGTGCCGAATAGGTACGGGCTGACCATAAGGTCTCCACCACAATGCAGAAATCCGGAGACGGCGAAGCCGACGTACAACTGAGTGTAGGACGATGCACGGGTGCCCGGGCGCAGGCCCAGCGCACGACAGCACGCTTTACCGCAAGACGCTGTGAGCTGCATTCGAGTCAGCCAAAAACCTCACGAATCATACAAAAGACACACCCGACGCAGAAGCTGATGGTATGTTCGACTGTCACGATGTCAGCTGGCGCTGAATCGCGAAAGAAGACTCACTCACCCCCAGAATCGCCGTACTGTGTAAGCATCCGACCAGTGGCCATAGATATCCGGCCACTCTCGTGGTGTTGTGATGCCCAGTGCGACACTCGTCGCAGCGGCTAGCGAATTCTCCAATGCCAGCAACCCGACGAGGCTGCTGAAACGCGCAATGATGGAGATGGGGCGCATAAGGTATGCTTGTGGTCCCCCTGCTGAGTCGTAGATCGACCGTAGAGGCGACTGATTGTAGGTCTGGGCTAAATCGAGGAAAAGGTACCATCGGAGTGCAGACAGGAGTTTGTGTACGACGAAGGTCCATTTAGGACTGCTGGGCCGCGTGGGGAGATGCGCGACCTAACAGGCATACAGGAGGCCGACAAAATGAGACACGTATAGGTCTGTGTATCGCAGTGCGTACCTCGTATGACCAGCCCACTCCTCGTGGATTGTTGATTATACACAGTAGCCACCACACTCGACGAACGAAAGGGAGCTTCGTGGCGGCAGTATAATCGTGCTCGTGACGATACTCATGCACTGGGTTGACTAGCCAGAGGAGAAGGTACGCCGTGAACACCTGGATCATGATAAGATTGCCTATTGAATAGTCTCGTGGGGCTTCCCCTGTTGTGCAGCAGTATGCGGCCGCAACTAAGGTGGCCAGCACAACAGAGCCCGCGATTCGACCAGGCCTACGTGGTGAGAGGGCGAGGAGACATGCCAAGCAGGTCTGTAGCAGCGCAAAGAAGGGAAAGATGGATAGACGAGGGCGGCTCTCGACGTCCATGGCGGTGCAAGTCGTAGTCGGGCGAGAGCCAGTGTACTCGTTGTACAGAACTCTTGAACGAGTTCCCCGCCGATGTATTGGTGGGCTATCGGCCCAAGGAGGATGACGAGCGGAGGTAAGTCTGTCTGTATGGAAGATCTTAATATCGGGATTCAGACTCCTGCGGAGTAAGGGCGACCACGAGTCAGCCTAGAGGGCCTCGGCGGCGGCAAAGCCATGATGAGACGGCGAGACGTCGAATCATACCAGCGTCCATCACCAGGGAGGCGGGGAATGGACTGTGGGAGTAAGTGGGTAGGCAGTACGTACAGCAGGCTGAGATCGCCGCACATCCGGGTCTCACGGATGCAGAACGCTCCACATGTTCTGAAAGAAGAAGCAGATAAGAGAGGTGAGTTGTGGTCGGCCACTCCAGGACAGTCAAAGAATTGTCGCAATGGGTCTCAAGAAGGGTTTGCGCGCATGTCTACGGCGCGCGCATCTTACGTTACATCCTTTTTCGACCAATGTCAGGGTTGTAATGTCATGGATCTCAATGATGAGACTTGGGGACTGATGCAGATGAGGGATCTTTCAACTTAGTACACTCGGCTACACTTGCATGGAAGAGACCTGCCTCATGTGCCTGCTCCATTGAGGGACCGCCGTTCGACTGCTGCCGCGACCTCTTTGTGGTCCATTCTTCGTTCTGTATCTGCCATAGGTCGATTGTGCGCCGGGAGCACTCGGCGTGCAGGCTTCTCTGACTCGCTTGAAGATATCTAGTGGTACATTCATGTTACGCGAGTCACAGTACGGTTATATACATACCGTAAAGCTTCGCCACGTCGCGACTCAAGGAGGCGACTCGGACTCACGTCTAGATCTACCTCCTCCCTTCTTCTCACCAGGACACTCGATACTCACCAATTTGGCTCGAAAGCTTCGTTCTTGCACTCTATGCATCGAAATGTCATATCAGCGTAATGAAGGTTTCAGGCTGAAACCCACTGTCAGCTCCTGAACGCCCCGAATGCGCGCTGAGAAAGTGGACGCCCACGGTCGGCGAACAGTCATGCCGCGGCTCGGCTGTATTTTCAGAGGCATCCGAGGTGCATGTATACACGTGTCGAGCCTACTAAGTACCTCAGGCTGAGTCGTAGTACACACACCTCAGGCGTCGCCGGATTGTTAAATGAGATGAACATGGGTCAAAATTAGGCTCGGAAGGTCGTTGTTGGCAGTAGTCAGCTACTAGGATATTTCTGTTCAATCAGTGTTGATGCAGATGTTTGTGACTTGCTGCGACGCACCTAACTTATTGTATTGATTGACAGATGTCGCAGTGGCAAGTTGAACCCACTGGTGAGTCCGTTGATGGAACGATGCATATGAGGTCTCAGCATTGTACATGTTGCCAAAGCACATATCGCAGAAGGTATGCCAGGTTCGCACGACGTAGTCGCCGCCAGACCTCCAGACCTCCCCTTCGATTGGTCTCGTACCCATCCGTGTGGATGCACCCCACCACCTGTCGGAGCGGTGGTGGGGTGCGTCCACACGGATGGGTACGAGACCACCCTTCGATCTACATAAGCCCAGTTTCACTGCGGACAAACCGCGTTGTGCGAAGCGCTCACATGGTACTTACATTGTAAGGGCGTGTATATTTTTACGGCTCTAAGTCGGAGCTCCTAACATAGGGAATGGGATCCCTTTGTTCGGCCTAACATTTTGAATGTTCCTAGAATCGGGAATGTAAGTGTTATGTTCTTCCTATGTTCCGAAATCGTGCCATGTTCTAGGAATGTACTTCCCATGTTAGGGAAGTTCACTTGATGGCTTACTAATATACACGCCCTTGCAATGTTAGGCCTATGTAAGCGCCTCGCACAATCCGTAGTCTCCCCTAGGCAGACCCTAAAGAAAACCTCTTTGAGTGGGGGAGAGGACGGTCTTCTAAGGGTCTGCTTCAAAACGCGCCCCCAACACCGGGACAGCCCCTTTGCTACCCATTCTGTGATGGCCGAGCAATGCCGTGGCCACGGCGACTCGGCGGGTGGCAGCGGCAGATCGGCAGGTGGCAGAACTGAGATCTATCACGATATAATCTAATACATAAACTAATGATTTGTACTCGTCCGGCGTACACCTGCTTCGAGATCATCACTCTCGTAGCCCGTATTTTCGTTCGCTCATACACGCTTTTGGGTCTACGTGCAAGTAGGCGGGTCCACAGGGCAGTGGGTGTGTGAACGTGTGGACAATCGCATGGGCGATCGTGCAGGTGAGTGGGTGGCCGGCTGGCCGAGTAGATGAGAGCGCAGGCGAGAGGGCGCGTGCAAGAAGAACCGTGGATGAGAGGCTGTGCAGGTGTGGGTATAACAGTCACATGGATGCTTTTGAAGTTGTGGTTCTTACTCCGGGACATTGCGTGAGACAGCGAGATGGCGAGACAGCAAGTCAGCGGGCGAGTGAGACAGTCGGCGAGCAAGACAGTCGGTGAGCGAGACAGTCGGCAGACAGCAGGCGCACGAGATAGCGAGCGAGCGAGACAGTGAGCGAGAGGGATAGAGGGATGACAGGTGGTGGGCAGGCGAGACAGTCAGCAAGCGGAACAGGTGAGCAGTACACAGACAAGTGTGAGGCGGGCGAGGGTACAGCGAAATGGCGGGCGAGCGAGGTAAGGAGCAAGCTGACAGTGAGCGCTGGCGAGCGAGCAGGAGGGTGAGTTTGCAGGCAGGCGTGTTGGCATGATGGGCGGATAGACAAGAGCAGGTAGGCGAGCGAGTCATCAAGAAGACGGAGGCGGGCGGACGAGAGCGGGCAAGCGGGTGGGTAGTGGGCGGGCAAGCGTGTGAGACGGGCGACGAGAGCAATCATGAGGGCGAGGGCTGCCTGGCAGGTAGAAACGGGCGAGCAGGTGAGAGTGGGCAGTCCCGTCGACGTCGAAGCCGTCCTTCGCAGACATCTTCTTGAGCTCCGAGTCGTACACGATCCTTGTAATCGCCAAACCGAACGACACACCGAGCTGCAGGACCCATTATATTAGCCATACGCACACAATACGGAGACATCACACACACCTGAGTCATGCTCTGGAAGAGCACACCGGGCCGCCGACGCTCTGGTCGTACGGAAGACACACTTTCGCAACGAAGAGCGTGCCCGCTGCAAACACAAAGTCCGCGCCGAACGCCCAGTACGTCGCCACGGGGTTGATCAGCGCAAACAACAGGTTCGCCACGCCGCCTGTCAGGGCCATACCCATCGCTGCACAGCGCACTGATCAGCACACGCTCAAGATCCGTCGACGACGAATACTCACTGACGAGGACCACGAGCAGCACCCGGCCCACGAACAGCGCCACGATAACGTTCGTGACCGTGATGAACATCGACAAGAGCCTTACCATCGTCAGGCTGGGGTTCGAGCAAAGGCGACGCGTCGAGCGCGTCGAGATTTGCGCACGCGTTTCGGAGATGAAGTGGCTTATGTAACTCCGCTAACGGGCTGTCCCAGTGTAGGGCCGTCATTTTGAAGCAGACTACACAATCCGGGTTGTCCGCAGTGTTTGTGTGACACTTATACATGCTATCTCTGCCTATCCGCTTTGTGATGCTGGAACACCTCGTACTCACAACTGTCAGCTAAGCTATTAGCTTCTCAGCGAGGTCGGCTCGGTCAACGAAAGCGCCTTCCATTCAGGGCTGTGTGGACTGGCATGTATTGCGCAGTTGGTGCGTGTACACCAACTGACCCGTATGGCGCTGAGGCTGTCAGCAAGAAACCTAGGTGGTGTAAGTCAGTGGAACTGACAGGGTCCTTCGTTTACTAATAGGAGGGGCCTCTGCATAAGAGGGGGCTTCGCACGACAAGTACTCACGCATTGGGTAATCGCGGGCCGTCACGTCGACGGCGTGAAGACGTCTGTGGGAACGAAAGACTTATTCGACTTTGCCTGATGACCGTACCCGTTCCTTCGAGTCTCCTCCGACCTTCATGAGAACTTGACACTGAGCCTGAACGGGTTTGATTAGTACTTCGCAATGGCCTATCGTAGCGTTGTCATAGACCCTTCAGCTATAGAGTCAACTTCAAATCGAAATTGTGCTCGGAGACCACAGCCTGCCATGTTGTCTGAGTCCAATTTAGTTGGTCTCCACTGTCGGCGAGATTCAAATTCAACAATGGTCGTATTGTATTGGAGCTATGCCCCTGAAGCGGCTTGGCAGAGGAAATACCTATCTTCATGATCTTGCCATTGCCTGCGCGGGTACTTGATACATCGAGCACAAACAAAGTAGTGAACACGTACTTATCAGACGATCAAGCGACGACGGGGGGGGGGGGGGGGCAGAAACAGCACGACTCGGACTGACCCAAGTTTTGTCAATGGACCCTTAGTTTTAGAGACTGAGCTTTTGGCGTACCCTGTCAGAAGGTGTGAGCATAGCCATGGCAATTCCGAACAGTGTCTCAAGACGTACCGTCCCTGACAATAATAATCCGAACCGCGACCTTCCATTTGTGCCGGAAGTGCTTCAAACACTGCTTCGTCCCACTTGCCAAAACAACCTCGGCAGCAAGGGTGAGCATCGCGTGCCATCAAACAAAGATTCGGCGGTCCGTTTCAAGCCTCTTCAAGCTCTGAGCGATGCTGGTTCGGGTGAGGCCGCCCATGAGATGATCATCGTTTCAACGGTGGCGCATCACGAACCACGTGACCGCGACGTTAACAGAAAGTCAACAGAAAGTCGACCCTTTTACCTCAGTTGAAGTCGTCTCTGTAATAAGTCTTCTGCAGCTGCTCTCAGGCTGAGTTCTGTTCACGCGTGCGACCACAATCCATCTCTAGCAGCTGTCTTAACAGATCCTCAAGTGGTTTCCGTCGAAGTGCCAGAAAGGCACAGCGACAGAAACTTCCGCGGCCACCGCGCGCAGATCATGCAACTCCTCGGAGTCCACCTAGCAACACATGGGTTCCCTCGGGAGTTGCGCACTGACGGAACCCATAGAGTATGTGATGGACGATCATGTACCAACTGAAACCTGCTGTATCGCCCTCCGCACTGTCGCTCACGGCGGAGTGTGAGTCTCCCGCGGTGCGGTAGCATTTATAGGCATCAGCGTGAACAGCGAAGTATCCTGCTTCTTCCTCTGCAACATGACCGAACAACGCTTCTATAAGTAAGTTGCCGACATTATTCATGCTTGTGTCTCGCCGTTTGACGATGGGTCAGGACACCCGAGTTCGAAACACTCCAGTTGCACGCCGGACAAGTGCCCGACTCGGCTTCGAACGCGCGGGCACCACCCATCTACGCCAGTACAAGCTTCGTCTTCAATGACTCCGAGGTACGATATGGCTTAGGTCCTCGAATACTGTATGGTTCTCAGGATCGCGATAGCATGCTGCCGACCTCTTCGCTGGTAGGAAGGTCGGTTACATGTACTCTCGCGTCTCCAATCCCACGGTGGTACGTGGCTCGTGCGCACCTTTGCAAGATCCCTAGTAGGTGCTCACTATGATTCAATGTGCTTAGGAGGTATTCGAGGCGCGTATGGCTGCACTCGAAGGTGGAGTAGCTGCAGTCGCTGCTTCGAGTGGCCAGTCTGCGCAGTTCATGGCGATCTCAGCAATTGCTGGTGCGGGTGACAACATCGTGTCTACGTGAGTCTCGTCATGCGGGTACACTCATGAATGAGACTCACCAAGAGCCGGAAGGTCATTCCTGTACGGAGGAGTAGGTTTGATCCATGGTATCGTCGGGGATCTGCAGTATTGATCGAACCTTGCTTCAGACATACAATCAGTTTAAAGGTACCGGTCGTAGTAGTGGTCAGCTATGCGTACTTCCCTAATCGATTCCGTTTTTGCTAGTGTATCTCAAGAAGTTTGGAATTGGTGCCAAAATCGTGACCGGGGAAGACCCGAATACCTTTGCTGCCGCTATTGACGAGAAGACCAAAGCGATATATGTCGAGAGCATCGGAAATCCAAAATACAATGTCGTACCCTTGCCCGAGCTGGCGAAGGTATGCTTTTGCATGATTTCCCGGGCCTCGTATCCATTGAGAACCCCCCCTAGGTCGCCCATGAACATAAGATCCCGTTAATTGTTAATAACACTTTCGGGATGGGCGGCAAGTATCTGGCCGGCATACCTTCGAAGTGCGAAAGCTTATGCTCGCTTTCACAGGTTATTTAGTGCGCCCAATTGACCACGGAGCAGACATCGTTGGTACGCGTGTTCATCGTGCATGCGCTTATCCCTCGCTCAAACCATCTTCAGTGCACAGTGCGACGAAGTGGATTGGCGGTCATGGAACGACAATCGCCGGAGTTGTCATAGATTCGGGTATGCTACTGCTACTCGCTGACCACACACTGACCCTATCCTACGCGACAGGCAAGTTTGACTGGGTCGGCTCAGGGAAGTTCCCGATGTTTACTGAGGCCTCCGAGGGCTACCACGGCCTCGTCTTTAGCAAAGCCTTCGGGCCGATGGCCTTCGCCATGGTCTGCCGCCTGATCGTCCTTCGCGACTTGGGCTCCTGCATGAACCCGTTCGCAGCGTTCCTCCTCCTTCAGGGCCTCGAGACACTCAGCCTCCGGGCAGAGCGCCATTCGCAGAACGCGTTGGCGCTTGCAAGGTGCCTTGTTTTCGAGCGGTCATGATGGAAAGAACCGGTGCTCATCGGGTATGTCCGTAGGTTCCTCGAGCAACATCCCAAGGTCACCTGGGTGTCCTACCTTGGACTTGAATCCCACACGTCGCACCAGCTCGCACAACAGCTGTTGCGACCGAACATGTACGGTGGCATGTTGAGCTTCGGTGTCAAGGGAGATGCCAAAGCGGGCAGCGCGGTGGTTGACAACCTTAAGTTGGCGAGCAATCTCGCGAACGTTGGTCAGTGTGGTGCTACCGGGAGGCACCATGGTTGCTCACCTGCCCTCTGTTAGGCGATGCAAAGACGCTGGTCATCCACCCTGCCACAACGACCCATCAGCAGCTCAGTTCGGAGGAGCAATTGGCGTCTGGCGTAACTCCCGACCTGATTCGCGTACGTTGCCTGCTCAGATCACTCGTTGCAGTACCGATCTTCTTTCCAGGTATCGGTTGGAATCGAGAACGTCGCAGATATCATCGCCGATTTTGACGAAGCTTTGAAAGTCATTGCTTGACGTCCGTTAGCCGGGATTTGCAACTTGTTGCAGCATAGCGGCGGCATCTAAGTACTTGAATGGAAATGCTTGTTGGACCGGAAACTGTTGTTAAATGAAACACCATATCTGCTTAGCGCGTACAGGCGCCTTCGCACGTCCTTTCAGACGGAGAGGACACAAGCCAGTTGGTTCGAGGTTCGGAATCGTGTTGCGCGCGCCACAGACGCGTCGATGGTGCATGTGACATCTTCTCGCGTCTGACGTGACCGTGGCGCCTGCTCTCTCGCATTTCTCTCCAAGACCATTCCCTCCTCGCGCTCTACCCGCGACAATCGACGTCCAAAACCTCCTTCTTCTCTACGCCTGGGAGAACCCGGGAGATCTCTTCTTGATCTCGACGGGCTAGAATCCGTGCGAGTCTTATATGTCCCTGCTTTCGAAGGCAACTGTCGGAACAGTGGGGCTACTTTGCAAAACATTTCTCAAAATCGGCTACTGCTCTTCTGTGACTGTGAATGGCCTAGAGAATCTATATAAAGCACTCGAGAGCGACGAGAGAAACTCAGGTCGCGGTGTGGTGACCAGTAAGTCTGGTCTGCTTCGTCAGATGTCTGTCTGACGATTCGGCCAAGTATCCAACCATATCTCGACGTCCGTGATTTCGTTCTCCAGTTTCAAAAACGCTCAATTAACGTTCTTGATAATATTAGTCTGGATGAACCAGTTATGTGGGGGGTTCTCCCGCTTCGGTACCACCTCAATACGCGCATGACGAGATGGACGCTAGGGGCATCCGACATCATGTTCACGAATCCGTGAGTGCTCGCGTGCTCGGCCTTCGTGTAGTTGCATGTTCTATGAGCTAACATGAACCAGCCAGGATGTTCTCCGAGTTCTTTCGTAAGGGGCAGGTTATCGAGACTTTCCGGGGAAATGGTGTCTTCCAGCCCGCTATTGATCTTGCCATCAAGAAGTTGAACAGCGGTGCTTGGGTGAGCCTGCAGTCGCAGTTCCATGATTCTAGATTGACAGTACCGTGTAGATTCACTTGTTTGGCGAAGGGAAAGTCAACCAACCCACGCGAGCTCCAGGGCACAGTCCCGTGGACTTGATACGGTTCAAATGGGGTGTGTACGTGCCTTCACCACGCCCAGTAGTCGTTTACTCAGTGGCACACAGAGGTCGTATACTGATGGAGACAATCAAACCTCCGATTATCATCCCTATGTGGCTAACCGGTAAGTCCCTCACTGATCAGGATGACACGGTATCTGAGCCCCCCATTCTGATTATGCAGGCTTCGACCAATTGATGCCAGAGGGCCGCTCCGCTCCCTGGAAGTTCTTCCCCCGACCAGGCGCAGCGCTCAGCATCACCTTCGGCAAACCAGTCGACAACACTGCCGTACGGGAGATGTTAGGCCTCGCCGTCAGCACGGGCGACATGCCAGAGCTTTCGCAGGGCACTAGCGGCGGAAGGACAGACCCTGTGCGGCCTCGCCAAGAAAAGGCGAGCGCACGGGTCTCGGAGAGCGGCTGGTGGGGTGATGCTGCATCGCCGAGGCTGAAGGTGGAGGCGCAGAGTGCCCCTGGGTGGCAGACTGCGGAGGAGATTGCGAGAATACGTAGTGCCGTGACGGCGCTGCTGCAGAGGGAGGTGGAGAAGTTGGGCAGAGAGGTTGTCGGGGAGCGTGTATAGTTGATGTAGACTTTGTTGTGTGTTCATAAGCTATATCTATCAATGTTGTAATGTTGCTCGCGAAGTTCTGCATTGTCATTTACTTCCTTGGATGGGCGACTTCGGGCTAACAGATAGCGCAATGCTGGCGTGGTCCGGGAAAGTTGTATCACCTCGAGCATAAGATATCGATCTGGATGGGAAGGAGAATCTGCGCAGGTGAAAACGGGCAAAGATCCGCGTAGGTTACGACCCCACTGGAGGGCGAAGAGAACGCGGACGGTCATCGTGGACTTCGACTGATGGCATGCACAGTCACGGTTGTGTGTAAATTCCATGATGGCTGACCGCCAGCGCCGCGATCGGCGGCTGGCAAGTTACAACGGCGGATCGCATTCCAGCTGAGGAGGATTTTGTTCAAGTAGATGTCATGATGAGTCTCAGGCGGCTGACCTCACTAGCGGAGACGGACTTCTCCGTCGAGGCTGACCTTACGTGTGTTGACATACTACAGTAATATCTGAACATTTCAATTGTGACATGATGAGGTGTGTACCTGAATACGGTGAGTCGAAGTATCCTGCAAGGCCGACATTCAATCCGGTGTAGGTACAGCATGTCAGCTTCGCGATAAGAAGTAACGGCGTACCGGAAGTCGAGATCTTAGATACGCTTGGCTGCCTGGAAACTACCCATTGGAGGCCGTGATGCTCAGTCGGACATCTTCCGTTCCGGCTGAACTCCATCGGATGTACATATGTGAACATGGAATCATGCGGAATTCACTGTTGAACGATTGAACGGTTGAAGATTTTAGCTTGAACTCAGATGGTTCAAATCACGGCCCGACTCGTCTTCACAACTTGATACACCGACAACATCACATCGCTCCGTTCGACAACAGCAAACCGTACAAAGACTATTCTTCAACGACAGCGACTAATCCTCAACGACAGTCACAACCTCACTAAAATTGGCATTGCTTCACTGAGCGATGTTGAACCAGCCGGACTGAGCGTACACCTGATTCTCGTTGCTAGCGTAGTGCAGACATTAGTCACGATTCCTACAGGTTCAGAATGCACTCACTTGGTGTTAACGGCCCTCAAGTTGTAACGGCTGAGCGGAAACATTGTCAATCGCGGTGCGACAAGTGCGGCCGTAACGCGCACTCACCCAGCAGGCACATTGGGAAGGCGGAACGTAGCAGCCTCGTCGGCGGTGCGCACGTTGTTGTCGACGTCCCACTGGTGGTTGTTCTGGTTGTTCGCCAGCTCCAGGTTGAACGTCGCCGCGTCGCCGGGCTGAGTCTGCCAGTGCTCCGTGACCGTCTGCCCAGACCTCCAGCCCGACGGGGTGTCGAGGACGAGGGCACTGGCGACGGAGACGAGCAGGAGGAGCGAGCTGCGTGGCAGTTACCATTAGACTCGAGTAGGGCGACAAGTGAGCCGTCGACCACGTACCTCAAGATGGCCTTCATTGCAGATGTGTGGTAGGCTTGGAATGCGGATTTTCTTTGCCTGAGGCTCGTCCCACAGCAAGGGCCTTCTTATATATGCCTCAATAATGCCTTCCCGTGCACGTTCAACGCGTTCAGGATGGCGCAAAGCGTCCACTGAATGCCGAAGATGCTGCATTATTCATGGACGCTGGTGCAGATGAATCGGACGTCAAACGTGGCTGAGCACGGGGTCGACAAAAATCGCAGACGGAGGTACTTACCAGGGACTCGGCGTCGCGACTCCGGCCTCGGTTGGAGACCTAGAACGGCAGACTGTCCTTGAATCGGAGGTGAGGTGCTGCTAGGACGTGGCATAAGTTAGGTCCAGAGCTCACTGAAGTGCTGCACAGTCGGCGCTGTGACACCCTGGCCATTACCTATCGCAACCTGGAGTATGGGACAGTTAGAACAATTTTCTGAGCAACGCCCACTACGATGGATGGTGCTGGATTCAAGCCAAAGCGTTGACGCAGTGAATATTGTCCAACATGATTGAGCACGACTTACCACCACGCAGACTCTGAGGCAGACCTAGGCTTCGGACAGAGACGCGTAGAGCGGCTGACTGTGTCTTGGTCGTGTGTGGGTGGGCACCGGACAAGAGCCCATCAGACATTCGGTGGTCAGTGGTGTGTCACGGTGCATTGGAATCAGAGAAAGTGTAAGGAGATGGCGCGATTAGAGCGGTGGTTTGGCATATAATTACTGTGCATTCTAGGCTCAGCGTCACTGTAAGCGTTTTCAAGGATCACCTCGGAGGACTGCGCTGCGCCGTCAGGCAGCCCAATCTGCTGTGTTGCTTTCCTGGAGATAACTTCATCGCAGATAGCGTCTATGTGGACATGGAATCGTTCGCAAGACGAACCTTGAAGCTTGACTGGTGCGGACCCGTGAACGTGCGCAACGTGACGTCCGCGAAGCAGTTATGCAACTGTACTGCTGTCCACGCGCTCAGGAGCACGCATAGACAGTGGCCCACGTTTGACGTGTAAAGGGCGGGTGCATCGCATGATCGCGTACGGCATCTGAGGAGGCTATCAGCCTCTGAATTGTGGGTCTGTAGAATGCAGGAAAGTCTCCAATCCTACGGTTGAGCGCCTTCGGACTTTGCATGTAGAACGATTCGAGACGTTGCAGTGACGAGTCATTCGGGACGCATTGCGCAACGTTCGCAAGTAAACGCGCCGTCGACAACGCCATTGCCGTGGGCTCTACTCGAACAAGGTGTGTCCGAGTCCATTGTCCTGCGGCGCCGGTTCAACAACGCAATGCGAGGATTCGACTGTGCCGTGTACTGGTTTTGCTGAGGCAGCAAGAGATTGTTTTCCAAATGGGCGGGGCAGCCCTCCATGTACTAGAACGTAGACTTCTCAAAACGCGCTAGTTTGGACAGGATGAGACGGCAGCCACGGTCACAGTAATGTCGTAACCATACAAGGACCATCCCAGTCAGAGATCATATTTACAAGCGCCGAATCGAGATTTCCGACGAACCTAAGGTGAGTGGCAGCGGTAAGTACCAGGTTTTAAATTGAGGTAAGTAAGTACGATACGCACGGCAACTGCTCCGGCAACAACTGACGGTCGCAGCCCAGAGAACTCGGAAGATCATGCAAGTAGAATTCCTGCCGGAAAACGTATATAGCTGGTAGGCTGGTAGTTTTTTTGGCCTGCACTTGAAGCTTGATCATGAAGTTTTGAAGACCAACGTGGCTTGACACGGAAGCAATTTACCTCTCAGGTGAGCTGCAGTCTCCTTCTGAGTCTTCAATTCCTCCGGCGGATCGCAGTATGTGTTACATTAGCTGTACGGATATAGATAGTGCGTTAAACGAGCGATTGACGGACAAGCTGTATGTGACGCCTGCGAAACGGAACAGACTGTCTGGTAAAGATGCTAGGCTACCTGCACGCGGAGAAAAAGAGATTACATTGATACTCCAGAACTGAGAAGCCGACCGAAATCATACCCATGTCCCCAAAATGCTCTGACGAGGCAATCTTCTATGGCCGCGGACTCCTCGCCTCATCGTTCCGCGGGATAGGCGGAATGTTGAAAGACGTGTTGATGGGGCTCCACCCATCCTCTGCGCGCTCCTCTGCGCGAATGAGGCTCGCGATGCTAGCTGTGTGCCGGTGGCTCTTCTTCGCCTGGCTCGCCGCGCCGCCTTGAGGCTTCATGAGCGGAGTCGCCGACGTCGGCCCAGGCGTGATCGGCGAGCGGAAGGTGATGTCCATCTCCTCATCCGACTCCCTGTCCGATTCCTCGAGGTCGTACTCCGACGCGTCGCGCATGATGCTGCCGCTTGCTCCTCGCCCATGCCTGCGCACAGGCTCATCTAGGTCGTAGAGCTCGTACTTCGATCGCTTGCTACCGAATGCGGTGGAGCTCAGCCCGCCTGGGGCCAGGAGGGCATTTGTGCTCTTGAGCTCGTCGGGGAGAAAGAGGTAGAAGCATGCGATTGCGAGGCACGAACCGCCGACGACGTCGATGAGGTAGTGGTGGGTGAGGTACATCGTCGCCCAATAAAGAACGGCAGCGTATGTCCAGATGTATCTGGTGCACTGCGGGAAGAAGTGGGAGATGAAGAGGGCCTCCATGGTAGCGCATGCCGAATGGAGAGACGGAAAAGCACCGAAGACGACAGGCGAATTGCTGAAGGTGACGGTGTAACCGTTGGAATGGAACAGACGGTCGATACGCGCAAGACCTCCCGGTGAGCCTGGCATGCTGTAGTTGGCAGGAGTAAGCCCGTAGATGAGCTCGTACCACGGCGGTGCGCAGGGCATGAGAATCTGCATGGTGACACCAATGAGGTTCATATATCCGAACACTCGTCCCCAGAGGTGTAGCGCCTCCTTTGTGCGGAAGAGCCACAGGAACGCCGCAACAACGAATGGGAAGATGAAGTGGATGAGGCCGTACGGGAGCCAGGCGAGGATGTCGAGGAATTGGTGCGTGAAGCGGGTGAGGAGGTCGGATATGTTAGCACCGTACAGCACGGACTCGAGCGTTGGAAGGAGGACGACAGAAATCGTCGGTCGCCAGCTCACAGGAATGAACCGCGAGGTGTAGAAGGTGAGGAGCCACGCGAAGATCGGGGTAGCCGGGATGAAGAACTGCGAGGTCAGGGGTACGAGGAGCGCAGTTGCGTAGAGGATAGGTATCATGAGCTTGAGCGGGAAGCCTGGCACCTGCATTAAGCTGAGCCAGAAGGTGGCGAGGGCCATGTGGAAGACGTAAATCGAGTCGGAAAGCGTCCATCTGTGCTGGCCGAGCCGCCGGAGCGTGTCTTTCGGCGAAAGCGACTTGTCCAGCCGTCCTACAGCAGCAATAAATGCCGTCCATACTCGCTGGAGAGCGCGCGATACTGATGTTTGAACGGACATCGAAATGCCTGCGGATACCTGGGGTAAGAGTAGTCGCACGAAGTCAACTCATACGTTCCCAGCGCAGCAAAAGGACAACGCACCGACAATTTCCTTCACAAAAGCAGAGGAAGCAAGCCACTAGCTGGACGTCCTCGTCGATGCTGAGCCCAAGCCTCGCACAGCCCGTCCCTGTGGATGTGGTCGAAGATGGGCAGTTACGCGCTCGTTGAGCGGCCTCCTCGGCGGCGCTGGCTGGGGCACGTGCCGACTCTCCCTGGCGCGCAGCCCATGGACGGCGCCTTGCAAAACATCAGGCAGCATGCATTCCCACTCAATCTTCGCAGAGTCGTTTCCCACCAATTGTCCTTCACTTGCTGAGCCTCGTCGACTACGATGAGATTGTCCGCAGCGCTGGCTGTTCTGTCCGAGTTGAAGCTCTGCCTACAACTTGGCTTTGTTCCGACTCTTCGCGCGATCCTACGATCGCCCACCTTGCTTCTTCGCCCACACGGAATCTCGCGAATCTTCATGGTGCACGTCTGGAGCGCATACGGAGACGGCGTGGACACGAATTCGCGCTCCGTGAAAGAAGGCCTCATACCTGCGAATGCGCAGGGTGTGGTATTGGACGTTGGTGCCGGTGCGTAAATGCTATTACTACCGGAACGAAGAGCTGTCAAACCCCTGGACAGGTTATGGCCACACGGCGAAGTACCTTGACCACAAGGTCACAAAATACATCGCCCTTGAGCCGAACGAGCTCATGCATGGTGAAATTCGCAAGCGCGCTAACGCCGCTGGCTTCACCGAGGCCGACGGGACCCTCGTCGTCCTACCATACGGTGTGGAAGATGTGGCCACCATTATGTCCGCCCTAGGAGAGCCGCAGTCGGTCGATACCATCATCTCCATCCTCTCATTCTGCTCAGTGCCGAACCCGAAGCAGAACATACGGACCCTTGTCGAACTTCTGCTGAGACCCGGGGGGCAGCTGCTGTTCTACGAGCACGTCCTCAGTCCGAGAGCGGACGTTGGGTGGTGGCAGCACTTCTGGACGCCTCTGTGGAGATGTGCGATGGACGGGTGCTGCCTGGACCGTCCAACACACGAGTGGATCAAACAAATGGATGGCTGGAGTAAAGGCGAGTTGTGGGGTCTGCCTGAAGAAAGTGAAGAACATCTGTGGTGGCACCGTGTAGGAAGATTTGTGAAGGCTGGGCGGTAATGACGGTATACGTATACCGACCTGGCTATGTTATTGACTGTTCATGATCTGGGTCTTTGCATCATTAGTATGTCAGTGGAAGCGACATGTCAATGTGACAGCTGACCGTAACCTGCAACCGCGCCGCATGCGCTGCACACCGCAAAGATGGTCTCACCTGCGTACTCATGGAAGGACCCTGCACATCATGGTCATAATCCCAGTAAGTCAAGCCATCGCCATCGCCATCGCTGACAGCGTCTTCAATTGCAAACGTTCGCGCGGCGCATCCCCAAAGAGACAACGCTTCACCGCAGTAAGACGCGCTACCATGAGACTGGAGGCTTTCCAGACCTTCAGGCTTCCGAGTCAAGAACTCGTGGTGTTTCTGATGCTTGCAGAGGTCCGTGCAACACAGTCCCTACTTCCACGTCAAACGTGGGCCATTGGTTATACGTACTCTGTTTCTCGGACGGACCGCTGCATAGCTGCGTGGTAGCTTCGCGAACGTTACCTTACGCACGTTTCCCTTCTACACATGATATCTGTTAAGGTTTGTACTCTTCATTCTTACCATTCTTGGCTGTTTCCAAAGACCCGTTGTACCGTGGTCTTACACCATCGCTTGAAAATGTCGGAGTCAACGAAGCAGCGAGGAGATGGCTACAGACTACACTTGGCAGTAGACTGGTCCAAGCTTCCTTCAAATTCTCAGTCACCAACGTCCGATGGGTCACCTACTAAATGTAGTAATTGTGATCCCCCCGGGAATGGCTCGGTGTTCGCTCCAACTGGAAGGTGGCCCATTGAAGGTACCGACCCATTAGCGGGTTGAAATCTGTGGCACAGCATCCCTCGTGCGAGTTTCTCCGTGCTTCAAGTGCGTTGGGGTGTGTGTTTGAAGATGACCAACTCAAAAAAAGTTGCAAAAAAGCACTACCGGTGGCAAACATTTGTACTTTTCATAGAGATCCTCAGTTCGTAGTACCATATCAACTACTTAACCGTAAGCATTGCATTTGCGATACTGTACCCCCAGCACGCATAAGAGCTACCTGCTCTCTGCACCTCAGGACAAAGTGTAAGGTGCATTTCGAGCGCCCACTCGAGTCTTCTGCAATTTTGGCGGGCGAAGTCACGGTAGTCTCTCATACAGACAGCATGTCCCCGCCCTCTCTCCAGCCTTAGGATATCTGAAAGTGTCCTTGAGATGTATAAATTTAATGCGGCATGCTTAAATATGAGATGTCTTCGTGTCGCGGTGTAGGACAATAATGCAAACGCGTTTGCCACTTTACAGTAGTACCCGGGCCAGTTCAGCGTAAGAGGTGGAAGACAATCTCGATTCGGCGCTTGGAAATCAAATCTCAGATCTCTGACATGGTCCTTGTATGGTTACCACGTTACTAGTACTGTGACCGTGCCATGGCTGCCGTCTCGTCCTGTCCAACCTACATAGCGCGTCTTAAAGAGTCTCCGTTCTAGTACATGGCGCAAGGAGCCATCCCGCCTATTTGGAACACCTCTCATTGCCTTACTAGTACACGGCGCATTTCGTCGACTTCTCATGTTACATTCAAATACCGAATCCGCGCCGAAGGACGCCTTGTTTGAGTAGAGCCCACGGCAATGGCGTTGTCGACGGCGCCTTTACTTGCGAACGTTGCGCAATGCGTCCCGAATTACTCGTCACTGCAACGTCTAGAATCGTTCTACATGCAAAGTCCAAAGGCGCTCAACCGTACGATTGGAGACTTTCCTGCATTCTTCAGACTCGCAATTCAGAGGCTGACAGCCTCCCCAGATGCCGCCGTACGGGATCATGCAATGCACTCGCCCTTTACACGTCAAACGTGGGCCACTGTCTATGCGTGCTCCTACGCGCGTGGACCGCACTACAGTTGCATATTGCTTCGCGGACGTCACGTTGCGCACGTTCACGGGTCCGCACCAGTCAAGCTTCAAGGTTCGTCTTGCGAACGGCTCCATGTCATGTCCACATAGACGCCATCTATGATGAAAGTATCTTCAGGAAAGCAACACAGTGCTTTGGGTTGCCTGATGGCGCAGCAGTCCTCCGACGTCTTTCCTCAAAACGCTCACAGTATAACGCTGAGCCTAGAATGCACAGTAATTATATGTCAAACCACCGCTCTAGTTGCGCCATCTCCTGGCACTTCCTCTGATTCCACAGACACCAATGACCACGGTGAACTCTTGTCTGGTGCCCACCCATGATACCTTACACGACCAGGATATAGTCAGCCGCTCTACGCGTAGGCTCTGCCCAAAGCCCAAGTTCGCCTCAGCCTGCGTGGTGGTACGTCATTCAAACACTGACCACCTCATGCTCAATCACGTTGGGCAACGCTCAAGGTGCCGACGCGGTGGCTTGAATTCAGCGCCGTCCATTGTAATGGGCGTTGCTCAGAAAATTGCATACCTCAGGTTGCGATACTAGGTAATGACCCGAGTGTCACAGCGCTGACAGTGCAGCACTTCAGTGGGCTCTGGGCCTGGCTTATGCCGCGTCCTAGCAGCACGTCGCTTCCGATTTATCACATCCGATTCAAGGACAGTCTGCCGTTCTAGGTCTCTCCAACCGAGGCCGGAGTCGCGACGCCGAGTCCCTGGTAAGTACCTCCGTCTGCGATCTTTGTCGACCCCGTGCTCAGCCACGTTTGACGTCCAATTCATCTGCACCAGCGTCCATGAATAATGCAGCATCTTCGGCATTCAGTGGACGCTTTGCGCCATCCTGAACGCGCTGAACGTGCACGGGAAGGCATTGTTGAGGCATATATAAGGAGGCCCTCGCTGTAGGATGAGGCTCAGGCAAAGAAACACGCATTCCAAGCCTACCACACATCTGCAATGAAGGCCATCTTGAGGTATGTGGTCGACGGCTCACTTGTCGCCCTGCTCGAGTCTAATGGTAACTGCCGCGCAGCTCGCTCCTCCTGCTCGTCTCCGTCGCTAGTGCCCTCGTCCTCGACACCCCGTCGGGCTGGAGGTCTGGGCAGACGGTGACGGAGCACTGGCAGACTCAGCCCGGCGACCCGGCGGCGTTCAACCTGGAGCTGGCGAACAACCAGAACAACCACCAGTGGGACGTCGACAACAACGTGCGCACGGCCGACGAGGCTGCTACGTTCCGCCTTCCCAACGTGCCTGCTGGGTGAGTGCGCGTTACGGCCGCACTTGTCGCACCGCGATTGACAATGTTTCCGCTCAGCCGTTACAACCTGAGGGCCGTTAACACCAAGTGAGTGCGTCCTGAACCTGTAGGAATCGTGACTAATGTCTGCACTGCGTTAGCAACGAAAATCAGGTGTACGCTCAGTCCGGCTGGTTCAACATCGCTCAGTGAAGCAATGCCGATTTCAGTGAGGTTGTGACTGTCGTTGAGGAATAGTCGCTGTCATTGAAGAATGGTCTTTGTACGGTTTGCTGTTGTCGAACGGAGTGATGTGATGTTGTCGGTGTATCAAGTTGTGAAGACGAGTCGGGCCGTGATATGAACCGTCTGAGTTCAAGCTATAATCATCCGATGGAATTCAGCAGGAACGGAATGTCCGGCTGAGCAGCCCAGCCTCCACTGGGTAATTTTCAGGCAGCCAAGCGTGTCTACGAATATCTCGACTTCCGGTCCGTCGTTACTTCTTGTCTGTCAGCCAATATAAAGGCGAAGCAGACATGCTGTACCTACACTGGATTGAATGTCAGCCTTACAAGACACTTAGACTCACGGTATTCGGGTACCCACTGGCATCTCATGTCAGACAGAGTTCAACGTTCAAAGTTCAGATATACTAGTGGTAGTATGCCAATACCGATAAGATGAGCTTCGATGGAGCCCGCCTGTGCGAGCGAGGATAGCGGCCGTCTGGGACATATACTGACTTCCGTTTGAACTGCATTGGCCTGACTCGGAGCTGGTATGCGATCTGCAGTTGTAACTTGTCAGCCGTCGATCGCAACCCTGCCGGTCAACCATGAAATTTACACGCAATTGTGCATGTATGAGTCGGGGTCAATGAGGGTCCATGACCATCGTCCACATTCTCTTCGCCCTCTGGTGTCGCACACTACGCAGACTTTTGTTCGTTTTCACTTGCGCAGTCTCCGGAGTTCCGATCCAAACTTCACGTTATATGTAACTTACATCTTTCCCGAACCACGTCAGCGTTGCGTTATCTGTTACTAACCCGAAGTCGCCCGTCCAAGCAAGTAAACGACAACGCAGAACTTCGCGAGCAACAATACAACATTGATAGATAGAGCTTATGAACACTCACAACAACGTCTACATCAGCTATACACGATCCCCGACAACCTCTCTGCCCAACTTCTCCACCTCCCTCTGCAGCAGCGCCGTCACGGCACTACATATTCTCGCAATCTCCTCCGCAGTCTGCCACTCCGGGGCACTCTGCGCCTCCGCCTTCGGTCTCGGCGACGCAGCATCACCCCACCAGCCGCTCTCCGAGACCCGTGCGCTCGCCTTTCCTTGGCGAGGCCGCACAGGGTCTGTCCTTCCGCCGCTAGTGCCCTGCGAAAGCTCTGGCATGTCGCCCGTGCTGACGGCGAGGCCTACCATCTCCCGTACGGCAGTGTTGTCGACTGGTTTGCCGACGGTGATGCTGAGCGCTGCGCCTGGTCGAGGGAAGAACTTCCAAGGAGCGGAGCGGCCCTCTGGCATCAATTGGTCGAAGCCTGCATGATCAGAATGGGGAGCTCAGACACCGTGAAATCCTGATCAGTGAGGGACTTAACGGTTAGCCACATAGGAATGATAATCGGAGGTTTGATTGTCTCCATCAGTACGCGACCTCTGTGAGCCACTGAGTAAAGAACTGCATCCGACTGGACGTGGTAAAGGCACGTACACACCCCATTTGAACCGTATCAAGTCCACGGGACTTTACCCTGGAGCTCGCGTGGGTTGGTTGACTTTTCCTTCGCCAAACAAATGAATCTACACGAAACTATCAATCCATGATCATGAAACTGCGACTGCAGGCTCACCCAAGCACCGCTGTGCAACTTATCGATGGCAAGATTAATAGCGGGCTGGAAGACACCATTTCCCCGGAAAGTCTCGATAACCTGCCCCTTACGAAAGAACTCGGAGAATATCCTGGCTGGTTCATGTTAGCTCATAGAACATGCAACTACACGAAGGCCGAGCACGCGAGCACTCACGGATTCGTGAGCACGATGTCGGATGCCCCTAGCGTCCATCTCGTCATGCGCGTATTGAGGTGGTACCGAAGCGGGAGAACCCCCCACATAACTGGTTCATCCAGACTAATATCACCAAGAACGTCGATTGAGCGTGTCTAAACTGGAGAACGAAATTACGGACGTCGAGATATGGTTGCATACTTGGCCGAGTCGTCAGACAGACATCTGACGAAGCAGACCCAGAGACTTACTAGTCACTACACCGCGACCTGGGTTTCTCTCGTCGCTCTCGAGTGCTTTACATCGATTCTCTAGGCCATTCACAGTCACAGAAGAGCAGTAGCCGATCTTGAGAAATGTTCTGCAAAGTAACCCCACTGTCCCGACAGTTGCCTTCGAAAGCAGGGACATGTAGGATTCGCACGGTGTCTAGCCCGTCAAGAAATATCTCCCGGGCCCTCTCAGATGTAGGGCAGAGGAAGCGTTTGGATGTCGATTGCCGCGGGCAGAGCGCGAGGAGGGAATGGTCTTGAAGATTTCTGAAATGTGAGAGAGCAGGCGCGATAGTCACGTCAGACGCGAGAAGATGTCACATGCACCATCGACGCGCCTGTGGCGCGCGCAACACGAACCTCGAACCAACTGGCTTGTGTTCTCCCCGTCCGATGAGACATGCGAAGTGCACCTATACGCGCTAAGCAGATATAATATTTCACAACAACAGTTCTCGTTCCAACAAGCAGTTTCGTTCAAGCAGACGCCGCCACCGTGACTCCGCCACAACAAGTTGCGAATCCCGGCTAACTTACTAGCGGACGTCAAGCAATAACTTTCAAAGCTTCCTCAAAATCGGCGATGATGTCTGCGACGTTCTCGATTCCAACCGATACCTAGGGAGAAAGATCGGTACTGCAATGAGTAATATGAACAGGCAACGTACACGAATTAGGTCGGGAGTCACGCCAGACGCCAGTTGCTCCTCCGAACTGAGCTGCTGATGGGTCGTTGTGGCAGGGTGGATGACCAGCGTCTTCGCATCGCCTAACAGAGGGCAGGTGAGCAACCACGGTGCCTCCCGGTAGCACAACACTGACCAACGTTTGCGAGATTGCTCGCCAACCTAAGATTGTCAACCACTGCGCTGCCTGCTTTGGCGTCTCCCTTGACACCGAAGCTCAACATGCCACCGTACATGTTCGGTCGCAACAGCTGTTGTGCGAGCTGGTGCGACGTGTGGGATTCAAGTCCAAGGTAGGACACCCAGGTGACCTTGGGATGTTGCTCGAGGAACCTACGTACATACCCGATGAGCGCCGGTTCTTTCCATCATGACCACTCGAAAACAAGGTACCTTGCAAGCGCCAATGCGTTCTGCGAATGGCGCTCTGCCCGGAGGCTGAGTGTCTCGAGGCCCTGAAGGAGGAGGAATGCTGCGAACGGGTTCATGCACGAGCCCAAGTCACGAAGGACGATTAGGCGGCAGACCATAGCGAAGGCCATCGGCCCGAAGGCTTCGCTAAAGACGAGGCCGTGGTAGCCCTCGGAGGCCTCAGTAAACATCGGGAACTTCCCTGAGCCGACCCAGTCAAACTTGCCTATCAGGGGGGTTCGGGTCAGTGTGTGGCAAGTGAGTTACAGCAGCGACCTACCCGAATCAATGACAACTCCGGCGATTGTCGTGCCATGACCGCCGATCCACTTTGTTGCACTGTGCACTGAGGATGGGATGAGCGAAGGATAGGCGCATGCACGATGGAGATGCGTACCAACGATGTCTGCTCCGTGGTCAATCGGGCGCACCAAGTAACCTGTGAGAACGAACATAAGCTTTCGCAATTTCAAAGTGTTCGGCCAGATACTTACCGCCCATCCCGAAAGTGTTATCAACGATTAACGGGATCTTATGTTCATGGGCAACCTAGTAGGGGTTCTCAGTGGGTACGAAGCCGGGGAAGTCATGCAAAAGTATACCTGCGCCAGCTCGGGCAAGGGCACGACATTGTATTTCGGATTTCCAATGCTCTCGACGTATATCGCTTTGGTCTTCTCGTCAATGGCGGCAGCAAAGGCATCCGGGCCTTCCCCGGTCACGAATTTGGCACCAATCCCAAACTTCTTGAGATACACTAGAAAAGGCGGAAACGTGAGGGAAGTACGTATAGCTGACCACTACTGCGACGACTACCTTTAAACTGATTGTATGTCTGAAGCAAGGTTCGATCAATACTGCAGATCCCCGACGATACCATGGATCAAACCTACTCCTCCGTACAGGAATGACCTTCCGGCTCTTGGTGAGTCTCATTCATGAGTGTACCCGCATGACGAGACTCACGTAGACACGATGTTGTCACCCGCACCAGCAATTGCTGAGATCGCCATGAACTGCGCAGACTGGCCACTCGAAGCAGCGACTGCAGCTACTCCACCTTCGAGTGCAGCCATACGCGCCTCGAATACCTCCTAAGCACATTGAATCATAGTGAGCACCTACTAGGGATCTTGCAAAGGTGCGCACGAGCCACGTACCACCGTGGGCTTGGAGACGCGAGAGTACATGTAACCGACCTTCCTACCAGCGAAGAGGTCGGCAGCATGCTATCGCGATCCTGAGAACCATACAGTATTCGAGGACCTAAGCCATATCGTACCTCGGAGTCATTGAAGACGAAGCTTGTACTCGCGTAGATGGGTGGTGCCCGCGCGTTCGAGGCCGAGTCGGGCACTTGTCCGGCGTGCAACTGGAGTGTTTCGAACTCGGGTGTCCTGACCCATCGTCAAACGGCGAGACACAAGCATGAATAATGTCGGCAACTTACTTATAGAAGCGTTGTTCGGTCATGTTGCAGAGGAAGAAGCAGGATACTTCGCTGTTCACGCTGATGCCTATAAAGGCTACCGCACCGCGGGAGACTCACACTCCGCCGTGAGCGACAGTGCGGAGGGCGATACAGCAGGTTTCAGTTGGTACATGATCGTCCATCACATACTTGCTTCAACAGTGTTTCAATAGGGTTCCGTCAGTGCGCAACTCCCGAGGGAACCCATGTGTTGCTAGGTGGACTCCAAGGACTCGTTGCATGATCCGTGCGCGCGGTGGCCGCGGAAGTTTCTGTCGCTCTGCCTTTCTGGCACTTCGACGAAAACCACTTTCCAGTGGCCATGGCACGCAGACATACTCTGACTTCACATTTTCCGGATTATTATTTGCATATTTGGCGTATTGCCAGTGTGAACTTGAGGCTCCTGGCCCTCCTCAGGATTAAGGCTGAACTGCAAGTGGTGCAATACCCCCTTCTACTCCAATGTGCGCTTTTGAAGCATTGGCAATGCACTCGGAGGCTGACAGACAAGGAGGTAGGTCCAGAGTGGACGCCTGTATATGTCTTTCATATCCCTGAGGTCCCATCCATTCCGCGATCACGATGATACGAGCAAGTCTATAATAGCGTCGTCAAAACGGGAACGAGACAACGATTAGTATTCCATACGGTATACCTTGAACGTAAAGGGTCCAATAACTATACACAGGTATCCACAGATCGTACACCAGCTCAATACAGCACAGCACATAACGAAGAGCACGGGCCATGCAACTGCCCAGAGTCAGAGTCCCGGAGGCGAGTTCAGCAGCCACATCCACCACTCCCGTTGGCATCGGCCTGCGTCTCCGAGAGGTTAATGCTGCCAGGCATGCTCCCGTTGTCCGTGCCGCCTACACCAACGCCAGGCTTCTTGGTCACAGGGGCCCATAGCTCCGGCGTGTCGATTATTCTCTCGACCACCTGCTGGAACGCCTCCTTGACACCCGTGGCCGTCTTCGCTGAAGCCTCGATGAAGAGCGAATTCATCCGCTCCGCAAAGCGCTCGCCTTCTGCGTACGTGACCTGGCGAGAGAATTCCTGCACATGTAATGGACAAGGTCGAACCAGGACGTCAGCGGCGATTCGGCGACGACTCAAGTGTGGCCCGCACCTTGTCAACTTTGTTCCCGACGATGATCTTCACCACCGACTTCGAGACGTACGTCTCCAGCTCAGAGTACCACCGTGGAAGCGCGTCAAACGACTCGCGGTTTGCGACGTCGTACACGAGGATGATGCCCTGTGCCCCTCGGTAGTACGAGGAGGTTATCGTCCGGAAGCGCTCCTGGCCCGCAGTGTCCTACATGCGCCCAACAGCCAGCCACAGATCATGAATCAGCTCCTTCATCCTTATATCAAGCACGAACGGCCGTCTGACGCACCCAGATGCTGAGCTTCACCCTCCGCCCCTTGACCTCCATCTTGTGCACCTATTCCAATTGTCAAGCTGCCGCGCACAATATCGTGGCTACCGTGATATACGCACCCTGAAGTCCACCCCAATAGTGGCGCTCGACTCGTCCTCTGGCAGCCACTGCTCGTCCGAGAACCGCAGGAGCAGGCTACTCTTCCCCACCGACGAGTTCCCGATGAGGAGCAGCTTCACGTTCACGGGGCCCTTATCCTTGTCGCCCGACATCGTCTATATTGTCGTAGGGGTCGTGATACGGAGTTCAGATATGAAGCTTGAAGGTTAGAGGGAACGGAGGCGGGAGGTCGTAACGAAGTTCGGAGAAAGACAATGGCAGAACCGCCCGAAGAGGCGTGTTGGGCCTGTGGAGGTGAGCCGACCACAGCGCGCTAACGGGTGACTTCATGTACTGTACGTAAACGCCCAGGCTGTGGCTGCTGCCAGGCGGCGGCAACCCGCACATGTTTTCCTCCAGCCCATTACCCGTGGTGCAGTCCCCATTTGAGCGCACCAAGAACGCACGCATGTCCAAGGACCACAAATCAGAGTATGTCATGATAGGCGAGTCTATATCCAAAGATGTACACAAACTAAAATTACAGAGAGTATCAAGTAACAGTCAAGAGCCTGAAGACGGGCCACCGCCTCCTCAGGGGTCACAGACATACAACCGCCGACCGCTCAAAGTTCAGGCTCGTCGGCCGCGCACTTCGCCGGGACGGCATAGTCGTTCGTGCGCACTCCTCCGCCCCACGGCGTGCGGCCGTCCACACGTGCTTCCGGGCCCAAGCCACGCTCCGCAAACGCCGTCCAGAGGTCGCAGTAGTTCTCGCCGCCGGTCAACACCTGGTCCGCCGAGATGATCGCGTCGCGCGCATCGAAGAACGACGGCCTGCAAGGCTGGAGCTTCATGCCGTTCAGCACGAGCTGCACGACGAGCGAGTTGCCGTGCTTGGGGATAAGCGGCTTGCGCGCGCCCTCGGCGGTGAACTCCGCGGAGCGGTAGAAGTCGCCCTCAGGCACGGTACCGTCCTGAGCGGGGAGTGGCGGGAAGAGTGTGTCGACGAAGCCATGTTTCGTGATCAGGCGCTGCGAGACGACCCAGAGCACCTCTGCCCAGACCTCGCCGATCGCGTGCACGCCCCAGTAGCCGGGCTTGTCGAGCGTCTTGTACGTCGAGGGGTTGATCGTCTCGTTGAGCGAGTACACGTAATTCCGGATGCCGCCCTCACGGTTGGCAGCCCAGGCACCCATCGCGTAGTCCGAGTAGTTCGCATTGCTCCGGATGGTAGTGGCGAGGAAGTCTCCCCAGCCCTCACCCATGCCGCCGGATTCACCCCAGCCGAGGCAGCCGGAGTTGGCAGGGCCACCCGTCAGACGCGTGCTGAGACCGTGCGAGAGCTCGTGGATCACAATGCCAGCCTCAAGATCACCGTCACGGTACGGGTTCGCAGTGTTCCAGAGGTACATCCGGCAACGACCGTTCTGACCGTCAGGAGGAGTCATGAAGTTGGCTGCAACAAGGATGAGTTCCACGTTCTCCACAAAGCTACTTACGACTCACCGTTGTTGTACCCGCTGCCGTCCTGAGCATTGGCAATGACGCCATCGTTCTCCTCGCCGCCACGACCGAAGTTGTGCTGCTGGAAGTTACCCGAGACCTCGTCGAAGCCATACCGGTAGTACAGATCGTGCACGAGGTTGCTGGTGTAGAACAACTGGGTGACTGTCGCGTTGATGTACTTCTGCGCCTCATCAAGCGCATCCTCCCTCTCCGTCTTCTTCGGGACGTACGTGAAGTTGAATACCAGCGACTCGCCTGCGTCCGGACGGTAGTTGGTCTCCCAGTCGTTGCGACCCTCCCAGTTCTCGTGCGCGAAGACATTGTTGCCCCAAGTAGTCGTCGTGTTGCGCAGCTTCTCACCCTTGGGTCCACTCTTGACCTTCATGCGGAGCGACTGCGGGTCGTTCGCGTACGGCAATGAATGCCATCCGATCGGGCTGGCGAGGGAGTCGAAGTACTCCTTCTGCTCGGATCGATTACCGACGGATGGGTCATTGACACCCCAGCCGAAGACCTTGTAAACACCCGTGTTCTTGTCGACCGGCGGGACGGGAGCAACCGGCATCGGCGAGTCTGATGCCCAGTCGACGACGGAAATGATGCGATGCGGCTGGGAGGCGCTCACGGCAGCCTCGTACCAGTTGTCCTGCATCTCGACCTCGAACTGTCGCAGGCGTCAGGGACTGCGCCATGTCACGTCACATCCGGTTATGAACACTCACCTTCCAAACGAGCTCAAGGGACATCGAGTCGCCGTTGGGCACTTGGATGAACGCAGCCTTCGCCTTGACAGGGTTGACAGCGTCGGGAACGTTGCTCACAAGCCCGGAGATCGTGCCGTGGCCACCGACGAAGTGCGTCTCCCAGGTCGACTGCATCTTCTCAAGGTGCGCAGCAGGGTTCTCCATGAGGTCCTCCGCGAGCGTCTGGTTCGGCGTCGCCGCGATCATGAACTGGAGCAGCGCACGCGTCGGGTCGCCCATCGCGTCCTCCTGGTTCGCGAATGCATCATGGTTCGCCATGAAGAACGGCGTGCTGACGTGCTCGCAGTTCCACTGGTAGAGCAGCGGGAGGTCCCCGAGAGCCTGCTCAATGAGCGCGGCTGGCTTGCTGCTGCCGAGCGTGACCTGCTCACTCTGCAATCCCAGAGCCTCCTGCGCCTCCATGAGCTGCTCGAGATGTTCCGCGCGCGACTCAAGCTCCTCGAAGAGGTCGGCGCAGTGCTCCGAATGCGCATCCGGAAGACCGCGCACGAGACCAGACACGAAAGGATCTGGCTCAGAGCCACGGTAAAACTTAGGACGATATGAGTGAATACGATGGGCATCGAGATGACGCCATTACATACCGAGTCACCGTACGAGATTACGACACCGTCCTTCACGTTAACGTTGATGTCCCCGTCGGAGACCTCGATGCCATGCAAGAATTGGCGCACGTAGACGTGGCTTACGCCAGTGTTCTTGTCCGTATAGGAGTCCTTCCGAATGACGAACGAGCTGGCAGGCGACGTCTCCCGCGTGAGCTCCTCTACGAAGTGCTGCGCAACCTCAACCGGATCGCTGGTCGCGTCTGCGAACCCGCTGGACGCGTAGACGGGGTCCGTGCGGTATACCGCATGTGGGTGCACAGGGCCGAAGCTGAGGGTCTTACGACGACGGACCTGGTTGTCGTTGTTGTTGCCACCGGGATGGGCGAATGCGCCCGCGAGACCGAGCGCAGCAACCGAAGCGACGAGTAAACGACGCATCGTAAAGAATGAAGTTGTGTTAGAGGAGCGAGCGGTCGTGTGCTGTGAACCCCCCACTATGTAGAAGAGCTGGAGGGAGTGGTGGTGGTTGGGGAGAACCGGGCTGAGCTGCGTACGCGGCGCTCTTATCTTGGCGGGGGCGCCACGCGAGCCGTTGAGATGCTGACCTTCCCTTTCCAGCGTTCCCGCGGGGTGAGCCGCACTCACCGCCTCAGGCGCTGCCCTCGGCTTCGTATCAAACCTCCTCTATACCCACATTCTGCTGCTCCTGGCTTGCTGCTGCAATCCCGAGGCCTGATCGGCGACGCCAGGCACCCGTGTGGGATGAGATACGCCTAAATGCGACGAATCGCAAGCAAGTGCCGTCTCGCAGAGTTCGTCGCGTGACCCAACTGACGTGCTCGGACTTGGGTCAAATCGACTCCGTCCGCATGTTATCCGGCAGGCTTGCAGCAGAGGGGGGTTCTGGCTTGTTGTCAGTGGTAATGCTGTGAGTACGGATTCGCCTCACTCTCATATCTAGACGCTGCTGTTGTTCGACTGGCGACGTATGTCGATTGCGATACTGCAAGCTGTACGATCACCCAACGAGGCAACGGCTAGTGGTTTGACGTACATTCATTTGTCCGGTGAGATAGTACGCATCCCATTGCTGCGGAGTTCGACAGGAATGGATCCGCGAGTGTCTGGTCTGAGCAGTGGTCAACAAAAGTCGAATGTCCATCGATCCTCCTCCTCTGTTGTTCGATCACTCGAGGGGGGACCCGACGATGCACTTTTACGGGCATGTCCACTTTTGTCTCGTACTCATCCGTGTCATATATAGACGGTCGCACCCCACCACCGCACAAATACCACGCCTGGGGCATTTCCCGTCATACGGCGCACCCCCATACTTCAGGTATCCATGAAGCGCCCGTCCGTTACAATTCGTCGTGCATGAGACAAAGGCCCGGGGACGACGGAAGAGCGTCGACAACCGTACCATACGATAGGGCAAGAAAGAGGATTTCCAGAGTCTGGGTTCCGAGTTGGACAGACGCGTCGAGCTTGTCGCGTGGTCGCGGTCCGGCTGAATACGCATGGGCAAGTTTGACTTGGATACTGGACAACTATCCTCTCCTACCTGTGAGTGCCAATCACTTTATGACAATGGCGAGCGTTTAACATGCTGAAACGGACGTGAGGGTTTGACAGCAGAACACTGATTCTGTCGTTGGGCTCAAACAATCGGCGATCGCGGCGGACTCGGACTCTCCATCGTGAAGCGGCAAAACAGACGCATGACGACTCGGAGGCCAATGTTGTCTCGTACCTACGCATGCGGCTTCGCTCAAGACTACTGGCCTAGCAACTTTCGCGGCTATTGAGCATACTGCCCTGTGCTACAACAACAGCGCCCTGTAAGATGACTTCGGTCCAGTTCAACATTTTCTGCGGTTCTGATGCCTGTTTCGTTGACCGCAACTAGGACCCTCGGCAACCATGCCCGATGCTCTATTCAATAACTCTACGAATAGCCTGACTCCACACACATCGTACTATTGCCCGGTCATAAGTTAGCTACGCTCTCACTCGGGAGGCTATACGCACGCATTGTGAGCTGCCAGCGAACCGCTCGCCACAGCCGCATCCGGGGACGTAGCAGGCCAAATGGTCAGTATCGGTTTGCGGACCGGCGTCTCGCAGGGAAGTTGTTCGACTGAACGCAGGCATCCCAACGCTTTATGGTGTCTTGTGCGTTCCAGCTGTGTAGAGAGCTACACCTGATGATTGTGCTGCCTATGTGCTTTATATGGCTTACAAAGGCTAGGTACGGGATAAGTTACATGTAAACAAAGTTCTCATCTCCAGGCCTATCTGTGTCATGTAATGGCGCTATATGGGCGTGAACGCTAAGACCCTTACCGGATCAACCACCCTCGAGATATAAGTAACGGCGAAACTGCGTTCGACTTCTATGTACTCCTATGAAGCAAGCTTCTCTTCAGTTCCTCCAGTACCTCCCGCGCCATGGCTTTCACAGAGAAGGACTTTGTTCAGCTTGTCACTTACACGTGAGTGCGTTACTCGGTATCAAGTCTTGGGGAATGCATCCTGACAACTATGTAGGCGCGTCGAATACTATTGCACCATGTCGGTCCTAGGCAAGTCGTCTTGAGTTGCATCCGTAACCATGACCAACCTCTTCCTTTCAGCAATGGTCATTTACGACTGCATCACAAGGGTTTCAAGCGAGATTGACCTCGTATGGACCAGGAGGTTCACTCCCTACTGGCTACTCTACTTCATGTGCCGGTATCCACCAATCCTCGTCATGGTCCTCAATTGGCTACGTCTTAGCAATATCACGGTACGTGATCTTTGTCCATTGTGGTCATTGGCCTGTCTCACTCCGGGAGAAGGCGTGCGTCTATCAACTTTCTTGTGTTTGCCACCATAGATGGACCATCCTTATGTTCCCGGCCTTATTATCAATAGCTGTCATCCCATCAGCATAGTGTACGTTATTTCATCCATGCAAGTGGCAATTATGCCAGCTGGTAGTACATTCTTCTTTCCGTACAATTGCTATTGAGCTGACTATAGGCCGGTGGACCTTACAGCTTTCGGCGCCCTCCGCCTATATGCGGTGACGAATCGCGACTTGCGGGTGTCACTGTTCGCCTTGATCTTAGGCCTAATGCCTATATGCATAGACATCGTGAGTCTGAGCTAGACTAAAGTGTTAACACGAATAGCTGACAATCACGCACAGCTGTACTTTTCAAGGTCGAGATTCATGTCTGTGCCGCTCCCGAATGGACGGTTTCGTTGCTCGCAGGAGGACTTGCTGTCCAATTCGCTCACTCTCAGGTGCGTCCATCGACTTATCCCCGATGTATCAGACTAAATGTGTTTGGCTCGATAGATGTGCGTTCTATCTATTTTCTAGACTTGCGGCACTCACTCAATCGTGGTGCTCAGTGGTTATTGTCACTCGTTCGTGCATGGTAATCTTTGACATATTTGTGATGTCCGTATTGTGGTACAAGTGCCGCGAAGTCTGGAGGACGTCACAGATCGCGCGGCAACAACACTCCCTTACTCAACATCTTTTGAAGGATGGTGAGTGCGAGTGATGCGTCGTATTCAGATTCTACCGGATTGCTGACTTTCTCTAGGAACATTACTCTTTCTGTACCGCCGCTTCCTCGCTACGACCGGCAGACGCCACTTACTGATTAGCCACCGCATCGTCAGATTCCTCCTCGTAATCAACATCCTCCATGTCATTCTCTGGCTTACCATCGTAAGTTCACGGCATCCGATGGCCGTAACGTTTACCTCTTACTGATTTACCGACAGGATTTTCAATGGACTACAACTCTGTTCCTACAACCGTTAGTGTTTACGGACCATATGTTCCCGAGGAGTGCATCTCATCAACAACAAGGATTCTTGTACCCTTATATGTCGCTGCCTACTCAATTGCGCGAAGCGACGAACCCCCCACAACCACGGCTGACTTAGATACGATCGACATCGATGTCTTGTTTGCGCACTCCACGAGCGAAGATCTCGAACACTGGTGGCAAGTGAGCGCGGAAGTCCGACCGCAGCATTTATGGAATGTCTGGTCATACTTAGCTATGAACTCGCAAGGTGTGTGAAGCATCATCATCCTGATTTGTGGCTCACGAACCGATGATCTCAGAACGCGAATGATTGGCGGTGCGTTCGGTGACCACAAGTGGCTGGTATACGTATGCTGTACAGACTCGCCGTTGGGTACGACAGGCTATTTCGAGGATCTCTGTGCTTGACATCTATTTGAATACTAGGTGCTCGTTGTTGGCTACCGAAACATTGGCATGCGACGTCTATCTATTCAGCAAACGGCAGGGTTTCTGTAAGTCGTGTCGTGGTCTAAATCCTACACCCCACCACACCGACGCACCTAGGCCCAGTCCTGTTCAACGAACTGAGGCAGTGAATAGTCAAAGACCAATAGAATTGTATCGCGGGTCGTCCCACTCGGCCACAACTCCGCCCAGCAGTGCTGTGATGGCCGCTCTCCGCATCAATTTCGTGCGAGCGCCCGAACGCGGACGTCGCTGTATCTCGCAGGTATCTCGAGGTTTAGCGCCTCGCCCTGACACTAGTGTCTCCACTGACAAGCTAGCCAAGTGCTAGCCAGCCGGGCTGTGACCAGAGACGTACATCGAGATGCGATGGTATCAAGTATGATACGGTACCGGTATAAGTCCCTGGCAGTCTTATCTAGTCGAGCACACTGTCTGAATTCTGTTCTCTTCCCTCTTGACACCATGGCGTCGACTGACTCCTCGGCGGAGCAAGAACTTATTCAGCTTGTCTCTTTCGCGTGAGGGTCTGCTAGTGTACCTATCAATGCATGTTAATCATGACAACCATGCAGACAAATTCAGTACTACTGCATTGCATCTGTCCTTGTGAGTCGTTCTGACTGCAAAAGGGCTTCACTGAGTTATTTTGCAGCGATGGTCGGTTACGACTGCGTTACAAGTTTATCCAGCGAGATCGAGCTCGTATGGAAGACGAAGCTCACGGCTCACTGGGTGCTCTACTTTCTTTGTCGTTATCCACCGATTCTCTTCATGATCTTGAGCTGGCTTAACCCAAGCAATTCTTCGGTACGTCTGTTCCGTTCATGCGGTATATGGCCCATCTCACCTGGCCGTTAGGTGTACGTTCGCTGTGCTCGCGGTCCGATTTCACCAGCGTCCTGACGAACTTGCTTATGTGCATCTGATGCAGCTGTTATGGCATCAATGTGCTATATAACATCTTGTTGATTCAATTACTCGCCATGCCCCCTGGTGACGCATACCACCACATCCGCTTTCATTTTCCTAATACTGACGGGTCGGTAATCTTCTCAGTATTTGGTGCACTTCGTGTCTACGCTGTGACGGACCGTGACTGGCGCTCGACTCTTTTCGCACTTGCTCTGGGCTTCGTGCCAGTAGCAACCAATATAGTGAGTTCGAGATCGACTGCCTAGACTGATGCTCGGCAGTAACAAACGGCTAAAACTATGATCAAGGTCGGGATCGTCCAATCCGTCTTCGTCGTAGCATCGCTTCCGGATGGGCAGCTGTGGTGCTCGCAGGAACGCACTGTGTCCCCGTCGCTTGCTCACAGGTGCGTTCTTGCCCGTTGTACCACTGGTACTAGTAGGCTCGCGCTGATTTCAGATTTCAGATGTACTTCTGCACCTTCTATTCATTAAATGCCTCGCTGATTGTATTGTTAAGTGGTGATTGCCACACGCTCATGCACCATAGCCTTTGACGTCTGCGTCATCTCCATTTTGTGGTGCAAGTGCTGGCAGGCTTGGCGGATGTCGCAGGCACTGCGCCAAGGAACTTCCCTCACACAGCTTCTTCTTAAAGATGGTGAGAGCCAGCCACAAATTGCTTTGTAACTCGAATGAAGTACTCACTTCCCGTAGGAACTTCTCTTTTCGGGTATGATTCCTCCCTACGTCTCAAACGCTTCAGCTCAGACTTCGCTCAGATTCCTTCTTGTACTCAACATCCTTGATATCATCCTATGGTTGACGATGGTGAGCGTGCCGGTGATCCGGCGAGATGCCAATTAGCATAGTAAAGCTTGCGCATGATAGGATTTCGAATGGATCACAACTCTATTCCTTTCGCCGTCAGTATCTAGAGGAATGTCACCTTGTGCGTAACTCACTGACAGGTCACCCAGAATTTCCTGCACCCTCATATGCCGATGCCTACTCAACTTACGCGAGGTGTCCAGCCCACCGAGGAGCACGGCCGACCTGGATACAATCAGACTCACGTTTGTCCATTCGTTCGGTGAAGATCAGGAATCACATCGCCAGACGAGCGCAACATTGTCACGAGACGTGTGTCCTCGACTAGTCATACGATAGCACAGGATTGTTAAAGTATGTGCGTGTCATACCAATTTTTGTCCTCACGAAGACGCTCAGTCGGCTCGTTACACTTACCTTTACTAGAGTTTACAAACTTGCCATGGCGTCCGGAGATCGTGAAATCCGGTACTTATAGCCTGGCGAGCGAGTGCCGAAGGCCTTTCGATTTCGCTTCAGAAGCCGTGAATCACTGCAATATGTATAGTTCTTACCGTTAGGCAATGGCAGAAACTGGTGTCGCAGTCGCCTAGCGCGACCCTTATCGCAGCCACCGGGAACTTCCGAAGGATGGTTGATGCGCGCGTCGCCAAATCTGGCAAGTATGTCGAGAAGTACGCGCACCGAGAAATTTTCTTGCAATTTCTCTGGTCTCTTCCTCCCATGTCGCTGACCGTTCCAACGCCCCTCTTATTACTCTCATGCACATGGTAGCTCTCCTACTCGTTGATTTGTGGAATATTATCTATGTTCAGCTGGGAGGAACAGGCGCAGGGCCGTTGCCGAATCGTTGCACGCCCGCACGCGTTTGTAGCTGGCGGGTACTTGCGGCACTGAACAGTCCTTTGACAAGTCGCGGACGGTAAGTTACTATGTGGTCGTAGAATCATGTTGTCATATCCTCCTCTTGATGCTCTACGGTTCGGCCAAGTTTAGGGAGTACCGCGTGTTCTCGTTGAAGGCGATATTCACTCCCTGAATAGTGCACAGCGACGACCGCAAGCCCACTGGTTCTACGGTCTACAGGGAACGAGGCTTCCACAGGATGCCCTATCTATCGTGACTATCGGCATTGGCTGCGTTCCGGGTTCTGGTGCGACCCTATTGCTCGTTCCGCTGTGTCTGCTCACTGCTCGCCGTGAGCTTACTGGGTTCCACCGCCTGGGCCATCTTGTCTCTGCGAACTCGCACTCGGGTTTCCCCTCTGGACGTCGAATCTATTCCCTGACACTCGTCCCCAACGTGTTCTCTCAGGTTCAACTTCTGTCACTGGTAGCCGTAAGTCAGGGTTTCGTACTTCCATGTAACAATGCGCGTCCCAGCGCCCACTCATTCTTCTAGGGAATCGACTTGCCTTGCTATTATTGACGATGCCCTCGGCATCGCCGCATGCGTTCTAAGCGCTACGAGGTGGGTCCGCTTCAACTCAAGGCCATGCGCTGACAGCGAAATTTCGGCAAACATACTGACCTACATGCACAACGGCGCCTCATCTTGGTCCCCGCGCTTCTCAGCGGCCCGTCCTCGAGCTCGTTCTCCACAGTTCAATATCCCAAGCGGCCTGGCCCCCACCCCATTCGCTCCGTCGATACTTCCGCGCGCGTCTTCCAGCGGAGCCCCCCGTCCGTTCCCATGCAGGCCCCGGACGCTCTCGCGGGCCCAGTACGCTGCGTCTGGCATTCGAGGGCCCTTCTAGCGCGGCTCGCGCGTCCGTCCACGCTAGCTGCGAGTCTATCCTTTCCGGGCGCGCCGTTCCGCGAAGCTTCAAGCTTCGCCTGCTCCGCGTGGGCGGTCCGTCAGAGCCCAGCGCGTGCAGCTCCCCAGCGAACTGCCACCCCCGACAGTGTGGGATACGCCCACACCCAGGCCGCCGTTCCCATCGGGGAGGCGCGGACGTAGGAGAAGCGGCTGGTGGGCCATGTGGAGGCTCATCTATGACTTGGTTCGGATGGAAGTGAAACACGAGCTTTCGGGGTCATTGACTCAGCGGACGCGGGCGTACGGCATACCACGACTGTATTGACTGGCCTATGGAGACATGTTGGGAACTCTCATAAGGTACGTAAACGTAACTGCGCTCCGACGGAAGCGAAAGGGTGGCTACATGACACAGAGAACTCCAGGAACATAGGTAGGTAAGTAATAAGGTAGGCGACGGACGCTCGAGGGAGCGGCTGACGGCTGAACGCCATCTTTTGCGTGGCGCGCACGGTGGCGGGGAGGTTCAGGAACTGGGGCGAGGGTGGAGGCGGCAAGCAGGCGCGCGGTGCCACGAACTGTAGACGGGGATGATAATGGACGGATAACGCATGTACAGAGAGTAACAAGAGACGGGGAACGGAACAGGGAACAGGTAGGGAGGTTGGCGTACAAGCGTGTACACTACTATCATTACGCAGGTGGGGCATTTACCTCAAAACAGACAACAGCAGGGAGAGAAACCTGGGACCGAAACCGAGACCGATGAGAGAGAACTGATCAGGACCGCGAGTGCGCATATCGCCCGGACATGCTCGCGTCGACGAACAGCGGAGACCCATGAGTGGAGCGAGCAGCTGAGCACGATGGTGACGAAAAGAGATTCGTGAGGAGAGTGGTGGAGACTGCGTTGACAACATGGTGCAATGGACGAGGAGACGTGGAGCATTATGGATAAAGCCGGATACTTTTTGAGTCGGACCGCCAGGAGGTGGAGTGGTGCAGGCCGGATCCGACGGAACGACGTCTATACCGCGAGGTAACCCTCGCAAACCGGATGTCGAATTATAGCGAGTACGAAGAGGGAAAAGGGGAACCAAAGACCGGAGACCAAGCCGATAGTCGTACACGACGCAGAGAGGCCCAAACTTCTCCTGATCCTCATAGACCGAGTTACACCAGCCGGATCACATAGACGCCATGTAAGCCGCGGCACCTGCGAATACTGCTGCTCGCGCATCGACTGGTACTGTGGAGGCGCCATGGAGCGCTGTGGTATGACGGCGGCATCTGAGTGGCGGTGTAGTTCGTGGTGACTGACGGCGCACGCGACACCTGAGGCGTCGAGAGCGGCGAAGATTTTGCGACGGAGCTGTGGAAGCGGGCGTGGAGTGGGAGTTGGACGAAGGCGTGTGGTGTCTCGACTTGCTGTGCTGGAGACACTCGTGTTGACCGCTGGCGAGCATCGCCAGGCCGATCGCGCCGTGGTCGCCCGAGTGCTGGTAGTGGTACCCTGCGCAAGTCGCACACCGTCAGCTCCGCACAACAATAAGATTAGAACAGACTCACGAAGCCCGTTCATGTTCTTGTACCGCCTCTGACAGTCGCCGACACCACATGCATACGGCCTTAATCTCCGCTCTGCTTCGCGCTCGACCTCGCGAAGCTCCGCGTCGCTCATAGGCTCGTTGTTGCCCTCCTTGCGCTTGCTTTCGAGCAGCGCCTGGATCTGCTCCAGATCCTTTGGCGGCGCAAAGTTGCATGAGCCGTGCGTCATGTGATACTTGAGCCCATTCGCCTGTTTGTAGCTCTTGTTGCAGTTCGTCTTCGGGCACTTGAACGGCTTGCTGAGAAGCAGAGACGTCGCAGGGCGGGAGAGCGTCGTGCTTGCGCGCGGGGTGTTCGAAGACGAGCCCGACGAGGTCTGGCCGGACGCGGTGGCACCCGAAACCGACGTCGACGCCATCGCCGCAGTCACGTTGCGGAGCGCAGGCGAGGCAACGCGCGACGAGGCGGGCGTGCCTGCAGGGCTGTTGCTGGCGCTGTGGTGCAGCAACGCGGGAGGCACACATGTCGAACGGTAAGCGTTATTGTGATCGGCTACGGCCGAGCCGTCGGCATTCGGTGCCGCAGAGCGGGATGTCGATGCGGCAGTACCGGGCATCAGCGCAGAATAGTCAGAGTACCCAGCGTAGGCGTTGAACGCCTCCTCCGGGCGCCCCTGCACACCGCCCATGGGCCGCGAGGCAGACGGGAACCCGACTGAGAGCGGCGAATGGCCGGAACGGGAGGGCAACACGGTGGTTGTCTCGAAGGCGGACACGGGCGCTGGGTGCGGTGAGGGACACTGCGAGCCCGGATGTGAACCAGGGAATGCGCCCGATGGGTAGGAGGACAGCGGCGTCGATACGGGCGTGTCTGGAGGAGAGGAAGCTCCCGATGACGGAGCGCTCGGGTGGTCCATCTCCATCTCCATATCATCAGGATCGAATGATCCCTGGTAGGCGGGCGCTACAGATACACCGTTGGCGTCGGGGAAGTACGAACTTTGCTGGTGGTGTGGTGGCATGGGAGTGGTAGCATTCGGGAGTGGCTGCGGAGGCGCATAGGGGTCCACTACCACGACATGGCATTCCTCGAAGTGGTCCACCAGGGCGTGCAGATCAGTCAAGTTCAGTCCACAGCACGTGTAATCGCGACACTTCAAACAAGGGTTAATCACAGATCGGTGGTGACACAGAGGGGAGCACTCACCAGCTCGTCCTGACGCTCGAATGCGCTAAGCGCATTGACTATTGAACCTCTGTCACTCTCGATCGACGAAGACATCTTGCCGAATTTGAAGTCGTTGGGACTGCAAGGAGCAGCGCGCTGTTAGCTGATGGCAGATGAGCCGCCCCAGGGATATTACTCACTCCAACGGACCGAGCAATTGTCCTGGTGATGCGCCAGTAAAGAACATGTTCCCGTACGAGCCTCCGCGCCAAGATAATGAAGGTGAACCGATGAGACGGCGGGTGTACGATGCAGGGTTGAATGAACCATTCTGATTTGTGAGGGAGCCAGTGCCCATAACGACATCATCGTTCGCATTCGCATGGAAAGCGATGGGCTGGGCGGTCGCCATATTAAGGTCGTATGTGAAAGCCAGTTTGTCAAAGGTGTTCGTGGTCGTCGTGAGAGGAGGTGATGTCTGCAGAGCAGAAAGCAGAACTGGTGCTGCTAGGAGAGGGGGCGGGCGTCGGGAGGCTCGGCGGGAGGGAAGGTTGGTTAGCGGAGTTGGGCCGGATGGAGGGTCGGGTAATATACCTGCGCGATGCCACCTCTCTTTGGCGCCCAGGCCGCGATGACCAAACACAGTCACGGAGGCCAAACACCGTGACGCCGGGCCGTCACATCCACCTCCCACGCGTGGCTGTGGGTTCCGCCCACCCCTCACCAGCCTCATTTGGGGACTGCGCTCGGCTGGCGCTGGGTGCGCATGGTGCGCACGGTCTCTCATCCGCCCGCTGCTATGCCCGCCCGCTGGCGCGACATATCCGCTGGATGCCCCGGAATAGCATGCCCGCCACCAGCGGATGGTGATGCCGTACACGATTCCCATCCACGAGCCGACTCAGGGACCGGCCCCTCCACGCTGCCTCAGCTCTCCCCAAGCCGTAGCCGAACCACCCTCGCACAAGACGAGACTGCCCACGCCTCCCGCAACGTGGTGTTTCGATCTGATAGTCCTACGCGCAGGCTGAATCAGTACCTCAATCGCCTGCTCGCCTGCAGCGCAGTGTGGTGGCTGTCTGATTGCCATTCTCGTCATGCCCTGCTATGTTCTCGTCGCTTCCGGAGTTCAAGGAGGAGTGGTCCGCGACCGTGTCGGACGACTCGGACGGAATCATGGACACGCACGAACACGTCCACCGAGGCCCGCCGTCGGGGGCGGTGCGCCAGTACCCACGTGTTTGTGTCGCCCGCGATCGGGACGATCGCGGCGCTGCGGCCGCGGCCAAGGGGCTCGTGGCGCTCTCCGCGTCGGCATATCGATCGCAGGCGGCGGGCCAATCCGAAAAGGCAATCCGCTGCCCGGCCGACGCCCCCCAGCCGGATCCTCCCGGCAGCACCTTTAGCCGCCCGCCCCCGCCGTGCCTCGCGATGCTCCACTGGCACCAGACAGCGGCGGTGGCTGTCCCTTGCCTTTTCGGGGCTCTAATCTCCTCGGTTCGGCTCCCAGCCCCAACGCTCGAGGCTCCTTGTACTTGCGCACACAGCAACTCTGGAGCATACACGAAGTCTCGAACACACTGCTTACCGTCAGCGCGAGCCCAGCGCATCATCTACACGGATCCTGAACGACATCTGTCCTGGAGCGGGACACAAGCGGAAGGTAATGTCCCCGGATGACTGAGCAAACTACTCATCCATACACAGCCATGCCGCCACATTCCTTGCGTGTAACTTAGCTTGCGTACGCGCTTTCCATAGACCACCGGGCAGACGAGGCCCAGTGAATAGCCGGGACCCTGCCCCACGTCGGGCATCCCATAGGCTACCCCGACCCTTCCTCTCCGCGGTGCGTGATTGAGTGCGCGTCCGGATCCTTTGCCTGTTGACGCGTCTCGCATCTTCTCCGCAGGTCAACTTGGCAATGCAATGACAGCGAGCGGTGCAGAGAAGCTCGCGGCCACGCTTTCGCTGTGAGCGATGTTCTCAATTCGGTACTTTCATGTTGAACAACATTCATGCACAAGTCGATTGTACTGCGGAGCTTGGTGATGCTGTGCGCTTTTCGCGCACCCTCAACGCATCGTGTCCGGTGAGTAAGCGAGTTCCTTGTTCACGGATGTGATCCTTGCGTTGACATGTCCGTCTTCAAATCCGATTCACTACATGACAGCCATTGCGAATCGACGTGTTCCTAGACAACATGCGATGCTTGGAATGTGCCCGGCCATTCGCTCGTGTTTCTGCCGTTCGCTAGGCGGGGCAACGCGTTTGCTTTGGGCCATCAACAACACATTTAGCTGCTGCGCACGTCAGCGAGCTCGAGGGCTTGGAGATGCGGTGTCGACCAACGCAGTTTTCGTGGGGTATCCAATACGTGGCGGTCGGTGACTTTGAGGCTCCTTGCTCGTGAACATCAATTCAGTACAGGACATCTCTAGTCGCCCCAGATCCTCTTCCTTCCGAAGCTCTACCCCGCGAGATGAAGTGACAGCCAGCGGCGCGGAGAGCACGTCAGACCACCCGTCCACAGTTCCCCGCTACTCAGCTGGTGCGTCCGATTTGTCACCGTGCCGCGTGGTCATCTCACGGTTCGCTCAGATGCTGCGTGCGCCAACTGCAAGTAGAGACTTGGAGTTGCTGTGCTAAGCCAAAGCACCATGACCGAGCAGCGCGACACGTTCAGTGAGTAATGGTCTTTTGCCTAGTCAATATATCGAGTGCAACTGACTCCAGACGTACCAACACACTGACGTGTCCCCCGTTGTAATCGGGCGAACGCGGCAGCAACTCGTGCACCTAGCCTGCGGATTGTTACCACCGCCTCCAGCTGAACCTTTCATGTGTTGACAGCCCCTCTTTTGTCGCCGCGACCAACGCGTGACAACGCAAAATGTGACGACTCATGTTCAAACTTCCACAGCCCTCCCACAATAAGTACACCGTCGAGCCAAACAGAGATTCCCCGGTATGTCCCCACTCTTCCCCCGAAGCTCACCAAACCGACAGGTTCTCCGCGGGCCCGTACACTCGGCGGCGGGCCCGATCTTCATGCGCGCCGTTCACGAACGCTTCTGCGCCACCTGTGCATGCTACACTAACTCAACCGATCCATCCCGGCCCTCCTCGTCATTAGAGTCCGTCGCGCGCTTCGGGCAGCGCCTAACCCTCGCCGAACCCTTGCTATCCCCGAAACCCGACAGATCTGCGTTGCGGGCGGTCCCATATCCTGCATAGCATGCCACCCCACGATGAGCGCAACTGCCCACTATCTCGCAGACGACTCAGGACTCCCCGCGCCCTTGAACATTCAGGCTCTCGGCGCCAAGACCATATGGCCCGGTCTCGCAGGTGTTTCAGACACAAGGGTGTCAATGTCGTTTACGCGATTCGGAATTGGACACTGCTCAACATGGAACCGGTCTCTCTCTGTCGGTCAGCGTGGCCCACGCTCGGGCGGCCTGGACTGCGCACGCGACCCCCACCGATCCCCGTGTCTCCCGGTCAGGACCATTGGTGCCTGGGACAAGCATCGTACTTGCTGGCCACTCTGATTGGGTGCTGTCGGCCCACTCCGCTGCGCTGCGGGACGCACGTAGGCTTCAACTCTCTGCCGGGACCGCAATGCTCTCGACATCTACGGATATCCTTGGTTTCGCTCAGGGTCTGCGACGTCGTGCGGCCACCGTTGACTCCGAGAAGAGTACGACGTCTTCCTCACACCTATCACGCCGAGTCAGGTGAGGCTACTTTGGACGTGGAAGTGCTCTTGTGACTCCTCTTAGATGTTGTTTGTGACTAGGATGTATGTTGGCTCGCTTTTGCGGCCCCGCTGGCGGATGCGCTCGCCGTCTTCATCTTCCGTTCATCGCCCACGTCAACCTAGGCCAGCGACCGACTTGTGAGCAGCCTCCCCCTGCACCTCGTCGAGCTCTCTCGCGTCTTACCAATCAACCGCCGGCAGAGTTGCGGGTCCAATCGGGTCGCGTGAAGCCGGAGCCGGTCCCCCAATGTATTCCAGGACACCTTCCATATGTGGGACTTCACCGCCCATCGATGCGCGTGCTAGGACAAACAAGCAGGGCGGCCGAGGCGCTGTGGCTGTGCGCGCGCGGGCGGAACATACGAAGGTGAGTGCGCACGAGCGGTATGTGGAGTTGTGGATGGGTCTGGGTGCTGACCGCACGCACCAGTACCACAACGGACGAGCGCTCCGTGGGCACGGGCAGTCGTTGTACTTCGATTCCTGGTGGGTGCATGTGGCTGCTGTGTCTCGCGCTGACAGGTCGTCGTCGGCATAGGCGTTCTGTGGTCGCTTGCTGCACACGAGAAGGAGCAGTGCCGGCACCCCAGTGAGCTTCCATTCCTCCCCCACACCCCTTTGTACCACCCGTACTACTGAGTGTTGGCAGAGTTTCCGATGCGACCCAGAGTTACCCGCCCGCGGCGGTCGACGTTCTCCCAGGTGCCAGCCTGTGCCAGCCTATGTCCGGCGGTCAGTGGTCCAATCCCATGTGCGGGAATTGCGGGCGCAGCGGGAAAACAGTCGCGGCTCGAAAGTGAATCTCATCTCGGGGCCTGTCGCTCCACTCGACGATCGAATCCGCACAGGGCCGATCGCATCGTGCGGCTCGCCATATGGCCCGTGCGCCCGAAACGGTAAGCTGTATACTGCACGGCGTCGCCTAGCAGCGTCTCGTCGACCTCGCGTTCAGGGGCACGGCGCCGTCACGGTCCTCTGCGGTCTCTGCCACCTGCTCGTGTGACCGTTCGGTGCCGATCGGTCTCTTCTATGTCGTGTTCATCGTTTTATGCTGGCGCGCCGAACCGAATGGGGATTAGACACGGAGTTGAGTAAGGGCTGTTTGCTCGTGTGGGCGTGGGCAGCGCTGGTAATTTCAATAGGATGGCGCCGCACCGTGTGGATGAGGAGGCACGATTCACGTCCTGTGCGCGACGTGGTTCGTTGGGGAGCTGCGCATGTGTGGCTGTCGCTATTGCCGCTGTGTAAACCTTCGTACCGTTTGTTCGTAGCTACGTTTGAGGACGTTTGACAGATCGACCTTTGTCTATGCTGTCTATGCTATAGCATCCATGCGTCAGCGATTTCGCACCTCTGTGCCGTTTGTTCGTCCATTCAGGAGGTGTCTGCACTCTTCCCCCGCCTGCCATGAGCATATGGCCATCGGTGTTCAGGTGGCTCCTAAAGGGAATTCACAGTTCATTGCCAATCCCTCTGATGACCCGTCACGCAACTCGTGGAGGGCAACGGCGGAGCAGTTGTCTATACATCTAGATTCTCTATCACTTCCCTTGAAGGCCGATGAGATTTCGGATCATAGCCAAGGTGTTGTAGGCCGCAATGTATCTCGGTGGCTGATAGTCAATATTGTTGCATGCTTGCAATTCGTAGTACTATGTGGCTTGGTTCAAGTCAGTGAGCGCCCTCACGATCGCTAACCTCCAACTATTGCCGAGAAATTATGGTGACGCACTCTAGTGATAGACCGGTGGTGATATTTGCGTGACGCTGTACTAGCACGGACCGTTCAGCCGCGCCGCAACGCCACAGTTCGTGCATAGTACTTACAGGTGCGCTCGACGTCAACACCAATGGTAACGATGTACGAGCTTGCTTTGAACGGCGTCTTAGTGAAAGTCCGGGATGCGCGCAAACGAAACGGGTGGCAGTGACAGCAAAACTGAAGTTCTCCGCCAAGAACGCTGTGACGTTGGGACTCGGAATCTGGTATGGCATCCGACGTGACGTTCATGCTGCAGGATCTGTGGCCGGCGGGCCGCCCAGTGGGATCGTAGTACTCGCCGTACTAGTACTATTATTCACTCAGTTCCTGCGGGAGCCTTCGCGCTGAACCCCACCCCTCTCTGAGTGGTGGCCCCGCGCGGAAGCAACGGCGTACCATGAGACCGCGGCCGCTGCTTGCTGGCCCGGCTCCCCCACGTCCTACGGCCGAACACGACCCTCTTGTAAATCGATTTTGTGGCGTGGATCCTTTCTGCACGGTAAAGTTACCAAAATACACTGCCCATATATATCGTCGACTTCTCTATCGACGTTATATCAAGCACGATCCGCTCGTCTATTCATAGTTGAACGTTGAACTTTGGGCTTTGCGGACATAAGCGGCAAAAATGAAAGACAATTCAGCGTTCCAAAATTGGTCCGCTGTGAGCACACCCCTGTCGACATCCATGACCCGTTCGAAGTCGCCAGATTAGAGCGGGGTAGCAGTGACGTATGCGGCTGTGAGGTTAATAGAGGTCATCGCATGGGCGTGGCTAATGTCCCAACGGGAAGAAGCCAGCGGTTGAATACGAATTGGATATCAATGCAGGAGCCTCCCGAATCTGCCCAAACGCCTCGGAGTGGGGCCGCGAAGCGGGCTACGAATTGAGATGTTGTGATTGTCCGTCCATCCTGCATCGCAATCGTGCGTAGACGATTCCCGCACCACACCGCCGCAGGTTTCTCCAGGACGCAACTAGAATATATTGGAACAAGCTGGAAGCGCCTGACGGATAAAATTCTGGATATGAAATTGAAACCTGGTAGTAATTCACAGATCAATGCGCGACACAGGTCTCTGGACAACCGTGGAGTGTCCTGTCACGCTGCTCAGTGCAGGGATACGATCGCAGCGCCCAAGTCCCGGTAAATGTACATACGCAACACGCGGATACGCTTCCTGAGTGCAGACCTTCTGCTTCTGCTTCGCCGCCGTCGAAGAAGCTTCATCAACTGGGTGAAATGTGCCAGCGAGCGCCACCACCACCCTTCATGATCTCTACGATAAATGCATCCCCATTGAGTATGTCCTAACAACGCCGTCAAGCGCGGAGAAGGGGGGTCACATACCTGCCAAGAAGCCAGAACATCCGGCGTAGCAGCTGACTGGATCCGAACGCGGCGTCTTAACGGACAAAGGTTCGCTTAGCGCGCAGCGGACGTGCTGCGCCCACCCGACCTGTCTCCTGTTGATACATGCGATATGCTTCGCGCAGATGGTCCGGAGACAGCGGGCCAGTCTCGCCGCGCCGCTGTTGAACAACCCGTGCTAGATGGAAGAATGAGTCTGTGTACGACTAGATGAAGGAGCGTTTACACACCTTTCTCGACAATCTCCCCTACGAAAACTTTGCCGAATCCAGCCACGATCTGTGCCACGGGCATAGAGGCTTGTTGACCGAGTGTTTGCTGGATGACCTGGGGCGAGAGCTCAGGATGATGCGCATGCAAATCCGGAGTCGACTTACCTTTCGGACTGCCTGTTTGGGAAGCGCGTGTCGGCGGTACGCTTCAAACCGGTCATACTGTTCCGGACTCAGGTTGTCCATCAAAACTCTGAGGGACAACAGTGTTAGCAAACAGCACATGTGCGAGTATGCTCTGACGGAAGTGAATCACGATAACAGGGAGGGGCTCGGAGAGACAAGAGAGAGATGCGATTAGATGGGCGGTTTGGAGCGCTGCCCGACTCGCAACATGCGCCCGGACTTTGGGGGTAACGGGCGAGCTGCGAGAGCGGATTGGTACACTACAGCCCTGCGAATCCGTTGCACCTACTGGGCCGCAGGGTAGACACGTCGAGCCCAAGAAAATCAACATGACTTTGTTGTTGCGGCGCGTACTGCGTGAAAAGGGATTGGAGGGTGGGGAGAGCGAGAGAGGGCCGAAAGCCGATAGCTGTAGCTGGGCTTTCGAGACGACCGACGAAGTGAGCGCGCGAGGAGAGAGCAATGCCCGCCTAATCACCTCCTGCGTGCATACATTCACTTCTACGCAGCGCTCGCGCCTCGCGCCGCTTCAAATTACACGGATGGACTGTCTGCGTAGGGCTTGACCCTCGCAGATAACAAATGGAACAACTAAGCAAACACATTCAAGACGGACCATACGCACTTCAGATTGTCTTTGGACTGACTCTGGAAGGATAGTTGCGCAGAGTAATCGTCGTCTGCCATCGCCGGCAGCATCTCGTGATCGTCCTCGCCTTCTCCATCTTCCTCCCCTGGCACTGCGACTCCAGGCGGCCTAGGTACTGCAGAGGCTGCCTCGGCCCCAGGAAGGCTGAGCGTGACTCCCGACTCGGACGCGACCGCTGGCTGTGGCTGTGATGGCGATCGTCGCTGTTGACCCGCTGCTGAGGCACCACCATTGCTCGAGCTTGCAAAAGCGGTTGCCGGCAAGTTGTTCCACTGAAACTCGGTGCCCTGACTGGATCCCGGCAGCGGTGACAGAGCAGGTGGTCGAGGAGAGTTGGTGGAAGAAATGGATCCTGCCGCTTTGGGTTTCCGACCGCGTTTCGCGCCGCCTGTCGCGCGTGACCCTGGTGTAGAGCTGCGAGGCTGAGAGGCTACACCTGGGTTTGTCTGTATGAAGGGACGTTCTGGGACAGGGTAGGAAGTGGACATGTTGTGGTCTGCTGCAAGTTAGCTGTGGCTGAAAGTGCGCGGGAGGGCGTGCTCAGATAGCGATCCAAGCTCACGCGCGCCTGCCCACTGCCAGCTGGTCGCCGCGCCTCAACACTGCATCCTCCTGATTTCAATATTGGTCTGTTTCGCACCGCATACGCTTACGGACTGGAGAAGATAGTCTTCAACTTCCGCATATCCAGGCTAGACCAACATCAGGTTGGTTCATGGAGTTTTACAGTCGAACTCCATCCCCGGTCTTCTCCAGCTCGGATCGCTTCTCGGATTCGTCCTCAGACGACGGGCTTCTTCTCAATGGCGACGCGGGGGAACCGGGATATGGAGCATCACGGCCGGGCTCGCCTGGCGCAGCACCCGAGGGCGCCCAGGAGGAGAACATGGAGGTAGACACGATGACATGTCGCTGGGAGGAGTGTGGAAAGGTCTTCTCCCACCTACCAACGCTCATTGAGCATATTCACAATGGTGTGTATCTGCGGGCTGCACCTGTACAGTGTCTTACAGAACGGCAGACCACATCGGGGTTCACAAGTCAAACTACACTTGTGAATGGGCTACATGTCCACGGCGCGGCATACCGCAGACATCGCGGTTTGCCCTCATCTCACACATCCGGTCGCATACAGGCGAGAAGCCGTTTGTATGTCACTTACCAGGTGTGCCGCTCGCGCGTATCGGCCTTACCGCATCTGACCTTGCACAGAATGTGATAAGTCTTTCACACGTTCTGATGCTCTTGCAAAACATATGCGTATACAACACAACATCTCTCCACCGCTTCCAGGGCGTGGCGGAAGTCGCAAGCGGAAGCGGGAGGAGCCAGAACCGACCGCCCCACAAGCCGATCCTAACGCATACGGCTACAGTACCTTCAAGCTAGAGACAAACGGCCATCCCGACGACGCTGATGATACGCGCATGTCGCCTGCAGACTATCCGAATGGCGCGTACGCGAGCGGGAGTGCCGGACCCCGGCCTGCCTCGCCAGAGTATGACGAGCACGACGAAGGCGAGGACGAAATACCGCAGTACCTGCTGATGCAGGCAGATCCACAGACGGGGCTCATCATGGGCCGCTCGCCGGCGATGGTGAAGTACCTGATCATGAAAGCGAAACAACAGTATGCATTGGAACAGCACGAGGCACTCGTGGAAGAGCTCCGGGTACTCAGGAAGGAGGAAAGATTGTGGAAAGAGCGGAAAGACGCTCTCATGGATGAGCTACTGCATGTGTATTTTGGGTTAGTTCATTTTTGGCCTTGGACGAGGCGGTGCTCACCCGCCTGCAACATAGGGACCAAGCCCGGAAGCTCACGGCACCTATTGTGATGGCAGATCGCCACCATCGCTCACGGCATGGGCATCGCGAGGGCGAGACAATGTCGTGAAGTCGCGGACAGTCTGGTACGTTAGTGTAGCGCGGACGTTGTACTATACCTTGCATACTCTTGGGCCTACTGATGTGTTATTCATGTTGTGATAGTACGTGTCTATTCTATTGTGACTTCCTGTCGTCCGCTCACTGAAAGACTGTTCAGAATTGTACTAGAGGTCCTGAGTTTGAAACCCACCCTTGTGTGCTTATCAGTGCAATCGTTAACCAGGAAACGGGTGCAGGGCCGTGAACAAGGCAGCACTGTCCCAAAAGGGAACAATAGAGGCATCGAACCCATCCAGGCCATGTGATTCGCTCTAGAAGTCTCTTTGAACTTGGGCCTGTGCTCGAAGGTCAAAGAGTGGCGGAGTGGCAAGCACCGCTATAAGTGGCCAGTTTGGGCGCTTCCGCTTCCTTTCTTTATACCAACGCCCCCCCACGCGTACTAACATCCCTCGCACATCATCGACTCAATTCGCAATGCCCAAAGTCTCCAGCACGCGTCGCTCGGCCGCCCCCTCACCTACAAGCTCATTGCAGAAGTCCCGTGGGCTGACGGGGACATCCAAGCCTGCGCCACAATTGGATCCCATTCCTGAATTACCGGCTCCCGTCCTGAACTCCATGCCTAGACAGCCCGCTCTGTCGCGGTCACCTCCCGCTTCACGTTCATTCGGCAGGCGGTTGACGTGTGAGTTGTGCGAGTCGTCTTTGTGGTGGCCACTCGCTCACTTTGCCCTCAGCACGGTTGACCCGTGCCGCTGCTGAGCCCTCCGCTGTCGCAAACCAAACTGCGTCCAGCAACCATGCCGATGGTGGTAGCCTAAACGGTGGCGATGTCGGCTCGAATGTCGCGTCAGGAGGGCCGACCCCCTACCGAGTCAACACGCCGACCGAACCGGCCTCAGTCGCCGGGAACGACGGTGGCAACAAAATTCTGAGATGGAACGGGCGCACCTTCCTCGACCCGCCGGTGAAGGAAGAGTCCGTCGAACCCATGCCAATGATCTTCGAGGTCTTTCCCCCTCCCTTTGCATATACCTACCCGTACCAGCCACCGCTCGACCCCGACCCCGAATCCAGTGAGAACCTCTTGAAAATGAAGGAACAGGTCGACTTCGTGACGGCCCGCACCGAGGCCCGCTACGACGAGACGGAGACTATGGTTAACAACGCTGCATCCACGGGTCACGTTGCGGCGATGGAGACCCTCAAGGAGATAAAGAGACTCGACAAATTCGTGGCGGATATTCGCGAGAGTTGCGATCAGAAGGAGCTTTTCGACGTGTATTATCGGCTGCAGGTGGCCAGGGTGATAGCAGCATTGAAAGCTGGCGAGGATCCATATTCTGGTGTGTGGCATGGGGACACTGTTGGCTCCGAGTGCGGCAGCGGCGAGGAGGAAGAGGAGGCGGAGGTGGAAGAGACGGAGGAAGATGTCGGCTTGGGGAAACGTCCTCGCGAGGAGCACGAGGAGGCTGGGGAGGAGGAGAGGCCGAAGAAACGGTTGCGTACCCGGAGCATCTACAGCCGGACCCTCGCCCACCTGCGTTCTCAGGTCCCGCCGCACGAGCCCAAGGAGTCTCCAGCCCCAGAAGTCATGACAAAGGAAACAGCGGAAGAAGCCAATGCGAGGGAAGAAGCCATCTTCGGCTTCAGCGAAGCCGTCCCTTCTGAGGCCTCCGCTTCCTTGTCTGTGGCCTACTCGCCGAAATTGATACCGACGTCAAAAGGGAAAGGAAAAGGAAAAGCGAAGGAGGAAGAGCCGGAACACCCTAAGCATGGGCCCATCCTCAGACGCCCTATCCTATTCGGACCCGAGAGACAATTCGTATACGTCCGACCTATCCTCTATAAGCCCAAGGATCCTCAGGATATCGAACCTGCTGCAGGGTCCGCCCTTGCCGAGGACACCCGCCTAGCGCACGCGGGCACACGAGCTGCTCCAAGCGGTCAGGCTGATTCGGACAGTCTGAAGGCCTACAGCGAGTCCCCGGCTGCGAACGACGTTCGAGACGCATATGATGATGAGCTCGAATACTACGATCCTCCAGCGCCTCCTTCCCCCCCTGGCTTGCTGTCGAGCGATGTCCGTCCCCAGCAGGACGACTGGAACGACGGACCTGCCGGCGACGACATGACTCGCGAGCCTGTAGACGAGGACGTCTTTGGGCGCATGCTTTCCAACCCTGTGCCCCGACGGAGCTCCTTCCCGAGCAGGTTGACTGGGCCGTTTGGGCGTCCGCGGAATGACTCACAATACGACGACGGTCCATCCTTTGGCGCTTCATATGGCTATCACAATGCACTTCCCGCCGAAGCTCCGTCAGCCTACATCCGGCGTCCTTTGGATCGCATGTCGAGCGGTGAAGAATATCCGTTGTCACCCCGAGAAGGCCCCTCAGCCTCCTTCAGGCGTCCTCAGAGCGGAATGTCTTCGGCGCAACCGCCAGCCTCCTTCAGGCGTCCCCTGAACCGAACCCTGAGCCGACATGTCCCCCCGTCTCTCGAAACGAGACCGTCAGATTCCCTCAGTCGTTCCCAAGTCCGATCGACCAGGGCATCCCGGGCACTTGCCGATGCGCTTCAAGGCGAATTCCATGCATCTCGCCCGAGCGACATGCAGAACACCGACTCGGAAGACGACGGCACCGACGAGGATATATCGCGACCTATTTCTCCGCTGATGCGGCCAGGAACTCCACGACCGGCTCGTCATCCTTGGGAAGAGGGTGAGGATCCCTGCCCGTGGATGAGGCCGCCGAGGTCTATCCCCGAGGTTCTGCTTTCGGGGACTGAAGAAGAAGTGGCGAGACTTAGGAGGCAAGGCATCTCTAGAGGGCTCGAGACAGAGCAGTTATATATCGAACCTCTTTGAACTCGAATCACATTACATGTAAGTAGCACGCCATTCGACTAGTACTTATATCCTGTATACCCGTACATCTATACCCAGTGTCTCTGATAGCTATAGCAATGCTAGGGGAGCACCGATCTCCCGTTGTATCTCGCCCAATCTTTGAACAACGTCGGCAAGAGTCTGCGCTAAGCCGCATCCTTGAGCTTGAACGTTTGAACGTTACTACAACTTGACAATATGTAATGTAAGTACTCTAGCCTGAATAATGAATATTGAATATTGAATCCTCGGAATAAGAATTTGAAATATCTCACTGCATGGCAGATTTGCTTCGACGTCCGACCGTGACAGTTACTGTCCTGCTTCTTTCGTAGACGCCGCACTCGTTCTGCGCTACTAGCCTTACTTACGTGCACGACGACGGTATGCCGCCCGCTCTGAGTGTATTGAGTTCGAACCGCGGTTGCGTGCGCGAATATAACAGCATGCCGATCGCGGATTGGCTCTCCACCTGTCCACGTGAATCGTGCCGCGAACTGTTGTATCTTGCCGACTTTCTCGGAGTGCACCCACTGCCAGTGTAGGCCTGGTCGTTCCTAGCTATAGCCAAGGTGCATTCGCAGTCACCCTCCTGTGAGAACTTGTGAAGACCGACTGGGGCTGCAAGCTTGAAGCGATCGCGACACGACTTTCTGACCTGGGCCTACATATGACGTCTACTAGTCGGACGCCATACGTCGCTTCGACACCAGACAGGACAACATTCGGCTCTGACATCCCTCTGCTCGCTTCGACACCATTGAACTTGATGCAGCATTGGAAATACCCTCTATATCACAGGAGGAGTCGGCGCAAGACCGCCTCCGTGCCAAGTGGAGGAAGTTCGCTTCCAAATGCAAGACGACGTACAAGAGCAACGTAGGATTGCTGCTCATTGCAGCCTCTACGGCGTTTGGTTCAATGATGAGCACGCTTGTGAAGAAGCTGAACAGCGTCGATCCACCAGTTCCAATGCTCGAGGTGAGCCTCAACGGATGACCAGGGAGGGAGAGGAGACTGAATATGTCTAGCTCATATTCATCCGCATGGTAAGTAGTGATCGACTTATGCGCCGTTCGATCCATCTTACACTGCTTTTGTAGTCAATGACATGGCTATGTTGCATAACATACATGTAAGGTGTCTCCCGAGGCATCTCGACATATTCTCATGAAAATCAGGTGGGTCACGAAAGTTCCCGACCCGCTCTTGGGACCCAAGGGAATCCGTCTGCTCTTAGTGGCCAGAGGAGTCTGTGGGCAAGTCCGATTTGGGTGCTCTTGATTGCTATGCACTTCGAGACTGACGACCTCATCATCGCGAAGGTTCACCGGACTTTCCGGATCATACTTCTCTCTCCAATATCTAACTGTCTCCGACGCGACGGTCTTGCAATTCCTTGCTCCAATGTGTACCGGCGTTGTTGGTGCCTTGGTGTTGAAGGAACACTTCACTCGCAGCCAAGCGCTTGCTAGCCGTGAGTTGGATTTCTCGAGCAAAGTGAACATACGGACTGACTAGAACCAGTATGTAGTTTGGTTGGGGTAGTCCTCATCGCGCGGCCAACTTTTTTGTTTGGACGTGCGAGCAATGCTGCCACCGCGCTGGACCCTCCTGTAGTGCTCGATGGCAGGTCAGACTACATCGAGGTCACTCCAGCTCAACGATTGCATGCGGTTGGGTAAGGGTGGAATGGCTAGATCCTATGCTTGCGTTCTAACCGCATCGTAGCTTCGCTATGTTCGGTGTCGTGGGTGCCACCGGCGCATGTAAGTCCGCCACCTACATCCACAGGATGCTCAGTCTGACGGTCATGACTGTAGATACGACGATACGCGCAATTGGCAAACAGGCTCATGCGCTTCATAGCGTAACCGCATTTTCGATGCAATGCATCGTCGTATCGTCAGTTTCGTACGTCAATAATGCCTACATGTGTTGCGGTACCCCGTCTCTGAAACCAATCCTCTTTGCCAGGATGCTCGCCTCCCGTACTTCGCCCGTGCTGCCAAATAAATTAGAGTGGATCGGCATGCTGCTTGCTATCGGGTGTTGCGGGTTCTCCGCTCAGGCACGTATTTGGATACAGTATCATCGCATATCTTCTCACGCACTTTGTCAGATGCTGATGACGACAGGACTTCAAAGAGAGACAGCGGGTCGAGGCACGATGGCGATCTATGTTCAGGTGCGTTACCGTGTGCACCGACTCACTTCCGCAGCTAAGTCAGCACTCATCCGCAATAGATTATTTTCGCGACAATTAACGACATCGTCTTCTTCCACTCCACGCCGAACTTCCTATCCATCATCGGAACAGCCATCATCATCTCGTCTGCTGTCTACGTTGCCGTAAGCCGTGCATTCATAAACAAGACGTCATTGAAACTTACCGCTGCTGTTCTCAGGTATCGAAGAAGGATCCAGGTCTACACAAGAGACAACAGAGTCTCATAGCGTCCCCCGCAGATTACTCGCTGGAGGAAGGCCTTCTCGAGAATCAGGAGGATGGTGCGGAGCCTTCCGAGTCCAAAGTCAAAGTATCTGCTTCCGTTATTACGGTCAAGTCGCCAGAGCTGCCCAACGAAGGCGTCGGTAATGGGCAGGCCAAGACGTTACCATCATAGACATAGACACAACACTTAGATGCCCATATTTCTTGTTGCCTCAGCGACGATTGGGCTATTAGTTGGCAGATGGTTCCAGCCTTAGATGGCGGTTTGCATTCAAAAACCTCGCACAATTGCCATTTCAGAGTCGTCCGAAGTGCTCGAGATTCCCAATACCCATGTGAGTGAGTGTGTTGGCTGGGGACGACACCACACCTGGAGGTTCCTTCCACGCTTTTAGTTTCCGCATCGCTCTCGTCGCTCATATCCATATTGGCATAGCGGTCACTCCGTGATCTACGAACATTGGGTTGTAGTGAACATCTTCTACCGATTGTTGCGCAAAGACGGATGGGATGGTTTGAAAGACTCCTCGCACCGCGTGTAGACCCATCCTCGCAGTCGCTATCCCCTGGACTGCGCACTTTCTTTCCAGTCGATCGCATGCGCCAGAGGCTGCCTAGAACGACTTCGTGCGCTTTCTGAATACAATTGTAACGAGCAATATAGCCTCAAGTACTATTGATCGTAGCATAGACGTGGCGTGGACGACGGCGTGCATCTGTGAGGATATGTATACATAGAAGTCGATCACACGGCGCCGGCGGTATGATCATGTCAATGAATACTACTCGATTAATACTATGCATGGCCGAGGTAGAGAAGCATGAAACTCGCTTCACCACCATATCACACCGTGCCACTGAACACGACTCAGACAATAAATGGATCCGGAGTGAGTATTATGTCATAACACAAGCAGCCGGCATGCAGTGCAATTGCAAGACGCCTCGTGCTCATTCGTCCACCATAAGTATTCGTTCGTGCCATGGAGCTTCACTGGCGTTCTGTCATAGCACTGATTTTAGGGACTTCATTCGTCGAAGATGCGGATTTGTTGCGGATGAGATAGCAAGCTGAGTAGATAGGCAAAGCACCCAGACTGAGATTAGTGCGATTCGGTGCAGTCCATAGACGGCGGACAATTGTGGCGGAGGGACGTGCGCACACGTTGCCATTTGGGCTCCGCTTCAATCCGAGTCGCCCTAGAACATCCGTCGCGTTCCCTTTTTGACCCCATCCCTCGCGGTTCATCACCCTCTTACGACCCCTCCATCGTCCAGCTCATTTCTAGTCCTCAGTGTACGTGTCTTTCATCACGTTGGACGTTGTGCTACGCCGCGGTCAGATCTGACGGGGGTGCGCATCGAGAAACGCGTCGCGTCGTTCGCGTTCATTCCTTGTTGATTGCTGCGTTGGTGCGACACATGCTGACGTGCGTCCTTTAGCATGCGTGAAATCGTTCACCTCCAAACCGGCCAGGTATGTTTGAGTCTCTGCTTCAGCCCAGTACAGGTCCTGACGTGGTACGATCATCCAGTGCGGCAACCAAATCGGTAACGGACTTGATTTGTAATCTCTGTCGTGTCGTCTCACAGCGCGACTCCAGGTGCCAAATTCTGGGAGGTCGTCTCAGATGAGCACGGCATCGAACCGGATGGGCTGTACAAGGGTACCAACGATGAGCAGCTTGAGCGGATCAATGTGTACTACAACGAGGTTGGCGCGAACAAGTACGTTCCGCGCGCGGTCCTAGTCGACCTGGAGCCCGGTACCATGGACTCCGTCCGATCCGGTCCTCTCGGTAGCCTCTTCCGCCCCGACAACTTCGTCTTCGGTCAGAACGGAGCTGGTAACAACTGGGCGAAAGGACGTAAGTGCTATATGCGTTGCGTGGCAGCCTACGCGTTGCGCCTCATACTGCTTTCTTGTGAAGCCTGATACTCATTGATTTGTTTAGATTACACGGAGGGTGCGGAGCTTGTCGACTCCGTCCTCGATGTCGTTCGCAAGGAGGCTGAAGGTACCGACGCGTTGCAAGGTGAGTTGGCATGGGCAAGCTTCGACGTGACGTGTGACCAGTGTCACGTCACATGTCCATCCTTGTGACTGACGTGTTGGCCAGGCTTCCAGATCACCCACTCGCTTGGCGGTGGTACCGGTGCTGGCATGGGTACTCTGCTCATCTCCAAGATTAGGGAGGAGTACCCTGATCGCATGATGGCTACGTACTCCGTTGTCCCCAGTCCGAAGGTTTCGGATACCGTCGTTGAGGTTTGTCCCTGTCTCCGTAGTGTGTCCATTCAGCTTCTGACCCTCTGTTTCAGCCATACAACGCGACACTTTCGGTCCACCAGCTTGTTGAGAACTCTGACGAGACCTTCTGCATTGACAATGAGGCGTTGTACGACATCTGCTTCCGAACACTCAAGTTGACGACGCCGACGTATGGGGACCTGAACCACTTAGTCTCCATCGTTATGTCCGGCATCACGACTTGCTTGCGTTTCCCTGGTCAGCTGAACTCTGACCTCCGAAAGCTCGCTGTCAACATGGGTGAGCAGAGCTCGTTCTAGCATTGATTTGAGCTGACGATGTGATTCCATCTAGTACCCTTCCCTCGTCTTCACTTCTTCATGACTGGTTTCGCTCCTCTTACCGCCCGCGGCAGCCAGCAATACCGTGCTGTCACCGTTCCCGAGCTCACGCAGCAGATGTTTGACGCAAAGAACATGATGGCTGCGTCCGACCCTCGTCACGGTCGTTACCTGACCGTAGGTCCATCAGCTCCGATCTATCCGGTTGTGTCCTTATTCCTCTTCAGGTTGCTGCTGTGTTCCGTGGCAAGGTCTCCATGAAGGAGGTCGAGGAGCAGATGCAGAACGTGCAGAACAAGAACTCAGCGTACTTCGTCGAGTGGATCCCCAACAACGTCCTCACCGCACAGTGTGACATTGCTCCCCGGGGTCTCAAGATGGCTGTCACGTTCTTGGGTAACTCGACTGCTATCCAGGAGCTCTTCAAGCGTGTCAGCGACCAGTTCACTGCCATGTTCAAGAGGAAGGCCTTCCTTCATTGGTACACGCAGGAGGGTATGGACGAGATGGAGGTATGGTACTCTAGCTGCAACGAGTGGTCATTTGTTCTAACTATTGTGCCTGTAGTTCACTGAGGCTGAGTCGAACATGCAAGATCTTGTTGCCGAGTACCAGCAATACCAGGACGCTACGTGAGTTGTCCCTGTTCATCACACAGACAACAACAGCTGACTTGTGTTGCAGCGCTGAGGAGGAGGGCGAGTACGAGGAGGAGGTCCCTGTTGAGGACGAGTAATCTCCTTTCTTGTGTTGTCCAGTGTTGGTGGTGCTCCTTTGATCCTCAAAAGCTCTACTAGGTATTTTCCTTTTATTGGTCGCTTTCCAAGTTCGCTGCATGTCTCTACTCTACCCTCGGTCCGCGCTGGCACGAAGTTACCCCTAGTCTGCATACCTGTGCCCTCCGATCATTATCTTCCCGTACCATGAATTGATGTCGTTTCTGCGGGTCTGCTGTAGCTTATAGCCCGCTAGAGTGATATCTGTTTGCTGAGCGACATCTGGGGTCTGTGATATGCATGTGAGTGCTTGATGCCCGATGTAGTTTCGGTTCGTATTTATCGACAACCACTGCAGATGTGCGTTGCATGTGGGCACTGCTTATCCCAAAGTGCTATGCGACATCCGTCGGCTGAGAATGCATAGCATATGTACCACTGAGGTATCAGATGTTTGCCGTCTTTTTTTGGCCTGATGCTTTGCGAGGCGATCCGCGGTCAAGTCGGGCGAACCGCAATGTCAACGACGGGTGGACGATCGCCTCAAGCTTCAGGAACATGTTTGTCCGAGGCTTCCCGCAACCATGTGCTGACAGGACAGTGTGGTACCCGTGAAGTTTTTGGTCCGGCACTGCCTAGGCTCAGTGAAAGCGATGTATGTCATTGTAGCATTTCGCCACACAATGTGCTCACCTGCGCTCTGTAGATCGGACTGCCCTATGCGGCTCGCAGTGCACGGAGGAGATATAACGGCGACATCGCTACTCAGGAACGCGTAGCAATGCTCGCAGCACAGGTGCGCTCCGTATGTATCAGCATCAAATTGACCTGAAAGTGCAATAGACGGGCGCCGAGCACACCCGATCAGGCCCGGAAGGCCAAAGGGACCGACAGACAGTTGCCTACTCTGGCAGTAATCCCCTTCTCCCTTTTGCACGTCATCAGCGGCCAGAATGATCGTGAGAGATGTCAGTGTATGCACAACCCGTTCATCGCTTAGATCGGTTTGTCACGAACGGCCTGGCGAACTAACCCCCGGTGCCGAGTAGCGTATATATGTCGCGCTGCATCGCCCAGGTATGCCGCTATGTTCTTCTTCCCTGCGATCTAATCCCCAACATGCATCCGGACAGCTTCTATCGAGTGCGCCTCTTCAAGGACTTCGTCCGAATTGTCGTTGTACCTTGGGCCACTCTGTTTGCCCTCCTTCGGACTACGGAAGTGCGGTTGGGACTGCTCGCCGTTCCTGCTCATGTCGTCTTCATCGTCTTCTGGGCATACACACGGCTTCAATATGCTGACTGGATGCATCGCCGTGATGCACGTCGCATGGGGGCTCGGCCCATTCCTCGGGTCCGCGGTAGATGGCCAGGGAACCTCGACATATACCTTCAATTACTCAAAGCATATCACACCACCTACCTCGGCTCCTTCCATCTGAAGCTCTTTGAGGAGTATCACACTACCACTCTTAATCTCCGGTTACTCTGGCAAGACTTCGTAAGTTCAGTCGTTCTCGGAACCGGTGATTTCAGTTGGTCTAGCTAGATCTTGGATTGACGCCTCCGATCATTCATGGCTTTCGCAAGGCAGGTACTGACATACTCGTGACAGATCATCACTATGGATGCGAAACACCAGCAGTTTGTCTTGGCGACTGGCTATGAACACTTCTGGAGAGGCGTCGGGCAGAAGGAGCGTATGTAAGTAGAGTTATGATCACCGCCAGCAGGCTTTGACATAGTCGACCATAGGGAGGAGTTTCTCGGTGCTGGCATCTTCAATCGCGACGACCAGGTAAGACCTTTTGCCGTCGTTAACAGGCATCTCGCTAAATTATTATGGCTGCAGGAATGGAAGGCGGTGAGCAAGCTCGGCCGCGTATAATGGTACTGTTCATGGCTAAAGCCCGTCGTAGCACCGTGCGCTCGCTCGACCATTCTTCTCTCGCGATCGCGTCACCGACTTCGAGTTGTTCGAGCGGTATGCCGACCGTACGGTGTCGCTCATGTCGTCGCGATGTGAGCTTGGAGAGCCGGTCGAAGTGCAGGACATGTATGCAAGATTTACTCTCGACGCTGCATCTGAGTTCCTCTTCGGCAAGAATGTCGATACTCTCTCCGGTCGACTCCCAGAGCCCGGAAACACGCAGATGAGCGGAAAAGGCTCTGCGACGGGCGACGAGTTCGGATCTTTTGCGCAGTCGTTCGAAGATGCACAAGTATTGGTCCTGCTCAGGGTTCGGCGCGGGTACTTCTGGCCCATCTACGAACTGTTCACAGGGGACCCACACCGAAAACATATGGCAGTTATTGAGAAGTGGCTCGAGCCGTTGATTCAAGACGCTCTGCAGAACAAATCAGATATGCAGAAGAGCGGTCTCAAGAACCCGCTAGATCAGAGCGTGTTCTTGCAGTATCTGGTGGACAATACCGAAGGTTAGTCACCGTGTGATATTCTATTGCAAGCGCATATGGTGACGCGCTTCGCCGTGCATGCAGACCCGAAAGTCATGCAAGACCAGCTCCTTAACATTCTGTTGGCCTCGCGCGATACGGTCGGTAGCATCTTTTTCTTTCCGCAGTATCCTGCCTGACACATCTTTCGTCAGACCTCTTCACTCCTGACATATGTCACGTACTTCCTTGCATCGCATCCAGACGTCACGAAGCGGCTGCGCGCAGAAATTCTGGAGCATTGCGGTGTCGACAGCGCTCCTACGTTTGATGACATCAAGAACATGAAGTACAGTGCGTTTGCCTGAGCTTGAGTGTTCCGAAGAATAAGGACTGACAGACTGTGTACTCAGTGCGTGCGGTCATCAACGAAACTTTACGTTTATTTCCACCTGTGGCGGTAAACTCGAGAGAGAGCAAACCGCACCCCAGCATTCTGCCGAACTCTGACGGTACCTACCTGCAACCCGCGGAACCTCTATACATGCCTCCCCTGACACCAATTGCGTACTTCACTTCTCTCATGCACCGCAATTCAGCGCTCTGGGGCCCGGACGCGGATGTCTTCGATCCGGATCGCTGGCTCGATAAACGCCTATCGAAGTTCGTCTCGAACCCTATGATGTTTACGCCCTTCAGCGCCGGTCCCCGAATCGTAAGCGAATCCACCATCAAAGTCTGAATTATGCCCTGATCTACGTATGTGTAGTGCATTGGCCAGAACTATGCTCTGAATGAGGCATCATTATTTCTCACCCGTCTCTTGCAGCGGTTCGACACGTTCACACTTGCGCCGGAGGCCCAACCCGCAGGCTCGTTGCCACCATCCGAGTGGAAGCAAGGCAAGGGTCGCGAAACATTTGAGAAACTATGGCCTAACTCTGCATTGACGAGTTATGTCAAGGTACGGCTTCGTCGCTTTGGTGTCTACGCAGTCGTTGATTGTGCTTCTTGTGACCAGGGAGGGCTATGGGTTCGATTAGGTCGGGTAGAAACATGAGGACGACTCGAGGTTTACACCGCGAAGGCGAGGCTTTGGCAGTATATAACGATATGCGTGCTACCTTTTCAAGCTTCAAGCTCACGGCTGAGCCGTAACGACATTAGAGACTTACTCTCACTCTCTACATCCTTTAACTTATCATTGATATGGTCTGTACTTACGTTGGATGTAACTTGTATGCCAAAGAGTTTGAATAGATTATCTGCGTGAACAAGTCGGTGCGCCGCGTCACCAGGCGTCACGCGTCACCGTGCGCGTAGTAACAAACGTAACCCGAGAACAACAGGTTACCAAATTTGGATAACGCGTGAGGCGCGGTGGCCCGCCGGGCAACTGCTGGGGAGGGGCAAGCCCTGCGACGCCCGTGGCCGCTTAGTCAGCGACGCGCCACTGCAAACTTGGTCAGACCTCGATCGTGTGGCGCTGGTGTGGCGTATACATCGCACTGATCGCGTTCAAGCTCTACAGGCAAGACATCTATCCAGAGTAAATTACGAGTACGTTATACTAAAATGTATGTTATAGTCTAACAATCTAGGTCCGAGTCATTATCATAGTCTATGTGGGATTCCCCTGCTCGTTGTGTCAAACTCGCTGTAATGCTGTCTGACTCAGATGTAGCAGTATTCGAAAGAGCCAGTGTACGGCGGGCCTCTGCACGCGCAATCGCCTTCCTCAGCTCTAGTAATGCCTCGGGCTTTTTGACCTTTTTCTTGTGCAAAGACGAAGGTGCGGGGGTCTCCTTATCGTCGAGCCGATAGACTTGAAGCTGCTGATCAATGTCAGGTCTGCGTAATTTCGCCAGGCCCTCCTCGTCAACTACGAACTTGACTGCACGCAGCTTGGCCTCCCGTTCATTTTCCTTGCGCTTCTTCTCCGCGGCCTCTGCTGATCTCTGCTGAGCAGTTGCCAGATCGTGCTCGACTTGACGTCTGCGGCGCTCGGCCTCGTGGCCACTGCTGTCGAAGGTACGTGCTTCGCGGCGAATATGTTCGTGACAGGTGTCGTCGAACATCTAACGCTCCCGCAACGCCTTGCATGGCGTCTCCGACCTTCTTCTGTGAACATCCACCTCGCACCAACATGCGCGCAAGCGACCGCGCGGCTGGCGTGTAAACACCCTTCCGCTTCAAACGAAAGATCGCTGGCCGTGACTTCGCCCGGGCCCTCTCAATCGCGTTCGCGAGAACACGGGGTGCACGCTCGCTGCGTTTGCGAAGCTTTCGAATAGTATTTTGACAACCACGTAGCTTATCGACCATTGCGCTGCGTGTTCCGACCAGGGTCGTGCGAAGTTCGTGCCCCTCCTGCTGAAGATGCACGATCTTGCCCTCTAACTCGGTGTTGTGCTTCTCAACAGATGCATGAAGATTTGTCTTGACTCGAAGCTTGTCCTTGAGTACATTCATTCGTTTCTTCATACGTGCTTCTCGTCGCTGACTGTTGTGCAGTTGTCTCCTCGATTCGGCAAGCTTATGCCAGTGCTGAGTCCCATCATGTGCCGGCAAGTCCTCCATCTCAGCTTTCTACATGACAGTGAGTTTTGTTTGTCACTTGGCAAGGAAGTAACCTATATCACTGACACTCCACTCCGAAAAAATAGCCATCCCAGATGACTGTGGACCCATTACAGGTATGTTCTCTCTCGCCAGTGCCGAGTCTGAGTCTGAGTCTCCATGATACTGAGCTCTACTAGCCAGAGCTCCCTTGGCTGCAGCTGCCTTCTGTGCTGAAGAGCGTCCCTTCCGCCTCGGTCTAGTACATGATTTATATGTTCCTTTGGCCACCATACTCGTGCTAATGATGTATGCGTCTCCGAGGATGATTATTGGTGTATTATGCTGTAGCTGAACTTCAGGGCACGAATTAAGCGCAGAATAAATCTAGGAAACTCCCGATTAAATTCAGGGACCATGGTACATTTATACCTCAACTCACCTATCGAAAGGAGATATGTTTGAGAGAGAACGGACATTGTTACGCGCATGGAGATGAACGGGTAACCGCGTTGTTGTTGCTCACGTGACCGTACGACGCGTTTGTGGCGGAGACATCTCGCGCGTCTTCGTGCCTATCAGTATACCGTGTATCTAACCTGAAGCAAAGGCATTCATGCCTGGTCATTGGTGACAAATATATTGCGAGAGTACGTATGAGTGTTTCATTAGTGGTTTCATTGTGTGGATATTTGTCTTTCACTCCATGATTGAGGAAACACACATGAGCCACACTCATTAAATCGGAATTCTCGTCCATGTAACCTAACAAAACCTTCTATGGCCTCATGGCTCTCAATCCCGTTGCATCCGCGGACACCAAAGCATCTGAGGGAGCTCATGTTTGTGATACAGTGCTTCTACCACTCTCGCGACCAATGCCACTAATTCCAAACACGAACAAACAGATTCGCCCTTGCGGGCGTTGCCCCTCCCCACAACTGCGCTCGGTGACTGCCACTGTGCTCCCGCTCGCCACCCTCGCATCTACGATCGCGCTCTCCCCTCATCTCTCGGTACACAGAAACGCCCAGGAGCGTTGAATAGGCTGCCAAAATGTCGAGCTTGTCGCATGTCGGGAAGGGGGTGATGAGGGTGGCGAAGAACTACACCAAGGGTTACTCGGACGTCCAGGCCAAGGTGCGGGACGCGACCTCGAATGACAAATGGGGACCCTCCGGGACACAGATGAATGAATTGGCACAATTGACATACAACCAGTACGTTCTGTGTCTTGCTCACTGGGGACTGTTATGGAGTGTTCGTGTAGGAACGACTTCATTGAGATCATGGAGATGCTTGACAAGCGGCTCAATGACAAGGGCAAGAACTGGAGGCACGTATTCAAGGTATGCTGCGACCTGTTGGATGCCTCGTAATAGACTCATTCCTCGCTCAGTCTCTGACGGTCCTTGACTATCTCCTGCACGCCGGTTCGGAGAATGTGGTGCTATACTTCAAGGACAACGTCTACATCATCAAAACGCTGAAGGAGTTCCAGTATATCGACGAGGAGGGCAAAGATCAAGGTGCCAACGTTCGCCAGAAGGCGAAGGACATCACAAATCTCCTGCAAGACGCTTCACGGCTGCAGCAAGAGCGCCGCAACCGCGCAAGCATGCGTGATCGAATGACGCGGGCGGGTGGCCTTGACGGGGAGATCGAGGACGAGAACGTGCAGCGGCGGTCACAAAGCCTCCCTCCGCGCCGTAAGGAAACGGATGCGGAGCTCCAGCGTGCGATCGAGGAGAGTAAGAGGTCCTTGGCGCAGGAGCAGGCTCGGGGACAAGAGGATCGCGACATCCAGGAGGCGATCCGGCTCAGTGAGGAGGAGGAAGCGAAACGGAAGAAGGCCATCGCCGATGCAAGCGGATCTCTCTTCGATGATCACAGCCAGTGCGTCTTCTCCGTCGTACGTGGACTCTCTCAGACCTGCTCATTGATCGTAGGAACACGAATGGGACCAACCCATTCCCTCTTATCGATATGTCTGCTTCGGTGCAACCACAGTACACAGTGCAGCCGCAGTACACGTCGTTCAATCCGTATCAGCAGCAGATGCAGCAGGAGGCTATGCAAGCGGAGTACCTTCGCCAGCAAGCAGAGTGGCAGCAGCAGCAGCAACAGCAGCTGCAGGCGCAACAGCAAGCACAGCTGCAAGCTGCGCAGCAAGATGAATGGATGCGCCAACAGCAGATGCTCGCGCTCCAGCAGCAGCAACAACAGCAACAGCAACAGCAGCAGCAGCAGTTCCTGCTTGCGCAGCCTACTGGCTTTGGGTACGCCTCTCAGTATGTGACGCTGCTATTATGTCAACTAAACGGCTTGAACTTTTAGATCGAACAATCCCTTCGCACCCTCCTCATCCCCCAACCTCTCGCTGTCGACGTCGTTCTCGTCTAACAACTCGTTAACAGCCTCGCCAGCACCACAGAGCGCTGGCCCTTCATTCAATCTACAGGGCACATACGCGAACGGCGGGCCGAGCACAAATCTAAGCAGCAGCCCAGCCCAGTCGCCACCGCCACCGTCCCAGTCCGCCCCTCCAAGGCAAGGCACGCTGAACGTGAAGACGCGCAAGGACGAGCAGCATGCGCATCTTGCGAATATCTTCGCAAACCGCGACGACGACGGTATCGACACCTTCGGAAACTTCGGCCAGCTCAGGTGCGTTGTGCTATGGCGTGAGTCTGCTTCACATTGACTGATGTGGCGTTGCAGGTACGGTCAGCAAGCAGGCAGGCTTGTTGGCCAGCCCACAGGCCAGCCGTCAGGTCACAACCCGTTCCAGCAACAACAACAGCAGCAGCAAACCGATCAGCCCTTCTTTTCAGTATGATGACTGCCATCGCAATATGTCTACAGTCGTTGGTTATTGCTTCCTTACGTTAAACACTTTTCGTACCAGCTCATCTGTTCAAGGTTGCCCCAATTGTATACCACTCCGTACTCCACCGTTCTCTGCCTAGGATTAATCTGCTTTTCGCGTTAAAATGTTGAGAGGGGGAGCTCTCCCTGTCGATCGACAGATCCCTAGGATAGGGAGGGGATATGAATATCTTAGATCAATGCAAAACCCAAGTACAGTGGTACACTTGTCACTGTCAGCGCTCGGTTGGTCTGCCGCTGTGTGATATCCCTAGCTCTCGCGCGCAGAGCAAGGCGTCAGATTAGAATATCAGGAGCGCGCGCAGGTTTAAAAGATGAAAGAATTGTCTACACTGCCCACGGGAGACTAAAAAAGGCTCTCCTCAAGCTCTTCGGAGTCTCCTATGCTCCCAGCTACATCCCCGACTCCGACCGGAGGGAGAGAGGAGGGCTTTGTCCAGCTTTGTCCACTACGTTCCACTACTTGAGTAGCAAGGCTCGAGTCCCAAGTGGCCGGGCGCCTTCCACTTGTTTGTCCAGACCGACCCTTACTTATCCCAAACCATCACCATGATTTCTGACAAGGAGATGACAGACGACTACACAGTCTTCTATCCTCATTCTACGAAACTCCCCTCTTTCACGATGCGGGTACCTAGCGGCAGCAAAAACCATATTGATACGTTACTCGAGGATACAATCAAAGCCAAGAAACCACTTCAACAGCACATTGATCTCACTGAGGGTTATACGTTGTTCATGGTACGTATCTTTCTTGTGTCGATTAAGCTGGTAGTGACCATACTAGCCCTCTGGATTGTCGCGGTCGCCCCGTAAAACTTTACTCGATCGTAGCCTCACATGGCTTCGCGATTATCATGATGTTGAGGACACCATAATTGATGTGATGGAGACGACGCATACCGTTTTCCCAGAAGGACCGCAACCTCATTTCGTCGATATTCTCTTTGTCACGCCGGAGAGTGAGTCATTTTTCTTGAACACTGGACACCCATCTGACCTGTGATCTAGTACTGGAGAGTCTGGACGACGTGGGAGAGCTTGCCGCTAGCCATAGGAAGGTCATCCGTGGTACGTAGCCTTATTCTTACCTCCAGGCTGTCAGCTGACTATGACATCAGAACGGGAGAGGAAGGCTCATGACATCCACACATCGTTACCCAGGCTACGGTCGGATGGAATTTTGTCGAGCTCAGGCGTACAAAAGTTGTTAACGACCTCAATGACCGATTTCACGCGGGACGACCGCACGACAACTATGGTCCTCCAGTCGCCTTGTTCCACCCTACGTTGGGCTTACTCGCATACCGTCTTCGTCATCCTGACTTCGATGTTCCCGAGAGCGAACTAAATTCTTTAGAGTTCGAACAGGTTCATCTCTTTATGACACAGGTTTTGTGTAGCTACGAGAATGAGGAGGCGCGGACAGAGGCCATTCGGGATGCCCTCAAGATAATCTTCAGGTTCGATCTCGATTGGGACACATCCATCGGCGACAACCACCTTGATGCGGTTTTTGGCGGCTCACGCCCGTTCGGCTTGGTGATAATCAAGAACGAGTCCGGGTTGGGTGGTGATGCATCTCTGCAAGCAGGTCTATCCTACGCGAAAATCGTAACAGGTGACAATGACAAAGTCTGAATGTTGACTGTATGTACTGCGACGGTGTCACTGACGAGGTACTCTAGCTGGTACGGCAGCGACGGCGCCAGTCAAACTACCCTGCTATCCTGATCGGAATGATGGGTGACCTCCTCGAGATCGGGATTGCCATGTACACCGACGGACCCTATACCGACTGTGTCTTCTCGGAGCGGTTGCGTTTGGACTTCCACCGGAACGAGAACGTTCTCCGTGTCGCGCGGGCCTTCAAGGCTGTTCAGCTCGCTGTGAGTGACCTTCGCGCATTTTATGCACGACTCGACGCGGCACCTCCGAATCCTCCCATCAGCATCGCACATCTCTTTCCCTCACCTCTGCCGGACCCCTCCTGGAAGGACAGCATACCATCCTTGACTTTCACGCACCGGATGTCTCGCGCTGGGCAGCTCTATCTCATGGCGGAGTCGCCAGATCGGAGGTCTTCGTGCATCTATGTTGCCACTATGCCCAAGTCACTGGCATCAGGAGCCGGCGATACTGCCGACGGCGAAGTCGAGGTCCTCGTCAAGTTCACCGCGAGCTACAACGAAGAAGCCCACCGCATCCTCGCCGCAGCCGGGTTGGCGCCTAATCTGCACGCCTGCATTCCCGTGTACGATCGCCTCTTCATGATTGTCATGGATCGTGTTCACGGCGAGATGGCGTGGTCGTTCGAGCAGAGAAAGGAGCTCCTCCCGTACAGCATCTACGCCGACGTCAAGACTGCCATCAACCTGCTTCATGACAAGAACCTCGTCTTTGGTGATCTACGGTCTCCCAACATCATGTGTGTTCGTCGATCCGATGGCGATGGCTCAGACGAACGGTGGAATGCCATGCTGATCGACTTTGACTGGGCCGGGGTTCACGGTGATGCATTCTACCCAGCGATTATGAATGACCAACTATCGGTGTGGGTTCCCTCCATGCGGCGAAGAGGGCTGATGCAGATGGAGCATGATGTTGGTATGCTCGAGCGGGTTGAAAAGTTGTGCGAACCGAACATGGTGTAATTCTGTATTACTGGGACGCGTAGATGTGGTCAATGCATAGTATGGTCGCGATGTACACTTGGGGGTTTCTCGTTTTGTGATTTAGTTGGGTGTCGTTGCAACGGATGGAAGTATAGCAGGCAGAAAAAGAGAGGAGGGAAGCATATGTAAGTACTGTCAATATGAAGTCAATACTGTCCATACGGCAGCTCTCCCGCCTCTCGCCCGACTCCTCTCCGCTCGGGTTTCCATGTTCTTTGTCCTCCGGGTTCTCCTCTCTTCCCTGGTCTTTCTCTTCTTGTCTAGGCTGTTCTCCGGTCTTCGTCAGCGCTCAGCTCCGTTCGAGGAACCTCTTCGTCGCCAAGTGATTCGGCCAGATGAGCGAACGGAACACGCACACGACGAGAATAGAGAACTGCCTTTCTTTTGGTGAGATGCTGCGTCTTACGACGTTGGTGTTAACAGTCGTCACCTTCGGGCTACGATTGCAGGAGATGTCGCACGTTTTGACCGACATGCCCAGCTTGCACTCTGGTCTGATTCGTGTGTGAACGGCAGGGCTGACTTGTGGCCTGGTACTTCAGTTGCCAACAGGACGTCGACCAACTCGTGGCGAAGAGGCAGGAGATTATTGACGGCGACAAGTCGCAGGTCAGGATGGTCGTGTGCCACATTGTGTAGAAGGAATCAGCTTTGACATAGTATTTATGACTGACGCGCAAGAGCATAATATACGCAGTCCTAGACAATGGTGCGTAGCATGGGTATCCAATCACTGTCAGTATATCACCCACCAAAGAATGTTCGGGTATCACGGTTCAAACCATCCCACTCTTGCCATCTCCTCCGCTAGTCCCTCCCAGCCTCGTCTCCGAGCCTTCCTTCCAGCTAGCTCCGTTGCGAACCTGATCACCCTAAGCGACGCACCGGATCGCCAGTGGCAGCAAACGCACCTCAAGCACTCTTCCAACCTCCACCTCCCCACCTCTCTCACATCCGACCCGACGTCCCTGCCCCGACTCGCCCCGCTCGGGGTGTACGGCTCGCCCGGCAACAGCCGCCGACTCAGCGCATACATCATCCCCGCCACAAACGCGTCTTGCGCGCCGACCTCGTCCACGATCTCGGCCCCGAATGGCTCGTTCCTCCGCGCGTCCGGCGCCGAGCCCGTCGTCGCGTTCCCCGTCTGCGTCTCGTCCGAGTCCGCGGAGCCCTCGCGTCGGTCGCGCTGGTGCATGAACTGGCTCTGCGGCACGGACGCGCCCGGGGGCGGACTCTGCGGCGCGTGCGAGGTCCCCACGGACGATGACAGCATCCCCGCGGTGAACACACTCGACGAGTCCGTGTGCTGCCCCGCCCAGAAGTCGCTGCCCGTCCGCACAGAGAGCATTTCGACCACGTCCGTGGTGTCAAGATTCTCGTGATCGTCTGCGGCGGTCGTGTGCCGCGAGTGAACGGGCATCGCGGCCGCGCTGGGGCTGCTCGAGTCCGCCGCGACCCAGCCCGAGCTCTGGAAGTACTCCCGGGTGGGAACGGAGAGCAGCGCAGCGCCGTCTTCGCCCCAGTGCGCGACGAGGAGCGCGTGCGGCGCGGCGAGGGTCGTGAGCGAGAGGAGAAACGCGCGCGGAGAAGCGGCGTATTGGGGCGAGTGCGCCAGCGCGTAGTGCTTGTTGAGAAAGACCACGTCAGCGTAGGGCACGAGCTGCAGAATATGTAAGCGGCAGCACGCCATGCACGTAGAGGAGGATTCCCACCGCTTCCACACCCTGTTTGGCGCGTCGACCTACGTCGACGCTGAACACGCAGTGGTTCCTCCATTTCCGCTCTTGTGCCAGACCCTCCAGGCCCATGATGTTGCTCAGCGTCGTCTTCACTGACCTGCCTTCGAAGTGTACCCAGTCAAATGGCGCCGGGCTGCTCGTGTTTGTTCTCGGTAGGGTAACGGCTGGTCGCACGCCATCCATGCTCGACATGGATGGCCGTGGTTGCAAGGCATCCAGCTTGAAGGCCGCGTTCGCGGTATTCGGTGTTAGATGTGCGGGCGCAAGAGGCGGAGAGTACAAGTAGTTCTCTGGGGCGAGCAGCGGTCCGAGGAGGGACACAAAGTCTTCGTGCGTGATGTCGGGTAGAGGGTTGTTGTTGACGACGGTGCGCGAGTCGGTGTCGTCTAGTGGTGCAACGCCATTAGCCACGAAACAGCCAGGCAAGACAGTAGGCGACCTGCATGTAGGACCCACGCGCTAGGAACACCAGCCTCCTCCCAGACTTTACAAAACCGCGTACTGACGCGCTCCCTCTCCAGGTCTCGTATGAGCTTCCGTCCGTCTTCGTTACCTCCCAGGGGCGCGACCAACAGAGCCTCGACTGGCGCGAATTGTGCAAGAATGGAAAGACATGTACTGGCGGCGCCTCCACGCGAGCGTATGACAGTGCTCGCGCGGAGTACGCTGTTCGGCAATGGATGCGTGGGGAGCTCGAGGGTATGGGTGAGGAAGAGGGTCCCGGAGGCGACTATGCGCAGTGGGCGTTGTATGGGGTTTGTAGCGGATTCAGTCGTATTGCGTCGTCCAGGCGCCATGACGGGGACCGTCATATGTTCCGTACGCAGCCCTTTTCTCCCCTAAGCAGACCCAAGTACAGCCTATTTGAGAGAGGGTTAGGAGGGGTTAGGGCAGTTGAATAGGATACTACTTGCTTCACGTCTCGGCTGAATTATCGTATCAGGTCGTCAGCTCAGTCTGTGTTTCGCAGCAGGCTCACCGCAAAATACACCACCCCCGCCTTAGCTACCGATCTTCTGGAGACGCCAGTTTCGCGAGAAAGTATGCGGAACACTTAGATCGCACCGAGCTTGAGCGAAGGGCGGGCGGGAGACGGAGATGTTGGTTCGAGAGAGAGGTAGGAGTTGGGCTGAGCGCGCTATGACATCCTCGCGGACCGCAAGTCTCCGGGCCCGGGTTACCGTGTTTGGAAGATACTTTGCCCACGTGGTTACTGGTCGTTCGTTAAGCGCCCATGGTGGTGCTTTCGATTTCGCCTGCGTAAGTCCGTCGGAATCCCCACAAACCGTGAAGTTGGCTGCCGGAACCCTGCTGCAATCTTCCATCCTTCGGACGAGTCCTCTCTGGCTCCGACTGAAGGCCAAGATGTACGGATATGGCTCACACAGAAACCACGCGTACTCTGCCTATGGCCACAACCGCTACACGACTGGCGAATGGTACGGAGACGAGCCCGGACCAAGCTCTTCACAAACCTCCGACCACTATGCCTACGACCCACATGCATACGACCCGCAATATGGGACGATGGACAACTACTACAACGGTGGCTATCACGAGGCCGGCGCTCCGTCGCGGTACGCACACTATCCGATGAACTCAGATGCAGATGGCTATGGGCTCTACCAGCCCACGCCCGTGCACCAACATACGAAGTCCGCAAGACCACCTCGCGCACCGAAAGCGATGCGCGATCGCGAACGAGAGCTCGAGCGTGGACGCGGTCGGAAAGGCAAAGAGGACGAGGGCGACCGCGAAGTCACTCCGCCGCCCGTACCCTCCCCATCTCCCGAGTACCTCGCCCTAGCGGCTGACGCGCCTTCCACGCTCTCCGAAATCTCCTCCTCTCGCAAGCTGCTCGTTCTCGATCTCAACGGCACACTTGTCTTTCGCTCGCCCCACTCCTCCCGCACGAGGAACAGGGGATTCCCGCGCCTGCGCCCGACGTACCCTCGTCCGTATATGCGCGCGTTCCGCGAGTATCTCTTCGCCCCGGAGACGAAGGCGTGGCTGGACGTGATGGTGTGGTCGTCCGCGCAGCCGCATAGTGTTGGGGACATGGTGGACAAGTGCTTTGGCTCATGGAAGCGCGAGCTGGTGGCGGTATGGGCGAGGGACACGCTCGGGCTATCGAATGACCATTATCGTGAGCATCTATCCTTCAGATTTCACACTATGCACCGGGAGCTGGGCCCCGCAGACCGCCACTCGTCTGGATGCCATGCAGATGCCACCTGGATCAGTAGCCGTTTGTGAATACTCGGTTCCCGGCATTGTGGACCCATTGATGCGCTACTGACTTTGTTCTGCTCCTTCTCCTCCAAAGACCGCAAGGTTCAAACCTTGAAGGACCTCTCCAGGCCATGGTCTACCCTCCCCGCCCTCCTCACGCCACTCCCTCCTTCTCCCTCTCCCCCCTCCGAGCGCAGCACGTCCCCCCCAAGCTCGTCCCCACTTGTGCGCTCCTCTTCCCCTGTTCATGATGCAGACAGCGTGGCCCCACAAGTGCACTCCGCGCTTACCACCCTGCTCCTGGACGACTCCCCATCGAAGGCAGCGCTGCAGCCGTACAATCACTTCTGTATCCCGGAGTATACCCAGGAACGCCGTAACAAGGATCTGGATAGTTTCCAGAAAGAGCAGGAGTGGCTGCTCGCTCTCGAGAGGAGGAAACTGCTTCAGGCACAGCTCACTAAGGACGAGAAAGCAGCGCAGGTCGCCTCAGCAGCATCTTCCCCACGGAGAAACGGTTCCGAGCACGTCGAACCCATCCCAAAATCTAGGAAGCGCAAGCGCAAAAGCAAAGAGAGCGCCCAAGCAGATTCCACTCTCCCCGCATCTCATCTGAACACCTCAGAAGAAGACACCTTCTCCTCCTCTTCCTCTTCCTCCTCCCACGCCTCCGCCCCTGCTTCGTCGCCCACTCCGCCCGGTCTCCCCACCTCTTCCACCTCTCCTCCCGCCCCCAAGAAGGAAAGCCGGAATGCCAAACGGCGCAAACACTTCGAGGAGCCCATGCTCACCCCGGAGGTCAAGCGGCCGGACCTATCGTACGACGAGACGCTCCTCGCCGTCGTGGGCGTCCTGGATGAGGTGCACTGTCAGCGGAACGTAGCGGCGTGGGTCAGGGCGGGCGGGCTATGGGGGCCGGGGGGTGTGCCCACGCATCTCAAGCAGGCAGTGAGGGAGAGGTCGTCGGAAGGGATGTCGGAAGGCTCGGCGGAGGGTGATGAGCGGCTGGATGGCGTGTCTGGGATTGTGGAGGCGGACGGAGCGAAGAAGAAACGCAAGCCGAGGCATAGGACCCTGCGCAAACAAGCTGAAGCTGAGGCTTTGCGGAGGGCTGAGGAGGGCGATGCTGTAATGGAGGTGGACGAGAGCACGGCGCGTCCTGCAGGCAACGACGAGGTCACACAAACTGCGCCTACGGACTCGAAGGGCATTGCCGATTTACCTGCGGATGCACCTGAAGCACCGGCCGCGTTGATGTGGTTTGAGGACTCCGAGGTGATAGTGTACTGGGCGACGCGTGGACGGGAGGCTCTCGAGACGTTGGGTATACCGGTTGAACATGGGATGGAGGGGTAAGTAAGGTTGCTCGGTGTTATGGTGTGTACAGTCGTTGCTGCTTCGGTGTTATCAGTGCTCGTTGTTCAGTTGGTACATATGGTGTTGTCGTGACTATTGTACAGTGCTGAGTACATGCTGTCCTGCTCTCGATCAATTGCAATGAATGATTACTATCAGTGGCCCTGCAATGCAATCGCGACAGTAATGCAATTACTCAACTCCCATTTCATCCGTCCCGTTAAATATTCTGGGATTTTTGTACAATGTTCTTTACTTCGTACTCAATGTTTATGTGCACTTTGATGAATTGAATGTGTAGCGCATTTGAGGAGAAGAAATCGATGAATGCCTTCCGCGCCTCAATAATCGCACTGGTACAGTCTCGGCTGACCGCATCCCTTGGGCGCTTCGTCTGTGGGTCTCAAAAGTGCATTGAACTACCATATAATATGTTCCTAATATTTTTCCGAAGCCTTTCGTCTCTTGTTGCGACTTCTGAGCAGGAAAGACGTCTGAGCGGTGGTCAGAGCGTGACGGAAAGCCACCCAAGATCAGCAATCTCAACTCCGCTCCTTATCAGTTACCATATGCGGTTACGATCGCAGCAGTTGCACTACTGTTGCTCGCCCGCTGGACAAGGCATTGCACGCATTACTGGCCATGCCACCCTCCATTTGACACGCGGGGGAGCTACTAACTACTGGAGAAAGATAGAACTCGTGAAATGAGGGAGGACCGGTGTATAGTATCTCCTGAGTCGAAGTAGTCGACTCGTTATGGATTTCAACATTATGACTTACTATACTGTAAGGGATGCCGGTCCTTTGAGTATCATTACAATAATATAGATACATCCACAACCTCTCCAGCAACTGAAAAAGGTGTTTGGGATAGCACAAGGTGGCATGAACATGTTGGTTGCATTGCTGTATCGCCGTGCAGCCACAATAGCCACACTCGGCAACACTCGGCAACACTCGGCAGTGTGACAGGAACTGTGACGAGCCTCGGAGAAGAGTTGCATTACTGTTCCAATCCTTGCTCCCTCTCGGCATCCCTCTCATACTCCCTGGACAAGGCCTGTAAAATCATACACCATATATTCAGACCTCAGGAATCCGTCAGTGCAAACTCCGAGAGCTTCCGGTGAGCGGTTCGTCCTGCAGAGAGGAAAAAGCGCGAAAATTGCACTTCTGGTACAGTGATAGTAGGCTATTCCTCCAGTTATTCAAGTTGTTTTCCTTCGATCGTTCTGAGTCCTTCCGCTCGGGCTTCCGTCGTTGTAGCGTAGCCGCCGGCTCGGGAGTTATCTAAGACTCGGAATTGGTCTGTAGTATGGTCCCGAGCTGCCTATCTCCAAATTCACGGTACAGCGTGCCTGATACCTCAACCGGCCCTCTGCGCGTTGACTCCATCTGCGAGGACCTGAGGGAGGCTATCGATTCCGGCGACCGGCACATGCTCGACCAGCAGCGGCGAGTCTTAAATAAAACTTGAAGTACGACCATCTCACGTTGAACCGTTGAACGCGAGCTCGCCCCTGCTCAACCGCCTGTCGACCTCTGTCGACGTCCCGATAACCGCCTCGGCCTTAGACTCGACCCGAGCTCTAGCCAGTTCAGCTGTACAAGAATTAAAGGTGCGTTGGCTAGGCCAGACAATGATGCCCTGGGCGGACAATGTCTCAGACGGCGATGTTTTGGTTGACCATGACTCGGCTACCAGATGCCTGTGCCCGATCGCTCCATCAGGATCTGCGCAGACCGCGGCGGGACGTTCTGCGACGTTCACGCATCCTTCCCCGACCCGGACAACAACGCAGAGAGGAAGGACATTGTCGTGAAGCTTCGTGAGTGACTCTGCGGCTCCCGCGATGAACGACTAGTTGAACGAGCGATTACTAGTCTCGCAGGATCCAAACAACTACCGAGATGCACCTACCGAGGGTATCCGGAGGGTGCTCGAGATCGTGACTGGAGAGAAGATCCCGCGCGGACAGGTCTTGGAAACGAGTAAAATTGGTTCGTCATCAAAGCCCGCGCATACATCCCAGCTACAACGATAACATTCTCGACAGATTACATCCGCCTGTCCACGACGGTAGCTACAAACGCTCTCCTCGAGCGCAAAGGCCACAAGCACGCGCTCCTCATCACGAAGGGATTCAGGGACCTCCTTCTCATCGGAAACCAGGCCCGCCCCAAGATCTTCGATCTCAACATCCGCCGTCCACCTCCCCTGTACTCGACGGTTCTCGAAGTGGACGAGCGCGTCACGCTCGTGGGCTACACATCCGACCCACAGGCAGAGCAGCATGCCACTCAGTTTGACGAGAGTGGAAAGATCACGCGTGGGTATCGGGGCAAGGGATGGGATGGCCAAGGCGACGCTGAGGGGCCTGGTGAGGTCGTGCAGGGCCTGTCGGGGGAAGCGGTCAGAATCATGAAGCGACCAGGTAAGTACTCGCTGATCCTCATGCCGTGAAACGCCTCCGACGCCTCGCCGCAGATCTCGAGTCGGTCAAACAAGACCTCCAGAGAATCTACGACGACGGCTTCCGCTCCATCGCCATCGTCTTCTGCCACTCGTACACCTTCCCCGAGCACGAGCGGCAAGTCGGCGACCTCGCGCGCTCCATCGGCTTCACGCACGTCTCCGAGTCCTCACGCCTCCTGCCTATGATCAAGATGGTCCCTCGCGGGGTATCCTCCACCGCCGACGCGTACCTCACGCCAATTTTGCGCGACTACCTCGACGGGTTCTTCGCCGGATTCGACGAGAAGCTCAAGGACGGGAGGTTGAGGAGCCCGAGGGTGGAGTTCATGGGCAGTGATGGTGGATTGCTAGACTTGACGAACTTCACGGGACTGAAGAGTATCCTAAGTGGGCCGGCAGGCGGCGTGGTCGGATATGCGCTGACTAGCTGGGACGAGCAGAAGAGGCATCCTATCATTGGGTGAGTTATTCCCCGCTATACCACATACGCCAATGCTGAGCCTCGAATAGTCTGGATGTCGGCGGGACGTCCACGGACGTGTCGCGCTTCGACGGTCGTTATGAGGTCGTGTACGAGACTACCACGGCTGGCGTGACAATCCAATCGCCCCAGCTCGACATCAACACCGTCGCCGCAGGCGGAGGCTCTTGCCTCACCTTCCGCAACGGGCTCTTCCTCGCCGGCCCCGAGAGCGCAGGTGCAGAGCCCGGTCCCGCATGCTACCGGTGAGTGTCAGGCTAGGCGCACCTCCATGAATCCCACTGACCCACCGTGCTGGCATGCAGCAAGGGCGGCCCCCTCGCCGTAACTGACGCAAACCTCGTCCTCAGCCGGCTCGTGCCCGACTACTTCCCCAAGATCTTCGGCAAGTCCGAGAAGGAGCCCCTCGACACGGACGCGTCGCGCTCCGCGTTCGAGGCACTCGCGAAGGAAATCAACGCAAACCAGGAGAAGCAGCTCGACCTCGACGAGATCGTCTATGGGTTCATCAAGGTTGCGAACGAGACGATGGCACGCCCGATCCGCGCGCTGACGGAGGCGAGGGGGTACGCGCTGTCGAAGCATATGTATGTTCTCCGTTGCGAATTTGTTGGTAAGGAGTGGATGCTGACTGGGGTTCCGCAGCTTGGCCAGCTTTGGCGGTGCGGGCGGACAGCACGCGTGCGAGATCGCGCAGTTGCTGGGCATCAAGACCATCCTCATCCACCGATACAGCTCTATTCTGTCAGCATATGGACTGGCACTCGCTGACCGGTAAGCAAACACTGCACCATTTGAATACCTCAGCCATTCTGAAGCGGGTCTACCACGTAGTGTGTACGAGCTGCAACAGCCCTCGTCGACCTTCTACACCCCTGAGAACCGCGGAACTCTCATCGCGCGCCTCGACAAGCTCAACGCCGACGTGCGCGAAGAGCTCGCACGACAGGGCTTCGAGGGCGAACACGTGCACACGGAGCGGATGCTCAACATGCGCTTCGAGGGCACGGACACCGCGCTGATGGTGCTCCCCGACGCCAAGGACGGCGACGGCCACGAGGACTTCGAGGCGGCGTTCAAGCGCGTGTACAAGACCGAGTTCGGATTCCTGCTCGACAGCAAGTCGGTCATCGTCGACGACATCAAGGTACGCGGCATCGGGAAGACGTTCGACTCCCTTGGCGAGTCCGTCTACGCGGAGGTCGCGAAGATGGCGACGCAGAGTGTGGACGCGAAGAAGGCAGACACGACGTGGAGCGTGTACTTTGACCGCGTCGGGCGCGTGAAGGACACGCCCGTCTACTTGCTGCCGTCGCTCGATACCGGCGACGTCATTGAGGGCCCGGCGATGATCATTGACAATACGCAGACTATTGTGCTCATTCCTGGAGCGAAGGCGGTGTTGGCGAGCAAGCACTTGTATATCACGCTGGAGTAAGTTAGATGGTGAGGTTGACCGGAGGATAAGTAGGGCTGTAGTACTCAGTAGTCATCAAAAAGCATGTAGCGCTAGGCATCTATACAGAATGTGAGATTTGAAGCAGTCGCACGATATTGGCCGACTTTGTCCGAGAGGGTGCCCGAGTAGAAAGGAAGTAGTCGAACTCGCCGCGACAGCGTGTCTGGCAGAGTGAAGGTGAACAAAGTCAACATACAATCTTGGCTTTTGAAATCTGTCTGATTCGGCACTGTGTCTAATCCGCAACACACAAAACACCTAGGCAAGGGTCCCATAGGCAGCCTTCATTCATCCTCGTAGCCCTGCACAGGTCTCCTCGGCCGGTTCGGGACTTCAGCCACCTGTAGTCAGTACTTGTAGTCCCGCAGAGAACAACCGTGACGCACGGGGATACGTAGTGGGGATGGGTTCTGGCGTCTTGTAGCCGTACGCCCTGCGCAAAGGTGGAACGGTGATGAGCATGATGGGCCCCGTGAGGCCGATGATGCAGGAGTAGAAGATGACGGGTTGTTCATGCGCCTGCCGTTGCTGTTGTGCGGAAAGTACACAGGGGGTTCTCAGTTAAGGGAGAATCGTTGAAGTAGTCGGACGTACCAGATAGCGGTAGGTCTGCCGGAAGGGAGAGAATATGGCGGCCATGGTGCGAGGTGTTGGTCGCGGACGACCTCGGTGTCTTCAGTAACGGTCCAAGCCGGTCTTATCCCCGCTTAGCCTGTTGATAAACTGTGGGAACTTCGTTCTTACAGGTCCTACAATCCGGCGCTTCTGATTCTGAACCAGAATCAATAGGATCCTAACTATTTGAAGGCGCTGCGAACGGACAGTACTTGCAAGTACTGCGACCAATGAACCAGCCATGACCCTTCCCGTGAAAGGTGCACAGCAGCTGTACTAATCGCATTACATTTACACAATATAATGGCTGCACGTCCAATACAAACTGGCTTCCGCAAAGTCGACACACGGACACCCGTTCATCTCACCTCACCTCCACTGTCCGTCCGGCCCAATCCTCCTTCAGCCTCTGCTCGACAACCTTGTCAAGTTCTTTTGCTTTCTCTACCGCGATGCCCACAATTCTCAGGATCTCGTCCGGCGCGAGTGGTACACCGCCCGCCTTCTGCACGACGCACAGCTCGCGCTGGGCGTTCAGCGAGATGGAGAGGAGGCCCGCGCTAAGTGTCTCCTCGAGGTGCGACGGGTCAAGCACGGGCAGGATAGAGTCGTCGGGGAAGTAGGCAAAGGTGAGGCAGTAGGGCGAGTGGTGCATGGAGAGGGGGACGGGGGCGCGTTCGGAAGGATGATGCTACATGACGCACATGGAAAGTCAGAGATCACTCAGAAAAGGGCAGAAGAGTTTGAGACGCACGATGGTGACTTCGTCTCCTAGTACTTCAACTTCTGGCCTTCGAAAGTGCCGCAGAGCCACAACCCCCGCTAGACACGAGCAGTCGAGCATGTTGCCTGCGTCAGCCAGACAATGTATCGTGAGGCGTAGATGCCAGACCTGAGAGCGCACTCGTCAGATGCATATACTCAGTCAAAGCTCAAGAATCCTCACTCTCTGTCCAGCCAGGACACATAACGACTCCTTGTCCACAACATCGCTCCGCCTCAGGACCTTGTCCAGCATTCGCGTAATCGTCACCTCTTCATCCGACGGCCTGCGCAAGCAGCTACGTGAGAGGAACACGGACAGTCAAGAAAAACACACGTACCTACCGACCGGACTCGTACTCGCTCGAGGCCATAGGCGAGAGCTCTGAATGGATGCTGATGATGCCCTCTAGCGGGCGTTCGGGCGGCGGCTTCACCATTTTTGCATCGACCTGGGCGATGACCCTACATGGATCTTGTCAGCCAGGTCTGCGCATACAACGCTCTATCGTGTTTGAAGTACCTTGTTTTTCCCAATGCACACTCTACCCAACCCAGCTCCGGCCCGAAAGTCAAGGTCGGTGTTCGCACTTCCAGTGGATTCCGCCCATCGAGGCGCAGCGACTGTTTCAGGGAGCTGAACAAGAACTCCTTTTCCGGTATTGAGGGCGACGCAGGGCGAGGCATAATGATACAGAAGACAAACAATACAGTCGGGAAGTGAAGAAGCCAGACGCGCCTCCAACTCAAGCAAAACGACCGGAGCGCGCTTGCGCCAGTTCGCACGACGCGCCCTCCCGCCGATCACGATCTTCACGCCTCTACTTTCTCCGCCACCCTCGCGCCGCGCCTTCGCAGACACCGTGCACAATGGTCCGGCTCATCACGCACAACCTCCTCGCATGCCATGCCAAGGGCTGCACCTCCAACAACTTCCCTCTGCAGTTCCAAGACGTCCAGGTCGAGCTGCGCGAGGCCGAGTTCAACCCCGACTTTACGCGCGGCATCATCTCGAGGCTGGAGTGGGGCGCGTTGGTGGATGCTGCTAGACAGGTGAGCTGGTCGCACCTTCCGTGGGCACTCATACTGAACGATGCTTTCTGCAGCTGGGGGACACGTCGTTGCCGGCGGAGCCCCCGGAGATGATGGACGACGAGTTCCTGCAAAAACTCCACCATGTCTTGCTCGAGGTGAGTTCCTCCTGTCTAACCTCGTCGATGACAGACTTACCTCTCTCTAGACACACGTAGAGGAGGGCGCCATGATCTGCCCAAATTGCAAGCATGTCTATCCGATCTCAAACGGCATTCCAAATATGGTGCGCCAAAACCTGCTCCCCGTCTCCTCATTCACGCTGAGGCTCACTGACGCGGTACTGTGCAGCTCCTTGCCGAACACGAGATTGGTTGAGTCTCTGCGTACCACATCACTGCGCATAACATCTATGCCACTAGTCATTCGTGCACGGCAGCCTTGTGCTCCTCGAGTGAATGCGCTCGACCATCTGGAAGCTTGCCGAAGGTGCAATGACGGGCGGCTACCACGGGGAATGGGAGACTCGATGCATTGTGGAAGATGGAAGGGGGGAGCAAGAACAAAGATACAAATGCAAAGCGTGAGCAAACCAATAGCGATGGGTGTACTCTAAGACAAGATGGCAGACTACAATCGAACCGCAAGGGAGATGTACCACGAAGGAATCTATCGCTTTTGTCAAGCCGTCTAAGCTCTACCTCTACCTCTCACGAAATCTTCTATAACTAGAAAATACAGGTCTAAGTGGATGAAGCACACAACACACTGCGCACGCGTCTACGAGTCTTGAGCGGGGGACCGGGAACGTGAAAGTCAGTCAAGTTCGTTGCAGATGCAGTGCATGCTTCAAACCCTGGGGCCTGGTGAGGAAGAGGTGAGGACGGCTGATCAATCGACGCGGGCGCGCTTCTTGGGGTTCGCACCGTTCGCCTCGGCATGGCCATTAGCACCATTGGCAGTCGCCGACGAGAAGTACTCCAGGGAGCCCTTGGGGTCCGTCTTGATGGTCTTGCTACCCTCGGTCCAGTTGGCGGGGCAGACCTCGCCGTGCTCGTCCTGTAGGCAGGGACGGCAACAAGAAAGCGGCGATCAGAGACCCAGGCGCGTCGAGACGCGGGCGGAAGGACCCACCGTGAACTGGAACGCTTTGACAAGGCGGATGGTCTCCTCGACGGACCGGCCGACGGGCAGGTCGTTGATGGTGATTTGCCTAGATGCATCGATACGGCGTCAGATAGAGCGCTGACACCACGCAGAGCTGGGCTGGCGTACCTCAAGGTGCCCTTGGGGTCGATGAGGAAGAGGCCGCGGAGGGCGACACCATCCTCCTCAATGAGGACACCGTAGTCGCGGGAAATCTTCATGTTTTTGTCCGCGATCATGGGAAGCTTGAGGTCGGGACCGAGGCCACCCTGCTTGCGGTGCTGGGTGGCCCACGCAAGGTGCGCGTAGTGCGAGTCGGTCGACACGCCTGCAGACTGGAGTGAGTCCCTGAATCGCATAAACCATAGTGACAGTTCGCACTGAGCACAGCGGTGTTAAGCTCCTTGAACTGCGGCAGCGAATCGTTGAATGCGAGGATCTCGGTCGGGCAGACAAAGGTGAAGTCACTACGCCGAAGATCGTCAGCCAACATCATGGGAAGTTTCGCAGGAAATAAACTCACAGTGGGTAGAAGAACAGAACCACCCTGTCGATCATGGCGCGCGTAAGTCCCCACGCTATGATTAGACTGTGCGAGGGAACTTTACCATTGTCCGAGGAAGTCAGACAGCGAGATGTCCTGGAAAAGGCCGTCAACGACAGCGGTGGCCTTGAAGGTGGGCGCAGGCTTCTGGACAGTGGCGACCATGGTGACTAGCGTATGTGCAGAGATAGAGCAGCGGAATAAGCGTGCAAAGCGGAGGCGACGACGCGGACCTGAAGCCGTATCGCCCGCCATTTTCTAATATCGCGTGTTATTTGGAGCTGTTTGGCCGCACGTGGGCGTCGCGGGGTCGTGACCTGCTTACGCGCGACGCCCCGCCCGGCTCTGCCTGCGTCGGTCAGCGCACGAAAGGCTGCGCGCCGCACCTCCTGTCCTCCTGAAAATACTGCCTGCAATCGCTCTGATCGCTTGCGCCGCGTCGACCCACTTTCTGGCGGCGCACGACGCAGAGGGTCGCTGCAGCGCACGTTATTCAGCTACACGTGCGGCGGCGTCAGCATGCACGGCCGATGGAAGCCAGGCGCGCTTCGGGCAATCCCTGCAGCGACGAGCCTAGTTGCTTTGCGATCAGAATGACTCGATTTGTATCCGGTATAGAGGCATGGAGGTGAGCACCGCGATGACATCGCCCGTTTCACTTGGAATCCGCTTGTCGATCGCACCTCGGGAGTGCGAGCCGGATACCACTCGTTTAGAGGTAAGTACTGCTACCCCTCACTCACAGGCCGTGGAGTGCCTAACAAGTAGTGGCGTTATTGATGTCGTTCTGACGGTCTGCACTGATCGTGATAGCACGGCAACAACTCGCATCCGACATAGGCTTCCCGAGAGTCTCGGTCAGATCGAGCTCGACTCGCGATCGGGCCAGGGCAAGACAAGACGCGAATGCGGTCGGAAGACTCGGAACGACTGCGCGGAATGACGCATATGCGACATCTTACCGGAAACCGAATGTTCCACTTGTGTCAATTGCAAGGACCTTCATCGACACGACCTACGCTACTTACCCTCTGGATCGAGTGAGCGTATGATTACCTCCCCGGGCGAGTTTCTCGTGTCACAATCGCCGAGACAAACGCCAGCACGTACCTGTCCGCTCCCTCTAATGTAGCTACGTTACTACATGGGGCATGACGGACCACTGGCAGGAATACTTGATCGATAAGTATAACACAAAGTGAACAGCATTGTTGTACTCACCTTACTGAGTCCTGATCACACGGAGTGTTCAGTTATTCTCAGTCCGATACTCCAGGACTGTATCCCAGTCGTACTGCCAGTGCGTACGTCCTTCGCCGGCAATTCCTGGTCCGTAAAGAAATAAAGCTAACATCGTGCCTGTGGCTCCCACAGACGCGGGTGGATTAATCAATGCAATGTCCAAAACACGAGTGTACATAGGCGAGGTCTGTATTAGGAACTTCGCCGCGATCGAACAAGTCGTAGGTGAACAGCCGTGGCTAGGCGAGTCAAGGGCAAATAGACATTTAGATCGATTCAAGTCATCTAGAAGGCGGTCGGTGCAAGTCGTTCTATCTCGTACCCTTCAAATCAGCATGCCGCTGGATCGGCGGTAATGTCCTCATGCCTCCTCATCTCTGTGATCGATATCATCCCACGACACTCCCACACCTTCGCGACCTTCAATGACACACGTTGTGCCAATGCGTCCAGGTCTTCGGGACTGCGTTCCATACCATTGAACAGCGTCATCATGTTCATGTCCCGGATGTGAGCTAGCTTATGTGCGTATCCATAATTTGCTGGTAGCGGCGAGGGGGCTGAGCTGAGGTACCGGGATCCTATTGTTGAGTGGATGACCTGATCGGCGGTCAGAATGCGAGAGCGAGGACCCATGGAATCATAGAGGTGCTTGAGAATGGCGCATGACTCGCTGTCTGGCCAGTCATGTCTACGATCATTAACTTAGAGACCGGTGACATAGTATCAAACACCACTCACAGAACATTTCGCATGAAGTAGACCTCAGCGCCCTTGATAGGCTGTTCTTTGAAGAAGTCGTGCTCCATGAATGCGATACGTTTCGACTCAACGGCTTCCGGTAGTTCGTGTTCCCATACGGCTTTGGCCTTCTCGATGACAGGAAGTCTGTCTTGAAGAACGAACTTCAAGTTGGGGTATCTCTTTGCCAACTCAAGGCTCATCCCACCTGACACCGCTTAGAGTCATGTTCATGAGCTAACGGTGACGAATTGACTGTACCTATACCTCCTCCAACATCCACAACTGTCCCCGAGCTAAGTGCGGCCCAAGGATAATCTGAGACATCGAAACATCAACGGATTGCTAACGTGTCGAGCAGGTGTTAGACGTGCTTACCCACGTACAAAGGAGGCCCGTGCACCCGCCCGCCACCCAACATAGCAAGACCGAATATTTCAAGTCTGCGTCGTGGGTTAACAGTTCCATCAGGTTGTTTCTCGCCTTGTTCCAGGAATTCCCAGAAAGTTGACTTCGTCCGATGTGCCTCGTTGAAGGCCGTATCGTGCAGTGAATAGGATGTGGTGCGTACAGGGTCAAAGAGCACTTTGAGCAGACCACTAGATGCTGTGTAGATGTCCGACCCACTGATGTATTACAGGCCCATGAGTGTATGGACCAAAGAAGCATCGGAAAAAGATTCCTTACTTAGCCATTAACCAACACCGTAAGGGGTCGTTGTCGACCAGTGCTTGCGACGTCCGCGTATTGGAGAAGTGCAATTCCTTGACCTCCTTGAAGACATGTATCGAGGCGAGACAGCGGAGAATTCTCGCTAGCACACATTCGGTTAGACTGAGATGCAACGACACATCAAGGGCGCCGAAATGCACTCACCCAATTTTCGATGTTCAATACCAGCCTGCTGAGCGATTTCCTTGACATGTAGACCTTTTGCTGGATTCGCATCCGCAAGTATGTCGGGGATACGCCCTTCCGCCGCAACGTGGAGTGCCCGCGAGACATGGTACTCGGAAGCGAATTCCATCAGACGATGTTGTGGTTCTGCCACAACGTCCGAGACCATCCCACAAGCACCCAGTACCGTTCGCCTTGCATTGAATAGATCAGGGGAGGGGAGAAGCGAGGTTGTCGAGTCGGCGGATGGTTCCGTCTCCTCCGTTTGCCACTCTCGGATGACCACTTCAGAACTGTCAGTGATCAGACGCACCAGGTGGCGCAGTGTCCCGATCCTTTCTGCTAGTGACATTGCGTAGATTGGGAGGGAATGTGAGATACATTGTTGCCGTCCGAGTCGGAGGCATTATATACTCATGAATGAGACTAAAACGTCGGATAAGCTTTGTTATTTTGATTGGGCTTTTGGCGCGATGCGGACGCACTGGGCAAGAATATGGCTACGTTCAATGCATTATTCTGATGGACTAGAAGGCTACCCGTGCCGTCGCACGGGGAACATCTTCACGAAAGCAGAATGCGTGTCGTCCGTGTCGAGCATGCAGCGCCAGCGCCTACCAGAACCGACACTTGCCATCTGAGTCTGTACCAGCAGGTACACGCGCGCTGCGCTCGCGCCGCCCCCTTGGGCGTGAGTAGGCTTGAATGGTCGCAACTAGGATAGCGAGGAGGGTCAGTAACTCCCTAACTCAAGTATGCCAAAAACACAGAGGCGTACGGCAAATTCAACCAGGCAACTTGGTACACGCTGACAAACCTCTGTCACAACGTAGTTCAATCTATATTGACCGAGTTTCATTGAGCGCGAGTGAAATTTACTCAATGATCTTGATGCTCGTACCCCAAAACCGTCAGTTCTGTATCATTTTGTAGCGCGATTGAGGCGTCTGTCTGAGCGATTCCCGGGCTCTTCAGACGTCAGCAGGACGCACCAGCGTCCACTTGAAGCATGAATACGGCGGTACGCCTACCAGACCTTTGTAAGCGAGGAGAGGGTGTCCAGGTATGTAGTAGCCACTGACCGATGAATCGATGATGCGCGGCGTTCGACTTCTTGAAGCTTGACCGGTGACCGGTGACCGCCACAGCGCTCACTAGTCACGGGTACAGTAGTATGTTTGGATTCAACCCAGAGGCCCAAACAGTGCCAATGATCAAGTTCCACGATGACTGGTGTGCGGAGGCTGTAGTATGAAAGTGCCGAGCGAGGACCGACAGACGCTGAACGAACCGCTGACACGTACGTCCGATGATGGGACCACGGACGCTGCGGCCGAGATGAATAAGTACAAGGCACTGTCTGCTGTGGAAGACGTACCTTGTCAAGGTGACCACGCCTATATGGGTACCAGGGGCGTTGGACAGCAATCCTTTAGCAATCCTCAATGAAGGTTCAAACCATATTCGAAGGTTCGCGCGTCCTGGAGAAGCGTACTAATAGTTGATGAGGAGCTTGACGAAGTCTGCCATGAGTTCGATGGGCTCCCGAGCACGTCATTCGGGAGGAGGAGGAGGAGGAGGAGGAGGAGGAGGAGGAGGAGAGGTTCCATTTAGTCCCGACATCTAGGCGCCCCGGTGCAATCGTTTGTACCCGCCTGCAGGTGCCCCGGTGAACGCCGGTTCCCGACCGATTATGCTTTTCGTCGACGTCGTCTGGCCAAGTGTCAGCAAAAAGAAATCGTAAGATGTAACCAAACATTACAGTTTGAACCAAGTTTGAACTGTAGGTGCCACTCTTCGGCGATGCCAAGTAAGTATCTAGATCATCATGCATATGGAAGCATCAGCGAAGGGCCTCCTCCGACACATCGGATCGCGAGAGAATATCCGTTCGGACGATGTCTGAGATCCGTGAAGTTACTTAATAGTATCGCGCAACTTCTTGTGATTAGTACACGCCCAAGGAATTAAGTATCATATCGATCCGTTACGAGGTGGACATGACCCCATCCGCATACGTCTTGTACGAGGCTGGAACACGTCAGAGTATTACACATGTCAAATAATGAAAACTAGATCGCTACCACATCCTTAACATCACTATGGCTGTACCCGCTGCCTACCCATTCTGGGTCAGATTTGCGACTTGCCCCTGATACATCAACAAGTTCGTGTGTTTCAACATTGACGACGAGCTGTATTTCTGTCTGTCAAATGGTTGGACTGAGAAAGAGTAATATAGACAAGCACCTGTGCGGGCCGAGGCGTTCTTTTGCTGTTATCACCGTGGACAACACTACCCTCGGTGTTCTACCGAAGCGTTACCACGTCAACAGCAAAAATCAGTACAGCATTTTGCTCGACTCACCCTGCCTGAGCCGGAGTCGTCATTCATGCCATGAGAGAATGTCCTGTCCCTCGACGGCGTCAACAATGTGCGTGAATTGAGACTGGACATCATAGAATTTCCATATCTGTCAGGGGGCAAAATCAGATGTCAGCACTTCAAGTTATGCGTTCAGTACAACGTTGACGAACTCACAGCTTGATGAGAGTGTAGTTGAAAGCCACATGGATTCCCCGCGGCTAGTGTTCATCGATCAGAGGACAGACACCAGTGTCATTTTCAGATGTTTCACACCGTTGCCAAGAATGCAATAATATCGGCTACAGCGAACCCGGCAGTCAGCAAGCCATTCGATACAGTAACTTCCGTCACTGAGTCAGCAATCCATGAGATACGAGAGGAAGAGAAGAGGTACTACCTTGGATGATCCTAGAGATTATTGTGTCTGTACTTCTAAAACCGGTGCGTCTTTGTCGCTACAGTGTAGGACAATGGTCAGTTAGTTGTTGCCTATGAAGCGAGTGTACATACCAGGTGCCATGAAAGTGCTAACGTTATTAGGACGTCACATACGGCTCCGCCAAGCAACCACAAAATTACGATGACCTACGCGCATACGGTCAAGACGTCACTTACTTAGCAATCAGCGTAGAAAGACTTACCTTCAGGTTTTGAAATCCCGAAAATGCTGGTTTGATAGTCACTGCAATCGCCGTTCCGATACCCGACACTGGCAGGGGGGTCATTTGAGCTCTGGCTCTCGAATAGCTATGCGAGATTAAGTACGTACACCCGCCGACCAACGAGGTCATCAAAATCACAGCAACGGCGAAGTAGTTGTTTGTCAGCTTCCATATACGCCATGCGTAGAAGAACTGAACTATCATAGCAATGATTCCCTGCGGGACTAGTCAGATCCGCTGGAACTGGTGTAATGAGTACACGTACCCCCAAGGCTTCCTCTGCCAGTGGCTTAGTGTCAGTTCGCGGTCGACGGCTTGTCTGGCGAATGCAACGGGAACCATACCTGTTTCAAACACTGGTAGTGCATTAGTGGTCGTTGTACACGACGAGATAACTAGTTGATACGTACGCCAGTCCGCATTTTGAAGTGCTGTAACATCGCCTACACAGAATGAGCGGCGTCAGGTTCTAGTACACGCAAATACAGCGACTCGAAAGATTACCGAACTTATTAACGAGCACATTATATATCCACCACATATTGAAGACCGAATTCAATGTGTCTGCCATGAGCAACAACCCGACCTGTTGGGCTCTACATGAGAATGCATTTGTCGACTGAATGCGTGATACACCTACATAAGCTTTGAGCCGCCGGGAATCGCTAGAGAGCGTTGAGTACAGTCATGGCAAACACGCAGTGCCAATCGCTTACTCCTTGTAGGTGGTGTAATAATACAGTGCCTGCGATAGCATAACACCATAGAGCCTGCGAGCTATGCGTGAGACACTGTTCATTTCCGGAGAGCCTGGAACATACATGATGTTCATGAAGATGCCTGCGAGGCTAGGCCCGTGACTGGAGTAGATTGTTATTATGTAGTTGCCACAAGATATCATTTGACGTACGCTTGCTGGGCGAGTGCGGCCTCGGGATTCGTCATTCTGGTTCCGCAACAGTAACCTGTAGCGGAAGTGCTAAGAACAGGAACGGAGAACACCTAGAACTCAAGGGGGCGTTAAGAACACCGGTCGATCAAAGGTCAAGTACTTAACACCCAAGCGTTCATTGCCACCATCATTGCCGCTGGCAAAGCTGGGTTGCCGCGGGCTGTCTGAGGCTGATAAGGCCCGTCAAAGCCGAGCAGGGCGCTCGCCGCTGGATTCACCACGAGGTCCGCAGCGGTGCCAGTGTCTGTTGCGGTGCCATGAAACCCGTTAAGTTGATGGACTTGATGACGGGGAGTCTCCCGTTTCTGCATTTGTCATAAGACTCGACGGGTAGCTCGTCGGAGCACGACATGTCAGAGCACCACACTGGCACTGCAGGAGTCCCTTAGAATCCTACATGCCATGGCAGTTTTTAAGTTCCGAGTCACCGCGGAGGACTGACATGGGTATGTACACTTACCGTATCGCTGGGGAAACGCATGACGGCGACCACTACTGGTGAGTGATGTGTTGTGTTGCTGTGATGATTACATACTAGACCGTTAGTAGACAGAGACTGCGCGCGCCACTTGATCGCGACCACTGTCGTTGTGGCGTGAAGGCCGGACAACATACTGCGATCATGAAAGCGCCGGTAAGAGGAGGAGGATTTCGCGGATCTCAGACATGATCCGAACAGAGATTCTCACGCGATCCGATGCGCGAATCGCTGAGTCCCTTCACTTGTGCTTCCATGATGATCTGGATACATTTCCTACTTAGCGTCACCGGTACCGAAGAACGGCCCCTACGTATGCTATGGTTCAAACCGTGATTCTGTTGAAATCTTACGATGTCCCCTTGCTGACTCTGGATCAGACGACGTCGACGAAAAGCATACTCGGTCGGGAGCCGTTTGCCTGCCTGCAGGCGGGTACCAACGATTGCACCGAGACCGCTCGCCGAATGATGCGCTCAGGATTGCATGGAGCCTACCGTTGGCAGACTTCGTCAAGCCCTTCACCGATCAATCGATCACGCTCCAGGACGCGCGAACCTTGAGCTTGAATATTTGAATGGTCATTGACCGAGATTGCCTAATGAATGCTGTCTAACACTCCCAGGCTGGTACCCATCATTATAGGCGCGGTCTGCGGCGGCGGTCACCTCGACAAGGTACGTCTTCCACGAGCAGTACTTACTTCGTACAGACAGACGCTTTCATGATGCCGCCGCACGTTCCCTGTCCGTTGGTCAGCAAGCGTCAAACAAGCGTAGATGTCGGCGATGAGCCACAGAGAGGCCTTAGGTTTTGGTGCCCTTCCTCCGACTCGTCGGAGGACTAGTGCGGCAGCCACTAGCAATCACAGAAATAGCGCTTGAGCTTCTCTTCTGCTGATGCCAGTGGCTGCCAATCTGTTACAGGGTATAGAACGTCAGAACTTTATGGCATCCCGTTACATCTCACAGAACGACGCGCAGCCGCGTCTAGTAGTCACCCATGCGATGACTGTGTCACTGGCGGCTCGTTCAACGCCTATGTATCGGTCTTCGTTCGGCGCTTTCATACGGCCTCCGCACGCCAGCTGATCTTTGAATTCAATCATCTTCGCTGCGCCCACCGCCTTCAGTCACTTGCGAAGATGTAGTGCTCTCCGCTGCAGTACCGAGTATATATAAGCGGAAGATCGGGCAGCTCCAAGTCTGCAGTGACAACGGCCATACATACCACTGTGTCCAAACTTGAATCACACAGGATGGTCGCACAAGTCTCTGACGTTATGGATCGAGTCTTCGACTATGTCATTGTTGGTGGTGGTGTACGTTACTCAACAACAGCGGCAAAGAGAGATGCAGCTGAACATATCCTAGACTGCTGGCTTGACCATCGCGGCGCGGCTCTTGGAAACCACAGACAGTACAGTGCTGGTTCTCGAAGCAGGTGCACCGAATCTAGATGACCCGAAGATCCTGTTAGGAGGCGGATTTGGTTCAACGTTTGGCGACGCAAAGGTATTTCTCAGTACCTTCTCATCGGCTCGCTTTGTTGATTCATGCTCGACGGTTTCTGCGTAGTATGACTGGGGTTTTCTGACCACGCCTCAGAAGCATTGCAACGACAGGCGAATGTTGTGGTCTCGAGGCAAAGGCCTCGGTATGATCCCTCCCCGTGGCTACACTCGCCATGTCGACTGACAGCGTACTTTTGTGCACGAACCTAGGTGGCAGCTCGGCTATGAATTTCTATGCTTGGATGAAACCGCCTGCGGCTGACGTCGACGCTTGGGAAGAATTAGGCAACCCCGGTTGGAACTGGAAAGCTTACATGAAATACACACTACGTGCAGAGGAGTAAGTGTTGTATCACTTGTATGCTCAGTGTCGATGACACTGAGAATGTCTAGATTTACTGCTGCCTCCGAGGAGCAGCTGAAGGCGTACGCTTACACGCACAACATCGAATGCAGAGGTCAAAGTGGCCCGATCAAGACCACAGTTCCTCTGGCCTCGCTTCAAATCAATCAATTCTTTCTGGAAGCAGCGCAGAAGCAAGGTCTTCCTCTGCTTCAAGACGGTTATGGCGGTCATGTTAGTTCCTTGATTCTCAAGTTCGCCGACTAGGTTGCTCATCTCGCATGTAGACGACTGGCTGTTGGCAGGGCTCAGCCAACTTGGATCGCAAGTCGAAGTGGACCCGTTCGTACGCTGCGACGGCACACTACCTTCCACATAAGGATAACCCGAAGTTCACGGTAATTGGAATTCTCAGCCAGCCCGCGGACTGTCCTCAAGAGCTGACACGACTGAGTGGCGTAGGTTCTTACGGAAGCCGTATGTGCCAGAGTGTTGTTCAATGACGCAATGGATGATGGCAATCTTGTTTCCACCGGTGTGGAATTTGTGCACGACGGAGTGACATACAAAGCACATGCGAGGAAAGAAGTTGTACTTGCAGCAGGGTAAATTCGATCTACTATCGGATGCTCAATATGCTGACCAGTGGCCAGAGCCCTCAAGTCTCCTCAACTCCTGGAGTTGTCGGGGATCGGTCGGCGTGACATCCTCGAGAAGATCGGCGTGCCGGTTCAGTTAGAGCTTCCGGGTGTAGGAGAGAACCTCCAGGACCATACCTACGTCGGTCAGCAGCTGTTCAGTTAGTATCAATTGTTACAGAGTCTTCATGCGTCTATTGCAGGTGTTTCCTACGAACTTGATCCCCGCGTGTCGCACAAGACTGTCGATCTTCTCCGCGACCCTGAATTCGCGAAAGAACAAGTCAATCTACAGTGAGCTTTCATTGACGTACCCTACCATCATTGCTAAGGCGGACAAACTCCATATCAGGGACCTTGACAAGGAGAACGTGTACAGGCTTGGGATCACAGCGTTCGGCTATGTGCCTATCGAAGTTGCCGATAACGCAGCAGCCTCGAGAATTGTTGAGGGGTTACTGCGTATATCAAGGAGAAGAAGGAGAGTGGCACGCTCCCTCCCGGCCTTGCTGAGCAATGGGACATTCAACTCCGTGTGCTCAAGGATGCGACCCTCCCTGACGTTGAGGTAATTGGGTTCCCGGGATGGTTAACATTCCTTTGTATGCATATCAGACGCAGATACATTACTCTGGCTAACAATCAATACTGCAGCTCAACCCGAGCCCGGAAAATGCTATGTATGTAATCGTTCTGGATCAAGACGCTAACACATCAACTGAACACCGTCTGCAGCTGACTACACTCTGCGTGATACAACACCAATTTTCCAGGTAGGCAACTGTCAGTTCCAACGTGATACAAGGCACTACTGATTCACTGGCTACAGGGGCACCGTCGTATGTCGACTCACGGCTTTATCCCTTGACGTTTGATGTTTAACACTCTTGTAGCACTCGAAGAACAACGACCCCCTCGAACAGCCGGATATTGACCCGAACACGTTTTCTGTGCCATATGGCGAGTCTTCTCTTGCTCACGAGCTATCTGAAAGATACTCATACAAATCTAGATCTGGACATCTTCGTAGAGAACTTGAAGTTTGCCCGGCGTCTCGCAGACACGGAGCCATTCAAATCGGGCGTGATCCGTGAAGTTGATCCCGGTGCAGCAGCACGAACCGATGAAGAAATCAAAGGTGCGCAATCTACTGTGCCACATCGGTCATTGATCCTGACAGTTGGGCGCCGAAATAGAGTACATCCGGAAGTGCTGCAATACATGCTACCATGCGTGTGGTTCCTGCAGTATGCTCCCGCGGGAGAAGCATGGCGTCGTGGACACGAAGTTGAAGGTCTGTTTCAAATCTATCACGTACAGCGAGAGTAGCACGGACTGACATACAAAAATCGATTTCCTCTTCACGTCGTACGCGTTAGGTTTATGGCACCAAGAACCTGCGAGTTGCCGACATGTCAATCGTGCCCCTCGAAGTTGCAGCGCACACGCAGGCCACTGCGTACTGCGTCGGCGAGCTCAGTGCGTAACATCACCTAGTAACAGATCCGAGGCTCGGAGGTAACCTGACTTATCTAGTGGCTGATATTCTCATCGGCGCTGCCTGAGGGAGATTCACTGCTATGAATGGAGTGTATGTATTCTAAGGACGGTCGGCCGCTTGCGCGAAATTCCGAAACGTCCTTGTCTGATCTTGTATTCGTCTTGACATGTACAACGATTGATTTCCTATGTATACTTTGAGCAGATGCCGGATGATACCCAAAGGCCTCAGGATGTATGCAGCAGCACGCGGAAAGGGGGAGCAGCCTGAGGGGGGGAGAATTACGATGAACCGGTGGAAAATATGGATGCTAGAGACTCGTTCGTTGACTGCCAGAGGTGATCATCGATCAGGCAGAGCGCAGAAAAGGCTGCGGACGAGGCGACTATGTGGGGACGGGATGCAATGGGCAGTCCAGGGGCAGTCGTCAATGGTCTCCGACTCAGTCCACACTCGTCACAGACTCACATGTATCACAGGCGAGCCAGTCTACCGGCCCAGAGGCTCCTCCTCGTGTGCTCACTGGCATGCACGTGCATTGACGGCCCCTGACCCAAGGTTAGCGCGCCTGTCGCGCTGGATGGGCCGTGTACACGACGGCAACTGTCGACTGACAGGAAGTGCGCACGGCGCGTTCATCCTATGGCTGAGTACAGAGTATCAGCGATCCGTGAATTAGTGGCCATGACCTGTATCCCCTGTACTCTACGCACCTGTGTGATCCTCTTCCTTTCGTTTGACACGTCTGTTCGTGGACCCGTCACTGAGTACTTGAGTAATAGTCGAAGGTATGTCACTGCGTGCGTGGTGTGGTCCGCAGCAGGCGTACCTACGTCGTCTTTCGCCATTGCTGTGGGCAGTTGGGGGAGCCATGTCCACGCTGCGCACCACAGACATTTAGACACGACTAGGAGTCGTCGCTCTCTCTTCCTGAAAATCGAGCCACTGCGCTACGACTCAGATGCTACTGTGATCGAAATGTGAAGTCGATTGCTGCAGCGAACGCGAGTCATGTCCCGTCAAAAGACCCTCGAGGTACCATGCATTACACCTGTCACTCGCTATATTCAGGGGTTGCTCTCTAGATCTGTGCACTCGGAGAGGATTACTTACGTAGAGACCGCCAACTGTGGTATTGATAGGATAGTGAGCATTACATACATCGGTATCCTAGAGTCAGAGGTAGAGCATCTCGTGTCGTCCCGACGCACGCTCCACCGTCCACGTCGAGACACACCCAGTATCACCACACGGTCTGTCCACCCGGCCCCAACGCATGCCTCCCGTCTCACAAAAGCACAAACCCCACAAAGCTAAATCCTCCCACATACGGCCTCTCCCCCGGAAGCGCATACACCGCCCCCTTCCCGCCTGTCCTCCACTCCGCGCCCGACAAGAACAGCACCGTCCTCAGCGTCGTGCACTGCTTCGCCCACATCGCCAGGTGCGCCCTCTCTTGCGCGCGCGGCGGGGGCATGTCCGGGGCAGCGGGGTGCGCGGGCTCGAGCGGCGACTCTGGCGGGGACGGGAACGCGTTGAGCGCTTTGGCGAGCTTGCGCGGGAGCCCGACCTTGCGCCGGCGCAGGCGGAGGGTGTGCAGCGTGCGGAAACGCGGGAGCGCTGCGGAGAGCTGTCTGTAAAGGACCTGCGGCGAGCCCCATCAGTCAAAACGCAAGCGCACTGGAGCAGAGTCAACGTGCCTCGTCGTCCAACACCCACTCCACCGCTAGCACCTCGAGCTGGCTCCCAAGTTCTGCCCCCGCAGACATGAACACCCGCTCCAGCGTGCGCGCGTCCACCTGCGTGAGCGACACAGACACGCCCATGCGCACCACGCCCGTGCGCGAGCGCGTCAGCGCGCTCATAATCGCGGACGGCTTCAGCCCGTCGTACAGCGTCGTGTGTACGTGCAGCGTCACGGAGCGCACCGGGCGTCCGGGCACAACAGCGGCGGCAAGTGAGGCGGGCCCGTGGAAGTGTGCGAGGCGCGGGAGTAGGTAGGCAGGGAGGCGCGGCGCAGCGGGCGCGAGGGTATCTTCGAACGGGGTATCTGCGCCAGCATCGGTGTCCTGATGTGCGGTATCGGCGGGCGCAGCTTCCGGCAGACTGCAATCGGCGGGATTTTGGAGGAGGTGGGGGAAGGAGAGAGATATGAGCTCGGGCTGTTTTGCGAGCCAGACCCAGAGCGCTTTCCAGTCATTGGGCCTTGTGAACTCGGACATGATGCGCAGCCGCTTGAGACGAAAGCTCGTGTGCGTGAGGAAGCACGCGTCGTAGTCGGGGATCGTGAGCGACTCGAGTGCATGCATGTTCGTGAACGCGATCGCAAATGAGACCGCGCTGAGCGCGGCGCCGGGCGCGGGCAGCGAGGTGCATGCAAAGTGGTGGACGTACGACGCGAAGGTACGGTTCGAGGCGAGCTGGCTGATGCACCGGTCGACGCGCTCGGCGAGAACGCGCGTAGGTCTAGTCGGCCATAGAGTGCGCGGAGGGCGGCGCGGAGAACACCCTCGACACACGCGTCAGTGAGAGCGCGTCTCGGCGCGTCGCGAAGGAGAAGACGACGGTGAGCAGCTCGGGAGGCATCCGCGAGATGGCTGGCCCGTCTTCCGCGGGGCCTCCACGTCCGGAGCAGCGGGACGCTCTTGCGCTTGACCGATCGTGACACGGACGAGCTCGGTGCGCTGTGCGTCCGGTTGCGCTGGTCGTTGCCAGGGACAATCAGGAACCCATCCTCTGCCTGCGGCGTATCCGGCGGCTGCAGCTCGGACTCGCTCGCCCGCCTCCCCAGCCCGACGGGTATCTGGATGTCCTCGAGCGACCCGGTCGGCGAGGGCGTGCTCTCGCGCGAGTACGTGCGCGGAAAGTCGACCGTGTGCCCGATGCCGCCAGAGAGCCCGGACGTGCGTGGCCACCGAAACCTGGGCTTGTGGGCGAACCTCTCGCTAATGAAAGAGAGCGCGGAGAGCCGGCGCTCGCGCACGCTCTCCGTGAAGGACGCCGCACTGGGGCTCTGCAGCGGGGAGAGGTGGTCGCCCTTGAGGTGGTCGTGATGGTTGCGGCGCGGGAAGCGGAGGAGGGAGGACATGGCGGTCGTGGGCGGGGGCGGGAGAGGGGCGGACGAGATGGTTGCGCTCGGAAACCCAAAATGACGGACATGGCGATGAGACGGGTCGTGGGCGTTGCGGCAGACGCATCAGAGCCATGTGTCCGCCAGATCGGCGGTTGCCCGGCTCGAAGCGGCTCGATCGCGAACCGCGACGCCTTCCGCACGCCAGCTTAATTGATGCGACCTCCTCTGATGCGCCTTCCAACGGCGGCCCGTTCAACACCCAGCAGCTTGGGTTCAGCTAATTGTCCGCGCCATGAGCGACGATTCATTACTGGTATCAACATCTGGTAGAGCTACTCATAACAGTCATCGGAGGCACTACAGCCAATCAGCGAAGCAGAGGTCCCTCGGACTGGGATTGGGCAGACACGGCAGACGGTCTCTCACACACTTCACAGAAGCCGGACTTCTCGGATATGCTCACAGCTAATTCCTTAAGTACTAGTACTTATTGCTAGGCCCCTTCCCGAAAACGCGCACACAGGCGGGCTCTTGTCTGACCTTTTCGTCGAGCGATCCGCACCCTCTGCAGGCTGACCTCGGGCCACAACCCTCGGTCTAGCTCACCTTGACTTCGTCGACATGCCAATAAAATGCCGATGCGGGGCGCCCCAGAGAATCCAACACTGATACGCTCCGTCTAGCAATATGAAATTAGCTGCAACGCGAACGAGTCTTCGACGAACCTAAAGGCCCGTCGTGCCGGCCATCAGGAGATTCGAGAAGGGCACCGAACGGGATCAACGGGATCCAGATTATTGCGCGCAAGCCTGACACTTTCTAAATCCTTGACACCACGCAGGGGGCCACTAACTGGCAGAGCGAGCTCGAGAACCCCCTGTCCAGGTCTACTCGCGACGCAGTTCAGCCTGAGGCCGCACATACCCTATCACGGAGCGACCTACTGAAGACGCGCAAGAAGAGAACGACGGAAGCCAAACGGAAGCACTGTCTCGTTATCCTCGTTGCCGCTGTTTCAATTAGTTTTATTGCCACGTCCGCCTCCCGACCATACGCACTAAGTTCATCTCCGTCGCAATGAGAACATCGTCCAGGCAACACCTACGCCGTCGCGCCCATTACCACCGCCTCCGCTGCCGCACTACCACCCCACACCGCCTCGCCCCCCGGGGCACCCCTCCCGCCCCCGTGTGAGAACACACCCCGGAACGCGGAGAAGCTGTCACTTAATCCCGCACACTCTGGGCTTGCCGCCCGGATCGCGTACGCGTCCGGGAGCAGCGTCTCGAGTTTCTGTGAAAGCGCGTTAGCCGGCGTCAGAAAGCGGGGAGTGCGTTGTGGTGAGCAATATGCGGGGAGAGAACACATCAAACAGAGGGATGTGGGGTCGCGGGCGAGGATGAGAAACCGGTGCGTCAATGGGACTGACCTCGATGCGCCGTTTGGTCGGCGGGTGCGTGCTCATGAACTGGAGGAGCTGGCCGCTCTGGCCCTCAAGCTTCGCGAGGCGCGTGAACATCCTGACGTGAAACTGCCTTCAGCACTTTGGTTAGGGTCGGAGAGAGGATGGTGACCCACGCTGGCGCGGATTGTGGATCATAACACGCTCTTGCCATGAGCTTCAGGCCGACCTTGTCCGCTGTAGTGATTGCAAGCTGAGTAATCTTTGCTGCGCAACTCGGCGTTGCAGCGCATACCTTCCAGTTCGTGCATACGGGAATTGGGCAAGTCATATACAAGCTCTGAGATGAGCCTTGACAAGCCGAAATCAAGCCCCAGGATCGCGAGAGTGCTGGCGAGTACTAGGAGCACCTTAGCGGAGGATGTGCGTTCGGACATATGTCGCAGCACTGGGGAAGACGGTCAACAAGCCACATCCTTCTCATGTCAATGCAGCCAACCTGCATGACCAATCTCTGCACATACGGTCAGCTGCGTTCGGCATGTGCACGGTTGCCGGGCAACATACCATGCCCAAGGACAGCTGCCAGCCCTTCTTCGTCCTTAGCCACAGGCAAGATACCCGTGAACACGATGATATCCCCTGAAATTCACCCTTAGCCAACCAGACATATCCTGCTTCTGAGACGTAGACATACCAAAAGTTGCCGCAGCGTTGACCATCTTGTCATCATTCACCACCATCAGGTTCCACTGCTTCCCGCCCACCGTCGGAGGCACGCCGCTCGGATGGCCCACTGGCGCAGGCGTCCACAGCCCGCCGTCCGGGTCGCTGGGGGGAAGTGCGTGAGCGTGAGCGGGCTCTGACGGGGCGACGGTGCCGAGGTCGGACGCCTCGAGGATGCGCTCAACAACGCGCCGGACGTGCCGGGTGACGGGATGATTCGGCGGGAGCACTTTCCGGCCGTATTCAGCGACGAGTGCTTCGTGGGAGGCCTGGGCGAGCTGGGCGGGAGTGCGTTGAGCGCGAAACGTGTAGCGGGTGCGGGGGTGTCATGGTCGCACCTTCGCCTCGAGTTTGGGGCTCACGTCCATGAACCGCCACCGTCCCGTCTCCTCCACCTTCTCCAAGCTGCCCACCATGTGTTACGAGAGAGGGAAAGTGAGCAGTCAGTCTCGGACGCCACCTAACACGTCGCCCGTGAGCAAGAAACGTAGACACGCACTGTACGACGTAGTACACACCACCGGCCACGACGATCCCGACAACAAGCTTCGCGCGCGGATCCCACCGCTGGACGTTCAAAGGCTGCTCCGGGTCGACGCCAAACCGGACATAGCGCGGTCCCATGCGCCTGCTACTTGAGGAGAATAACCGGGCGAGCCGGGCGGGGTGCAGGTTGGTCGGTGTGCGGGCGTGAGCGGCATGTGCACGTAATGGTGTGGTGAATGCACGGAGGTTCTTGAGTGGGGAGAGCATGGCTGCTAGGGGAAGGCCCACAAAATTCCGTAGTACGCGGTGGGACTAGTTACAGAGATTTTACGCAGAACTTGCTAAGTTAGTGTCGGGAGGAGGAGGTGGTGGTGGTGGTGAGGTGAGCGCTATGGAGAATGAAAACCCCATTACCAGAAACCCTTGCACGAGTTCATGACCATCATTACTTATATCCCAGGAAACTTGAGCCGGGTACATTGCGACCATACTATGCATTTACCACATCTACGCGTCCAGTAATACAGAATTACACCATGTTCGGTTCGCACAACTTTTCAACTCGCTCGAGTATACCAACATCATGCTCCATCTGCATCAACCCTCCTCGCCGCATGGAGGGAACCCACACCATAGTTGGTCATTCATAATCGCTGGGTAGAATGCATCACCGTGAACCCGGCCCAGTCAAAGTCGATCAGCATGGCATTCCACCGTTCGTCTGAGCCATCGCCATCGGATCGACGAACACACATGATGTTGGGAGACCGTAGATCACCAAAGACGAGGTTCTTGTCATGAAGCAGGTTGATGGCAGTCTTGACGTCGGCGTAGATGCTGTACGGGAGGAGCTCCTTTCTCTGCTCGAACGACCACGCCATCTCGCCGTGAACACGATCCATGACAATCATGAAGAGGCGATCGTACACGGGAATGCAGGCGTGCAGATTAGGCGCCAACCCGGCTGCGGCGAGGATGCGGTGGGCTTCTTCGTTGTAGCTCGCGGTGAACTTGACGAGGACCTCGACTTCGCCGTCGGCAGTATCGCCGGCTCCTGATGCCAGTGACTTGGGCATAGTGGCAACATAGATGCACGAAGACCTCCGATCTGGCGACTCCGCCATGAGATAGAGCTGCCCAGCGCGAGACATCCGGTGCGTGAAAGTCAAGGATGGTATGCTGTCCTTCCAGGAGGGGTCCGGCAGAGGTGAGGGAAAGAGATGTGCGATGCTGATGGGAGGATTCGGAGGTGCCGCGTCGAGTCGTGCATAAAATGCGCGAAGGTCACTCACAGCGAGCTGAACAGCCTTGAAGGCCCGCGCGACACGGAGAACGTTCTCGTTCCGGTGGAAGTCCAAACGCAACCGCTCCGAGAAGACACAGTCGGTATAGGGTCCGTCGGTGTACATGGCAATCCCGATCTCGAGGAGGTCACCCATCATTCCGATCAGGATAGCAGGGTAGTTTGACTGGCGCCGTCGCTGCCGTACCAGCTAGAGTACCTCGTCAGTGACACCGTCGCAGTACATACAGTCAACATTCAGACTTTGTCATTGTCACCTGTTACGATTTTCGCGTAGGATAGACCTGCTTGCAGAGATGCATCACCACCCAACCCGGACTCGTTCTTGATTATCACCAAGCCGAACGGGCGTGAGCCGCCAAAAACCGCATCAAGGTGGTGTCGCCGATGGATGTGTCCCAATCGAGATCGAACCTGAAGATTATCTTTAGGGCATCCCGAATGGCCTCTGTCTGCGCCTCCTCATTCTCGTAGCTACACAAACCTGTGTCATAAAGAGATGAACCTGTTCGAACTCTGAGAATTTAGTTCGCTCTCGGGAAGATCGAAGTCAGACGACGAAGACGTATGCAGCAAGCCCAACGTAGGGTGGAACAAGGCGACTGGAGGACCATAGTTGTTGTGTGGTCGTCCCGCGTGAAACGGTCATGAGGTCGTTAACGACTTTCCGTACGCCTGAGCTCGACAAACTCCATCCGACCGCAGCGTGGTAGCGATCTGAGGAGTCATGAGCCTTCCTCTCCCTTTCTGATGAATAATCAGCTGACAGCCTAGAGGTATAACAAGGCTACGTACTACGGATGACCTTCCTATGGCTAGCGGCAAGATCTCCCACGTCGTCCAGACTTTCCAGTACTAGACGCAGTGAGTGATGTCCGTATTCAGAAGAGATGACTCACTCTCTGGCGTGACAAACAGGATGTGACAAATCAGGTTGTGGTCCTGATGGGAAAACATACGAACTGGGAGCAGGGGATGATTATGGCGCCCCGAGCGTCTTGATTATCGCGAAGCCATTTGCGGCTACGATCGATCGAGTAACGTTTCATCGGGCAACAGCGACAATCCAGGGGGCTAGTATGGTCACCACCAGCCAGCAAATCAAAAGATGCACACTGAGTAAATGTGTATCCGAGTCGAGATCAACGTCCAGTCCACGTCGTTTCTTGGCTTTGAACATAGCGGCCTTGACTAACGTCTTTATAAACTCTTGCTGCTGATATATACCTGCATCTCGGTATGGATGGGGTTCGTAGGATGAGGATAGAATATTGCGTAGTCGTCTGCCTCGTCGTCAGAAGACATGATGATGGTTTGGGATAAGTTCTTTGGTTTGGTTCAACTTCTCAAGTTCGGACGGGCCCTCCAGCTCACCTGCTCTTTCACACGCCTCAGCCTCAGCCTCAGGATGCTCGGAGTCGGAGCGGTCGTGGGTGGTACGAGGTGGTACGAGTTGGCTACGAGACCAGCGCAAAGCCTGTAACTTAGCGTGTGCACAAAGATAGTTCTGAGATCATTTGAATACTACGAGCACATCGCCGGACCCTACGGCCGTGCCCTCCTTCACGCCCTTCCCGAATCCGGCCACTGTGCGCCCGATGTTCTCCTCGCCAGCCTCGACATTGACCTCAGTTTTCATAGCTTCGAGGATAATAAGCACATCTTCGCCAGACTTGACCACGTCCCCCGGCTTGCATTTGATCTTCCAAATGGAAGCCGTCAGGGAAGAAACGACTGTCGCTGCCCCATGAACTCCTGCGAACGCAGTGAGAACCAACAGTGAAGATTGATAAATTCACTGACCAACAGTGTCGTCTCCCATCTCCGTCTCTTTCGGGGCTTCTTGCTGCTTTTGTACAAGCCATTTGCTGAAGAGCCCGCGTTCCCTGTGGTGCCGAGCGTAAGTGGTGATGGGGTTGGCGATGCACGAGTACTTGCCTTGTTTCTTCGATCTTAACCCCTTGGGCTTGCTTCTCCTTGAATATCTTTACATCGTTCGCAATGCCCGACACGAATTCGTTATACTCTCCCATCGAGAAGTTACGCTCCTCGATCTTCCGATCCTGTAAGTATATGTACCTGAAAGGGCACTGACGGCTTACCTTGAAGACATAACGGCCAGCGTCGAATTGTGTCTCTGCCTAGAGGGAGCATGCCGTGAATCTATAGTCAAAGGATGAGGGGACCAACCCACCTCAACATATTGCTCCTCAGCTACGGGCTCGAAAACAAGCTATTGGATGCGTGATGGGTATCGGCTGCGAAACGGCGCTTCGCCAACAGCTTACTTGATCGAATGGCTGTAGAAGCCATGGCTGGTCGGGTCCGAAGTTCCTCCCTTTGCCCCACGTCTGCCAAGGGGGCAGCGTACGCCCGTACAGTTGGTATCCACCTGGGGATTCGATGGGGTATATCGCAGCAACCAGGCCAGCGATGCCGACAGAACCCTGATCTCAATCAATCTCAACACTAGCAGCCCCAAAGACGGCGACTTACACGTGGAGTGTATGTCCGTGAAGGATTCATCTTCTGACCAACGAGCCTGCATCGCGGATCGATCTGACGTGAATTGCATAAACCAAAAGGTCAAACGCCCTGTGACAGGGCAAACTCACCGGGACGAGGAAGGGGCATGCCATGTAGAACCCGACTGCAAAGACAAGCTAAATCAAGTGCAGAGTCAGCAGGAAGCAATGTGATCTAGACCCGAAAAGACCTCACATATTCTGACTTAATCAGCAGTCGCAATGCCTCTTCCGCACCACCGTCCAATCCGTTATTCCTCGCTAGGTACTCGATATTGCTCGGCAGATACGCTGCCTCTGCCCGAGTCGTGCGCATGTATCGCTCAAGAGCTTCCCTGCTCCAGCGGTCGTTCAAGACAATGGGGAAGGTGATCCTCCGCGCCGGGAAGACCATGTCCTCCAAAGTGTCCGGCAGTGACGACTCAGCCTCGATAAGGACGACCAAGAGGTCGGCTTGCGATATTGTGGACGGATCGTAGCGCACCTAAGGAGTTGAGTCGTCAGTCAAGATCATCGCTGTCCAGACCATCAACGCACCATCGTCGATCGAATGCAAGGGGCTAGCGACCATACTCCATTCACTTCTCGTTGTCGTATCTCCCTTCGAGTGCATGAATTCTTGCCCGCAGATTGAAGTCCAACTTCATGTCTCCGTATTCGACCAGTATCGCGGAGTCGCCTGCCTGCATCCGCCTATAGTCAAACAATCCTGGGCATCACCGAGCGTTCTGTCTCACCTGCCGAATCACGACTCTCGGACGCACGCTGCCGGCAGCAGGCTCGATGACGTGGATCTTTGGATCCTGAGACAAGTCTGTGAATGTTAGGGCGAACATCGCAGGAGGGGGCACATCTAAGGTAGTGTCCTTCGAAGAGACAACGCTCTCGATCTCAGCAAAGTATCGCTTGCGCACAACTGCAAGTTCCGTTGCTTGCTGTGCGGAGATACGACGGAACTGGATGGTAGACCCAGGGCGTAGTTGTCCAATCTTCCACCTGCACAAACGATCAGTCAGCGGACCGCCCTTCTGAAGTAGTACTGTGAAGGCTTACAGTTCCTCAGTCGCGACAGTACAGAAACACATGTATCCGCCCATATCAGGCCCGTCATTCGTCAATATCACAGGAGTGTCTCCGTTGACGTTGATCGTCCCGAAGGCATACCCATTGTCAAGCACATTCGACGGGTGCGAGCCGCCTTCACCGCCCGTCTCTCTCGCCCACTGCAGAGGCGGCCTTCCAAGCGGATGCCCATGCGGTTGCTCGACGCGCTCACTTTCCAGCGGGTGTCGAAGAACTCCTGAATCCCTTCCGTAGTGACGAACTCCTCGTCAGAGTGCGGTCCTGCGAGGCAGTAGACGACCCAATCCACGGGGTAGACGGGGATCAGCGTCGGTGGGACTTCAACGGTCCGCTCGTCTTGGAGCGGTGAGCAGGCCCCGAGGGCGATCGTGTCGCCTGCATGCAATGCACGTCCCTGTACAGACGAGTCTGAGTACTCTTGCTAGATGTTGGGCGGAGAAGAGGAATACCTGGTAGCCACCCAATCCACTCGACGTCGACTTGGAGCCAAGATACTCAGGAATCTCCGGGAAGCCACCCCTCACAGCGAGGTATGCCCTGAATCCCGTGTCCTTGACCGTCCCAACAGCGACCTTCGCGCCAGCCGGGACCACGACGCTCCGCCACATCCCGACGTCTCTCCATTGACAGTCACCTTCGTGGCCGCACCCGTGACGGCGATGACTGCTGCGACATGGAAGAGCAGACGGCATCCTACGAGCGTAATCTCGAGTGCTTCCGTCCCAGGGTCGTTCTTCACGAGCATGTTCGCGGCGCGGAAGGCGAGGGGGTCCATCGGTCCGCCGCGGGGGATGCCCATGCCGATCCGGCGGCCGGGGTAGTCCTGCACGGATGTCTCGAGACCTCCGCTCAGTACGTCCACAGCCCTGAGCGCTATACATGAGGCTGCCACATATGATCGGGATATTATGAGACTTACTGAGGTGTGAAGGCAAACGTGTCGAGGAAAGTCGTCACGGCGTTCCCTGCTTTGAACACGTCTGACTCGCATATGGCCTTGAGGTAGGCCATGTTATTCGGTGGCCCATGCACCTTGCTCTCTGAGAGAGCTTGCACCATTCGTGCGATGGCCTCCTCGCGCGTCGGTGCGGTGACGACGAGCTTGCAAACTAGCGGGTCAAAGTATGGTGTGATCGTCGTCCCAGTCTCAACCTGCAGAAGCCTGTCGTCAGCAGAGTCCGCCAAGTCCATGTCATTGCTCATACCCAGCTTTCTACACGTAGCCATTCGGCCTGCACCAGCTCGACGTGCTGCAACACCCCCGGACTAGGCTTGAACTGCGCTGCCGGGTTCTCGCAGTACACTCGCGCCTCAATTGCGTGAAGCTTTCTCCGACTCGGAGGGACGGAAACGGTCTTGGTCGAGCTTGTCCGGGAAGAGACCGCCGTCGCGTGTCTCCCTTTCCGCGATGCCTTGCCGGATCATGAGCTCGACGATGTCAAGTCCGAAGTTCGTCGCTTCTGTAATGGGATGCTCGACCTGGAGCGACCAGGCTCGGTGTGAGGGCGCAAGCCATTTGTGGAGGAAGGGAGACATACCTGAAGGCGGGTGTTCATCTCTAGGAAGAAAAACTCCTGTGAATCATCGTCCACCAGAAACTCAACAGTGCCTGATACAGGTCAGTACGCTCGTCAGGTCCTGGATCGCCGTTATGGTACGTACCGGCCGAAGCATACTTGATACGCTGACAGAGACGCAACGCAGCGGCGCTCATTCTCTCGAAGACATCTGAACGTGTCAATGTGAGCATACTGTTGGGGCTGATGCGTCCAACATACCAGGGTGTCTCGTCATGAACGGACTCGGAGTTTCCTCGATGACCTTCTGGTGTCTACGTTGCACACTACACTCTCGTTCACCCAGGTGAATTGCGTGACCAAGTCCATTACCGAAGACCTAACAAAATTGTCTAGTACCAAGACTTGTACAGAATAGCCTACATTACCTGGATTTCGATGTGCCGTGCGTGGGGGTAGTACCTTTCCAGGAACACACCCCCATGCTTGAACAATGACTGCACAGACACATAGACATGATTTCACAGCTCGAGACGCAGTCTACCGCACGGCTCACAGTTGCGCGTTCTTGCGTCGAATGAAACCTCATTCGCAGCTCGTCTGCAGTGCGGCAAATCGCCAAACCCATGCCTCCACCACCAGCTGTTGACTTGAGCATAACAGGATAGCCGATCTTGTAAGCAACCTCCACCGCTTCGTCCTCGGTCTCCAGAAGTCCGTCAGACCCGGGTACCAAAGGCACATTCACCTCGATTGCCAAAGCCTTCGCCTCATGTTTGAGGCCCATGGCCTGGATCGTCTCCGGCCGAGGACCAAGGAATGTCATACCCGCATCCTGAAGCAAGCTTGCGAAGTGAGTGTTCTCAGAGAGAAATCCGTACCCAGGATGCACCAGCGTTACGCTGCGCTCCTTGCATATCTCTACGATCGCCTCCGCGTCCAAGTACCCTCGCGAATTGGAGACAGGGTCCGGGTCGTCCGGACGCAGCGCGACCGCCTCGTCGGCAAGCAGGACATGGGGCGAGGTCGCGTCCGTGCGAGTGTAGATGGCGACGGTCGGTATATGCAGGCGTTTCGCCGTGCGGAGGACGCGCACGGCGATCTCGCCGCGTTGGCGACGAGTAGCTTCTGTTGCTGGAAGGACGAGGTCATCGTGCGCGGATGCGAGTCGGACGCGCGCTAGGGTTCGGCCTTCCGTGCACCAGGTGCCCAGCTTATAGGCAGACCGACGCGCTCCATGACGCTGCTTGTGGAATGATAGGAGACCAGGCTATCAGAGGGACAACCCGCGATATCTCTAGATCGCCCTCATGTGAGCACACATATATGGGACGCGAAATTACGGTTCACGTTCAGCCTATCGAGACGGGATGGATACCTCGAGATTGCCTCGAGAGAAGCGTCCATGGGAGTAGAGCCTGAGATACGCACGAGAACGCTTAAGTGAACAGCCCGTAGGCTCCTCGCACTGCTGTCCCTTCATCGACTATCGCTCTCCTGGCCGTGTCCAAGTCACTGTTCCCTGTCATCTACAACACGCCAGAATGCGCGCGACTGTGAACTGCGATATGGGAGAGGTGAGCATATCGCCTGGTTGCGCGGTGATTGAAGTCCTCGATGCAGAGATATACAGGAGTTGAAACACAGAGTCGTCTGATGACAGCGCGAAAGACTAGACTGTGCTGCAGCAGCACCCGCTCGCATACTGGATATCCTTGGAGGTCGTGGTAGTCGGTAAAGATGAGATCGTAGACGCCGGACTGCCCGTTACGCTTGACCTCATTCATTGACGAAATGGCTTCAGCCTGTATGCATTCATGGGCCAGACGATTGCGCAACCTTGCATACCGATATTGCTCATGCGGAAGTAAGCTGACGGTGGTGAATTTAAGGGTTTTGCCCTCTACACTATAGTGAGCTGCCATAGTGCCGAATCTTAAGCATCATTGCCGGTTGCTTACAGGTACTTGACAGGGAGATGATGAGTCCCTCATGAAGACGATCCATATGGCTAACGTTGCTTGTGGATTTCATGCATCGTGAGTCCTTTGAGAACTTACGTATATCCGTCGGTTGACCCACTTATCAAGGGATTTCAACATATGAACAAGACCGTTCTCCTAGCCAAGGAGAACGGCGTCCTTGTCGGCGCGCACCCATCGCTGCCTGACAGGCAAGGATGGGGTAGGCGTGAGATGGTCATTGAGCCCGTACGTGGTGCACGACTGTTCCGTCACGACAGTGCTGATTGGCAGCCATTAGGAAGAGCTCGCGTCGTGCTTCATCTACCAAGTTGGCGCACTCACAGGTTTCCTGAAGCTCCATAGCGTGGATATGTATCATGTAAGCTATATATATCTCGTGCTTGTACATGATCGCTCGCTGAACTTCCGCATACAAGATCAAACCCCACGGAGCTGTCTATGGCATGACCGCCCGTAACATGGATCTCGCTCGCGCAGCGGTCGGAGTGGCCAAGACGTTCGGAGTCGCTTATATGGGCCTCGCTGGGACATGTCACCAGACTGCCTGCGAAGAGCTCGGCGTCCCATTCATCACCGGTAATTTCCATCGCCTTGCGTGCTGAACCGGACAGCACTGACAGACAGCATCACAGAGTGGTATGCTGATATGGAGTACGCCCCAGATGGCAAACTCCTGATAACCAAGTTGGTCTCGAACGCTGTGGACAGTTCTGCTCAATAATCTGACCCAACGAAACAGAAAACACGATCCCATCACACTCGATGTCGTCACAGCCCGGGTACGCTTCATCTACGTCCGCGTGTTATAGGGCCAGGACGATTGACATGCACACGTAGGTCTCGAAAATGCTCTCCGAAGGTCTTATCACGGCCAAGGATGGTACCTTCTTGCCTTTGGGCACCGGCGTTAAGGACGTATCCATTTGCTGCCACTCCGACACTCCGGTTCGTCCGCTCCGACTACTTCTAAGCACTCGAAACTTACAACGTTCACTTTCAAGGGCTCGGTCGAGATTGCGAAACTCGTGAAGACCATGGTGGACGAGAACAACGCACACTTGAACTGATACTAGCGGTAGTCATTGGTCGAAGATGCGATGATGTGTATTTGTATCGATGAGATGCAAGATTGTAATATTGCCGTGTTCCTACTCTCAAGTACCGGCACTGGCAGCGCCACGACTCGTCAGTACAATGCACGGCAGCCGAACGTAGATGGTAGAAGTCGTCCCGCGAATCCCGTACTCCAATGAACAATCACGTGAGGGGATTTGCGGGCGGTGATTGGTGGGTGGCGGTGGCGTATTCCGCCTTTTGTTCCGTCTTTCCAAGTCTCCTCCGCGGCCGTGAACAAGTATATGAACGGACGCCAGAGCAAGGACACCCCTCCGTGTGCAATACCCTCCTGCTATCCTGCAGGTTCCTACAAACAAGTGTCGACTGACTCATTGTTTTGCTACCAGCGGTCACGGTGCAGACTCGGGTTCGATCAAGGACTCGGAACGCCCTGCCACGGACCCTGCCACTGAGGTCACGCCGGTGTCATGCGATATTGAGAACATGAGGGCCTCAATTTCCTCTTTGCCTGCCGAAGTGGTCGAGATCATTCTGGTGAACGCCGCGTCCGGTGGGTTCCCCTCAGCGATAGGAGCACTGTCGCAGACCTGCCGCGCCTTTCATACTCTGATCTACGACGCGGCCGATCACCACCTCTGGCGAGCGATATTCCTCAGTACATTCGATGACCCTCGACGGCTTGCATACTATGACTTTAGTAAGTGGCCTGCGCTCTTGATCCTGACAGTGTAGTGATGTACAGCGGGCCTTAGATGGCTTCGACTGGTGTGGCCAATTTCGAGAACGAATCTGGGCGGCGTCCTTCCTCAAGCGGCACGTCCGACCGCTGCGTGTGCAGAAGATATACACGCTTCGGTCGCGCACTACTGCTACCTCCGTCGTAGACCTCACTCCCACCTACGACACGAACAGCAGCCTGAGGATGTTGAACGCGCTGCTGTCCGTCATCAAGAGCACCGCTCCAGACGAACATGGCCATTATCTACCCAATCAAGACGTGCGACGGACTGACCCCGTCGAGTGGGAGGGAATCATGCACAAGCGGTCCCTGTCCTACGCTTACCAGAACACCCCCGATTTCGCAGAACGCCTGCGAGGCTACTCGGAGTCCCTGAACGTCCCTTGGCTGCGGTCGGTCTTGGAGCGCGGTCTCCCCGCGCCGCTCATCACCAAGATCTCGGCGAACTCGCGAGACTCGCTATGGGACAGCACGCCCGAATCGCTCGCACTGGGCGAGCTCATAGCCTGCGCAGGGTTCATACCGGTCCGCAACCTCATCGAAGAGCGAACTAGCCGCCTGGCGTCGTCTTCGTCGGGCCACTCTCGTACGGAACCACACCCCTCCGGGGTCTCGGACATGGACATGTCCGCCGACGCGCAGAGACTGCGAGCGCACCACCGCGCGAGGGAGCTCGTCTACAGGATGGGGTATCTCAGCCGGCGTCGGCACTGGGGTCCATACCTCCCGGTCGCGCCGACAACTGAAGACGAACCCGTCCTGAAAGACAATATACCCAATCAGGGCGGTCCGCCCCGCGAACTTCGTCAGATGTTTCTGCGGGAACTATCCGACTCCGAGTCTGCCAGTGATCCAGACTATTTCCCGGACAATGGCGACACCACGTCCTCGCATTCCGTCGACGCATCCGACGACGACGACGGAGAGCCACCCCTAGTGGAACCCCCAGTCCAGTCGCGGAAAAGGAAGCGTGTCATACCGTCGGCGGAGCAACTCAACCCGGACTGGGCTTGGCTCGCAGCGGCGCGCATACTGGTCCAGAGCAACTTTGACGACCTCGAGAACTTCAGGATCGCCGACTTCCTTGACTGGAACATGTGGAGGGAGGTGTGGGTCAACCGTGCACATCTTGACCAACTCTGCTTCGTACATGGCGATGAATCGAGGGATGACGCAGATAGTCAAGCAAAGGTGATTTCAGAGGGTTCTCGTGACAATCAACATTATCGAGACTGGGCGGGCGTACAGGGAGTGTGGAGGTGAGTGAGCCACGTTGCTTGCAGAAAATTGCAGTCACGATCCTCGCATCGCAGACGAGCTGTCTTATGGCTTGACTACGCCGACCTCCAGCGTGAGTACAATCTTTGCCAAGAACCATGACTATGTCGCTCAAACCACCTGAGCGTTAGACCACAACGTAAGCACAACGATCCTCCCCGAAGAGCGCCCCTTGACATGCGTACATAAAGCACTACGACGGGTTTGACGACCCCGGCTTGAACGAATGCAAGATCGTAGTCCCCGTGCGCCTTCGCGTCGTAGGCTACGATGCCCCGTCGGTCGCCGCGTATCCAGACCGACCCACGATCCTAGTCGAAGGCGAGATGGGCGGACAGGACTTCGAGGGACACGAGGACGGCACTGCAGACGATATCCGGAGATTGCATGGCACGGTCAGCATGCTGCCTACGGGGCAGGTGCGGTGGAGCCTCGTAAGTACAAGTCTCGTTTGCCGGCCTGATATCACTGATATGTGTGCTGCGCCTTCAGACAAGCTCAGAAGAAGACGATCACGATACAGATTTGTGGGCTTCTGAAGGGATACAGATCGGTGCTGTCGGCTCCGACGCTGGCATCCTGGGCATGTGGACGGGCGCACAGCATGGGATGGCGGACCCGCTTGGTGAGTGGGCTTCGTTCGCGGTATCAACGTCTCTGAACGAAGATGCTTGATCGTAGGGCCGTTTTGGCAGTGGCGAGTTGCATGAGACAGTGTTTAGGGGCGTCGCGCCGGCGATGCCAATCTATCAATTGAGTGAGCTTTGCGCAGTTCATATACTGCTTTCGCATTAAACTCAAGTTTGACTCAGCGTGTGGCGGAAGAAGTCAAGGAACCAAGGGACGGTAACTTTGTATTGCTAAAAGACTTGGCTCGGTCTGGTCCTCATGAAAGTGTTCTCCGAGAAGCCTGCCTTGGTCAATGATTCTGAACACTGTTATATTTAGTTGTAATAGCGAATCTTCTCTCCGTGCTTGGCGTTCGAGAGCTGCCCTGCAACTATGCACAAACACCTATGAGGCACACCTGCAAGTCGATCGCACGTCTCGATCCCTTCTGTCTGTTACTCCTCTCTTTGCGAGTTGTTGACTCGACTAGCTGCCTGACATCGACGGCCCATCGAACTCTGGCAAAGGTACGTGGTCGATTCGCATCCGAGCACGATGGAAGCAGCAATGCGATCAGTTCTCGAGCTTCTGTGCCTTGTTCTGCAGACGTTGTGTTTATTCTGGTCCAGGTCCGCCAAGAGCACTTTGAGAAGTATCAACAACGAATGGCCTCTTGGCAAGAGGAACGTGCAGCCAAAGACCTCTATGTTTCCGAGACATGTACAGAACTTGCTATAATACAGCATGCATGTACACTTGATATTCTACACAGCCAATGATCTGTACATCCATCGAGTACCTGCAAAAGAAAGCAAACAATGACATGACCAAAACATGCAACAGAGATAATGGCCTAGATGAATAGGACAAGCGCGAGCCAACGCGGGGGTGCCTAGCACTCACAGCCGTCCGCTCTGCACGACACCACCGTGCGCCAGCGGGCCAATCTCGCGCTCGCCGACCTCGCGCCACCACCGGTCGGCGACCTCGTCCGCGTCGTACCCGAACTGCGCCTCGTTCTTCTTGCGGTCCGCCCACTGGTTCGGGTTGCCCTCCATCATCTCGCCCTCCGTGATGACCTCCCCGCGGCGCTGGCGCTCCAGCAGCGCGAGCTCGGCCTCCATGGCCTTGCGCATCTGGAAGTCGCGCGCCTCCTGCTCCGGCCCGTCGGGCAGGTGGAAGATCGTCTGGTTCAGGCGGGACGAGGCCTGCGTGGCCGCGGTGCGCGAGAGGCGCAGCGACTCGTAGGCGTACAGGAGCGGCTTCAGCTGGGAAATGTCGGATATGCGCGTGAGCAGGTTGCCGAGCACGGCGGCGTCCTCGATGGCCATGGCGGCGCCTTGTGCACGGTACGGCTGAGGGTGCGAATGTCAGGCCGGGGAAGCGCGAATGATGATGACGATACACACCAGCATGGGATGACACGCATCTCCTAGGAGAGCGACACGACCCGCGGGATGGACCCATGTGTCCAGGGGCTTGCGATCCATCAGACGCCACTTCAGGGTCGTGTCGACCGTCTTCAGCAGCCTCTGGATCCTGCAGGGCACCGTCAACGTATTGTCTACACGCGCAGACAAAAGTCATACCGAGGCTCAAAATCGGCGAAATCAGCGCGCATCTTTTCTGCGCTGCCCTCTGCGGTCCACGACTCGACCGAGCCATCGTCCGGGTGCAGCATGACGAGGTTGTACAGCTCGCCCCCGCGCTGAGAGCGCGCGTGTCAGCACCACATGCCAAGCGCGACTGTGTGAACGCAGTACTCACGACGAGGTACCCCATGATGTGCCGCCCGGGGCCCATCCAGCCCGTCATCTCTGGCGTCTTGACGAACGACGCGAGCTCGGGGTCGGCGAGCAGGGCCGCGGCGGGGATCGTCGCGCGGTACGCGGCGTCGCCGGTCGGGTGCGCGGGGTTCTCGCGACCGAGGACGGCTTTCTGAATGCGGCTCTTGATGCCGTCCGCACCGATGATGAGATCGCCGTGGATGACCTCGCCCGACGCGAGGGTCAGCGAGGGCGCCTCCGGGTCGCAGTCGACGACGGTCGAGTTGAGGCGGAGGTCCATCTCCTTCTCGGCGAGGTCGTACAGGAGCTTGTGGAAGTCGGCGCGGTGGATGTGGTAGTACGGCGCACCGAAGGCGTCCATGCGCTCCATCCAGCGTGTGTACGCGACCATCTCGCCGGTGCTGTACCTGCGGAAGGTGAGGGCCTCGGGTTTGACGGAGACCTTCCTGAGCTCCTCGGCGAGTCCCCAGCGGATGAGGAGGCGGGTGATGTTAGGCGAGACCTGGATGCCCGCGCCGACCTCCCCTATGGCCGGCGCAGACTCGAAGAGGGTGATCTTGTGCCCCGCCTGCGCGAGACAGTGCGCGGCGGCGAGGCCACCGAGACCGCAGCCGACGATGAGGATGTGAAGCGGGAGGGGGCTTTGCGGGACATGTCTGTGTGCTGCCAGGGATGCGGGGTGGTTGGGCACGACAGGGGAGATATAGCAGTGAGGAAGAACGGTAGGGCCGAGCATCATAAATACTCCCATCGAGCGTTCCGGTGAAGCAGTCACGATCCCAACAGACAAGGTTGGGATGTGCTCACGCTCCCGCGCCCGCACGCCTCCTCTTCGCCCGCACCCAGCCTTGCCTTATCCGGCGTCCCCGTGCTCATCCACCAGGCGCTTCCGAGGGCTGCCTCCTCCACTCACCGTCGCCTCCGCGCCCAAACATACTGCCTCAACGGATCTCTCTGGCGCTGCCCCAGTCGGCCACACCTCCGAGCCAGTTGCGTCCCCTCCGTGCCTCGCTTCTGCGGCCTGCCACTTCATGGATCCTGATGGGTCTTCGGGACCGCGCATCCTCGACCCGCTCCGCTTGCCACGGACATCACTGCACCCCGGATTCCAGCTATTAAATTACATATTGCTACCCCTTCCCGAAAACGCGTGGAGGTCGTCGGGCCCTTGTCTGACCTCCGCGTCGAGCGACCCGCACCTCGCCCACAAACCTCGGTCTAGCTCGCCTTCGACATTCGTCGATATGATAAAATCCTGATCTGAGAACGCCACCCCAGAGATACTTACCAGAACCAACACGCTCCGCCTGTGCGCACATCGACACTCGGGGTCTAGCGATATGGAATTGGCCGGCCGGCTGTCATAATGAAAGGACCTTCCATTATCCCCTTGGTTCGCAGTAATCGTTTAAGCCCCCGGGGCTGAAGTCCTACAAGGTATGCCGGGGCCGAGAGGCTCTTCTCGTCGCTCCTGGTGAACGATTCACGCGAACACGATGCAGAACTGAATGAGCTGCTGGCTCTCTCTTGACGTGTTCTATCTTCTCGGGATTGCTTTCATCCACTCAACAGACGGTCACATTCCCCTCTCAGGCAATCCCCTTTTGACGAGTTGGCCCACTGTTATTCTCCGTTGCAGACCATCAAAGCCGGCAAGCGTCTTTTGCCCACTGTAAGGTATGGCCCAGTCCGTGATGTTGTGCTTGTCCCGGCTTGTTCGTGAGTATCCAACGCCAGAGTCATATACAGACTGTGTCGGCCTCGAGGCTTACCTGCAACCCACGAGAATCTCAGTGGCGCCAACGCCCTGAGATGACATCTGGTAGACACGTATCTTGAGGCGCTGTATCGCCGAATCAGCTCCTGACCGAGCGGCGTGTAGAAGTTGGCCTGGTATTCCTGGTCAAGCATTCAAAATATAAGTACGTTGGCTCATGTGCATGGATGCTCGCAGCTAGGTTCCAATTGCGTGGTGCGAGACAAAGCTTGAACGCTATGTATGTGGTTGGATGCCAACAGCGTTTGGTTCCTGCTTGTTTGACTGCAAGGAGCAACACAACGCACCCCCTTGTGAATTGGGCCTCGATGACCTCCATGGAGAGCATCTACGGGCGCGTCAACCTTCTGTCCGCCGCCGGGACGCGCGCCTACTCCGCGCTGGTCGGGATGACATATCCAGGTCCCTGACCCACGGTCAACGTTGGCGGCTGTCTACGTTCTCCGTTCGCTCAGTCTTCTCTGCTCAACTGCTGGCGCTGCACGCTTGTCAGACCTATCAGGAACTCGAGAAGTTGAGCGGACTGAGGTAAGTGGATCGATTAGCGCCACACCTTCGTGTTTAGAACGCACCTCTCATAAGAGCCCACCAGGACGTTATCGGAAGCAGCGTCTTCGCGGTCTTCGTGTGCCCATGGGGAAGAGTCCTCGGGCGCACTACGCCCACGAAGCGCTGTGCTGTGCATGACACGCAGCCACAATCAGCATTCGTCGGGCACGGCGCATATAACGACCCTTGACCCTGGCGATCCTTGCATACCCATCGGGAACCCGAAGGGCGAAAGCACCGGGCGATTTGATGATGCGAGGGGCGTGCGCGACGGCCGCCGACGGGTTTGCGGTCGTCATGCGGGTCTTCGGACGTGCGCAATGCTGGTCATGCCGGCTGTTTCAGTGCATCCACTCATCTAAGGAGACTCTTAGAGTTGAGAAAGCGCGCCACAGTCTTATGCTTGATGTCATGTCGGCCGCAGTTTGGTAGGCGCGTACATGCGTCCATGAAGTTGACACTCGGATTTTTGTGAGTTGTCTGTATCAGAGGCACGGACGGCCAACTCTCCGAGTTCTTATGGCAAACTTCGGCCTTCCACCTGCACCTGGTGACACGCCTCGACGGAACCCACCCACCGTCGCACTGTGATAATGAGGAAGGCAACCAGACATGGGGGACCTACTGTGTTACTTATATTATCTCAATATTGCAGTATGCCAGCGGTTGACCTACGATATTTATCTCGACCTGAGTAGTAGGGGGACTGATTGTCATGGTCACGGTTGACTCAGATGGAGGACGTACGCTCGACTCCGGGACTGATCGAGCGGACTGACACAACTGGTGTGATGTCATGCGGGGGTACATATGATCGATCTCAGGAACTCGGATCGGGCGGGACTCATGCACGTGCGTCGAGCTCTGGGCACCCTCCACGTGGCGATAAATCCTCGGTACTTAACTTACTAAACTCTGACCATACTTACTTACTCTGTGGCAAGGGGCGTCCAAAACTCTAAGTAATTCACTGAACCGACCACCCCCGACCCAACCCCGGGCGAGTGCCAGGGGTCCAGAAAATACACCCGCGCCCACTTTTCCGCCCACTTTTCCACCTACCGTTGTTCAGCATCCCGCGATGATTGGAAAAGTTGTCAGGCCGCATCCCTGCTGCACTAATAATGGATGTGAAAAGTACGAATGTCAAGAATGAGACGGCTTCTTCAGTGGAGACAGACCGGACAGCTGTCGCACGTGATGAGAAACACGACCAGCATTCTTAGTCAGCCTCGACACGCCTCCAGCCTCGGTCACTCTGGTGAGCCCGAACTAGCGCATCTCTTTTGGCTTCGTTGGTTTCCCTTCAGCAAGAGGTAAGGCAATACCTGGCAATACATCCAGAATGAGTCAACATCCATTGTTTCCCTTCTAGCTAGCACCTATGATTGTTACCAGGTGGTTGCGAGTGTTTTCTGTTTTCTTCACCTCGCGGGCTGTGGGCGCTAAAAGTGGTTGGTTGGGGTCTCGTTTCCGGGGTCCTGCCTCGCACTTTTCAGGAGGAGGAGGAGGAGGAGGGGATTCCATTTAGTCACGATCGCGCGCCGTAGGGCTGGTCGATGCAGTGAATTAGAGTTTTGGACGCCCCTTGCTCTGTGGTGACCTACGGTCTGCAGGTTGCTCTGGGCTGAGGGAGCTGCCGCATAGGATCCAATCAACAGTCTCTCGCAATCCTGCCAATACACCCAGAGTATATGTCACCTCCAAGCCCTGTACTCTTCAAACTATCCCTGAGCCTCTCAGTTACTGTCTGCTGCAACTAGCTGGGTCCACCACTGGAACGTACCCTTCTCGCCGTGCAATTTTGGGAGGGAATTCGCGACCGGTTGTAATGCCTCCATAGATCGTCGTGGTCGACGACGGCAAATAAAAGTTTCGGCCCTCGTTGTCGGATGTCAACTCGCAGGAGTGCTCGCATGTATCCCTTTGGCACTGGCACCCCTAAGTCAAAAATTGTGGTATGCCAGGCCTCGACCGGTCGGACACGGTGCCGTAGGGAAACGTTTGCAGTTATCGCTGCCCTGCGAGGTCCAAGTCAGCGACTCCTTGTGATCGGTCTAGACCAACTGCATGTCGCCATATGTTCACAGCTCATTCGTCTTCTTCGGACACGGACAAGGGTTCGCGGTATCAGGTTCACGGGTCGTACCGATCCGTTATCATGATCAAGCGCGCTGCTCGCAATGGACCTGAGGACAGGACGTGGTCAGTACTGTATTCCCATGTTTGCGTGCTAGGATGGCTCATACTGAAATGCGCTCAGGGTAATCGTGTGGCATGTCCATAACCTCCAAAGGACGCTGCCGTTCCTCAGACAGAGGAGATACAAGTTCCCCGATCACGTTGGCAGTGTACGACTACTGAGCATCGCACCGCAGAAGCTGACCCAGTGGCAGTTTGTGGGTCCCTTCTCCAACACATGACCGGTACAACGCGGCCGTTACGAGATAAGAAGCGGGTCGCGCGAGGGAGGATGCTCCCTGGCATCGTCTGAACGAACCCCCACCAGGCCCCGATCGGGGAGTGGGCATTCTCCGCGGATACCTCCACCCCAACGCGATACCCGGCGAAACACTATGGATTCATACCAGTTCTATAATACGTCCATCGACGGGAAGTCCCCTCTTTTCACCTACACGCCTTCCCGCGCAGCCGGAGCTGTGAACGCGCTGGAGGCGTGGACACTCACCAATCCTAGCTTGGTGGCAGTGAGTCCCTATAACATACTGGTTGTACGGCGGATCGATACTGACGTTGTTGTCGCCATCTAGGATACCTCCTACACGACCAATTTATCTGGTGCAACTGTCGAGATCCAATGGACAGGCACCTCCATCTGGCTCTACGGAAGAGCGAGCGCGAGCTCTAGCTACGGGATCATACGTAGCTGGAGCGAGATGGTTTGGTTCGGCGACGAGGCGAACGGGACCGAAGGCGTCCTCTTCAGCGAGGCAGGCCTCTCTTACGGTTCTTACACGCTCGCCCTCTCCGTCAGCAAAGGACCGGTGACCATCTCGGGCGCGACGATCACCGTGGGCATGGGAGATGCTGGGTGAGTAGCTTGCCAGCCTCACAGCTCACGTCGTACAGGGCTCATATCCGTGTTATCCAGGTCATCATTGCAGTCACACAACCAGTCTGCAGCGACGGGATCCGGAGCAAATCAAGTCAATCCTTTCTTCCAGACCAACTCCAGGAGCTTTTGGTCCTCCCTCATCCTCGATGGCTCCCAAAGCATCCTTCGTACCAGCAACATCGGAGACTCGATCACGTTCACGGTCCAATCCAGCGTGAGCTTCGCTATCTACGGAACGACTGCGCCCGCCTACGGCGAGTACAACATCAGCGTGGACCCCCTTCCGGATAACCTCCCCCCAACTGCCCAGTACAACGCGTCGACGGCGTTCGAGGTCCTGGACGCGCTGAAGTTCCTGGCGACGGGTCTGGACGAGACGAAGAACTACACGGTGACGATGACAAACGCCGAGCGCAACAAGACCTGCGACATCGGCCAAGTCGTCCTGCACAGCGCTGTCCGAATGCACGTCCATTTTGTTCTCAAAGGGCAGACCAACGATGCTGATGAGTATCGTCATCACTTTGAAGTGTGAGCTCGAGCTCGGCGACAAGTGGACGTTCAACCTCACTAGCAAGTGCAGACCCATCCGGCACTCCACCCATCAGTTCCGGCAGCGCAACGTCTGGACGGCAGCGCCTCAACACGGGCGATATCGTTGGCATTGTGGTATGACCCCTCCTTACCGTGCTACGATATTCCGACTCACACCGAACTCAACAGCTCGGATGTGTCGCGAGCGTCCTCATTTTCTGGGCCACCGCCGTGGCCCTGCGACAGCGCCGTCGGAGACGGAGAATCGAGTACTCGATGGAGAAGCCTTCCACACCGCTCTACCGAGAATACCGATACAAACGCGCAGCTCGCCATTCCCCTGTCAGGGTTCCCGGAATCGATCTGATCGACCCGGACATCGTGGTGATAGGTGGAGAGCGTGAGCTGATGACTCCAGAACTTGAAGTCACACCCTGTGCGTACCGATGTCTTCTTCAACGACGCGTCAAGGTCTAATCATGCTCTATCGCAGTCATGAAGACTTACACTGACCTTGCCTCGCCCGCGTGCCAAAGCACCCATGCGTACGTATCACCCGCTTATTACTCCATGTGCCAAGCTAATTGTCTCTCGACAGGGAGCAACCTGCGGATAATTCTCTGCCAAACCAGCTCACGACAGAACGATCGGTTGCAGTCCCAGCAGAGAATGCAGACCGTCATCCCAGAGTCAGGCCACCGTCCTACAAAGCGGAGTGGATGTCTAGTCGCACTTCAACGAGAACAACGGCACAACAGCCTCCTTCCTCTTATCAGATGAAGCTGGAGGGCGAACCTGCTCCCTAAACATATCCCTTCGCCATGGACAACATATGCCCTGATGACTATCCACCGCTGGACTGGTGCGTCATGCCTGTCCATTCACCCCGGACGTTCTCACCGACTACGAGACAGCATCCACCCTCTCCTAATCCGTGCGATCGTCTCTATCATGAGCGGACACTATTATACATGTATCCTACAGTCTGTCGACTGGGACTGCCAATCGAAGTCTGTTGTAGGCTTGAGCTGACCAGGGATCATCGAAGATCCATACACACCGAAAGCGCCCCGGCTCATCTGCTATTACTCAGCCAGGACAACGCCGATCTGCGTTATGGGCGGCACACAAGCCGCGATCCCATGCTAATCCTCCGGGTCTAACCCTGGACAACCGACGTTAGACGCCACGGAAAACATTCCTCACTTACCAAGGCGAGTCGTTCCTCATTGATAGCAGGCCGAGTCGTACTCATCATCTCCCGAGATTGTCGTTTTTGTCTACGCACTTCGGCAGAGATATATACGGTGCTGTTGGTTCACCTGAGCGCGTCGCCGATAAGTACCTTCGAGAGGATCGCTCGAGCGCCCACGCGCCGCGTGCACGCTGTTGATGCAGCCCCTAGTGTGCAGGTTTGGCGACCCGCTGTCACTCAAAGTTTCAGCGCACTCAAGTCTCGAGGCACTTGGCACTTCCGAGGAGTGAATTCCCGGTGAATTCTCTGCTCCGAGGGGGTGTGGACTGACGCGGGCCGCCCGAGTTCCGAGTTCAGCCTTCTAGTATGGTACCCTCTCCCTGTACAGTCTTGCCTCGACACGATTGTCTGAGCTGGTGAGCAAAAGATGGCGTCGGAAGAGCAGGAGATCGTTGCTCTGCTCGAATCCAAGTACGTATCCGACGTATGGATTTCAAGTTGATGACTCCCCGGGCCGAGACTCGGACTGCTGACGGATCCACTACTTTCCAACCTCTGTAGTTTCATAACCAATTATTGCGAGCTCGCAACTTGCGGTGTGTGTTGTTGTTCTGCTCCAAGTCTGCAGCGGGACTGATGCGCTGCCAGTGTTGATTTTCTGCGAACACATCATTACGCTTCCGGATGAGATCCGCCTGGTATGGCGACGAAAACTCTCGATGTCCAGCCTCATCTTTCTGCTGAATCGCTACATCGTGTTTATGTACGGGGTCGTCAACATAGTCGGGGTGTTCCCATGGACGACTAACATAGTATGGTATCTCTCGGTGCCCCATTACCGCCAACATCGCTTACGCCTGTGATCTCGCCTGCCATAGGGGTCAGACATTTTAGCACATCGGCAGAAAAGAGCAAAATGAAGCTGATCGAGTGTCTTTGCAGATGTGCGGCCATAATCATGCTATACACTATCGTAACTATCCTGCTGTACGCTATCACCCCCAGTGCGTCGCCCCTCCGGGCTCCTCCACCCAGCCATCGTACTCACCATTAATGCACAGTATTCTCGACCCTCCGGGTTTACGCCATCGCGGGCCGCAAATGGCACTTCGCCGTCGCGACCCTCCTGACGGGCGTGGTCGCCGTCGCGTCCAATATCGTGAGTCTATGCGTCGTACGGCGGGCGTTACACTGATACTAATGACATGCATTGTGTGTGCAGGCAAACGCCGTCCAGGCGTCGCTCGGCTACCTGGTCTACGTCGGACCTCTACCCGTGTGCACGTACGACACGTATGACAGCAAGTCTGAGCACTGGAAGTAAGTGCTGCACCTGGAACTCCCCGCGCCCCAACACTCACTGACGTGCTCCTTTCCCAGACGTAAGCACCCCCTTCCCCCAATCGCATATGGCCTTCGCTCCTCCCGTCCGTTCTGACGCTCATCCCCAGTGACAACCGCCACGCGCGTCTGCTCGATCGTCTCCGACCTGCTTGTCATCACCGTGACCTGGTGGCGGACGTACGCGCTGAAACGGGAGGCAGACCGACTGCATATGCGCGCGTCCCTCGCGACGCTCCTCCTGCGCGACGGCACAGTCTACTTCGTGTGCGTCCCATGTCCACCCTGTGCTTGTGCTGAGGACGTGGAGATTGATGGGGCGGCGTCGGCGCAGGGCGATCCTCGTGCTGAACGTCGTGCACGCCGTTGTCGTGTTCTATGACGGGGTACGTTAGCCACCGCGGCACCTCTGCCTCTAAGGATGTAGGTCCTCACGTCGTTGCCGCTCGTAGAACGTCGTCTACGTGACGGTCTTCCTCAGCCCGTGCGTCGCCCCCCTTCCCCTCTCCTCCCGCCCTATCCTGACGTGACCTTCCCTCCCGGACCAGGATCCCCGCCCTCCTCACCTCGCGCTTCCTCCTCAACCTCCGGCGCGCCAACGACCTCAAAGACATCGACGTCCACCTCGGCTCCACGTCCTCGTCCACGGCCTCCCCCGACACCGGCTCGCTCTCCTTCGCCCTCTCCTCCGCCCCGCCCGACATGCGCACGCTGCAGTTCGCCCCGGCGGGCGCGTCCGCCGGCACGACGGTGGGCGGAGGGACGGGGACGGGGACGTTCATGGACATGGACGGGGCGCTCTGGACGGGGTTCGCCTCTTCCGTCGGCGACGCGGGTGAGGCGGCGGGGACGGGGACGGGGACGGGCGAGGGCGAGAGGGCGTGGAGTCCGTCGACGGAGTCGGAGCGGACGAAGGCGGAGGCGGACGTAGAGGATGGGAGGTCGCCCGTCGCCGGGTCTCCGATGTCGGCGGGGACGGGGGCGACGGCCCGTGTGCGCGCGGGACGCGGGAGCGGGGAGGGGAAGGACGGGGTGGGGGTGGAGGAGATAGAGCTGACGCCGGTGTAAGATGGGGCAGCGATGTTCTGTGAGACTAGAGTAGACCTGCGTTGGATGGATTACCAGGTCACCAGCTGGATGTGTACTTGCGAAGCGTACGACCTTATTGGACAGGGACGGAAGTCCGAGAGAACTGAGCGACTCGGGGGTCCTCGCGGCACGAAACGTATAACAGGTGTATGAAGTACATTGGTCGCCGGGTTCATACAACAACGGATAGGATAAATAGTGCTATAAGTCAAAGAACCATGCATTCGTCTTGCAAATATGACTACAATCCACCGATACCCTATCCTCTGCGCGCGTACGCAGCCCACATACAAAGTTACCGGCTCACCGCACGCTCGGAGTCTTCTTCATCGCGAATGCGTGCGACTCGCCGCTCGGCACCGTCCCATGCCGATCCCGCCCTTCGCCGTTGTGGTTCTGGGAGCGGATAGATGAAGCGGAGTGGGAGCGAACGCCTGCGCCGGGGCCAGGACCAAAGCTCGCGTTGCTGTATGCTTTCACGAAACCACTGAGGCCGAGGAGGCAGGTGGAAGGGGAGTGAGGGGAAGCGAGTAGACGAGGAGCGAGGGCAACGCACCGTTGTGTAGCATCGAGGTAATTATCCCGGTCCCATCGCTTGTTTGTTTTGATAGACACACCCTCCTTCGACAGGTTCACGCCTCTGTTCTTCAGGCTGGGGTGGACGGGGAGGGTGCTAAGCGAGGGGGCCAAGACCGACATAAGAGCCACTCACGATGCTTTCGTCGCCTCCGCAGCCTGTGACGTCGCTTTCCCGACATAAATCAAGCCATACAGAACCGCTGCAGCAATGGAGAGCGTCTACATGATCGTTTAGCACTGACTATCAGAGTTTTAAAGCATATGAACGACTTGCCAAGGCGAGGGAGATAAAATCAATCCTGTCGGTAGCGGCCGCATCAGCTCTCGGCATTCTCGACGCCACAGTCGGCGTGCACATACCAGCTTGCCATGATGTGGAACAGAACACTTGGTGGTGAAGAAGAGAGGAATTAGGGGCCGGATGCGCTAGTGAGGCTGGTGGTTGGGATCGCAATATAAAGCGGACTTGACGTCTGTATAGGAATAGATCGACCAATAGGCGGCGGTGCTAGCGGTGAACAGAAGCACTGTCACAACAACGGCGACAGGTTCTGAGACAAAAGGAGCTGCAGATCCGACTGGTGCGAGGGACTCGGAACGGGAGGAGTGAAGCAGCCCGCTGCCTTAGCTTCAAAAGTGGTATTTACATAAGGACGAGACAGGGATCTGCCTCAGGAACTCGCGCGGAGCCTTTGCCAATGATGACCGCATTTGGCGCGTGCGCAGCCTCCTCCCGCGCCTTCCCGCCTCCCACTGCCGAACAAGGTTGCCGCTGGGCGCTGAGCGTTGTGGCGGGGAGGCCGCCTCACCGCCTCCCTGCAAGACGTAAGTACTCGCTATATGGATGGCGTTCGGTGACACATTCCGGGCCAGCAGCTGACATGAACCAAAGCTTGCATGGACACCAGCCCATCAGACGGCGACACTGGCGCTGTCTTTGATCGTGGCTTATAAGAAACCCTTTCAGCGAACTCACGATCGAACAGCAACCGGTCCCATACGTCCGTACCAGCCCCACTGCCCCAGGACAGAGTGAAGAAAGAACCATGTGCATTATTTGAACCTGAGGTGGACCTTCGGATCCTGACAGAAGGATTGAGTCAATGATCGTGGCGTAGTCGCACTTCTCCCAGCGAATCAGTCATCCATCCCCAAGGACCAAGCAGAGAGAAATGTATAGAAAGCCCTACGGAGACAGTCCAGACAGCATATGATACACCTAGCTCGTCATGTCGCTCACGCACTCCCACACGCCCTTCAAGTTCTCCTTCCACAGCGTCACCTTCCCGTCGCCGCAGCTCACCGCCAAGATGTTCCCCGCCAGGCTCCAAGACACACGCCACACCACGTCGGGGAACCTGCCCGCCGGCGCAGGCACCCCCGATGTCGGCGAAACTGACGCGGAGGAAGGGTCGAGCGCGGTCTTCACCCAGGGCGACGTCGGGGTGTCTTTTGTCCATATCAACACAGTCTTGTCCTATTCCACACACGCTCGTCAGCACGGCAGCGAAGGAGAATCGAGTGGTACGGGTGAGAACGCACCTGAGAGGCAGTAGCGATGTAGCTCCTCGGCAGCCCGATATTCGGCGCCCATGCGACGTCGCGCACCCAGTCTGTGTGGCCCTCGAGCACCTCCGCCTCGAACCACTCCTGCGTGTCGTCGCGGTAGCCCCAGATCTTCACCAGGTTGTCGCAACCCGCACTCGCGAAGCGCTTCACGCCGGTCGGCGCCGTGGGCACCTGCCCCGGAATAGTCGCGGTCGGTTGTGGCGCGATCAGCGAGCCGGGCTGCACGGCGGGCGCCCAGGAGACGGCGTTGCAGCCGATAGCGTGCCCGTCGAAGACGTCGGCGCCCCACTGGCCGTCGTCTGCGCTCGTGTTCAGTCATCAGCACACAGCGGGCACGTCTGAAAACGCACTCTTGAACGTGAGCACGGAGATGGTGCCGTCCGAGGACGCGCAGGCGAGGATCGCGCCGAGCTCGTGCGGCGCCCACGACACGGAGTTGACGGACGCCTTGTGCAGCGTGTGCTCCTTGATCTTCGCCCAGCCGGCGGGCGCGGGGCCCTGGGCGGGCTGCTCCTTCCAGATGATCACCTTGCCGTCGTACGAACACGATGCGAGGATGTGCCCGAACTTTGGGTGCGCCCAGGTGACCTGCCACACCGGGCCTGTGTGCCTGCACAGTGCGTTCGGTCAAAAGAGATGGAGGGAGAGGGGGAGGGACTTCTCGCACCCTTTGAGCACCTGCCCGCTCGTCTTGGTCGTCTCTCCGTCCACAACGTCGAACACCCGCACCGTCCGGTCGGACGAGCACGTCGCGAGCCGTTTGCCGTAGTAGTCCAGTTGCGCATCGTGCTAGACACCCCAGACGCGTCACTCAGCCTCAGCTCCGCGTCCACTTCGCAAGCGACGCGCGCGGACGTACGATCATGTCTTCATGGGATGTCTCGATGGGCACGGGCTCGCCCGTGCTCGTGGAAGACACCTAATGCAAATAGTTTTGTCAGGGCTGAGGCACGAAACAGATGAGTGAGGTCGTACCATTTTGGAGAGAGTGGGAGAGGATGGAGGTCGTTTCGAAAGTGCGGTGTAGTGAGTTCTGATTCACTGTTCGGTAGGTCGACGTGGTCTTTGTGGTGACGCGCATTTCGGTTCGACTAGTCATGTGACTAGCACCGCCCTCGAGCCAAACCGATACCGACCCCGAAGTGAGTCGGATTCGGCTTGTGTGTGACACCAAATGGGTCCAGTGTCACTGACGCATGACCGCGATGAGCTGTCACAGACGCGATTGTGGCGGGCATCACCATTGATTCACGGTGATGCACCTCGTCGAACCTCAGGCTGTATCGCACTCAGTAGCCACTGTTCATGTTCAAGACAAATGTGCACTACTAGTACCGTAAACGCCGACTCTCTACTAGCGGTACTACTAGATCGTTCAGTACTATAGGTGAGTATCTCACCATCACTGCACCGGACTCATCTATCCCGTTATCCCTAGCCGGAAGTACTTCATAGCGGATCATTCGACGAGTACTGGTACGAATGCATGAATGCGTGAGTATCGTCGTGGCCAAAGTGTTAGGCCTGTCATTGACGATGTCTGCACTGTTCAGGGACTTGCCGCGAGACGACTCGGTGAGACGGGCGACACGCAGCATGAGACAACGGCGTGCGCCCATTCGCGTACAGCATGAGGGTGACGCATGACGCTCCATTACCAGTGTGGCTGCCGCAATTGTTGAGAACCTAAATCAGGCTTTGGACCAGGGCAAATGGGTGTAAGCGGTGCTAAAAGTACACGTTGGGGTATCGGATGCAGAATGAGCATTGTAGTGATACAAGGTGCCGTGCGGACGGCGAGAATGCGGTCTATCCTGGCCGGCAAGCAACCAGTCGAAGGCACTTTACAGCTGATATCGAGGGCATCGGGGCCAGTCATACTAGGTCATGAACATCCCTTCCTTCGAGCGTGAGGCTGGACTGTTGCGGGAGGTTTGTCATCGTGATCATCACAGGGTCGATCACCGTCGAGAACTGTCCAAGTATCGGTCGACCATCCTCTCACCGGCAAGGATGTCGCGCACGCACCTGTGCTCTGTCATGAGATGATGGGCCTGCCCCCGACGACGACGATGTGAACTCTTTCCGCGGCTTTTCGAGCGGGTTCTGCCCGGATCCGAACGGCCCGCGGTCGACGCCTTGGGGTGCCATCGTCTCGACGATGATCGCGCGTGCGTTCAGATTTGCGAGCACCGAGTTGACGTATACTATGGAACGTCAGTAACCCTGTTTCGAACAGTAGCAACAAAGACGCGTACGTTTGCTCAGGACGAAGTAGAACGCGAAGTAGACGAACATATGCGAGAGGGTCGCGTACTGAGTGGCAGATTGAGCCCGACTTGAAGCGAGACACTGGCAAGGAAGGGCGTACCGTGATCAGACATAGCAACGCACAGACGCTACCGACATGTCGCATGAACGCCCATAAAATTGGATGACGCCCACAAAGACTCACCTCGTTAACAACCCGGTATTAATGCAATACAGCATCAGGGTTGAAATCACGGAGTCCGTACTGACAAGACGATGTGAGCGGAACTCGGCGTTGGGATCGCAGAGATGGAGAGACGACGTACAACCTGATGCCCGTCCGGAACCGTCGCAGGTATAGGTATTGCGCTCCGGTGATGACGAAGTCAGCGACGACCTCGAAGGTGAAGCCGACGTACAGACTCCACTGCAGGTATCTTAGGCATCAGTCACGAGGCGCTGCTGGGAGGCATGCTTACCGAGAACTGGTCGATATCGATGTAACTATTGATGTGGAGGCTGTAAAAGAGGGTTCAGGGCCGTGTAGAGATGGAATATAAATGTATCACTGACCCCCTGACGGCAAAATCTGCAGCAGATTGATGTTCAGTCCTCGTGAGCAAGTGTCAAGTACAGGACACGTACAAAAGGCATCCACTGTAGAGACAGAACGCGGAACGCGTGAGGAAGATTCGATGGCGGCTCACAGTACTCGCTCTCACCGATGATGTAGAGAGACAACAGAGCCTAGCTTCTCGTGAGTGGTCATCTCCCTGGTGGACGTGCGCACGTACAACGAATGCTGGGAGGACCCAGGACTTACGGCCCACTTGAAAAAAAGTCAGCACTAAAATCGCCTCATTATAACGACAGCACGCACGTCTCCATAACCGATGACAGAAAATCCTGCAGGACGCTTGATCCATCAGATGTCTCCCTTGACGCGCATCAGTGATTTGACCAAACAACGCACCCTCTAACAATGATGTTGCTGAGATTCTGTTGCAAACAAAGGAGTTGAGCGGGATCAATATGCCGAATGTAAGCATAACTCGCCGAAACCATGATCATGATCTAGAAGCACGGATCAGCCGAAACACACGAAACAAATGCACGCAGCAAACGCACCCAAACACTCCTGCACACCCAAAGGACGTCAGTGAAGGCCACGTGAGGCCGTGATGCAACTCACCATACTGGTCGCTCAACGATGGACGGGTTCGCGAAGTTCAGGACCACGTAGAAGTACATGGAGTACGTGATCATAGCAGCGTGTAGGGTGTCTAAAATCCTATTCTCGGGCATGTATGACTCATTTTCTAGTACGGGTGGTCTTGGAAATGCTCTCACCATAGTGTGAAAACCTAGTGGTAGCGAGGGGATGAGGGGAGGTCTCGAACTATGACACGCGACGTACCAGCAATCGCAACACTGGTGGATCTCGGAAGTACTGCTTGAAGTACGTGAACGCCTGGAGACTGGTAATGCCGTACAAACTGCAAAAGGTTCCTCGGCGAAGGCACAATTAAGAATGTTAGAGTCCGAGTGCGATAATGTCGGAATGTCCAGTACTCACATCGCCGTCGCGAAATGACCCAGAAACGCCGCCCCGAGCGTGCTGTTGAAGTTCAGGTGCGCGGCCTCCATCGTCTCGCGCGCATTCGCGGTGGTGAACAAGCAGACCAGCAGCGCCGGCTGGATCCAGACGCGGCGACCCACTCGCAGCCTTTAGAGGCTGGAGACCAGGTCCCGGGGTGCGAAGCCAGCGGCGGAGTGGGAGTTAATTGGACTTACATCTCCACTGGGATCTTGGGCTAACCGAATTTGCGATCAGTGCCTACGTGACGGTATCTCCGCCTGATGGTCAAGGCGGGAGGCGCCCAGGGATCGCAGGGTGCGTAGTACGTGATCGACGCCGTGGGCTGGGCGCCGAAACTGTCGGACTCGGCGTTGAGGAGCTCTGAATGGGTGAAACGAGTCTGGCCAACGACACTACTTAGTTCCTCAAGGCCTCACATTCCACATATCCAAATGTGGATCCCGACTTATCACTCCCGAAATCTATGTGTGCCCGTCGGAACAGGGCTAAAAAGTCCTACCGCATGACATCCCAGCAACGTCAGGCCCGTTCGGCGTACCTAAGCTGATACGGTAACGTGATATCAGCAGGGCACGAGGGTTGGCGCTATTCGTCCTCCAATCGTTTTATCGTGTTTCTGGCGCCTCGGCGTCCCAAAAGCCTGTGCACGAGTAAGAAGGAAAGATCACAGGCTATCCAAAGCCAGGAAAATTTGCCAGACAGGCAAAGCCGATTCCTACGCAAAGGGGGAACATAGAGGCCTAACTGGAAGTGGTCCTTCCCGTCCCAAGTTAACATGCGACCCGTGTATCGCCGCTCACATCCGCAACTTTGGACTCAGAATAGGTTCGACACAAACCCCGCACGGAACGCTAGCGCCGCGTGGAGGGTCTTGAGCGAGACTAGGACTCAGAACGGGAAACGATCGTGAAGAAGTGTAAATGCGGTCTGGACTAGGTCTGGAGGTCGGCGACGCAGTATTGGCGCAGCACGGCGCAGGATTGACATCAAAAGTACTGCGTGAAAAGGGTTGTGTAATAGGGACCCAGATATATGATGTGATCCGTGGCGTGCACATACCGATTGGAGCTTAAGTCCTCGTCACCAACCTGCGTGGTGGCAGTATTTCCTGATATGCAAGGAAAGGGTATGGTGAGCCTGGCATCGACCAATGGGAAGAAGAGAGGGTTTATGCAACTCGGTACCTACATACGTGCTAGTGTCCTGTCGAGCAGATCCGATGTGTCATAGAAGGCCTTCAAAAAGTTCGTTAGTTTCAACACTGTGTCCAGCACAACCACTAAGATAGGGCAGTCCTCATGGTCAGGCTGCCTAGAAACGGAGCAACCTGCCAGTGCAATCATCTCTCCTGACTCGGACACGAAGACGTGCCGGTAGCGTCGCGCCACTACATTTCGAACGATGAGATTAGATCATGGTCTACAAAGTTCATGACATGCGACGGAGGCACCTTCGATGTTCACTGTGTCTCTTTGAACTCCGGACTCGAGATCAACTTAGTTAAGAGTATGTTCGCACAAGGTAAAAAGATCACCTTCACATTCCGAGGTAGCTTCTCTTTCCAGAAAGACACTAAATGAACCACGACAGTGCTTGGTTGCCATCGTTTGGCTGAGTTGGTCGCAGAGGGTGTTGGTCAAGAGTGGGTTCGTCACTAGCGGCAGCGCAGATCTTAATCTGCATGTCACGTGTGGCAACTCCGCGCACAGACAGGTGTATCGCGATCTTGACGCGATCTGGGATGCATGCTTGCCGCCGCAAGTTCGAGCCTGCGAGCCGCACCGGTAATACACACATTCCATCCCACCGCCATGTCGCTCACATACTCTGCGGAGAGGCAGGTGGCCGTCGCTGCGGTCAGGAGGGCCTGCGCGCTGACCTCGTCGGTGTTCAACAAACTCGTGCGGAATGAGACGCTCACGAAAGATGACAAGAGCCCAGTGACCGGTGAGTCCGATCTACAGTCCGTGTGTCTTCCGGGGATGTCGCGATGCGAAAGGCGGTTCGGTGGCACAAACGTTGATCCGTTCAAGCTACACCTCTGCGTTTGCCTTTCTGAGCGCGATTCAGGCCACAAGGGTTTATACCGTGCATTTCAGTTTTGAGCTCCTTGATTGACAGCCCCGCCTGACAATTGCAGTGATGTGACATTACTTCACTTATGCTCAGACAGCTGCTTGGTGCCGGACAACTTGTCATCAGCGGCAACACGATGCGATGCCCGAGCTGCAACAGACCAGCGCTGAGAATGTTTCCTCCTTGAAACATGTATTGCTCTCAATCTACGCACCGACATCGTCGTCGTTCCTAATGCACTCGTCTCACCTGTAACACTGCTAATTGACTTTCCTCCAGTTGGTGACTTCGCCGCACAGGCAGTCGTTAATACGATCCTGTCCCGCACGTTCCCCCACGACCCCGTCGTCGGCGAAGAAGACTCCAGTGACCTCCGCGCAGAAACGGGTGCCTCCCTCCGCGAACGCGTTGTCGCCCTCGCCACCGAGTCGCTCACTGCGCCTCTCCAACCCGGAGAGGACGAATCATGGGGCCTTGGCCCCTCCTATACACACACGTCGGAAGAAATCCTTGCCGCCATCGACCGTGGCAACTACGAGGGCGGAAGGACCGGCCGTAAGCACCTCCACTCCCACCTTCTGAGTTCTGCGCTGATTGTCCGCCCTTGCCCGCTGCGGTCTCCCACGGCAACCCTTGATCTTTTTGATCTGATAGGTATGTGGACCCTGGACCCAATCGACGGCACGAAGGGCTTCCTACGCGGCGAACAGTACGCCGTCTGCCTCGCGCTCATTGTCGACGCGCGCGTCCAGCTCGGCGTCATCGGCTGCCCAAACCTCCCTGCGGATCCCGCCCGCCCCGACGGGCCCCGCGGTGCGATCTTCGTCGCCACCCGCGGTCAGGGCGCGTTTCAGCTCCCGCTCGCACCCTCCTCTGAGGCGCAGGGGAGGCAGCTCCGGATACCTGCGTTTACGACGGAGACGCTGAATCTCTTGGAGAGCGTGGAGAAGGCGCACGCGAAGCTGAGTTTCAACGAGAAGGTTGCGAAGCTGCTTGGTGTGACGCGTCCGCCGACGAGGATGGACAGCCAGGCAAAATACGCGGCGCTTGCGCGGGGAGACGGTGGCGCGTATCTGCGCATGCCGGTGGGAACTGGGTACAAGGAAAAGATCTGGGTACGTCTGGATGAGGACATTTGCTTGCGCAGACGTTCTCATACCTCCTTGCAGGACCACGCACCCGGCTCTGTGCTTGTCGAAGAGGCCGGTGGGGTCATCAGCGACTCGCGTGGATTGCCGATCAACTTTGGCTTGGGAAGGACGCTCGGCGAGAATTTCGGCGTCGTAGCTGCGGGAAAGAGGTGCACGCAAAGGTCATCGGGGCTATCCTACGTGCGAAGGAGGAAGAGGCAAAGGAGGAAGGCCAGTAAACGCAGCCTGTCGTCTGTGATCGCGATCTTCAAATTGACGCGAAGCCGCAAGGAAAGTAAAATAGACCCTCGATTGTAGCCATATGCATGCTCCGTGCTGAACGGTATCGATGTTCAGTCAATACTGCTGCGTAAATGGGTAAACGGGGAGTCATGGCCCTCAGAAAGACTCCCGATTGGGTAGCATAACCATTGGTGATTGGCATACATACAAGTCTCCGGACAGAAACAACAGGAGGGTCAAACAAACACGTAACTGATCCCATCGAGAAGGAAACGATAATTCAACCAGACTTGTGACAACAAGCCGCTGTCGCGACCGGCGCTACAATCTGGGCTGGATATTCCTTTAGACAAACGAGGCCTGATACATAACATCATTGGCTATCGTGGACCCACGCGGGATAAATTAGGCACTCACATGCGTGTACGCACTCTGGGTCTCCGTGGCTGGCCTGCTCTCGACGCCCCATGAATGGCAGGAATCCGCCAACTGGTTCGACGACGGGGTCTCCCACGTGCCGCGGTGGTTGAGACTTGATATCAGGAGGATCGTGTACAGTTTGGCCAGCGAGATATTGAAGAAGAGGTGACTAAAAGGAAAGCGCGTGTCCGCGTTAAGTCGGGGGCCGTAATGAGTATGGACGGCGAGCACGTATGGCAAGACTCACGTTGCACGAGGCTAGAAGCGCGAACGACTATCAGCATGCCGACGTTCCCAAGGGGGGTAAAAAAGATATAGCTCACGGAGGCGAGGTAGAGTGCTAAATCGAGTATAGCCCATGTTGTAGTGAGGACACCCGTTTGGACGGTCACTGCGTCCGCGAGGATTGGCACCGGTCAATTCTAGAATGAATGGGCGTTGAAGAGACGTACGTCGTATGATCTGGTTCACGAGCGAGTCTGTGCTCGAGAATCCTGACTTTCTGCGATGCTTTACGCAGGGATTCAGTTCGCGGTGGAAAGACGCAAGTGAAGTTGCGTACGAGATGCCACACGAGCGACACAGTGATCAGGATGTCCGCCACTACGCCCGTTACCAGCCACGTCGACACTAGGCCTTTGGCAACCGGTCTCTGCAGAGACTCAATTCCGCTCATGCCCGGCCAGCGGATCGCAATAACCGAACCAATTGCGCATACTGACGTAGACTCCGTGAGCAATGCTGTAGGTACCAGTGAATTGAGACATACACATCGATGCGACAGCCAGAACGGGAATGAACGCAGAAAGCCATATCGAGTGGCTGATTGCGTAGACGCGGTATGTGAAGAAGAGCTCAACGGAACAGGAGATGATACCCTGCCGAAGGTCAGTGTCCTTGCATAGCTGGAGAGGCTGACCAAGAACTCACCGTGATTGCAGGCACTGACCAAGACATAGATTACTAGTAAGAACAAGAATGATAGGAGTCGCTTCAGTCTAGACGTACGCGATGTGGACACTACAGCGCTATATCAACACAAGTGTTCGGCTGCCTACGTATGGTGTGCTTACCTATTCCAGGGGTAGAAAGGTAATGTGAGCCTCCTGAGAATGTCGTAACAGCGGTGAATAGTTGTTTTGATGTTGAGTATATGGATCGTACCGAAGTGCGTCACCAAACCCGTGTACGCATACACAACAGACAGGCCGGTCTGCGCAGTGTCCGCTACAAATAAAAATACAATCTATAAGGTAATTGTGAGTTCATGGTCTTCCACAGGGCGGGGAAAAGGCGCACAAACAACCGTAGTGGCCAGGGGTCCCTTGTATTCAATACTATCAGTATATGCCATATTGTCTACTAAGTAGAGGTGAGACTCAATTGCGCACTTTTGCGAATGGAAGGCGTAATGGTAGTAGCCAGAAACGACTACTCCGTATAACAGGGTGTTCAGCCATATCCCGAGGATAAATGCCCCCAAGCTATGTTACGAACCGTCAGCTTATAGAACCTGAATTTGATGGTCAGACGCCACTCACTGGGGACCAATGTCAACACCATCAGCTGTATCCATAAAATGTCGTGAAGGGTCGTGAGTAAGGGAGCCACCACAAGGATCAGAGTGAGGGGCTTAGCTGGTGCATTGAACCAAGGTCAGCTATATACCTTCGGATGTAAGTGCTTTGACCGTGACTTTGCTTCCGCTCATGGACCCAAGCGTTGAATCTCAGCCACATATCCGCGTATCCGCTTATCCGACGCTTTGTTGATGGCATGTGCCTGGCACATGTTGTGCACTCCGGCCTATACACGCGAACGCGCCGCATGAGTGTATACCGAGTTCATTTGAACGCTGTCCGAGTCGAGGCTTGAGGTAAGTATCAAAGCAAGTGGAAGCCACTGTGGCGTTGTGGCGAGTGAAAGTCGGCGATCACCGAGAGGGTCACGTGATGTCATAATAGTCGTTCAGAAAATTAAATCACTGTCGTTCAAGTTCTTCAGCACTGTCACCGTGAAGGCAATAACGCGGCGGTCGATCAACCCAATGCCATACCCTCTGGGCAAACGAAAGCCGTGGTGCTCTTATTTGCTTGCATAATCATGAATACCTCGTTCTAACCACTGTCCCCGCCCATCAAACTTGCTAGTCATCACGAAGTATCACGAATGGAGAAGCTTAGTTACGGGAATCCTGGGATATGAGAAACATCCGTAGCCAAAGTAAATGTCCCTCGCGTCCCTCGCGTCCCTCGCGTCCCACTCGTGATTAACTATTCACACTATAGTTGGGAATCAGGCGGGGTGCGGTGCCTTGCATTGGCAGTCGACCTACTATGGACACCGAAACCCATGCGCTCAAATTAGCAGCTAGTGAAAGCTCTAGCACTTTGCGGCACGTCTTCCTTCGGACGGTGCGGATCGAGCTCATACGTGACGGCCTGCCACGGCATGACCGGCCGCATGTTGTCCTTTATCCTCGTCTGCGGCACCGTGAGCATCGAGGGTACAGCACAACAGCCGTCCAAATCAAACCACGGCGCTTTCTGGAGGGCGGCAGACCTAATTGTATCCGGACAGAGTATTGTGCCGGAAGAGGCCTCAGGGTGAATCGTCAGGACACGTATGGGTACGTTTAGGAAGATCTGACCCGCACCCAGAGGCGATGTAAGTACTCGCGAGCTCAGGGCGAAGTGGTAGCTTTCACCGGGCATACCCAGTTTTCCGGCAACTAGATATGACCTATCAGCTCTCTGTGCATGCTGAGGCCCGATGGGTGGCTTCAAGTTGAGACTTCGCAGTGGGCTATGATCCGTCGGTGAGACACCTGTCCGCACATCAGATGCCTCCGCCCACGCATCTTACCGGTTGATAGACGAGACCACCGAAGTGGTACTACCGCCACGGCGTAAGGCCCGGGACCTGATCCCTGTACGTCCGTCGAAACCATGCATGATATGGAGTCCCCACGGACGTATAAAAAGGCAAGTGTGCTATCAGCATCCCCAGTCCAACGCACTGCGACACAGCTGCATCCCTCAGTGCCACTATAGCACCCGCTTCACTGTTGATATGAACAACTACGGCTTTGTTCTGACGATGGTCGCTATCCTCCTTCTGCCGTTGACGTCGGCAGCCCCGAAGGCTGTAAGTCCTTCATTCTTGACTCATTGTCAAGTCTGCTAGGTCATCTCATACCATTGCACGAATATAGGCCCCCGTCGACGAAGGTGCTTCGGTGCCTGTATGGCAAGACATTGTCGGTCCCTTTCCCTCTCCTATGTATGCTATACGAATGACCGATGTATGCTGGCTACTAGGGGCACCGTACAGACGACTCCGTCATAGGCAGCCCCAGCGAAGATGGCCCCGGGGGTCAAGATGTACGTTTGTTTCCTTCATGCATATGAATCAGCTCATTCAAGTTGATATGTTCAGTGGCGTCGCATGGATGACTCCCTTGTAAGCAGGCGATATAGACTTTATCATTTCGTGGTATCTGACGGGCCGGGGCTTTTGTAGGTGGACTGAAGCAGCGTTCCTGAGCAGAGTGGTCGTCGCGATATTCAACAAGTCAGTCTCGAACTGTTGTTGGTTGATTCTGATGACTGTCAGCTAATCGTTCTCCGTGCACCTCCGGCGATGTCTGCGCATTAGGTGGCGACGAGCGACGTGCATGAAGTGTTACCTCATCGGGGCGCTTTGTTCCGTACATGAATCTTCTGCATTTGTAGAATTGTGGCATGTGTCCGGCCGATCTTGTTCTGTCTCGCACTGTATTTAATCCGTGCCGTTTCGCTGGGCCCGTGTCGGTTGTCTTCATTTGATGCGGTAACCAGGACTGCACACATGCTAAACAATTGATGTTTGCAACATCAGGCTACTGTCTCAGAGACATGACGGTGGCCGCTCCTCAGTCTGAGTGAGCGTTGTTCACCACGGGGTTCTGAAATCCACATAAGCAAGGTTCACGTATCAACATTGGTGAGCATTGGAACCAAGGTAGGCTTATTCTATGGGTGTTTGGCACGAACTTGAACGCAGAATTGTGCTGACCCTGCATCTCTACACAGGTCACCGATGCACATGCTCCATTTTACCCGCCGTGATCCATGTTTGCAAGCTCGCTCCACTGCTCAAACTAGATGTACGCCTCCGCGAATCCACCCTCCCCCCCGCACTGGCTGCTGATCCGCTCCATCTCGCGCGCCTGCATCACGACCGCGGGGGCCCTCATGCTCTGGACGACGGTCTCAAACAATTCGCCCGCATCTCAAGCGGTGCGTTGTCGGCCGTGTCGCCCCCGCTATGATGGCGAGCGGTTTCCCTTCGTTCCATGCTCCGCATCCACGTCCAACATACCCCCGGATCTTCGAGACGATCGTCCGTCGTCGTTTCCCCGCACCGAAGATCGTCGTCGCTAAATCCAGCCACGGCCGCTTTCCCCGGGTCCTATGGCGTCCACACCGGCAGGCACGCTCTACTTCTCGTACGTGAGCCGGCATTGCGCCGCAGCTTCGACCGGGGCGTACGCTGTCACCGCGGATCGTATTGACGTCGTCGCCTCCGTTCCGTGCCCGCCTCTTCCTCGACTTCGACCTCGATCGGCGATCGACCCCGCCCGAAACGGTGCCGGGAAGCGCGATCCTCCTCGCAGATTTAGTAGCCACTACAGCCGCCGTCGCCCCCGTGCGTTCTTCCCAAGTCCATCGTTCTTGGACGCGCCGATCCTGATCCGCGCTCGCCCGCCTCGATCCGACCTCGGTGTTCGGCGTATCCCCAGCCTCCGAGTCCGCACAACGTCTTCGCCGTCCTCGAACCGTACGTGACGCGTCTCCCGTCTCCCGCACACGGTCGCCCGTTCGCTCCGCCCGTACATCCCATACTATGAGTGCCCGACTGACACGTCTCCACATCGGGCCCGAACTCACCGCAAACCCGACACGGGCCTTGCCTCTACTGCAGCTTCTCGTAACCTCCCTGCCCTCGCGATCCCGACCGTTCTCCTCTCTCGCCATTTTCTCAGCCTCCGCGAAGTTTGTTCCTTTTATTGTCACTGAGGGCGAAGCCCTATGTACTACTAGCAGACAGTACCTACTCTACTCTCTACGTGTTTCTCTAGGTCCGTGGTCTTTTAGCATCGCCGTCCGCCGTGGCTTCGGGCATGTATAGTAATGTGTAATGTAGTGATAATGGGGAATGCATTCTGTCCGGCGTCGGGGTCGGAAATGTGCTGTGATGCCGTGGTGCACTGTTACGCTGCTCGTCTTCTACGCCCTCCTCGACGTGTTCGCCTCTCTGCGTCCCTCTCGTCTCCGCCTTTCAACGCTCCGCGAAGTCGCCCCGACGCCGGGCTCTCAATGTCCGTCTTCCGCGGGACGCTGTATAATTCGGCCGACAATAGTCTGTCCGTCAGGAGGAGCACTGTCACTGGGTGTGAAGGGGACAGGACGCACAGGCAGGAAACAGTGGATCCGGAGAATATGTCTGCGGCGGACGCCACGAAGAGCACCGCATACTGTAGGCCACACATCGAACGCATAGCACGTACATATGTTTATACAACCTCTCACAAACGCTCACAACACACATGATGCAAACTGCCTCTCATCTACAGATGAATTGCATTGCGTCGATACACTAGTACGTATGGCAGATGGCAGGTATATCAACTTCACGCATGCCGCCGTGCACCGATAGAAGCAGAGTCAGAAAAAAAAACATCAGTACTAGTACATATTACGTCGTGTAGATCATGCTCAGATTAGACCGAGACACACAGAAAGAGATGCGCGTTTTACTATCCAAAAAACCACACCCGCAGAGCCAACGGGGAGAACCGAAGCAGGCGCACGGACGCCGAGAGTCTACACCTTCTGCGCCGGCTGGTCCGTCTTCTCGATGCGCGCCTCCTCGACGCCCGTCGCGAGGGGCTTGTGTGACTCCGCCGCCCGCGTCTGCTCGATGAGGTCCGCGCGCGAGCTGAAGCCCGGCGGCGCCCACGTGCCCGAGGTCCACGGCTTGCAGTACGGGTCGCTGTACATCTGCACACACACCTTATCAGCACCACGCCACCTCCAAAAAAAACGCAACGAGGGGGGCACGCACCATGTCGACGCTCTCGAGCGAGAGGTCGGACGACTCGTACAGGAAGAAGTACACGATGACCGCGCCGGTGAGGTTGCACGCCGCGAACACGAACCCGTACCGGAACGCGATCGCCTTCACGATGAACGGCGTGAAGAACGCGAGCAGGAAGTTCCACAGCCAGTTGCTCGCCGTCGCGAGCGCGGCCTGCTTCGCGCGCGTGCGCGTCGGGAACGTCTCGCCGACGAGGATCCACACGCCCGGCGCCCACGTCATCGCGTATCCGAGGATGAACAGGCACGCGGACACGATCATCAGCGTGCCGATGGGCTTGCTCGTCGACGGGTCCTTGGCGGTCCCCGCCGCGGCGAAGATGAAGAGCCAGACAGCCTGCCAGACACCGCCGACGATGAGCGGCAGCCGGCGCCCGAAGGTCTCCATAACGTAGAGACCGCCGAATGTGCACCCGAAGTTGACCGCACCAAGGATGATCTGCGTGACGTAGGAATCACTGATGCCGACGGACATGAATATCGACGCGCCATACTGAGAAAACCATGAACCGTGAGCATACACGCGATGCGGAGGTTGCTGGATCGAGCACTCACGTAGAAGAAGTAGTTCGCGCCCGTCAGCTGCTGGAACATCTGCAGCGTCGCGACGAGCAATGTCCTGTACAGCTGCTTGCGTTCGAACGTGAAGCAGTCCACCCACCCCGCCTTCACCGACTTTTCGTACTCCACCGCCTCGCGCATCTCCTCGATCTCGCGGTTGATGATGAAGTGGTCCTCGACCTCGTGGCGGGGGACACCACGGCCCGCTGCGAGCGACAGGCGCGCTTCGTCGTAGCGGCCATGCGCAGTGAGCCAACGGGGCGACTCGGGCATGAAGAGGATACCGAAGCCGAGAATAGCAGGCCAGACGAAGGAGATGCCAACGACGGTCCGCCATGAGCCGGGGCCGCTGATGTCGCGTGCACCAATGGATATGCAGTCTGAACAGCGGAGACGTATTAGTCAGCTGTAGGTACGCGCACGACAGGGAGAAGGGGCTCACATGCGACGAGGATACCGAAGGTGATGAAGAGCTGATATGTCGCGGTGAGCGTACCACGGATCTGGCTCGGGGCGGTCTCTGCCTGGTACATGGGGACGGCCGCGGAGAGCGCGCCGATACCGAGACCAGAGACGAGACGCCCGACGGCGAATTGCTGCCAGACGGACTCGGAGGAGATTTGGATGATGACACCGACGGAGAACACGAGACACTCTACGCACATCGCGTACCGACGACCGAGGAAGTCAGCCGTCCTGAGAGAACACATCAGGTAAGCACGACGATGGAGGCGTGCGAGCGGACACTCACGGTGCGCCGATCAAAGCACCAAAGAGCGTGCCGATACTGAGGAGGCCGACGATGAGGCCCTCGCGTACGTCGCTGAACGTGCATGTACTCGAGTCTCCTGGTGTGGTACATGTGCCGAAACGGAGGAGGAAGTTCGGCATGATGAGGATGTCGGAGATTTGACCAGTGTCATAGCCGAAGATGAAGCCGCCCATAGAAGCTATGACGGCCAGGGCAATGGCCATGTACCCGACGGGCAGGCCTTGTCTGTGGGATTGTAATGTCAGCGGCGGTGAGCAGCACGGGGAGCAGGAGGGGTGCGCACACGTAGAAGAGAACTGCCATGGTGCTCGCGCTGCACTCAAGCCGCAGAGAGGATGGGGGTCGTGCGGGGCGTGGAGAAGGTCGTGAGTGGGGGAGGAGGAGGAGGGGAAAGCGGGGCGCGGGGCACTATATAGGCGACGGTTGAGGGAACGGAGGACCGGAGGAAAGACGACGCTCGCTTGGAAATATTTGACGGCAGGCCATGGCAGCCACAAAGAAACGTGACATCACTCTGCAGCCATGTCTGCGCGCTCGCCGGGTCGTGGAGCTGTTCGGCCTCTCGGATGCACCCCCGTCTCCGATCTCAGCCGCCCACCCAGCCTCAGGCCAGCCGCGACCCGCCGCCGCTGCCTGCCCGTCTCGCCCGCCTCGCTGCGCGATGCCCGCTGCCCGGCCCAGCCCACATTCGCCCAGTTTTACAGGCTATCCTTTCTCCCGCCACAGCCCCGGCGGCGCCACAGCGACGGCGGCCAATCCCCTGGCAGAGCAGCGTCGAGCGACATGAGAAACAGCGTACGGGAGCCGCGGCGGCTGATACGATCTGTCGAGAGGCATCTTTCTCGCAGCAGCGGGCCGAGGACGCGAAGTTGCCGCTTGGACGGTGATCGTGACAGGCGTTGAGTATGCCCGCATGCTCCGCACGGCGACTGCCCCTGAGATCGAACATCCCAACAGGATTCCCACTGCAGATCACGTGCGCCGAACCCGCCGACTCGGCCTCCATTCGCGGGTACCGTACTTACGTACACAACAGTGTCGGTGGCGTTGGGCCAGGTGCCATACGGGCGCGCCTCTCCAGAGCAATGCCCCATGGGCTGGCCAAGGGCTGGCCATGTGCATGAGCGATTGCCCCGGTCTGCCATGGCATCTAGTTTTCACCCTCGGCAACACCGGCCGCACGAGCCGGATCCCAGGCAGGCATTGCAAGATCCGGAATTTTCTCGCCTGTTCTCCATTCCCCTCCCTTGTTCTCTGGACCAGTCGTAGGCCTGCTCCCTCAGCAGACCAGGCTGCGCGCACGAGCCTCCTCCATACTGCAGATCCGGGGAGGCGGGGCTGCCGCTGCCGTGTTTGAGCATGGCATGCTCGCCCACAGGTGTCTCGCGCCGACGCATTACGCCGCGGTTTGTCATCTGCGTGCATTGGGCGCGCGCTCGCCACGACCATGCGTATGTCCGACGCGATGACGATAGCACATACGAAAAAGAGTCAGCCAGGCACCGCTCTGATCAGCGATCCTCCCCTCGATCCTTCGCCGAATCGTCCCTCTGCCGTCACCGTGACGCCGAGCGCGGCTTGGGCGACATTGTCGAGCTGACGTCCGGCGCCGACGCCGGATCTCGAGCTCCGTGTGGGGACGGGCGCAGTGCTGGGACGCACCGCTTCCCTCCGTCCGATCGCCACTACGCGAAGCGCACCCCGCTGCTATTCTGGCCCCCGCGGTTCGCGTTGCGGGGCGAGCGGGGGCCCCATGGGCGACATTCCCAGCGCGCAGTATCCCCGCGGGCGCTGAGTTCGCAGGCGCACGCTCGCGGCTCCCTGGTGGCGCCAAAGGTGCACTCTGCTATGGGATCCGCCTCCCTGCCCATGCGAATTTTGCAGTCGGATTGTTCTACTGTAAGTTGGTGTTGCTGCACGGCGCATTCCGTCCACCACTGCGTGCGGTTGTCAGCGTCGGGCGGTCCGCGCCCGAGTCGGCCCCGGTATGAGCGCCTGCGACGCCCTTGCTTTCCTTCTCGCTCGCATCGGTACCAGGCCCGTCATTCGGCGGCATCAGTACTTCTCACGTCCGTCAATACGCATGCGCATGGGCGAGCAGGCTATAGCCCGCACTCGTCACCTCCACGCACACCCCGCAGAACATTGCAGCCTGAGCTGCACACGCGTCGTGCGAGGTGGGAAGGGACAACCGCGACGCTAACACCGGGACGCCGCCTACGGGACTAAGCGCAAGCACCGGCAGCAATCTCGCTGCAACCGAGTCCTACGACGATCAGGCTTGAGAGGGAGTCGAGCCGGGAGAGCGCTGCGTCCCGTCTGCCCCAGTGTACGTACGACGGGAGGGATCGGCGGGCCGCTCGCGCGCGTGCGCGATGATCAACCGCGGTCGATCGTGATTTGCCATCGTCACTGCGCATTGGGGGACGCAGGTCGGAATCGAGGATCCCCTGTGTGGATCCGGGGGACAGGCGGGCGGATCGCCCCCGCACAGACGAGGCGTGCATACTTAGCGTTAACGGTGCGCTCGCCGACGCGCGGCAGGCCTCGACGCGTCGACGTCCTGGACCTGATCGACATGATAGGTAAGTAGGCCAGCGATGATCCGCAGTTTGACGAGAGGCTCGTGCGGCCGCGAGCGGGGGCAGCGGGAGGACCGGGGACCGGGGAGGTGCGCGCTGCGTGATGCGGGGCTAGCGGGCGGGGAGGGTCACCCGCGCGACCCGGGGGTGCCGCCGGACCGCAAGAACGCTCCTTCGACCTTCGGTGGGACCCTGTGGCTGCCCGGTGCGAGGGCGTCGGTAGGTCTGTACGTCGGCCTGATCGTCATGGAGCCGGGAGGAATCCAGGGAAGACGGTTAGAGAGGATTGATATTGCCAGTGGGTCGACGACGATCGTCCTCGGACTCGCGAGAACGCCCGATATTTGCTCGCGATGTGTCCAACATCACGAAGATCGTCTGCGTGCTGCCACGCTCCGGGGCGTAGAACGGAGGGGGGCGGGGGTCGACGTCCTCCGCCTTCCAGTCCGTCCTTCTACTTCGCCCGCGACGCGGGGATGCGGGGTATCGCTGTCTACATCAGCCGCACGTGTCCAGCTCGTACGCACCTGCTGCTCAGTCCCCCTCACCTCCTTTCCATGCGACGCACGCAGAGCACAACAGCGAGAGCGAGAACACACAGAGAGGAAGCAGGTCAAGTTGCGAGGCGCATCACGGCCCTGGGCATACTATGTACTACACAGCTCTGCTTCGATCGAGTCTTACCCCACGGGGCCGCCCCGCCTAAACGCGCCCACCGATGCCCGGTCCCCGTACCTGGGTCAGCTGAGCGTGTCACGCTGTCGCTGTCTGCGCGGCGTGATCGAGGGGGCGAGGTTGATTGGTCGAGTGCTGAGTATCTATACGGGAGAAACCCACAGGCGGGAGGGGCTATTCCTTCGGTGGAAGGACGAGCTCGAGGGTGGGTTGTGGATGGGTAGGGCCCGGGCAGCAGCTTGAGGTGAGTGCTATCGGAGTGGTCGACTTGGTGAGAGGCCGTACGCGCTTTGAAACGCTGACTCATACTGCGTACAGTACGGATTATCATGCTTCTCCAAGCTTCGTATCGACATGCAGGCGTCGAACGGCTGAACGGTCTTTGCGATGTGTTCACCTGAACAGGCCAAGTCAATTGAACCAAGACCCGTATACGTATACCGAAAGGGGCAAGTATCTCGCCATGTATGGAAGTCGGGCAAACGACGATGCTGGCGATGGGGCAGTCATGTGTCCGTGAGTGGAAAAGTAGTGTGACTCCGTTTTCTTACTGAGATGTGTTTGTTTGGGAGGGTTCATTCAATCACACCACAGACTCGAACCTCCGAACCGTTCACGCCGCCGTCTTTTGCCAGTGTTTACCACACATGTACAGGCATGTGGTGTTCGGTCGGATTAACGCAAAGGACTTGACGTCACATTAATGCGTGCACAATCACAGAGCTTCCGCTGTGCACACGGTGTCCGAATTAGACCAGCCGTGGTGAGCGGGCAACAACATGACATTTCTCCGCTCATGCACGAGTATGACTTCAGCACCCCGCATACCGGGCCCGGTGTTTCAGACGCGTTTGTTGCATCGACCTGGGTTGTCTCTCACCTCGTTTCGCACTTCCGAACGCGAAAATCTACGGTAGCTACCAAACTGCAGCTTGATGCAGCTTTGGTGATCGGATGCGATGTGCACCTCCGGTTGAAGACGGAGCCATCGCATCGGACCTCCCACACTTCTCATTGAGACTCCACTCCATTACTCACGAGCACCGACGCTTACAGCCTAACGTGGATCGAAGCCCTGCACTTCGCGCGCACGAACGCCTCCTTGATTAGAACGCTTGGGAGTGCTTGCTCCGTGTTCCGTCCGGACGCAGGTACCGTTTGGGTTGAATGTTCTTCCGGTCAAGCTCTGGTCCTGCATCCCAGTATGATCCTCTCCGGGCTACCCCGGCGGGTGTTCACCGTCACTGTTTATCAACTCGTGATCCTATGAATGGATACCATTGTTACGACGACGAGCATCATTTAAACTCTGACAATATGCCTAATATTCCCCGGTCTAGTCTATAGCCCAACCCATAAATCGCGAAAGCCCCTCAGTGGCCTTTTAGCTCTTCTTCTCAGCTACGTCTATAGCATTCCCTGGGGCCTCGGCGTTGTCCTCCTTGATCATGTCCGCGCACTTCTCAGCGAGCGCCACGGTAGCCGCGGCGAGATGCGTGCTCAAAATATGCGGGAAAGCACTCGAGTCCGCTACACGCAGTCCTCTCACACCATGCACCCGCAGGCGATCGTCCAACACACCGCCGGAGCGCGTGCCATCCTCCTCAGGCGCCATCCGGCACGTGGAGGAGTAATGGTACGACGTCTGGCACACTCGACGGATGAATGCGTCGACGTCCGCGTCCGCGTCGCTTGCAGGCACGAGGTAGTCGATCATGTTGTACCCGCGCGCGACGATCTCGTCCTTCAGCTTCCGCGTGAACCGGATGGCCTTGCGGAACATGTCCATGTCGTATTCGGTTGAGAGGTAGTTCAGGTCGACGACGGGCTCGTCGAGCGGATCGCTGGACGCGAGGCGCACGGTGCCCGTGGACGTCGGGCGAAGTGGGATGCAGAGAAACCCGATGCCTCCATCATTATCGGCTTGTGCAGCCGCTATATCGCGCCAGGCGATCTGCAAGTGGGTGAGCCATCTCTCCGCGACTGGCAAGTGACCTACGAATGGCTCGCTCACCGGCATCACCTCGATGTCTGGAATGTTATGAGGCAACGAGGCATCCTCGTCCGTTTTGCTCGGAGTCACAATGTGGTATTTGTCGTCGAATAGGCGCGACTGCAAGAAGATAGACAGTTCGAGCACGGGAGCGAGCAGCAAACCTGTCCCGAAGAGAATGTAGAGAAAGAGCTCCTTCAAGATGAGCCAAGGGCGTAGCTGGAGCTGTATCACGGAGTCTCGCAGGGGGACGCGGTACTGGACCGCGACACCTAAGTGGTCTTGCTGAAATAAGTCAGATGGTGTTGTGAAGCAGTGTGATAGAATGTTGCTCACTAGATGTGATCCTACTCCGGGCAAGTCTTTGACGACCGCAATCCCGTGTTCGCGAAGATGTGATGCAGGTCCGATGCCGCTGGCATACGAGTTCAACTTCAACGGCTGTTAGGCACGAATAATCGCTGTACATTACCTCAACATGAGAACATGTGGAGAGGAGATTGGGCCGGACGCAAGTATGACTTCTTTTCGGGCGTGTACAAGCCGCCTGGCCATTCTACCCTTCGCAGACCGCACGTGCACCCCTCGGGCCCTTCTGCAGTGTTCGCCGTCGGTCGTCTCAATGTCAATTTTACACACCACCGCATGCACGCAAACATGCAGATTTTTGCTGCGTTCCTGGGCAAGCTGCTTGGGTAGGAAAGCGGAGAATGTCGATGAACGGTAGCCATGTCTGTCGATCGTGAAGTGCATTTTTGCGCAGCCGTGTGACGGATGCAAGGGAGAATTGAGGTCGTCTACGTAAGGTACCCCCATCGCCTCTGATGCTTTGATGATTCTTGTTCACAATTGGCTCATAGTGAGTTGCTCCGGTCATCTATCGTCATTGATAGCACTTACGGCTCAGTATGGCCCCAGACGGACTGTTGATAGGATCGGTTCTGCCATTCGCCTGATATGCTCAGGTTAGTAAAGCTACCACATCGACGTGATTGATCTAACAACCTGTCGTGCCGTGGAAGTCCGACGCGTTGCGTGGATCTTGATCTAGATCCGTCTCCGACTTGACGAAGTAAGGTTGGATGTCATTGTAGCTCCATCCGTCGCGACCAGCTTGACTCCACGAGTTGTACTCTGCCGGAATACCTCGGGTGTAAAGCATGGCATTTATTCTTGACGACCCGCCCAGAGATTTCCCTCCAGCCAGTTCGAACACGCGGCCATTAGCATTAGTCTGCGGTGTCGACTTCCATATGCGAGTTCGCGAGCCATCTGATGCGAAGTGGGAAGACAGCAAGGGGATGCGGGAGATCCAGCCATCTTGGATACCACCGCGCTCGACGAGGAGTACCGACGCCCTCTCGTCCTCGCTCAAGCGGTTTGCCAGCACGCATCCCGCTGTACCGCCACCTGCTCGGGCCGCACACATGAGATGTTATGTTCACGTGACTGAACAGTCGCCACCTACCGACAATGATGTAGTCGTAACTTTCCGCAAGATTAGCTACGCTCACTACAGGGAATGAGGAGAACATGGCGCGTCGACGTAGAGCGCCACTGTGAGTGTTTTCAGCCTACCTCGGATAGAGCATTTATGGCAGCAGTGCGGATGATAGAGACTTCCACTCCCACGACTAAATCTGTGGGAAGTTGAAGCCCGGGCGGTACGACGAATGGTTCCACCTCACGTTTGAGTGCGCTCTATCTCACTGATGTTTCAGGTCATATCTGCCATCTTCTGAACATCAGGGAACGCGGCTAGTCCCGTGCAGAACCTGTTCCAGGGCGTTCCGTTAGTCCTAGTAGTACTAGACATTGTGGGATGGGTCAGTGAATGCGGCGGCCGGTCGGTGTACCTGTCGTGGCACCTGATGATACTGACTGCACAACAAATGGTAGGTTGTACCGGCGTATGACTCATCTCAATGTTTGTAGACACCGTTGTAAGTTCCACACCCCGACTATTCTGCCGCGAGGCAGTGACACAGAAGGTGCGGCATTACTTGAACTTAAAGCCGCAGATCCAGCTACTGAGCTAACCTGTGCAAGGATAATCATGATAGACCACACTTCGAGACCTCGTTGACGTCTTCGATCCGTCTGAGACGTGATACGCAACCGCTATCGCGGAGGAATACACTTGCAAACCTTGCCTCAGCTCAGGCTTGGCAGGCTACAACACTGATTACTGGTTGGCCACGGTCGGGGCGCCGCCATGTCGAACACGTAGGTTCATGCTGTCCCGAGGTTGTAGGTTTGGAGAGAGAGAGCGCCCGCCGTCTTCAAGCTGTGTCCGTCAGGGCTGTACTTCTTCTCCTGCGACATAACTAGCGGCGGACCTGGTAGATGCATTGAGCATACACTGCCGAGTCGGAAACAAACCTTGTCAACAGTGTCGAGGCTCTCATTAGCGCAATGGCTGTGAAACTGAATTTCAGCACATTGCTCGTCTCCAAAATTCTAACAATGGCAATTGTGTGGCTGGTGGACAGTGCGTCCTCCACTAGATGGTGCTGGTCACTTCAGACTCACACCCGCGCTGTACACTCAGAAATTGATAGCCAGATAGGGTTACGTTCACCCGAAACATCGCGCTCGATGTATCTCCGAAGACGACACGTTCCTTTACATCAGGAAGATGCGTGTACGTCTGAGTGATGTCTTGCTACTGGCAATGCCTCCAAATGAGCCGATGAAGAGTCCCGTGTCGCTTCATCGGCGGACAATAAAAGCCAACACCGCGAGGGACGCCCTCCCGTGCCACTCAACTCTGTAAGCGACCCGGGCTAGTACAGAACTATACTAAAATCAAGGGAACAAGTAAATATGTCGTCCACTCAGACTTTCAGCCTTAATCTCGGTTCCACTATGGGCGCCATGCTCATAGGTGTCGTCCTGAGTGCAATGTATGTTCCATGCTATGTTCTCGACGTCGCAGCGTTGTGTCTAACGATGACGGACAGGTTCCAAGGAATCACAACCATGCAAACCATCTTCTACGTACGTCATTCTACCATTGACTGCGTCGGTGCATGCTGATACGGCATAGTACACCACTTATCCCAAGGATCCTATACATCTAAAGCTTCTTGTGAGGGATTGCATTGCCAAATGACGCACGTCGGGCTGACGGTTTTGCCATTATCCTTCAGGTTGCTCTCCTATGGTATGTCCGTCAGCCTGATGCGCATGCTTGGCCCGTCTTTACGTTCATTTCTGCAATTGTAGGACTCTGGACATGCTGTCCCTCAGTATCATTGCTTATGGCTTATATACATATCTCGTGCTCGACTTCCTCGATGTTTTCGACCTCTTGCGTATCAACTGGTAAGAGATCTGTTGTTGCCCAGTCTCTTCACGACTTTGAGAATCCCTATTGACAAGCTGTACACAGGGGTTTTGCAGTAGGTCTTGACATTTATAACATTGGCACGAAATTGACATATTTCCTGCTCAAGACGGAACCTATCGTGTCTGTAAGTCTCCCATTCACCCCTCTAAGACTCCACGCCCGGTTTACTATTCTCAACGCGGTTAAGGGGACTATTGCTTTGATTGTCCACCTGTAAGTACTCAATTTGCAGTGAGCAGTTATAGACACATTTGACCAATTTTGAACACAATGTAGATTCTTGGCTCACAGGCTCTGGAGACGTCAGTTCACGATCTTTGGCGTCTGGAGACTAAGTACGCTGACCAATGGCCGTGGCAGTGAACAAGAAGTGGACACCGGTTGCCTTGTTGATCGTATGTCGTCAGGAAAATCTCTGTTTACACACTCTCACTCAGGGCTAGGTTGTTGCGTCGGTGTTCCCCTATGGTGAGTCGTCGTTCGCGCCACGTGCTCAGCGTTTGTGGGTTCTTTTGCTGATACGGCTGCGTACGATGAAGTCCTTGTATTCAGTGAGTACGGTCCCTTTGTCACACACAAAGATCATTGCGAGATGAAACTGGACATCAACAGTTGCTGCCCGGGAAGCGTAAGTTCAAGACCCCATAATAACAAACATTATGGAGTTGACCATACTGTGACGCTAGTCTGGGCTCTGACCGTATGTGGTCAGAGGTTAGCGCGAACCTACATGTACGTCTGGCGAATACACTGGTTCAATTCCGTGGCTGACATGGCGCAGTGGATATCCATAGCGTCTGTCACATCAACATCAGTCATCGACCTGGTCATCACCTGTGCAATTTGTGTCCAGCTATACTACAGCAAAACTGGCCTGCCACAGTACGTCTTTAGTTCAACCTTCTATGGACAAATACCACGGCTTACCGAGAATATGATCATGTACTTAGAACGAACAGAATGCTATACGTGATAACTTTGTACACGATCACAAGTGGCCTGGTCCCGACGTAAGTCACACTGTATAGCAGAATTGTGCATTTGAAAGTCACACCTTGATAGCATCGTCTGCTTTGGCGATTTGATTGCCGTACGTCGTCGTCTTCGTGTGACGCCACAGCATGGTGGTAAAAAGCTGACCCGTACGCAGTACGTTGCGGCACCGGACACACTGGCATTCGAAGTGTTCCAAGTGATAATATCACGAGGTGCGACGGACTGCATAGTGGACAAGTTTTACGAGATACTATCGATTCCTAATACACACCACACAGCCTACGTGAACACTTTGATGGCGACGTAAGCTTCAAGAATCTGCTTTTCTTCGCAGTGAAGGCACGTTGACTTTCTTGTACACCCAGTCTCAACAGCCGCAACGCCATCCGAGGACGCGGCGCGGCAAGTGAACTTGCCGCTGTTTCAGTACCAAGTGTAGCCTTCAGACGAAACACCAGCTCTGGGAACAGGTCGGCGACTCTGAGTATGACAGGAGATGCAGATGTAGAGATTTGTGCGGTGCGTATCATTTCGCACATCTCGTACGCAATATTCATGCGTCCGCAACTTGTGCAGATAAAGCAAAACGATGAAATATCCGCGCAGACCTTTTCGTGGAATGCTGAATAGGTGTCCTGTCGTTTTCAAGCTTCAGAATACGCAGTCAAAGATTGGCTAGTGAATATCATTACCGTCAGAGAGCTACTGTGGGATATCATGTTTAGGGCTCAGCGCGGGCAATGGTGTAATGCATACTAGTGAACGTACGTTATGATTGAACTTCGCTGCCCTTGTATGTGTCGCGGCCTCTCGCACAGCACGGCTCGGTGGGGGATGAATATCGATGAATCCTAGTACGTCTCGGATGGTGACCTTGTGCGACAACTGCATGGCACTGCCACGGTAGTTGAGAACGTATGCACGAGATTCGGAAAGCAGCCAACCTGTGCTAGCTATAATCATTTGGGAAGACTATTAATCGGCCGGAACTCGTCACTACAGAGGCTATGCTGGCAGTGAGCAGGCCAATCTGCTGTTGTGTTCAATAGTACTTACACCTTGGTCCTTTGGCGTCGCTGCCTCAGAAGGAAGAAGGTGACCAACAAAAAGGATAATGCTGCAGCCTCGTTGCTACGGAACGCGAAGGAACAAGACCGCAAGATCCCGATTAAGGAACATGTCCCATACATGGGGTTGTGGGTCCACTGTTAATAATGCTTAGTCAGCGACGAGGCGCAGTCGGCCGCTCCGCCTTGGCCAGCCGCCCGCATCCTCTACTTAAACTCCCACCAGCAACCTACCCACACATCCCTACGCTATGGCAGACGTCAAGGTAACAGCCCCTACCCCCGTTCTTCGAGACAGTGCTTATCAGGGCCGACAGGGGCCCACGATCGCCTCCAACAAGATGGCCATGTCCCGCGCCCTCGGTGCGGCGTTCCTCAACCACCAAGTCCAACAGCTGGAGAAGACAGTGTCCGACGTTGGACCTGGAGGTGCAAACTGGCGTGACCGGCGCACGCCCAAACACTTTGACCGACAAGGCCACAACGATGGGAAGCGCCCCCGTGGCGCTCCCACCAAACCGGCGTGGAAGCGGGACGGGGAGAGCACGGAGATAGACAGCGATGAGACGGGCAGACAGGGGGGCGGGAAAGTGGAGAAGGACGCGGACGTCATCGTCGTCGACGCCAGCGTGCTCGTCCATGCGATCAACCAGGTGAAGAAATGGTGCCGTGAGGGTCGGGAGGAGATCGTGATCGTGCCGCTCGAGGCCCTCAACACCCTCGACCTACTCAAGAAGGGCATGAGCTCGCTGGCACAGAGGGCCCGTGCGGCATCCCGCATTCTCGAGGCGCAGGTCGGGACGAACCCGCGGATCCGAGTGCAGCGTGACGATGCATTCGTGCTGTGGGACGGGGTCTTCGACAAACAGGTGCCACCCACGAGTTCGCCGGAGTGGGTTCGCCGAACAATCTGCTGTGCGCGTTGGGAAATCGACCATGTCGCAGACGAGGTCGATGCGTTCGCCACCAACGCGGGCCCCGGTGGCAATCAGCCCCGCGTCGTTTTAGCTGTGCTCTCTCAGGCTCCGGAGGCGCAATCCGAGGCTGTCTTCATACCGGGCAACCACCTGTCAGCGTCCCCAGTCCCCCTACCCGCGCCTCAGACGAACAGGCATGAGCCGCGCTCCTCCGGGGCGCTGGTTGCATTGTGGGCAGCCAAGGCAGGCATCGAGGTCCTCGAGGTGCCTCCCGCTCCGTCTGGTGGAAACACCACCAGTCGCAACACTTCTCCTGGTGGCGACGGGCGCCGCTCACCTCAGGCCACCCGGCGCTCCAACGAGGAGGACCGTGCAAAGCGAGGCGGGCGCCGGAACTCTCACATGCGGAACGGAGAACGTGGGGGCACCCCTGTTACCGTGCGTCCTAGCACTGGGACTGGCCTCGTGGAAAGGCCACCTGCCGTCATGGCTATGATGGAGGCGGTGGCTCAGCCGAGTCGAGTGGTTCGTGTCCTTGCGCGTGGAGAGAAGCTCGAGCCAGACACATGACGTGCAACAGCAACAACCATCGATGATATTTGAGGTATGCCGACATCTGCTTGCTTCTGTGGCATGAGACTGATACGCAAGAAAGACCTCAGGCTCGTATCCAGCTATTGCTTCTCACCCAGTGTACGGACACCGTCCGCATGACGGCAGACAGATTCGCGTACAGACGACGGTCTGGATGACCGTCCCGGCAGCGGAGGTTGCGCCGCACACGCAACGCACGCAGCGCATGGTTCTGGTTGACTCGAAACGACACGGAGGCGACAGGTCTGACGTATCGCACAGCGATAGTGACCGGTATGGTTCGCGGACTGTTGACATTGCCTCGGCGGGTGGCCTGACGAGTTCTACCACATATGCAAACCCCACAGCACATCTTAGATCCTTGGGTTCTGTGATCCTATGCCTAGTATGATCCTCTCATCTTTTCCGCATACATGTATCTTGGGTACCCCTGTACTGTATAGCTCGCGCGCATCCCTATATGATTCTTCTCCCACACCGAGCAGTGCTAGTGAGAAACGTCTGCAATCGGAATTGCAAATGTGGTACATAGGCATTACAACTACTGATTGTACACGGTATACAATCTGCGAGGCTGACACTGCTTTAACCGATTCCACCCTTACGATGCCTTCGGAGCTGCCTGTTCTTGTAGTTTCATCTGCATGATATTGATGAGATAGTTCATGTTGTCCTGCTTCTTGGCTATCGTATCTTGCAGGGCCTCGAGGTTCGTGCGGATGTAATCCACCTTGGCCTCGTAGTGCTTCACCGCCTGCGCCCGCGTCTAACACAGGGCGGTCAGTACACCAGCTCATAGCATCTGCATAGCATGCAGGAACGGCGCTCACTTTCTTCACATAGTATCCTGTACCGACGTCCACCACCACGTTCTCTGTGTCGCACAGCTTCCCCGGGACGTAGAGCGAATTCGTCAACGGCACAAGGATGGTCTTGTCTGGGCATGCGGCTAAGTCGTGGAAAGCCACCCGAACGGATGGCTGTTATGCTCACCTTTCCTCTCCGGAGTGACTTGCTTGACATTATCCATGCATGCCTTGAACTTGGCCTGCGCCTGCCTCAGTTGCGTGAACGAATTCGTGAGATGGGTGAGCTCCTGCAGAGGAATACGGAAGGGCGTGTCAGTGGGGTGATCAGAATGTTCGCACTGTCGCACCTCTTCGAGTTGTCGCCGCACATCTGCGAGTTGCGGGAGGTCCAGATCTGTTACATTGATTTGCTGAGGTTGGGGTGCGGTGGTCGACGCCATGGTGCCGGCATCCACAAGGATGCGACATCGAGTTCGAGCAAAGGCTCGTTCTACGGCAAGTGTGTAATCATATATGTACAGCCTGCTCACTTTATATGCATTCGTGGTGTAGCGGTAACATTGGGTCTTCCCATTGGAGATTGGCCTAGCTCCGGGTTCGACTCCCGGCGGATGCATGACATTCCTTGCAAGCAGTCTTTTTTCGTGTTGCTTCCTAGTAAAAAATGCCCATAGCCTTGGCTGACTCGGATCACCTGGCAACACCAGATGCGTGTACTTACCATCCTCATCGGCTTCATTGACTGGTCAGAAAGGCTTATTCAAGAACACCTTCAGTATTGGAGAAGGCAAGGGCGACAGTTACGCTCGTCGTACTTATCAGCGACTGCATCCTCCGGTCCAGGATGAGAGACCGAGAATGATGATAATGCTGCATGCGTAGAATGACACTCGTAGGTACACACACTCATAGCTACATATATATGGCTATAACATGCTCGTCGCAAATATCAGGAATATCCGCTCTAACCTAGTCCGAAGATGAGCCCCGCCAGATCTCGCCAGCCGCGTCGCACTGTGACCTTCGACCCGCCTCCATACTCGTCACCCAACCACTCTATGAACCTGGCATCCAACCCGCTGAAGGGACCTAGCTCAAACGATATGACATCTTTCGGTGTCAAGACGATCACGTCCAGGGGGCTCCCACTCTCTGCTCGCGCTTGTGCACGTCTTAGCGGGACGAGTTCAGCGAGGCGGACGAGGGTGACGGAGGTATTGGTGTGGAACGTCTGTAGCAATGCGAGCGTGGTGATGACCTGCCGCGCGCGACGGCTGCCGTCGCCCTCGAAGTGGGTGACTGTCGCGGAGTTCTTGAGCTGGCGAGCGGAGACTGCTGACAGGCTCGTACTAGCGGACTGCGCATCGCCCTTGCTACTAGCCCATGCCAACACCGACATGCCGCTGTTCCTGGCGATGCCGCGTAGCGAGCGGGTCGTAGATGTTGAGGCCTCAACCGTGCGGCCTTCGATCCCCATACCTAGTGTGCGCACGTACGTCTTGGGGACGCGCAGCGAAAGCGCGTCATCGCCCTCCAGGCGGAGGCTGCCCCAGTTGCTGGAGCTACAGGGATATGATGGGCTTCCTCGCCAGGAGCCCATCCATAGACCTGCGCACACTACACAGACGTCCTCGTACACGCGCCAGATATCTGTCCAGGAGCCAGACCTCGTACGCGGTCTCCCACTGCCTGAGGATGGGTCGCAGCAGTCGTCGGTATCCTCGCCCGCGTCGATCCGCAGTAACCGGTCGATTTCAGACCACTAGACAGCCGTTAGCGCCGCGGCGAAAAGGAAACGCTGGGAACGTAGTTACCAGCTTGACATCGCTCCAGGTGAAACGCACCACCGACAGGCGATGCGACGGCATCTTCGACCCCGACGGTTCACAGGGCTTCGTCACGTAGAATGCTGGTCGGGTATTAGGTGTCGACGTCCGCAGATCAATGAGAAGGTCATAGCATGAAGGTTTCTCGAGGAAGATGGCATCCGTCGTGCACGCAATCCATCCACGGCTAGACTTGCTCTCTCCCTCAAGCTTCGACAAGTCGTTGAGCGTGACCATGCCGAGCACCTTCACGCCTTCGGTGCTCTTCCCCATCAGTTTCGGCGCTGGTTGGGTATCATCATCGTCAATCGGGGTATCGGCCTCTCCCATCTGGCACTGGTAACATAGGTCCGCAGCAACCTGGCAGAGTATACACGCAGCCTCGACAGGCGGGAGGGTATATATCAGTATTCGTCGTCGTCCGAGGACGTGTTTGTACAGCGTGAGCGAGGAGGGCCCGAGTATGCGCAGCAGATGGGGCAGGTGGATTGTCGGGTCAGTGTCGAGCGCTGCGCTATCCCCCTCGAGTTCGGCGCTCCAGCCTCCCCAGTCACCTGCGCCGCCCAGGTCTGGTTGACGTGCCTTGCGCTGCTCGAAGAATGCGCGCGCGGGCTCCCAGTCGTGCTCGAGAGGGATTAGCGTGTCTCGGTCTCCGAGGGAAGACCGTATCGTGTGGAAGAGCGCCTTCAGTGCGGGGACGTGCAACCAAGGTCGCGGGCGAGGAGAGTGGGCTAGCAGGATGCCGAGCGAGGATAGGCGATAACCGCGGTGCCCCTCCTCTGCGGTCTCTTGACGGTGGAAAACGCAGACGCCTTGGTAGTCGTCCTTCGTGAAGTACACAACGTCGCGCTCCATCGTGTGCAGTCCGCTCGGAAGGCAGCTGTATTCTACATGGCTCAGGTCGACGTCTACACAAGAAGATGTCCGTTGTGAGCTATGTGATACGGAGCAAAGAAGCAAACGTACCGTCGGTAGCCCTGAGCGACCAATCGACGACATTTCCCCGGGTAGGATGAAATGCGGCATGAAAGATAGCAACTGGTAGAGGTAAATTCAGGGCTAACCAAGTCTACTCCTAGTGTCCGCGGCGTCACTTACCTACATCCTGCGGTGCCTTTCCGTTCGCATCCATCGAATAAGTAGTTTCGTCCACCAGATAGTTCACGTGCTGTATTATCCAAGAAATCTGTTTAGAAGACGAAAAAGGCAGCGGGCAGAGGCCCGAGCTGGTAGTAGCGTGGACGCTTCTGAGCAACGAGCGAGCGAGCGGGCGAGGGGACGAGGACGGGTTGAGGACGGGGACGGGGAGGACGAGAAGGACGACAACCGAAGCGCCGAGCGATCGGAGATATCACGTGTTGACTTCTAAGTAGTATTGAGTGGTAAGTTCATTAACTCTTTAAGTAAATGGACGCAATACAGAAATACTGCAGACATAAGAAATTTCGTGACCATCTTTCCCTAAGTATCGAAGAATACACGATTCCCCAGCATTTGAATGTAATACGAGCAACAGCGGTCGTAGAGAAGTGCGCGACGACACTTACGTAATGTGGCTATTGTCGCGCGCGCTCTGAGCGCGTCTCAACTGTGGCGCGTGCTCTGTCCTCCTCGTCCTCCTCGTCCTCCTCCTCTCCTTGTTTACCCTGTCTGACCTGACTCTGCAGAGCTGACTTTGCACACGTACGACGCGTTATGATGGAGACGAAGCCGTCTCGTGGCCGTGGAACGCGTTCACAGGGCGCTGGCGGCCGTACACAGTCCAAGAACCGGAAGTGGGTCGCTGGTCAAGACAACACAAGCTCTGGCCACACCAGCGACAGCGAACGACGAGAACGCAGCGGGAGGAAACAGCACGAAAATGGCAGAATTTCCACTGCTCATCCGTCTCCATCTCCTTTCCTCGGCGTGTCCAACCCGGATGACGGGGCCAGTGGCACGGAAGACGACCATAGCATGGACGAGGACACCGCTGAAGAAGCTGGTGACAACGACAATGAATATCCTCCAGACCCTGAAACGCCGCAGGAGCGTGAGCGGTTCTGGCAGGAGGTGAGCAGTCGCACCCACTATGTGGCATGGAACGACTTACATCGCTCCAGCTCGTGAAAGCGCGGGAAGCGGAACGTAAGACAGCCATCGCGGAAGGAAAGATGGATGATCCAGCCGTTCCGAGAAGACTAGACGAGGCGATCACTATGGTTGGGACGTGTATGGACATGTGTCCCAGGTTCGAACGCTACCGGCGTGAACGTGAAAATAACCTGGATAAGTGGGAGGTGGTGCGTTCGGACATCTCTGTTACCCTTGTAGTACTGCTGGAGAGAGCTGCTATGCTTTCAGATACCTGGGACGAAACGTGTAGCCCATAAACGCGCTGTCAAGATCTACGAACGAGCGGCAGGCGACAAGACGCTTCCGTCTGATCTACGACCTCCTCCTGTACTCAAGGCAAGTTCTCGTGTTGGCGGGACTTCCATGACTGACCGAGGTTTAGAAAACACTCAATTACCTTTTCCACGCTCTCCTCGTCAAAGAGGGGTTCACACAGACATATGACTTCATCCGTGACCGCTCACGAGCGGTTCGCAGCGACTTCACCATGCAGCACGAGCATGGGCCGCTTGCTATTGAGTGCCACGATCGCTGTGCTCGCTTTCATATTCTTGCCCTCCATCTCGAGCGCGACAACCCGAGGTTCTCCGTTGCTCTGGAAGAGCAACAACTGATGAACAGTATGTCAGGCTCTAAACAACGGCGTGACAGCAGTGCTCATCCCTTCATAGCTTTGCAGAGCTTGAAAGAGTTCTACGAAGACCAGCGTGGGGCGTATGAAGCCCCAACCGAGTTGGAGATGCGCGTATACCATCGCCTCATCCACATTCGTGACCAGAAGGAACGGCGAGAGGACGTCCCCGAGTGGATCACATCTCACCCCGTCTTCCAGTACACGACGCAATTTCGCCTACATGTGCAGGCGAAGAGTGCTCCCATCACCAAGACTTCTCGCCTAGTCGTTGATGCCTCGGGCATGGAGATCTTTGGGAAGCTCGCTGCGGTGCTCAGAGAGCAGGGCGACACGGTGATGATATACCTCGTCGCATGCATCTTAGAGAGGCTGTTCGGGAAGGACACGATCGACGACATCGAGACTATTCGCGGCGACCTCACCATACCAGATATTATTGATGGCATCTCGAGGCCTTCTGCCGTTCGTGCAGTCGTCTCAGTGCCCAACCCCAGTCAGCCTGTCCCTGGGCCTTCTGGCAATACGTCGAAGAATATAGAGCAAGTGAACGCTACCAAAATCGGGCCTACTGCATCTCCATTCGCGGCCGCGGCGACGTCATTTGCCGCCCCTGCAAATGCCACCCAGCCCGTCAAGTCGGCATTCGGAAACTTGGCGTCCAAACCAAATCCCTTTGGAAGCTCTTCCGTGTTCGGAACCACAAGCGCTTTCGGAGCTGCAGGATCAGCCAACGCTACGTCTCAGTCTCACGCCAATACGACCAAATCAGCATTTGCGGGCTTCGCTAACGGGAACGCTACGTTCCCTGGCACGAGCAGCTCGCCGCCGCAGGCAGCTCCTAACGTATTCGGAAGCACGGCATTCCCGTCAGGCTCGAGTAGCACTTTCTCGGGTCTGACCGCTGCCACGACCCAACATACTTCGCAAGCGATGACGAGCCAATCTAATGGCAGTACCTTCGGCTCTGCCACTGCCCATTCCCCATCACTCAATCCTGAGGCTACGGCATTTACCCCGCCCAAGCCGGCATCAACATCTTTCTTGTCTACTCCCCCAACCGCTGCGCCCTTAGCGCGTTCCGACCCCTCTACATTTGTCGCCGTCACCCACGCGAGCCAACCAAGTCAGCTCGCAGCAGCAACGGCTCCATTGTTCCAGCCGGTGGCACCCGCTGTTCCGGGCTTTACTACACCTGCACCTCCCCCACTAGCACCGTTTACACCGGCTTCAATATCAAACCAGCATGCACAAGCTTCAACTTCTGCTCTAGCCCCGTTGCCGGCCCCACCACGTACCACGGAGAGGCCGTCGATATTCACAGGTTTACCCACCGCTGTACCTCACCCACAACCTCATCCTCAAACCCCTCCGTCAAACGCAACACCCTCCGCGTCTACGTTTAACTTCGAGACCCCGGGGAGCAGCGGGTCCCGGCCACACATCTCGCCACTGGTCCCTCCGCCTATGGAGAAGATCCATCCGATGTCTCTTCCGCCTACACCGACTTCGCGGTGGTTCGACCCCACATCAGGCAACGGTTCCTCCGGCATCCCTAACGTCACCAGGAAGAAGTCCGGCTTGGGCTTCCCTCAGCTCTTCTTGCCGTCGTCTAACTCTGCTGAACTGTTGAGTCCCTTGCAGATGAACTCGCCTGGGTTCCCGAAGCCTAAGGCCGGCCCTGTTGGTAGCCCATCGCCCTTGTCTCGCGAGTCGCCCGCGCAGCCTTTAGTTGAGTCGCCAACCCGCGTGGAGCCTGATGAGGCTCTCCCTCTGGGCGAGAGGCATACTCCTTCGAAAGGCAAGGGTAAGGCGAGGGCAGAACCAGTGGATCTTGGGAAGATTCTGTCCGAGTATCTCGCGGCGAAGAATCGCAAGGTCATGAAGTACTACTACAAGCGGTGGGAGGACCGGACCATCGAGCAAGGTCGATGGAAGGAGGCATGCGAGCGCGGCGAGGCCTACAAGGCCAAGGTTCGGCGGCAACGGCAACGCCTCCCTCCGACGTTCAGCACACCGACGATGCAAAACTTGCAACGAGAGGAAGAGCCGAAGAAGCGAAGGATGTCTGCGGGTGAGCTTATACGCCCAAGACGAATGCGTCGAGCTGCTGCTTCGCATTATGAACACCCGCTCACGGACGAGGAGCTCGCGCGACGGTTGAAAGAGGTGCAGCACCATTGCCGCTCGTCACAGTAGCTTTCTTATATCCTGATTCCTTTTATCTTTGGCTATAGAATCACGAAGAGTCCAAGATGCGCTGGTCGGCGGGCACATTCTTGCGTAGCCTCCGCGCGCACTTGAAGAGCATAAGCACGAATAATAAGTCGCTAGCCGAATGGCGGCTGTGGCTGGCGGTCAATCCGTTCTTCGACCCGACGGCGATCTGGCTGGAGACCAAGTTCGACGCGGAGAAGCTGGGCGATTTTAGTATCGATTTGGTCACGTCGTTACCAGCCATCCCTACCCCAAAACCGTTCCCGCGAGGCTCACCGGGGCTCATCGTTTTCGAGCGTACGCCACTAGAGCGCATAAAGGATGACATCGAGAAGTATGGGAATTACTGCCGTGTATTCGTCAGTGGATTGACCACCTTCCGTACACAGACGACTCCGCACACTGGATGACACCGTACGACTAAGGGACATAGTGGCCAGCCTGCCTCCTGTCAAGGATCGGCGTTTCATTCCTACTCTGATGGTCGTACATTGGATCAGCCAGACCGACGCGAACGTGACGGACGACTTTACTAAGGAGGTAGGCCTTCCGTGGACCATCCTTTGTTGCGTACCTTACCTTCGGATAGGTGCAAAAACACCTGGACAACGGCGTCTTCAAGAGTCTGCATGTCCTTAGCGCTCCGGATGTATCCGGCAGGCTCGATCCCAAGTTTCAAGAGTTCTTGAAGATGGCGACACTGGATTTGACAGACCAGTTGATGGAGACTATCACTTGGAAGGGTGTGTCACAGGATATCATCGCATGGTTGGTAAGATGCTAACACAGGGGTCCTAGCCTTGGCCAAACGCTTGACGACTCCATTCACAACGGTGGTTTCTGATTGGTTGGACAGTTGCTGGGCCGATGAGCAGTGTGAGCACTCCCCTTCCCATAGATCGTATGAGGTCGTCTGATAAATCTATCAGTCGATTGGCTGCGATATGAACACGTCATGGTCTCTATCCACAATCTCCAGAGCGCTGTTGTCCAAATCCTTCTGGCGCTTTTCGGTCATGCACAACGCGTCGAAGTCAAACGTATCGCAGATCCAGAGTCATATGTCCACTTCGGCAAAGGTGTGTGTTTTCCGTCTGCTCTGCATGACGGCGCTCTCATATCAATGTAGGACATATGATGGGGCCGTTCTTGGACGCTCTGGCAAAACTGCCCATCGAAACCGCCGAGCGAGTAGTCCAAGCAAATCCGTCTTCCCAATACACCTTCGGAAAGGACGTACTCGAGGATGTTCTCGCCGCTTTCGACATGGCTTTCCAGTTATCTAACGGTAAACTCCGCGAGCGATGGCTCGCTGTTGTATCTGAACGATCTTCGTCAAAAAGACCGGCGGAGGACGATGAAAGCATGCTTGAAAGGTGGGATTAATCAACGTCTATGTGACAAACGCTGACTGTCTCGATCTTGGATTGCTGTAGTTTGCCAAGCTCTCATTCACAGAAGCGTTTACGATCTGACAGCGGGTCCAGTGGTGATGCAGATAGGGTCGTACCCTTCACCAATGGTGTTTCTGTGTCTCCGTCGCCGAGTATAGCGCCGTCCTTGTCCACCGAAGGCGAGACGCCCCGTGTTAGCGTGCAGATGCTGCGCTCTTTGACGCGAGACGTGCTCAAGACGTATGGCAAAAACCCAAGATAGAGCACGAATGATATAACGACGGATTCATATTATTTACTTATTTGGGCTGTATTGCTATGTTCCTCATTGCTTCACTGCTTGCTGGATCGTGATGTACAACAAGACGCTGCGGAAATCATCTTTCACTCATTTGTATCAGTATAGTTACTCTCCAGACTGGTGCTGTAAGCAATGCAAGCTCGACGCTGGATGCCATACATAAGTCTCAGTGAGTCATGCTCTGAAGCCTGAAGGTGGCCGGGGCGCGTCGCGCGCGGCCCGGACCGCCCAAAAGCGTGCCACTGCCGTGCATGCGCGCAGCCTCCTCCTCCTCAACCACCATCTCAGGTCGTTGAGGAACTACATCTCCCATACTATTCAAGACTTGGCCTCAATATTCGTACAAGGAACGATGGAGGTAGTCGGAGCCGGTCCAGTTCCAAGCTCGGGGGGCATATACGGTATCCTGATCCATCGCTTTGTTCTCCAAGATCCCCGTCTCGCTGACCCTGTGGCAATCAGGCGTAGTGCTGCATATCGAGGCCGCTGGTGACAGGCAAGCAGAGACCTTGACATTCCTCAAGGTCGTCACCAGAGCAGTGATAATCGGTCGGAAATCTAAGCAAGCACGGCCGGAGGGCGTCCCTCACAATGCCCTCTTCCTCTGTCCCGTAGTCAGCCGCAAGCATGCGAAGATCACCTTCACGGAATATGGCAATGTTAGCTGCGCCTCTCTACAGTATGTGCTGTGCCTTCACTGACTGGTAGGCCACCCAGGCGTACATCATGGACCTGCGTTCCCACCATGGGACACATCTCCTGCGGCCGGGCGAAACCCTCGCCAAGATGCTCGAACCCGAAACCGCTACTGTCCTTGCCGATGGGGACGTCATTACCTTTGGCAAGAGCGTCGGGCGCGACAAGGACCTTGTTCTACCCGTTGTCGCGCGCGTACAGCTCCTCTTCTCACCAGGTGCAAGCATCGCACCACCACTGCCCGAGCGCATAACCCTCTCTCCCGACACCGCTCCCTCGGAGCAGTCGCCCGCTCCTGGGACCTCCGGGCGATACGGAATCTACGTATCGTCCGATTCCTCGGCGTCGTCTTCGGACGAAGATTCTGACATCGAAGAGATCCCGCCGCCAGCGACCTTCTCGCCGCCTCTGAGAATGATGAAGTCATCGCAATCATCGCAGGCATCCAACCTGAGCGGCAGGCTGCAGCTTTTGAGGAACCTGCTGCCTGCTGTGCCTTCCACTTGTGTAGACGAACCCACGCCGACTGCGTTCGCGCAATTGCTTGCTCTGCCCATGCCCGGTGCGATTGACCGTGACAGTTCTTCTGAGAGTTCTTCCTCCGCAGAGTCATACGCAAAGGAAGATGACGACCTCTATATGAACGAGCCTCCCTTGGAACCCGGCCAGGTTCAGTTCGACGATTGGCATAGCCTCTACGAGCCACCGAGTCCTAGGCAGCCTGCGAGTGACTTCGAGGTCCCGCGCGCACCGTCTGTGGAAGCGCAGCCGCCATATCCTGTGGGTGGAGGCCCATCCCTTGTCGAGCCTCTTCCTAGCCAGTTCGACATTCGGAATGATCGCCCGATTACCCCTGAACTTACGGCCTCGCTTACTTCCCTCGAGGGCCGCATACAGACTGCCCAAGTCAGTGTTTTACTTTTACTCTCCTGGCTGTCGCATGCGGGACACATTCTGATTCTCTGCTAGGAGGACATTTCCCTGTTGCGCCACATCCGTACGACCGACGAGGAGCGCTTCGATGTGCACGTCCGCGAGGTCAAGGCGCGCCTCGCCGCGCTCGATGAGGCAATCCGTGCGCCCGCGCCGTTCACAGCCGAACGTAGCGCAGCGATAACAGAAGTTGTGGCGCGCATGGACACCCTGCAGGGGAAGATGTCCGTGCTGGAGAACCGCGCCGCGGATGTCGGGCCTCGTGAGGATGGCCTGAAGGAGATCAAGGCGATGCTGGAGGGTGCGTCTTTGATGCGTTTGTTGTCGGCGCTGATGATGCCAACGTGTCATACAGAGATCAAGACGATTCGCGAGAACGGTGAGAAGCAGATTGCGCTCGAGCTTGAGGCCGTCCGGGTCGCGCGCGCGCAGGCGGAGGCAGCGGCAGCAGAGGCTGTTGCGCGGCTGGTCAGTACACCTCTCCCGAGCTCACTCGTGCATACTCACTCCCCACAGGCTGCGAACCCGCTAAAGCGCAAACGCTCGGAGGACGACGACCTCGGCGAGGATGAGACGAGCGATGCGCGCATCGTAGCGCCGATGCCGAAACGTAGGCGCATGGCGCGCCGTGTGGCGACTATGCTCGCGCGTACCGTGACTGTGGCGACGGTCGGTGCTGTCGCGACCTGGACGGCCCTTGCCTTTGCGTGATAATGGTGTCAGTTTCCAATTCGTTCGATTTTGTGCATGGACATCGGAGATAGTGTACGATGGAGAAGGTCTTCGATTATGTATCATTCAAGACAGATTCGTTTTGGTGTATGTGTATGTGTAGATTTGTTCGTCATGTGGCAGTAGTTTCTGTTTCTTCGCATTGTACAGTATATGTACATGCGATTCGTTGCTCAGATCATAGCCTCAGCTGTCCTAGGCTCGAGTCCGCACCTGGAACTGAACCCCTCAGCGGCTGAGCTGCTTACCTGCTACATGAACAGCTCACAGTACAGTACGTAAAATTATGAGTCCCCGCGAGGGCAGCAAAAATCTCGATCACAACAACCTACTCCGATACGGGGAATCGAACCCCGAGCTGCCGCGTGAAAGGCGGCAATGTTAGCCGTTACACCATATCGGAAGTGCAAATTTGCACTTATGTACATGTACCTCACTCATAAATTGCAGGTACTGTATCGGGCCGGGATCTCGGCCGGACAGGGTACTCGGTCAGTCGACCACCGTGGGCTCGATCTCAAAGTTGATCACAAGAAAATTATACCAGGAGGTAGAGGAGGATTGTGAGAGTCGATTGGTATGCATAATTTGTTGTAAGACTGGGAATTGAGCCTATGGCACTCGACTGACCGAGTGCCATGTCCGGCCGAGATCCCGGCCCGATACAGTAGTACTTAGCTGATCCCGTTGTAATTTAAATTACATGTTGCGCCAACTTCATTCTATCCCACCAAAACTTTGAGTATCGACGATTCGCCGGGCTATGCCCCCGCCGCACTGTTCTTGGCCAGTGCCGAGACGGGAGGCGGAAGTCAATGGTGACGCCCGAAGCTAGTACTTAAAGATTCATCTGACTGATCAGTACAAGGTGATCGCTTGACATGACATTATGATACGAACTCTCGCCTCCTGCTTCGGAACTCGTTGATGAGCAAGCAATTCCGAACACATCCCCATGATCACAGCGTATCCAAGAAAGCTTTCATGTCGCGCGTAGAGGTGCCTTGTTTGGACCGGGCGTCGAGAGTTCGCTGTCGCAAAGCTTGCAAATGCTCTCGCTTGCGCTGGCCGCCCTCGCCGAAAGCGTTGGTTAAGACGTCGCGCGCTTCCTCTTTCACAGCATCTAGCGTGCCCTCGGGGGCCTTTCCAAGGCGATGTACAGGCTTCAATCCCGACCCGGTGCGCCCATGGAATATCTCGTACGCGACGTTTAGGTTCTTTGTCAAGTGGATCGCATTCAGCGGTTGGTCGAAAGAAAACGGCCAGCAGATCCTGCCAAGTCCTGAGTACGATATAGAGGATAAAGATGACCCGGTGACTTACATTGGCACCCCGGCACAGACCGCTTCAATGACGCTGTTGTGGCCACCGTGTGTCAAGAACCACCCGGTCGCCTGCGCGAAAAACATTGCAATAAGCAAAGACAGACGCGACAACGATTGTCACATACCGCATGGCTTAGAACATGCTGCTGAGGCGAGTACCGAGTTAGAAGGCCATCTGCATAGTTCCTAACTTTTTCGGTGACCTCCAGCGGTACAGTCGCCCAGCGGGACGGAAGGCTCATAAGCTTGATCACAGCTCGTCAGAACACGAAGACCACGGGGGGGTCACGAGCATGATAAAGGTAAGTGTAGACGTACAAATGGTATTTGAAGCTCCATCACCACGTCCAAGAAAGCCCATATCTTCTCCGGCTCCATCGACCAGTACACGGTGCCGAACGATATCTGGAGCCCCATTAACCAACCAAAGAATGCAAGGCGACAAAGTGACATGCATATAATAGGGACCGTTCGCCGCGTCGTCTCAAGATGGACTCAAGGAAGTCATCAATCTCGGCGGCATCTTCTGACTGTTCCTTCTCAATCGTGATTGCACGCATACCGCTGGCAATCATTGGTCCAGCGCAATATACGGAACGGGAGGTCTCCGCCATCCACTTTTGCAGAGCAGCTGTGGTCTCCGGCTCGTAACATTCCGGACTTGCTAAAATAATGCCGTCGCAGGCATTGACAACCCTGAAGCGAGTAAGTGACTCAAAGTTCCACAGTTCTGCCGGGCGACGCTTACTCGTGTGCTGAGAGGCACATGGCACCGAATAAAGCCGTGCCCAATACCTGGAAATATGAATTTCAGTAGGTAGATCCGCCGATCGATACAGCGTACCTTACCATCTGCGGTTCGATCTCGTAGTCATACATTGGAGGGAGCCCTGGAATCCGGATCACAGCCCCCTTGTTCCCGAGCGCAATCTACCCAACCGCGAGTTTGAGTTAATATCAATGTTGTGAAGAAAGCGTAAGCACCTCTCCTGCAGCTTGTGCCACATCCACCTGGCTTTGGGAGGCTTCCTCTTCGCTCTTAGCACGAAGGTCGCCTATTCCCCCCAGTCGCTCTGGCGCACAGAGCCGGATGATGATCGAGGATGCACCTGCGAACCACACAAAGACTTTGATGGGGTTCCCTTCGATGCTAAGGCGGCGCACGGCTTGCAAAAGAGGCAGACCGAAGAACTGTCGGTTTGACGTGAGCGGGGAAATGTCAGTTGCGCAAATGGGGTCTAGATTTCTTACGTCGATTATGGCGGCTTTAGGGGGAGCCGTGGGTTGGTATATGGTCCCGGTCTGGACACACTGCAATCGTTCGCCCTTGACGAGCTTCCCGAACGCTCGAGCGAAGGAATCATCGAGCACCGAGTTGTCGAGTGAATGTATCCCTGTATGAAGCAGCGCAACGACCCTGTCCTGATGTCAGTACATGATTCCACTCGGACAGTGCAGAGTAACACACCTAATCCGGGTCATAAGAAGCTCATTGTCATCGAAATTACGAGCTAGCTCTGCCTTGACACGATCGTAGAAAGCTGGCGTGGTGAAGAAAGTCACGGACGCGTTTCTCAACTGCACCAGCCGAGAAGCTAGATTGCAAAGCGGGCGAGCATGGCCTAGAAATTCTGTGAGGATCCCAATGACGACACTACGTACGCCGGTGCAAGTAGCGTACCCCAAGCTTCATAGGCAAACAATACGAGGTGACTATCACTGTTGAATAAATGCAAGTTAATGCAGAATTGCCTTGGAGTGACTGATCACAGACTCTGCGACCCAGTTATCCGCATTGAGGCGTTCGCCGTTATGACTACTCAGACCACGAACGTCAGTGGAACGTATGCAAGATCATATCGGCTAACTGACCTAGTCAAGAGAGGTGCAGCTACCGGCATACCACGTCGCGTGAGTGGGGTGCACGGATGGATACAGCAAATCCACAAGGCTTCTGGGCCGGGGGCGTCGAAACGTCTAGGTAATCAAACGGCTCGACCGGGGTTCGACGTCTTACTTATGGTAGCACTCTTGCATCACGCAGATGAGACTCACTGTATATCCCATGCTTGGCGAACCCACGGATGAGTGTGGTGGTGGAGCCGGAATTATTGATGGGGACTTCCTGCGCACGATGAGGCACGATGACGACGAGTGTGCTAGACCGCGACAAGCTAATCAGCATCGTCACATCAATGGACCCAAAGCCCGGATGCTGCGCGATTCGCAAGCGTAGTGTTGCGCTATACACGGTGTGACTGCCAGAAAGCCACACATTCATTATGAGGCTATCTGACAGAATAAGTCAGGAAGGACGCCCACGCGTTGCCAAGCGGAAAACTCGGTATCCATGTCAACGATATCAACGACCATGCGAATGTTCCGCGACCGCACTTGGACCGCAGCGGCACTGTATGTATATACGTCTATGACCGCACGCGCGGGCGGGCGCCGGGGAGCCTACGGGAATATGCAGAGGTCTTGAACGCACGATTTGCACGACTCGCTGGATTCTGGGGTCATTGTGATACCCGATGTTAGTATGAATTGCGAAAAGTCGTAGGCACAGTACGCACCATATTACTACGTCCCAGAGCAACGCACATAAACCACTTATGAGCATCATTCAGTGAATTTTGCAGAGTCGTCAGAGCATATGATGTGTTGCGATCCTCCCAGTCCGAGTCGGACCCCTCACTTCACAAACTGTTCAGTATCGGATGACTGCAGGATACATCGTCATGTTAACATAGACCTCCGAAGGCTGACCATCTCAAGTACTTGCCAATAGTATACTACCAGGCACCATCCGTCGCGACACGTCGCCAGTGAATCGAGTATGTATACCTACCTTCTTCACTCGGTCTAGCTCCTCTTGGTCCAATCTTGGTCGGTGGTACGTTGCAGAACGACATTGGATCAACAAGCGCCCTTTCACTTGGGGATGAATGTGGCAATAGATAAGATAAGATATAAGATAAACTTTTCGACCCATCATCTTCGACGCCTGCGGGCAGGCGATCCTACGGAAAACGGTATCACATCTCTCTCCGAGTCTTACACACCACCATGTCGTCCGAAGCGAGTTCCTCGAGTACTCCAGAAAAGAAAAAGCCCATTGTAATCATCACAATAGGCATGGCCGGCGCAGGCAAGTCGACGTTCGTGCAGCGCATCAACTCCTACCTGCACTCGCTCGAGCCGCCTTCGCCGCCGTACATCCTCAATCTTGATCCGGCGGTGACCAGCGTGCCGTTCGAGGCGAACATCGACATCCGGGACACGGTCAACTATCACGAGGTGATGAAGCAGTGTGTGGTCATTCCACCCCTCGCTCGTCGTCCGTGATGCTCAGATAGCTTCCTTGCTTCCTCTCCCGCGCTGAAGATACAACCTCGGGCCGAACGGCGGCATCTTGACCGCTCTGAACCTATTCACGACGAAGTTCGACCAGGTATTGGGGCTGGTGGAGAAGAGGGCGGAGACGGTCGAGTGAGTGATTTGATTTCCCCTGTCCCTCGGGCCATTCTCAACGGGCTTGCAGCTATGTAATTCTCGACACTCCCGGCCAAATCGAGATCTTCACCTGGTCCGCTTCTGGGGCTATAATCACGGACGCAGTCGCAGGGACATTGCCGACGGTCGTTGCGTACATCATTGACACACCGCGGACGGCCGCTCCCGCTACATTCATGTCCAATATGCTGTACGCGTGCAGGTATGTCAGCCGTTGTTTCAGCGCAAATTCCGCCTCCACCCCGACTTCCACAGTATCCTATACAAAACAAAATTACCCTTCATCCTTGTCTTCAATAAAACCGATGTCCAGCCGCATGACTTCGCCCTCGACTGGATGCACGATTTCGAGGCATTCCAGGAGGCTCTCGCGTCACATCGGGGAACAACAGATGATGAGGGCGAGCCGACGTACATGAACAGCCTTATGAACAGCATGAGCCTCGTGCTCGACGAATTTTACAAGCACCTAACAGTACGCTCCTGTCCTCGTTTTATTCTCGCTCCGTCGCGCTGACACCTTCTCATCCCGCGCAGGCGGTAGGAGTTTCTAGCATGACGGGCGCGGGGATCAAAGAATTCTTCGACGCGGTCGAAGCCTCACGGACAGAATACGAAAAGTGCGTCTTCCACCGTCCCCGCATAATTCAGTGTTCGGTTTATCTCGCCTCGCCGTTCGCAGTGAATACCTTCCCGAGCTAGAACGCGCCCGCGCCTCGCGAGAGGCCTCATTGCAGAAGGCGAAGGAAGACTCGGTGAACCGGCTGATGGGTGACCTCGCCGTCGACCGTGCGCGGAACCCGAACGCCGCGATGATGGACCGGTGGGATCCCAATGAGGAAGACGAAGATGATGACGCGGATGTTAATATCATTGACCGGAGTACGTGTTTATCTATATTTCACAGAAGTCCGGGGCTTGCGCTAATGGACGCGTGCACTGCAGGCGAGGAGCCATGGCCGGGGCAGTACATCGATGTGACGAGGATGCATGGTAGGAACGACGAAGGGATTAATTGGCCACGGCCGGGGTAGTGAATTGTGGAGCCCAAAATACGTGAATTGTACGATCAACTTGTAACAGACTGTATCCACTAATTGTATATTGCCACAGAGTTTGACAGATCGCTGGCATTGCTTCAATTACTGCCATGCACCATGACCAACATATGTGAGCATTGGCAGTACACCGACCGCGATTATCGTGCTTTCTCGGTGGCATGGCTCCGCAACTGCATGACCATAACACTGGCTGCTACTTGACTGTATCCTTCACGTCAGATTGAATTTCTATAGAGGACCGGACTGCAGAAATTGGGAGTGCTGTCCGAGTAAGACTCGGAGACTAGGCTGCGTGTCCTGTCTGTCTACAAATCACGACAACACGCAATGAGTCTCCCCTGTCCTGTCACTGACTCCCCTGTAGGTTCGATGGCACAGCCGTGTGGAGGGTCTTGGTATGAGACTAGACTCCCCTGAACGTGTTGAATTTGACTCCCTGTTAGGTTGACAACTTCTGACTGCGGCTCTCATAACATGGGATCCGTCGGCGAGCCGAGAGCTCCTTCTACCCAATCGGCGACTTGGAGCCGTCCCGGATGGTTGAGGCGTGCCAATTTGGAATTGCAGCTGACTTGACTTCCGATGATGATAATCCGACAGACACATCTCCTTACATCCCCATCATAACCTTCGGAAGATCGACTCGCCGGGCGTGCGCGTGAATGCCTGATTGTGGGCACAGAAGTGACAGGGCTTGAGACGCTAAAGCTTATCCTATATGACGCATTGCTAATCGTGGTTCGCCAGCGCGGGCCCGTGCATACATGCAACAATCGCGCGATTGCAATGGCACGCGGATGCGGCCAGCCATCGGTAACCCGGTGTCTAGCAGGAATGGAATGATGCTCGAAGACAATAAGGCAGCCATTAGCAGTTGCACCCGAGCTGTCTTTCACTCTACCACATCCATCGGGTGATATCCCCTGAAAGTTCAAATGGGGCCATGCCCGTGCACACGGGCGTGGAGTCAGATGCTTGCAACTTATTTACGAGCAGAGACTATCCGGCTACATGGTATACACCCTGGTGTACCTCCGGGCGCGGTTGCTCGGTGGGGTGGCGATGTCATAGAAATCGGCACAGGCTAAGGAACGCTTAGTGAACCAGACCCTCTAGTACCTGACATGTAGGATATTCTATCATAGGTGTCTCGGCCTTGCGCGTGGGCTGGGCTGGATCATAGGGGGGTAGTTACTTACTCACTAGTCGGTTGGCAATTTCATGGCAGGGGTAGGTCATCAGCATCTACGGCCACAAATTACGGGTCGTGCGATGGAGGGAGGAACAACGAATAATGTTACGTCTATTCGCAGGTGCGTTGTGCGCGTGGCTGATTATTGTGAGCGAGAGTCGGGCTTTGGGAGGAGCGGTTGCCTGCAGCACTGCATCAGTACTTCCATTCTGGGCGATGTACTGGCGCTTACGTGATCATGCAGCCGTTGAAGCCAGAATGTTGCGCGCCGGCGCCCTCCATCGTCTTCCCGTCCTTCAAAGTTCGTTCGCAAGCTCGTCCTCTCCTCCCACCACCGCCACGCCCGCTTCATCCAGCCCCTCCCACAGCCTCCTCATCCTCGGTTCTCTGCCCCGATCCGTTCTCATGGAGCGGTGAGCATTCCGTTCAGCTGCTCACGTCTCGGAGTGGCACAGGCTGACCGTTCTGATCTTGTTCAGCTACTCGAAGATCGAGAAGGTTGGTGAGTGCGCTCTACATGCTGTTGTTTTGACTGCTGCTCATCTGGTCAACTTGTGCACTCAGGCGAGGGTGAGTCCGCTTCGCACAGCCCTCGGAAGCTCCACAGGCTTTTGAACTTATGCGGGTCGTCGCTCAGGTACCTATGGTGTGGTGTACAAGGCGAAGGATGTGACGACCGGTGAGGTCGTGGCCCTGAAGAAGATCAGGCTCGAGGCGGAGGATGAGGGCGTCCCGAGTACGGCCATTCGGGAGATCAGCCTGCTGAAGGAACTGAAGGACGACAATGTAGTCAGGTATGTCCACGCCGCGATGCCCTCGATCAACCGTTAAGCTCGATGCTAAGTTCCGAGCGCGCGCCTCGCCCGTCGCGCCCATTGCCGCTGCTGACCGCCGACGTTGTCTCCTTTCTAGGTTACTGGATATCGTCCACGCAGATGCGAAGCTCTATCTTGTGTTCGAGTTTCTCGACGTGGATCTGAAGAGGTACATGGAGCACGCGAACAAGGTTGGCAGTCCCATTGCTCCCGCCATGGTCAAGGTGAGTCCCGCGGTGCCGTCATGTCATGCTATCTCGCCTATCGTCCGACGGATCCGTCGCCCACGCATCTTGCACGTTCTTTGCGCGTGTTCGACGCGTGCGATCCGCGCCCGTCGCGTATGGACGCGTCCAGGGCGATGAAAATCCGAAAAACGAATAATGCCATTTAGTCACGTGACCCTGTCAACCGCACATGAGCGCTAAACCGCTTGGTGCTGTACATTCCATCCTGAAGTTGGCTTTTCATTCTCAAGACAACCACAACTGACATGTGTTGTTCCGTGAATAGAAATTTACTTACCAACTTAACTCTGGTCTCCTATACTGCCATTCTCACCGCATTCTGCATCGCGATCTCAAACCGCAAAACCTGTTGATCGACAAATATGACAACCTCAAACTAGCGGATTTCGGTCTTGCGAGAGCGTTCGGCATACCGATGAGAACATACACACATGAGGTGCGCAAGTATGCGATGCCCGGTTGCAAATGACATCCTGAAGGCCACGCGCAGGTCGTGACCCTCTGGTACCGTGCACCAGAAGTGCTACTGGGCTCGCGTCACTACTCAACAGCTATCGACATGTGGTCCGTTGGTTGCATTTTCGCCGAAATGGTGATGAGAGGCCACCCGCTCTTCCCTGGTGACTCGGAGATCGACCAGATCTTCAAGATTTTCAGGTCGGTCTCTGATCTTGTTTCGGCGCGTCATCGCCTTAGTCTGATGATCCCTACGCTAGAGTACTGGGGACGCCGAGTGAAGAATGCTGGCCGGGCGTTAGCCAGTTGCCAGACTACAAGCCAACGTTCCCCCACTGGTCGCCGCAAGACCTTTCGGACCATGTGCCGTTGTTGGACGAAGACGGTCTTGACCTTCTGAGAGTGCGTTGCGTCGACGTACGACGGTGTTACCTCGTTCTGATACCTAGCCGTTGTCTTCTAGGCGATGTTGACTTACGACACCGGCAAACGTATCTCGGCGAAGCGGGCGCGGGTGCACCCCTACTTCGAGGACTTCAAGCTATGATGTAACGACGTTCACGCTCACGACGCCCCGAGCCCGTTTCAGATATACACCCACGCCCTGTCCTTTTCATCCGTCCGTCCGTCGTATGCACTTCGCACTTCCTTGTTTTCCCCTCCCCCAGTCCTCGCAGCTTGTTCGTCGCCACGCAACTATATCAGTATGTTCAATACATTACATACGCGTATTCGTGTCTCCATAGCCCCGTTCTCGCATCGCATCGTCTTTTGACCCCGACCGGTAACCAGTCTCGGTAATGGAATGTGTCGTTGTGACCGAGTCAACTTTTGCCTCGGTGAGCCTTTGGGACCAGCCCACTGGTCCGATAATTGGTACGTTCTACTTCGCTTACAGTCCGTCAATGCGTGTTTTACGAAGTTGCAACTCGGAGAGTCACAATTGTATTGATGGCATTGCCTCCAGGCGGATAACATGACATAGGCAAACCGAGATACGACAACCGTTCATCCCTGCCTGAAGGTAACCCCTTCAAAGTCCCAGAACAGTTCGCATAACCGCACACCCAAACCAAATCGAGTAGGTACCAAGCGAAGGGAAGAAAAAGTGAACGTGCGGAAGAAACGAATGGGTTAGTGTACAACAGTTCAACGACCACAATAAAGGACAGTAGGAAATAGATTGTACAAGACTCAAAAGGAGCGAATGTTCAAAGAGGGCCAACACCAGGGAGCGTAAAGTCAGGGAAGTTAGGCCAGTTGCCGAGCTCACCGGGGTCGCCGCCGAGACGGATCCACTGTGAGTGCGAGGGAGTCGGTCCGTCGAGCACGAAGAGCTGTTGCCATCCCGGAGGAGAGACGTAAGAGTTCGGGGGAGCTGTGATGGTGCAGGTGTTGCCGCTGCATGAGAACTCTGGGAAGATGGTCCTGGAGCCCATGTTGTTGCCATGGGTGCTGGACGTGGCTGCGGTCACAGCGTAAGGTGACAAATTGCGTCGCGAGCGACAGACCCAGAACTCACCGGCAAGCATGGATACCCTCATGGTATCCGTCGTTCCCTCGTATAGCTCCACGGTGATGGTGTACGTGCCGCCGTAGCTCCAGTCGTTCTCCTCGACGGTGAAATTCGGTTGCTGTCTGCCATCTGTCAGGTAGGGCGGGTAGTAAACCTCAATTCGCATTTCCTCAGGGTATCCTGGCGTCTGGGGGTCGCTGCCCGAGACCAGGACTCGGCCATCGGGAAGGAGCTATTCGCGCGGTTAGACGGTTTCGTAATGGTGGGGCTCATGTCTTACTGTGAGTTCAGAGTGATACATGCGCGCTACGATTGTCGTGTTGAGCACTGAGATGCGCTGGTGGACCGGCTGGCTGGGATCGTACAACAGTGCTTGGAAGTTGGGGTCGGACCCGAGGCCGAAACCCGCCACACCTGCTTGGGCACCGTTGGCGATGAGGAAAGTACCGTCGGGGAGAGCTATGCGAATGACTTTAGTCAGTGGATATATACGCGTCCAAGGCTGTGCTTGAGCTCACGGGCCTACGGAGCAAGAACTAATCAGTCAAAGGGATAGCAAATCATAGATTAAGAGTCGTACAATGCAAGTCATCACGCGCTTCGATGGCTATAATGATCCTCGGTCAGATAAAATTCTTGAGCGACTCACCGTACTCACCATCCGCTCAAGCGTCCAATCCGGGTTCTCTGCCTCGGGTTGAATGCTAATGCAGTTGTCAAGCGCGACACCGAAGTTCGATCCACCACAGATCAGCACGGTCACCGGATCAGTGTAGGGCGGGTATTGGGGGAAGAGCACTGCAGTAGCTTCCATAGGGTATGTCCTTCCTGCCAGGAAGCTAGTCACCGAGCCGGGCATGTTAGGTAGCACTTGATAGGTATCAAGCGTGATCGGGTCGAGTATCCTCGCTTCGTTGTAGTAGCCTAGACGGAAGTGAGCCACTTCGTGGTAGACAACTCTTTTTCCGCAGAGACATACCGATGAAGACTCTACCACTGGGTAGCATATGAAGGAACGGGTACAGGTTGTTCGGGTCGGTTCGATTGAGGTAGTCCAGGAACTTGTAGGTGGGTCCTCCGGCAGGCGTTGGGAGGATCTCCAACGTCGGTTCAGGTGCGCCGTTACTTCCAACCTCACCGCCTACAACAAGCACGCTCCCGTTCGACAGTACCAACGCAGACGGGTACCAACGACCGCGCTGTCAAGCGTGATCAACTACACGGCATGCTGCATGTTACGCGCATCGCATGCTCACCTGCAAGCTGACTTCTTGGTAGTTCTCCTCCCAATCGTTGGTGCCGTTGACACCAGGACTGCCGTCGGGAGCGTATAGCCTAATGCCGTAGGTGCTCTCAAGGCTCCAGCCGCCGACGTTGAGTTGCCTAGCAGCTCTGTCCGGGAGGATTAGAGAACCAGAACAGAAGACATCGGTCTTGACGTGCATGGTACGCCACGCTAGCTCGAAATTGTCGACTAGGCTGAGGTCGAGTTCGTATGCGCCAGTCGAGTTGGCGTATTCACTGGTGCCATACTTCTCCACGAAGCTGACCTTGCCGTTAATTCCAACAGTAGCCACCAGCGGTACGACGACGCCTCCAATCAAGAACTAAGGAGATAAGGCTTCAGCATAATTATGGCCTTATTTTAGCAATAAGCCCGACCTCGTAGTAGCCGATGTTTTCAGGCGTATTCCACACGTCAATGCCGCCATTCCAATAGTACAGCTGGTGCGATCACAGAAGTCAGTGACAGAATTGTTACATCGAAGAGTACACAATACCTGCAACCTTTCCGCGCCACCGCACAAGTGTATTGGATCGCCGGAACATGGAATCGAACAATCAGACGCGTTAGCGAAGCCGTCGCTGTATTCCGCGACGTCCGATACGTCGCCACACCCTACGCGACCCAGTCATTCGATGTCGCGACAAGAGATGTGTCACACTTACAGCACTCATCGCCATATTCCATACCGGCTGCCGGATACCCGAACATAGCGCACTGATTCAGGCAAGCATCGACCGTATTGTTGTACGTCCAAATATTCTGGTAGGGGAATGTCCTGTTCGCTCCAGGCTCTCTGCACATACCACAGTAAGTCATGGGCTGAATCTCGAAAAGATATAAGCGCACTTGAGACAGCCTTGATACTGCCACTGTCCTGGAAGGCTCGTATTCTGAGGGACTGGTACTGGATATACGGTGACGTTGTCAGTCGATGTGTATACCTGTGCTCAATTATGAGTTACAGTCGCCGATGCGAGAGACTGGCGAACCGATAGTCTGTTGGGACCACCACAGGCCTCCCTACACGAATGTGAGTCAGAATGAACTGCATAAGAAGAATATACGCACGTGCTGTTCCCTCCGCATCCCATGTTACAGTCACTGTCCTCTGTAGTAACAGCGCCGTTGACCAGATTATCGCCACAGACTAAAACGTCTCAACTGAGTGACCTCATCTGACCAGAGCCAATGTTGGAATAACGTACAGCACTGGACACTATATTCCAATCCGGCGACAGTGAAGTTCTGCGCCGTGCAGTTCGCAATGCACGACTCCACGGTTAGATTCGAATTGTCCGGAAGCTCCGTAGATATCGCGCGACCGTATGCATTGTCACTGTAGACTCAGACATCAATGCCGATATTGGCAGCCGTGCGCTCGAATTGACTCACACATAGCACGCTGCATATTGCCAAGGTGACGGAAGGCCAGACGTGACGGGATACACAGGCGACGAGGATCCGCCGCCGCCGCCACCTCCGCCAGGGTTGGAGGGAGGAGTGGGAAGGCTTGTACCCGTATAGTTGTAGACCTAAATCTACATTAGAGGATGTCGTGTCAAAGAAAAAGATTCACCTCACGTTCAGTGCGTTAGGACCTCCGCAATATTCAGAGCTATTGCCAGCGCAGACCATGTCGCATGTACCCAACGAAATAGGCGTGGCACCGTTGTCAAACTCAAGTCCACAGACTAGCAAGATTGGCGATCAATCTTCAACGGACGACGGATGCAGAGGACGTACAGCATTGCGTCGAATATTCCATTCCGGCCAGTGGGTAACCAGAATTGTAGCATGCAGTCGTACACGACTCGACATCAACGTCACCATCCACAGCTGGAGAGATTGCGAGAGCGCGAGCATTGGTGGAGTCACTACAACCACGGTTAGTTCATACTATGCATATGAAATCAATCACTCACTTGTAACAACCAAGGGAATCCCAGAGACCCACACTGGGCACAGTGATGGGAGGTGCCGGTGGCTGAACGCCGCTCCAATAGACGTTCAAGCGATCTGACAGCAAATCATGTAAGACATTACTCCAGACACTTAGAATGCAACGGACTGCCCGCGCCGCATGTCTCCTCGGCATTGCCCGTACAGGGCACATCGCAATCTGTGGCAGGGGCTTGAGTCCCCCCGTTCGAGAATGCATTGCCGCAGTCTGCGTATATGAAGGTCAATCGCTGGATACTTGCATGCAATGAGTCGCATATCCACACGCACAACACTCCTGGGCGTATTCAACGCCTGCGTACACGTAGCTTGTTGACTGGTCAGAACAGAAACTAATGCAGGACTCGACAGTCATATTGGACGTGTCTGTGTAAGAGGGCCCCGTCAACGTGCGCGAGCCCGTATTGTCCCTATACGCGACGAATGAGCATCACTCGACCTGAGATAACTAACACACCCACGTGTAGCATCCTTCAGCAGTCCAATTGCCTGGAAGGTCTGGACCGGAGGACTGACGACGATGGATATATTGGAGGCGAGCTCCCAATGGACCATGTTTCGCACGAACCTGTCTCAGATCGTCAGTCCGTGGAGACCTTTTCTTCAATACACGGAACATACGACAGACAGTGGCGCCGAGAGCACCAGAAGAGAGTGGATGAGGATAGACATCCTCCTAGGAAACAGCCTCGCGGCGAACGCAGCGACTGCGAGCTTCCCATTATGCACTTTGCAGCGCTTTATAGAAGATCGTAGCCCTGGCCTGTCACACAGAACCGGTGCATCGACCAAACCCGACTGGGCAAGTAGCTCACAGTTGACATCGTCCATACTATTGTTCGGTCATGGGTGACCGGTTGAAGCGCCACGAGGAGACATAGGCCTCGAGGAAATTACCAAGGAAATTACTGAACAGGGCAGCCACCGAATCATAACGCATACGATCCAGTACTCTTCCGCACCATCGGTTCCCATCCGGCGGGGATTTGACATGGTTCCTCGCGCTACTCTGGATTATGAACGAGTAGGAACCATCAGCGCATGTGTCCCCGCCAATGTCAGACAGTGTACATTACCTACAAAGGGATCATCGATCAGTATCGAGTCGTCGAGCGGCACGTACTGACCGTTTCCCTTGACGCTCGTAAGTAAATAGCTTACCGTCTTGTCTTCACGTGTCTGTCACACTGCCTGCAACCAACATCAGAAGATCAATGCGCACACAAACCCAAGGTCAACGACCATAAATTGGAGCTATGTGTTGAAAACGAGCATCTTGTTCGGATACCCGATCCTCTCGGGAATAAACTGTGTTGCTCTTGATTGGCCACTGACAGCGTCTCGACCAAGAGTAGTACTTGTGCCGCTCTCCCGGTCCCATCTCTAGATGCGTGTTGTCCAAAGTAAACGGAAGCTGCCAGTAGTTGTTGCCGAATTATGCAGGTTGGACAGGTTCTCCATGCGGCCGCTGTTACGTGTTCACCGAAGAGTAATCAAGTTCCTGGGTGCCCATCACGCCTACGTACTGCAGTACATGATGGCAGGTACAAGGACACCCGCTGTATTGAACCATAGCGGCTGCAGGCTCATTAGGCGGTGATATGCATCTGAGCACAAGGCTTACCAGTACACATGTAATGATAGACATGACCGTCTGAGCGACTACGAACTCTATTGAATAGTGTAGGGCGGATCAAGCGAGCAGCCACGATCTATCACGGACTCACATCGGGCGCGGTCGTAGTTCACCTTCCTGTTGGCCAAAGGACCGGGCCAAGAGTGTCCTTGACGCTGCAGGAAACAGCGCTATCTCCGGTGATCTGAGACTCAGAGGCATTGTACAGATGGCACGCCGCGACACTCGGACGTCTTCGCGGATTAATGCTCCGACTCGGAGGTCTGACTGCATGATCAGTGTGGTTGTCCCGCACAAAAGGGGATTATTATTGGCACCGACGCTGGATAATTGGAAGAGCTTCGAGCTCAGTCAAGTGGTTCAGTTTGAACAGATGCGCTGACGTACACGAAAGCTTCATGTCGATCGAGGTTGAAACCGCGCGTCCAGGTACCGTTTCCTCGACATCGCGCGCTCCGAAGTGTAAGTCCATTATGCGGCTCCGGAGAAGTGGATCAACCGGAGTTGGGCATTGGTGCAGTGATTGCGTCTCGCCTTTCTGGGACCGCACATTCAGTACCACCAAAGTACCGCTGTTATTTTGCCAGCTGACACTGCCAGGGAAGCAAGTTCACGCCATACTAACTATAAGGGGAAGAAAAGTCTTGTTGTCCTGAATCGGGGCCAACAGATGCATTCGTACCTGGCTTGTCCATGGATCACAATCGATACTCGCGACGCGCCATTCAGCTTTCAGTGTTGTCACTTTGAGTCTTGACGCGAAACATCTGACCGCGTTTCCAGACGGGGAACCTTGCTGTGAGATGACCCTACGCAGATTGCGCTAAAGGTGACTTCGCAATCAGTCAGTGCCTGTACAACAGCCAACGGAGTCAACCTACTATGTTCCGAGCCTCTGCAGACATCGGGAATATAGATTTTACGCCACATGTCTCCTGTCCCTAGGTGTCTGAACGTCGGGGTGAAGACGGCGTACCTGGACATGCCGGCACGCTGTACCTTGGGTGTGGTCCACAATTCGCATCATGATCGACACAAGCCATTCGTGAGTATAATCATATTATACAATGGACTACATCTTTGAGACGGGGTGAGTAACTCCGCGCAGGCAATGTACAAGTCGCTTACAATAACATACATCGCCTCGAGAGGACAAAGCGCGCTGGACTACGATTGATCGACAGAACTGACAAGGAGATTCCCTACGTCCCAGGGACACCGAGGATGCCTAGACCAACCAGTACCAGTGTGGGAAGGGGAACCCTAGTATCCGTCGTCCGCGATATCACCGCGACCTCGCTAACACGTCGCAGTCAGTGTGTGCGTCCAATATGAGAGCGTGCACCCAACATAAGAGTTTGCATCCAAAATGAGAGCGCAAACTTTCTGTGGGGTTGTGCCTGCAGATCAACAGACATCTCATGGGACTAGGCAGAGGGGAAGTTGATGACCAGACAGACCGTATAAGATGTTCGTATGATGGGACTCACAGGACGTCACATACATGCGAATACTAGGGTTTTGACATGGAACCATACGAGCGATTCGGGGAGGTATGGAGTATACGACTATCCTCTTCGCCGTCAAAGAGGTCGTACTTGTCGTCTGCCTACGAGAGACTAGGAAGCAATTGCTGTCGTACTTCGACCTCCAGTTGACCACGCAAAGTTCCCCATTCAGGGTCGGCGACTCGGATTCCTGGGCTTAGGATAAGACATCGACATCGTACCATGATACCTTGATGACACCAGTACGTTAGTAGGCTTACTTGAACGACGCTGGATTGAGCGTCACAGCAACTGAGCGAGCCTCCAGCGTCGCTTTTCAGGCGAGATGTTCCGAGTTCGATGCCCAAAAGCCTGCATGTACTCCGCGTAGAACCAGTACGGACGATCCAGAGCTCAAGCTAGTATCATTGCAGTGTGAGTGTAAGTAGCCTGGTGCTCGCATCGCTAGCGCTGTGGCCCGTCGTCTGCCAAAGTCCAGACCGCGCACGTGATATATGTTTTGACCGCCATTTCGTGGAAAGTCAACGTGAGGTAGAAGTGAAAGAGATTATTTCACCCTCTAGTCCTTAGCTTTCCCTCAAAGCCGACTCAAGTATCGATGGCAGACGACAAAATACTGTAGAATTTAATTCAATCCGGCGGTCACACGTCACAAGGCCCCTCGCCGCACCGGAAAACGGCCCTTGTCACAGGTCACTGAGGGCCCCGCCGGTCGTGACAAATGCATATATTTTTCGCCGCCTCCGGCGGCGGTCTCCAGCACGCATTTTGGTGATGTTTTGAGCGCATTGACGCGCCGCCGCACCGTCTGCGCGCATGCGTCACACGTCACCATCGCCCGCGCCGCGCCGTCTTCAGGCGGCGCGGCCGTCACACGTCACAACCCGCGCCGGATTGAATTAAATTCTACAGTATTAGCCTTACTGTCAAGCTTTTTTTTCACTCCGTCACACTGGCAATAGAGGCAATTAATGACCCTACATGCATGAAGCCTTGACATGAGGCCTTGAGCTTGAGAGCTTGGGGCCTGGCAATTATCGGTGGCCATACATATGTAGGCCTGCAACAACGGTTCTCTTGCAACACGATATCTTGCAATCCCAGGTACACTACGCAGTTTGGTTGTCAGGCCGCCTCAGCGCACAAGTTCTGTCCAATCTGACTAACACGTTCACCGTTGGCGAAATACTGAATGTTAATATCACTGTCCTTGAAGAACAGTGCGCAGGTCGTGGACACGATGGTTGCGAAACCGTCGGTGCTTTATGGGTACAAGATAAATAGAGTCCCGGATCATGGTACGCGCAATAGTGTATCTTGGCATATTCGGTCCTGGTTGGCTACGCACGCACAGAGTCCAAAAGTGGCCGCAGGGGAGGCCGATGATGTATGCTACAGCGCAGGATAATTTGTTGTTATACGTTTCTGGTGTTTCCTGTAACTCTGATCACGTAAGTCGTGCATGCTTAGCTCTACTACGAGCATGTTCTGCCCACGACACACCTTCAGCATGTCGTGTAGCCACTGGTGACCTATTGAGAGTATAGGTGCGATAAGAGTAAGTTGAATCCATTTTTTTGGATATCGAGCGGCGGTCTAAGCGAGGGACCGATACAACGATAGATGCAGCCGTACGCTGTACATGCATACGCCCCCAAGCTTGTACCATCACGACATCTATCACAACGGCTGGACCTAGGTCTGTCGAGCGCATGCGCTTTGGATCGTTCGAGCGCACAACCGTGACCGCGCTCACTGGCGCGAAGAACAATGTGGCCGTGGTAACACTCCCCGCAGTGCTTCCGCGCGCCCATGACACGATGGCATGATGAACGCTCGCTCTAGCTCAGGGGCAATGATGAGTACATATAGACGACAACGTCCTCGATACGTACGCAGCTCACGACTGCTTGCATGTTAGTATCCGTTTGCATGAAGGCCGTACACACCGACGGAGTACACACTTGACCTGGAGAACCTCCGGGGAGAGACAACGCCGGGTGTACGGCTAGTAGAGGGCAGGGAGACCATGGGAGTTCACACAGGACCGCACCGATATGAAACTGCTTCCGGCGTGAACACAGACAGAGCGTCATAGGTCAGAGGTTGACCTTCGTGTCCGCTCCGCTTTCGTTCAGTTCCGTCTGCTTCGAGATGTCAGAAGGTGTTCTGGTCCAGACCCTATTGGGTGACGACTTACAGGTCGAACGCGCGCGCATCTGCGCCTACTTACCCTGCTGGGAACCCTCGGTCGCCGGCCCTCAGACCTCAGGGTTTGAACCGCGTGGCAGCGCACAGATGACGACTCGATGCCATGGTGTGTACGTTGCACGTCAATGTCGCCGTTGAGCGTGACCACGGTATAGTGGCAGCTCGTCAGTGGCTCAACGATGAGGAGTATTGGCAGCGACTGTCAGCGAGGCTGTGATTGCATCGCGAAGACGAGTGGGCCTTCCATGCCAGGGACGGACCCTTGATATTTCGAAACGAGGATAGGACCACACTGACGTACGGATGTCTTGCGTCGTGCTTCCCAATCGGATGATCCATCGGGCTGGCTATGGTGTCGAAGAGTCCGTAGAGAGAAATGAGGACACCCTGTGTGCAGGTGCGCGGCTCACAGGGCCTGGCCGCAGTGCCGCGTGAGAGTGCAGCCCGCGGCAAGTGAGGAGTCTCGAAGACAGACATAGGAAATGCGGCCCCGGATGCTGTCGAGGGCGACGTCTGTCAGCGCGATCCACACTGGGGGGACCTGCCTTCCCTACCTTCGAGCAAGGCCCACGGTGAGGCTGGTGCTATCGAGACGCTGGGCTGCCGCGGGTCTAGGAACACGTTCGGGCGATAGAAGGGCGCAGGCTCGCCGCAGACGGCCCCTGCGAGGAACATGGATGCGGCACATATCGCGCCAGCCAATCACCGGCCAGGAGCGGGCGTCCGCGATGCTCGAGACGGAGATGGGCGGAACTTTATTCGTGTGGCGCGTCGCCGGGGGCGTGGATAGCGAGCCGCGACGGTTCCAACGGCGTGATGCATTGCCAGAAGACACAGACGGCATCCTGGATTTCACAGCGAAGGCCCACGACGGGGAAAGAACGTACATAGAGGGTGGGCGGGCGAGAGTCAGGCGGATGATACGGGCTCCAAACTCGACCAAATTCGGCACCCGGGCGTTGGCCACATCGCGCAAAGATAGGTGTTGGACGCGATCGCCCTCGCACGGACGCAAGGGGCTCAGGGTGGATCCGAGGGCTCAGTCGCCGAGAAGGGCCCGCCGTGGCTCTGTCGTGCTTCGCTGGTCGCTGGTCGTCGCCTGGTCGAAAGGAGCAAAGTTCCCACGGGCTGCTTGTGGCGTGCGCGGGGGCGGGGAGCGAACCTTCTTTGTCTCCTCCCACCCCGACGAGATCTCGCGCGCGGTCAGTCAACTTTGTTTTTGAACTTTATATGCGATTTTGCTGACCATCGCAATGTCCGTCATCGCCGCGCACGTCCTCTCGCCGACGTCGCTGTCCCCGCCGTCCTCGCCATGGGCTCCACAGTCTCGCCGCCATGTCCCACGACTCCCAGCAGTCCCCTACCAGCGGCAGCGGGTCCAACAACTGGACAGACCCGCCGTGGACGGGCTTCATCGAGACGACAGGTGACGCGCTGCTCATCCTCGAAGCGGCGCGGCGCGGTATGATTCCTCGCGTCACCCGACGCCTCGTCGATTCCGAGCGCAAGATGATCACCTCGGGCTCTGTCTTCGTCTTCGACGAGGACGAGAGCGGCATCAAGCGATGGACGGACGGGTTCTTCTGGAGCCCGAGTCGTATATTGGGCAATTTCCTACTCTACCGCGAGACGGAGAAGCGCGGTGCAGGGCATAGGAGCGCCCGTGTTGAGCAGCAAGAAGAAGTGGACGCGAAGGGCGAGGGGCAGTCGCTGAGCAGGCCAAAGAGTGAGGCACACCGTCTGACGGGCGTCGACCGCCAGCGCGAGCGCAGCCTTGTAGGCAGCCTCACGAACAGCTACAAGTTCAAGCCAGGTGGATGATGAAGAAGGTGCGTCATCCGTTATCTCACCGAAACGGTCTCCCGTATTGAATATCCTCAAGACTTTCTCCCTGACTATCGGTGGCGTCGCCCAGCACCTCATATCCTACTACAAGATCGAGGATGTCGAGAAGGGCCGCCTGCGCTCGCCGTCGTCCCTGCCTGAACTCGCCTCGCTCGACATTTCCCCAGAGTACCTAGACAAGACACATTTCCGCAACCCGCCCAAAGTCGAGGTCGGCGTTGACGGCGTCCCGCGCTACCGCGGCGACGCTGACGACAGCGAGTCCTCGCCGACGCTCTTACCCGCGCCGCTCTCGGGCATGCCAATCTACCCGGACAGCAGCGATTCTTCCAAGCGCGGCAAGCAGCGCTACGGCCCCTACGACGGCAGCACCTCCAACAAGCGGCGCAAGAAGAGCTCCGCGTCTAACCCTGGCTCCTCTCCGGTGGAACCGACTTCTCCCTCATCCGACGTCGCGCAACCGACGCCACAAGCAGCAGTACCATACCCCGTCGCCGACCCGCCGCACCGACGCAGCCTGCGCCACACTACCCTACATACGGGTACTACGTCCAGTCGGGCTACCACCCACCCCCTGTGTATCCTTCGCCCAGCCCATACCCCACCCTCCCTCCGCCCACGACGAGCTCGCCACACCCGCCGACGCCGCCAAACGCGCAGTACGCGTACCAAAGCTACCCTCCGCCCGAATCGGCCGGATACCCTTCGTACTACCCGCAGCCCCACGGGTACGCAACGTACACGCCCCCACCATGGCCGCACTACGGGTACGCGCCGCCCGCTGGGGCACAGGCGCCGGCGAGCCTCGAGGGCGGGGAAGCGCGTGCGGAGGAGGTCGGCGAGGGCCGCGAGTCGTAGGTGAGAGTTCCGTGTGTGGTTGAGGATGAAACGCTGCTTGGATAGGATCGCTTCGCACGCCCCCGTGTCTGTGTCTGCTGCTCGTCGTGTTTGCTTCCGTTCGGACTCTGGGGCGCGCCGATCCCGTCGAGCGCCCGCCGCTGTGTATGTGTACTTGTGCCCGTTTGCCTTTGCCTCTCTGCTGTGTGTACGCCCCGCTCGCCCCTCGCGCTCTCGTATCGTCTCGCGCGCGATTGACTACGCTGTGATGTGATGTCTTCTATGCCTCTTACGTGTACTGCTGTCCGGCTTCTTGTTCTCGTAGTGTCTTCCTGGCGCGGAGGCGGACCGTCGCCCCGCCTCTGCGCTTCCTCTGTCGGCTTGCTCCTGGTGTATATGTGTATCCCTTAGCTCGGCTCGTGCGCGGTCCTTCCCGCGGTGTACTATTAGTTACAGCAATGAGTAGCGTCTTGCTTATCAGGAATTCGCGATGACCCTGGCGGGACGGTTTGATAGCGCGCATGCGCGTGGGTGTTCAAGACTTCCAGTTCTACGACTGCATTGCGGTGTCGCTGCAGGCCGCACTGGTTGGTATAGGTACGTTCCTCCCTTTTGCCCGCAAACTGCCATTCTCCTTCTGATCTTAGCGTTGTTATTTTAAGATGAGTTCCTGATTTCGCCACAAGAGCTGAATCCCTGATGTAGCACAGCAGCGGAGATTTAGAGCGTCGGTGTAGTAAGTACGTATCCGAGTCAATACTTGCAATCTGTGGCGCAACAAGCGCAAGTACGCCCAGCGACGTACCCCCGAATCTCCCCAGGTTCGTGGAGTTCTGAAGTTTCCGGTGATGGTTTCTTGCTGAATAGCTCGCTTCATGACATGCTCACCATTTCCGATGAGTTCAACACAGAGTTGCGACGAATTCGGCACAGGGGCTCATGATGTGGTGGACGATCACACCGGGTCCGAAGGTCCCAGCGAAGACAACGTATGTCCATAGTAGGGTGCGCGGCGTACTACTGGATCATCACTATGAAAGGTGGGCTGACAGTTGCATCGCTGAGACTCGTACTAATTCGCAAACAACTCCCCGTATATATTAGCATACATGACCGGAGTGGATCATGCAGTGGTCTTCATCAAACCATGCTGTATTTTGAATGTGGCCTGGTAGGCCACCGGAGTCAGTGCCTCTGGCAGATGTCAGATCTGCGGTATTCTCGCGTTCGCGCGTTGAGCTGCCTGTCGCGGAATGGTATGTGCTGCCTCAACTGGCGATGTTCGTACTGTTCTTCTGCTGGGAATTGCAATGACCATGAGTGCTGTGTAAGTAGCGCGCGGGAGCCGTTAAAAGAGGGCCATTCTTGGCGAGGATCGCCATCTTGTACTTCGCCGGCCTGTTCCTTACCCAAGGACATCCGCGACACCTCAAATATAAAGAATCATTCTTGATGGCGAGCGAGTTTAGTGTGGAGTTGGCCCGCTACGATGAGTGAGTGTCTTTCATCGGTCGCGTTGATTGTGGCTCTTGTCCTGTAGTCGTCGCTGATGTTTGCTCGTAGGATTGGTGATATGATTGTGACATCAGCTTTCAGTCGGTACCAGATGCGGAAATGACACAACCGCGACTTTCACTCATTCGCTCCTCTGTAGCCCTTTATGTCTACGATCGCATGCTGACCTTTGGGTCGGAGATCGACTTGATATGGCGCCGAAAGAGGACCGGTATCACAATACCTGTGCTTTACACATCAATGCACATGCTCATCTTTGGGAACTTGCTGTTGAATGTTTGCCCGCCTGCAGCGATATCGCTTCAGGTGAGCCAACGAGCATCATTTGCCCCTCTACGCTCTACCAGTAACAAGCATGCCTATCTATTGCAGAGGTCAGTGTGGATATTCGTAACACAATTTCTTTCGTCTGAGTGGGATGGGACAGCTTATGGGCGGTGGTAGTCATGACGAATGTTACGGCCTCTCTCCTCTATCTGATTTGGGGATGTGCGTATCTTAGTCTCGTAGCTGCGTCCACACGCACGAACTCACCAGTTTTCCAGTCATTACCGCGATGCGAGTGTATGCCGTCCATGGAAGAGGCAGTGATATCTATGCGCCAGCATTCGTTTTTCTTTGGTGGCTGATACCTGTGGGCATCAACATCGTACGTTCGTTGTTTGTTACGCAAGTGTTATCTGATCGTGCCGATTGAACATAGTATAATGCAACTACCTGGTTCGTCATCGCCTCACAGCCGGAACAAGGCTATGATTTAACCTCGAGGACCCCTGTAGCTGTGCACAATATGCAAGTGTCACATGCATTTCACGGACCTGTGATAGAAATAACTCATCACGTCCCACCCCTTTCAGATGCGAGTCAAATTTTGTAGTGGAGTCGAACAGCGACTGACCAAACATATCAATTGATTGTTGCTGCAGTGGAAATTGTTACACGAATATCTATGACCATCGCCGATGGATGTGCTTTGTTTTTCATATGGAGAAACAGCGGGCGGACGGTTGGGCTCCGTGAGATGCTAGGCGAAAAGCCATCGCTTTCAACCACATTGCTACGCGGAGGTTCGTGCACTATGTGCAGTGATCAAATGTGCTACCTGAGGCTAATATGCCGCTTCCAGGGACTGCACACTTCTGGCAAGTTGGGAAGCCCGCGCCGTACACGCGAGACTCATGTGACATCCATTCCAGCGCGCTTTTCGTCACTCGAAATGCCGCCAAGAGGGGCGGCGCTACCTTGCTCGCGCAGGTCTTTGGAAGGGGACATCGACAAATACTGTAGTATTTGAAAGGCAAGCCTAGGCTTCTGAACGTAGACTACTGTACAAAGATCGAGGACTTCTGCTATCGTACAAACTGCTATTGTACACACTGAGTGCAAGACAGAGTTCATGATATGGAGAGGTCGGGTGCGCGAGTCGAAATAAGCACAATGATATGAGCATGTTCCGGTATGAATAAGGCAGCTCGACTAACCTCCATAACTTATATCGGCCCTCGATGGAGAAGCGGAATAAGTATCGTACAGACGCGTACTAAGAGTGCCGCCGCACTTGTATTCGCAGGCTAATGCAAGAAGGCAGACACTGCGTTGTACCCGGCAAGGCTTCTGTGAGGCGACTGAAAATTGGCATAAAGTACGTTGAGTGCTATAGAATGCTCCTGAATCACTTCATTTTGCTTAGAAAATCATGCCCCGTGCACAGTTCCGGGCATGCAGGTCGCAGTAGCAGCCGCATTTAACGGGCGCTTGCGAGTATTACCTTACAAGGTAACTGCCACCACCGCTGCCCGCCGGTGTCGCGAAGTGAATAATTCTCGTTCATTTTGCATGGTCATACATCATGTACTCATTTACCTGTAGTTGTTCTCCACAACAAAACCCTCCATGACTGTGAAACTGTCTGACTCTCTGAATATTTGGTGTCGATGTGCCTGCTCATGTATTGCTGCTCACGCATGTGACATTGACAACAGCCACAAACAAGTGTTCAAGCGCCCGGCAACAATTACAGACGAGAGAGCCTTGCTCTAGCGAGCAAGGGATGAATGCTGGTATCGCGCTGTCATCGATATGGAGTAACAGGGTGAGTGGTTGCATCAATGGTGCCTGCGTATGTCGGCGTGCAATATAGTGACCTCGTTTGCAGAATGTTGTCATCGCCACCAGCAATAACATAATTCAATTTGTGAACGTGTAAGCTGGCCGGTTTTGGCGCTGCAAAAAGAATGACTGACATGCTGTGAAGCTTGACGACTATCCTCCTCTCTCGCCTATTCTTGGATCTGCGCGAAGTGGCCGATGCTGATGTCAATCGTACACTGCCGACTGATGTTTCAGTCTCGATACGGTTTAGACGTTCTCCCGGACCTGTTGAAGACTCTCTTCTTCGTGCTACGACCAATGATGAGGAAGCTCTCTATGCGGTTGGCTCCCTCGTGGATGTAGATGCGGAAGGGGAGGGGGTCACCTCAAGACGATCCGCTATTCGGTGACGAGGATTACGAAGGGGTGCAAGAAGTAGCCATAAGGTGATAGATGGTTCACACGATTGAGGACGAGGTTGGGGCCGCGACTCCTGCTCGGGTTGCTGCAATTGTGGTAGAGATCGTGGAGTAGGTAGACGTGCCGAGTAGTACCGAGCAGTGCAGGGACATTGGTTGAGACGTTTTTGGTAGAACTGTCGTTGTAGTTATTTATCCTGGATGCTGAATTCTGATATTGACCCATGGTCTTGTTCCGTGCGCGTCGCTGGTGGGCGTTCTAACCCCCCGCCGCCACCCCGCCGCCGTCTTGCTCGTCTTCCTCGCCACGCCTACTCTCATCTCCCGCCGCCCACTCCGCGCAAGTCGCCCTTCCCGCCACCCTCGCGTCCATGCCCGGCGTCGTCTCCGCCACCCGCCCGCGCCACCCTGCCCTTGCCCTGCCCGTCGCTCCCCGCCCATTAGAACACGACGTTGTGCCCCTCGATACAAACTTCAGTCTACTGCGAGCAGTAGACTGAAGGGCGGAGCCAGTGGCCGCTGATGAGAAGACATAAGTACTCGAGTGTCTGTACGACCGCTGCTCATGCCCAACAGAGGAACGGTGGCTGGCCGATTGACCCACTTACTCTTCTTCTGCGCTGGATCTTGATTTCTCCGCCTCCGCCTTGAATCATTTCACTTTCCTGCCCCCAAAGCACTATATGCTGGAGACCAACATCAGCGTCTTTACGGTGGATGCATAGTACGTAGCCGGACTGGGCATGGCGCAGATAAGACATGGCAACTTGGCGAATCTCACGAAACGTATGGTGAGAAGGTGAGTACGACCTTCCAGCTCTTTACACGTCCTCTTGATGAGCAGTTGTTTATAAGTCGATACTTGCGGCTGACTACTGGTTCTACGAACAATGATGAACGACGCCCACAGAGAACCGGACATCATAGAGAACCTCACTGCCTGGAACGATTACAGCGCTATACCGGCCCTACCACAGGTGCTCAACCCAACTTCCCGAGTCAGACAGGTGGCATGCCGCACTTCGGCAAGCTGCAATTTGCTTTGTCAATTGTGAATCTGAACCTGCGGGACGTAACACGTTCACACAGGGCTGCTTCCAAAGCTGAATTCACGAACAACTGTCTCGGGGGAGGGTATCCACCCACCACAGAGGAACATATCTACGCGTCCCAAGGATGCAGTCGCATGAAAGGACATCCTGCCGGGGGGGCCAACCAAGCATCTGATGAGTCGATACGTATGTCTCATACTCTCTCGCCACGCGTTGACGTAGCAACTCAGTGGAACGAAGGCAGTTTGTCGTTCGTCGTCAGCGCGTAGGCCCTTGCTATTGTGGACATACGACGACAATGGCAACGTGAAGGATCGTCCGTGGCTCGACTGTCTATGGACTTCGGTTTATTTGCTGTGGTGGCGCGGCCTCTATAGAGCTGTCGTCAGTCTTGACCCTAGATTGGATTTGTATGTTGGAATCTCACACTCTGCACGGAACCTCATAACCACTATCGTGTTCGTCAATAACCCGCGTAACACAATCAAGATAATTAACGCTAAGGTGTGTACTAGGTTCTCGATCCGAGTGACGTGAGCCGTGCATTTTGAGGGTCGACGATGCTGAATTCTTTCAGGCTACCCAGAGCGACAATATGCAGACTCTGCATCTACGTATGAAATGAACGCTTGTGAGCTCCGTGATAATGCTCGGGTCGTATGATCCGTGCTGTCAAGAGTACGCTTTGTGTAATTGTCCCTTCAACGGACATCTCTTTCTGACTGATCTACATATCATCGTTCAGACAGCGTCACAAGGGCTGGTAGCCATCGGGTAGCAAGGTGTTTATCACGTGGCGACGTCACTCAACGCCTTCTTTCTACAATATGCAGCATGTGCACTCTACGACATCTACTCACCGGTGCTGAATTAGGTTGCCTTTCGGTCGACGGGTCGGTCCTGGTTATCTAGCGCACCCAGGTGTGGAAACAATATCTCATCGATGCTGAGAATCTGAGAAAGCGGCATTGGGACAATCCGAGCGGGCGATCATACAGTTACGTAACGGTAGTGCCGCTCTACATGATATGTACCCTACTGTTGGATTCTACCTCAGACCTGCCGGCTTATTCCACGCCTTTTTAGACGAGCGACAAAGGCTGTCGTGCAGGCAGTACTGGTACTCGTGAGTACTATCCCCAGGAGCCAAGTCAACATTCTGTGACGCAGTTACCCAGTCATGATTCTGTCAAGGTCTTGTTCAGTACGCGAAATCTTTACCAGTACTCCAGCTCGGCAGCGGCATAGGGAATCGCCTGCAGATGTCAGTGTCAGGGCATATGTAAGCATGCTAGACGATAAGAGAGGCCTTCGTTGGGACTTATGCCTTTGACAGCTGTGATGCTCGCAACAGAACGGCTGCGGTGATCCTTGTGATGCCTGTAGCGCGTGTGCTGCCAGGAGCCCCGCGAGACAGGCCCTTGTAAGTAGGTTATCGTCGAGGGCCGGAGGTTCGCGACGCATGCGATTCACTTGCGGCGTTGCTTCAAATCAGCCAACTTGAACGCCGCTGGCATGCGGCGTCCGCTCGGACGGGCATCTCGAAAGTATACGAAGCATTGCCCGCATGCTCGGTTCTGGTGGCCTGGCGGCACCACTTGCCGCGTTGCCCTCGCCACATACCAAGATGTCACATTGGAAGTGCATTGAATACCACTATGCATACTGCGCTGCCCGAGCAACATCTCCGAGTCATCACATGCCAGTGAGGTCAAACCCGCATGCTTCCTCTCCGGTTTTCCTCCGTTGTTCCATTTTGTTTGACAGACAGGGCCTTCGTGACGCATCGTTGCTCGTAGACCCCACATGGAACATTGAGCGCATGGATCCAAGGTAAGCCATGGATAGACTCTGGGAGCACATAAATACCATCCTCCGGCTCGAGGAATACCCGTCGTACGATCCCACTAACCTCTCTGCCATGCGCTCAAGAATCCACTGTTTCTGGTTATTTGTGGCCGGAGCCATTGCTGTAGCTAACGCTCATCCTCATGGCTCCACCGACAAGACGGAGCGTGCTGCCTCCGACTCCAAGCTCGTAGTCGCCCACCATATCGTCGGCTATACCTATCCCTACGATATCACTGACTGGGAGTCCGACATCCAGCTGGCGTACAATTCAGGTCTCGATGGGTTCGCACTCAACGTCGGGAGCAACTCTTGGGAGTCTACTCAGGTGGCGAATGCGTACGTTCCGAAGTCCGGGCGCAGCTCAGCGGACATTTTACTGATGCGACGCGACTGCCACCAGGTATCAAGCAGCCGCGAATCTCGGCCTCGACTTCAAGCTATTTCTCTCGCTCGACATGACCTCCTTTCCTTGCACAACCGCGAACGATGCTTCGGCCCTGTGCGCCAACGTCTCCGCCCACGCGTCCCATCCTAACCAACTCCTGTGGAACGGCAATGTCTTCGTCTCGACCTTCTCCGGCTCAGACTGTACGTTTGGGCAGAACTCTGCCGCGGCGGGCTGGCAGAGCGAGTTCATCGACCAGCTCACGGGCTCGAACGCGGTACATTTTGTGCCCTCGTTCTTCGTCGACCCGAGCACCTTTACCACCTTCAACGACATCATGGACGGCGACTTCAACGTGAGTACTAGACGCTTCGCTGGGCTGCCGAGAGCTGTCTGACATAACTTATGTGGTGGTAGTGGAACGGGGGCTGGCCCACAGACCTGACGTACTCCTCTGCGCAGTCTGAGCTCGGGAGCAACGCAGGGGATCTGGACGACGCTACGTTCCCCTCCTCAGCGGAGAGCGTTCTGTCCGGAAACGTCGGCGCCTTCACCTCAGACAGTCAGTATATCAACGGTCTCAACTCAGTCTCCGGCTCCGACAAGACCTACATCGCCGCCGTCACGCCATGGTTCTTCGTCCATTACTCTCCCCAGACGTACGACAAGAACGTGAGTCGCAGCCACGTCTTGTCATCACTCGCTGACAGGGTCCTGCAAGTGGATCTACCTCGCAGACTACTGGTCCTACGTCGTGCGGTGGGAAACGCTGATTGCGAACCGCGACCAGGTCGACGTCGTGGAGGTTGTCACGTGGAACGACTACAGCGAGTCGCACTACATCGGACCGATCGAGGGCTCTCAGCCGAACTCCCAGGCATGGACGAACGGCATGCCGCATCTCGGTAAGCGACTGCTCTAGTGGATTGGTTTCTGTGTACATGCTGAATTGCATTACCGCACAGGCTGGCTGGCCATGACCAATTACTACGCAACTGCTTTCAGAAACGGCTCCTACCAGTCTATCACCGAGGATCAGATCTACATGTGGGCCCGCCCGCATCCCAAGAACGCGAATGCATCGGATGACTCTGTGGGAAAGCCCACCTCATATCAACTAGTAAGCTAACACACATCTTCCCATGTCGATGTCTTGACGCAGGTGTTGTCCTCTCAGACCGAAGACAAACTCTGGGCTGTGGTCTTTGCGACATCCAACGCAACAGTTGCGATCACCACCGCGTCTGGGACTACGCAGACATCCAACGTCTCCGCCGGAGTGACGAAGCTCTCCATGGACCTCGTCCCAGGCTCAGGCATGTCGGCGACGTTGACGCGGAACGGGCAGACCGTTGTCTCCCTTGATCCCGGTACGAACTTCACATTCAACGCAAACCCGGAGACCTACAACTACAATGCCTTCGTCTGCTATGCGACTTCCGGTTGATTGGACCATGTAATTGAAGAATGTAATCATTTGTTGTATCAGTACATACAAGAGCTGAGGAAAATGGCCTTGGACTCTTGACGTTTCCTTAAAACATATGTAACACTAAGGCAGAAAACCTCTTGAATGGTTTGCGAAATCTCATTCTGCGCGTCCTCGTACGCAGCGGAAGAGGGGATGTAGATACACACACCTGTTCCTCGTCTGCGGCGCGACGTCGCCTCATCCTGCAGAGCACAGCGAACCATGACTCGGAGGGTCAACACATGGTTAAGGCAGCGGTTGAGTGAACATCGACATGGTCAGGCGACCCGGCCAAGCTCTCCGACTCGCTCTCGTTGCCATCGGAATCGTGGCACTCTCCGAGCTCGACCTCGGACACAAAGGAAAGTGTGCCACCCATACTTCCAAACACCGCACCGCGGCCGAAACGGATGGAGCCCGACAGCTCCGGGGGATGCGAAGGCACGGATGGGTCCCGCGCGGCGGACCGGAGGTTCAGGAAGAAATGCGAGAGCAGCGTCGTGTTGATCCTAGCAAGATGCGCGAGTAAGCGTTTGTGCTTGACGATGTCGAGCACCACCACGACGCACGTGTACAGGATGAGGGAGAAATCTCTGAAGACCTTTATTATATGCATCGGTACTATGTCAGCGCGTGAATATCCGGCGGGGACTAGACATACCTGCTTAGCGTCTAACACGACCGCGGCGACATTCAGCGCATATAGGACACTAGTCCGTGTATGAGATGCTGTCTACGACTCGAAGTTATCGAATCCCCATGACTTACCTGAAATGTACAGTGCCTATATGCGCGTGAGAGTGATGCACATACACGCAGTTCCGTGACGCACCATCCCTCAGTAACAGACTTGTCAATCGAAAGTTTTTACCGTCGGATCGAGATGCCTTCCACATGCTGTACGAGTGTTTCCAGGTGGTATACATGACCAACGTTTCTGCCGCCATGTTGCAGACCCTTAGCGTGACCTCGACTAAACTTTGTGGTCAATACGCCAGTGAGGAAGTTTGGTGCGGAAGGATCGCACGTCTAGGGTAGTAAACCGTCAGCAGAGGATGTACGACCCGATGGATCCACTCACTTGATGTTCTTTCCGGATACGACGATGCACGCCGAGCCTAGGGGGCCTGCCATGGCATACATGTGGACGCAAAGCAACTGTCAACTGGTTGAAGCAAACATAGTGTGGGTTCAAAAGGGCTCGTGGCGCACTATCTTTGCTATTACGCCGCCGAGGAAGAATGTGAAGGTCGCTAATGAGACTGTATACTTGCCGCGAGTGATGGCGTATACACGCAGCGCTGAGATGACTGGGTACGTCCTTGTCAGTACTTTGAATAGTGAGCTTGACAGATGTACACACCTCCGTACACGACGAAGAGAGCAGAGCCTGTGGCCGCGGCTGAGATGGCGAGACGATGTGCACTGCCCAGAACAGAAGTTCAGTGCCTGATTAACACGACATTGCCTTGCTGCAAACGGTCACCTCTATATAGTAGAAACCCAAATCAAAGTCCCGTGAATCGAGGAGCTTGAATGGCCATACGCTTGAACTTACTCTGCATCCGACGTCCCTGAGCATGACGTCGTACAGCATCAAGTAGACGAACGTAAAGACATTCATCAGGGCATAGAGTGCATTGGGCCACGTAGATCTCTTCCAGTATCCAAGCGTCACTTCCAGTGTCGTGCTGCGGACGCGCTCGTAGACAAACAGCGCTGCGTCCGGCGTAGGTGAGACTCATCCGACGGTTTCGTACGTCAGTAGTTGTAGCAACAGTCACTTACTCATCATCGCCGCGACGCAGAAGCGTGAGTTTTGAGAACACTTTAAGGCTGGCACGTCAGTAAGCCAGTGGTTTGAAGTAAGACAAATACATACACCAACTGCTGCAAGTCGACCTCGGCCATGACTTGGATTGAAGACAAACAGATGATCGTTTGTACGATGGCTGGCGTTGTGGTCGAACGCTGCGGGGCTCGCGGATTACGAGGACTTCGTCATTTCAATGCAGCGATCTCTTCATAATATATAGTTTCTGGAATCGGGCAGGTGTCCAAGGAATGTCCACCCCGAGTCGAGTGGTTGATTCCACAGGTTTGACAGTTCACTGGTGTCCAAGTCGAGTCACGGCTTCCACCATCAAGTCTGCTTAGTTCCACCGCGGTGGTCTGGGGTTGCACTAGCGGGAATGGGCAGATAGAACGCGCTGCCAGTGGGTCGATGGACCTGAGTGAAACACTTCCTCGCAGTACAGTGACGGTCTACGACTCACCAAATACTGTGCTACAGTGCACGACGAGTCGCGGTCACCACTAATCCAGGCTTTCCATCAAGCTTTCTAGCTCGAGACTTGCATCTAGAATGAGTTGAATATCAGGTCTAGGATGTCAGAACATGATTGTGTAGCGAAAGGAGAAGTCGTCCGCCCGGCGCCTGTATGTACTCGCTGAGACGCGTCGCGACGCGTGACGTCATGACGCTGCCCCGCACACTCGTCATGACGGTGGCAGGGCGGCGGAGGGCTGCCAACGCCAGGGCACCTCTCCACCATCCCGCCCACTCTTAACCACCCCCTCTCCACCGATCCACCAGTTCCTACCCACCCTACAGCGACCTCCGTGACGACTTTCTTCCTTAACGCGGTCACGCCCATCCACCACACAGCCCTCCCACCATGTCCAAGAGCATCCACAGCGAGTCCGCCGTAAAGAACCCTGCCACCGACCTCCCGCCCAAGCGCGACCGCAAGGGCCTGCGCCCCGTCTCCCCGCCCTTCTCCAACATCTCCCTCTCGCGCTTCAACTACCTCCTCGGCCTCCTCGCCACCGTCATCGCCGCCTTCTACGTCTGGCGCCTCATGCAGTGGAAGGCCGAGGTCGGCGGCTGGTGGAACCTCGCCCTCGGCAAGCGTCCGCCCCAGCTCCAGCACCGCGACGCGAGCGGCGCCACCGCACCGTGGGCTGGCGCGCGCGCGAACGCGAACGCGCATGGGTTTGGGAAGGACGGCGGGAGTGGAGAGGTTGAGAGGAGGATCGAGGAGCTCGCCGTCGCGCTCGGCATCCCGAGCAAGGACCTCGCGAACGCGATCGCGGGTGCGGTGAGAGACCACGTTCCTCCCGCTAGCTTGTCTTCCATTGCCGCACACGAAACTGGGTGCGTGCTCCTTTCATGTCACATGCTGCGCGGCGAGACTGACTGTATGCGTATTAGCGAGGCTGTAGGGCACCTGGTCGACCCCTCTGGCGCGTCTGCCTCTGAGGCGCAGAGCGCACCCGGGGCGACAGCGAGCCGAGGCTTCTGGGCGGTGGAGAGTGCCTTTGAGGCTGCAGTGGGCATGGATGAGCCTCCGGTATAGGCTGCTAGAGGGGCCTGAACAGCGAGCAGGAGAGATCCGCGAACCGAAGCCACACTAAACGTCTTGGACTGAAGTACCATAGCATTGTATACATACCCGCAACTAGTGTCCATAATGCATCTTGTCTCTTGTTGCACCAGAATGAGATCATGCACTTCCCTAACCTACTAGCAAGTCCGACTACGGTCCGTGTCCTTAAAGCCGCGCACCATCCATGTTAACGAACTCACGCATCCCCATCTCCCTCAGCCGCACTTCCACTCGCACAGCTCCTTTGCAACTCACAGCTCGCCCTCCCATACTCCCCACCACTGTCCCCCACTCGTCCTCCCCGCCCCTCTGCTACGAACGAAGCGAACACCAGCCCGCACCCATGTTCCCCACCAGCCGCGACGAGAACGCCACGCTGTCCGCGGGGCCCGCATCGCCCGAACGCGCCCCTGGCTCCAACGGTAACGACCGATCCTTGCCCGCCGACCAACGTGCGCTTGCTACCGCGTCCGCGTCCGAGTCTGAATCGCACCACCGCTCGGAGACCCGCCGGAGGTGGAGGAGGAACCGCGAGACGAGTATCGGGGCGATACTGGTCGGCGTCAGGTCAGCAATGCGCGCGAAGCGATGAGGAAGGGAGGCGGGGGACACGTACGGGACGATGGTGTACCAGTCGTCGCGGGCGTCCACGGATGTGCTAGACGTGGACGTGGACGTGGAGGCGTGCACGGAGCTCCGGTTGACGCAGAGCTCGCCACCCGCCTGCACGCACGCACGGACTCTCACCGGCAGGCGTGCTCACAGGAAGCACAGCGTCCCTACACGCGCCCCACGAGTCAGCCACGGGGATAGCGAGAGGAGGGGGAGATAGGGCACACCGTCACGGAGGCAGAGCGTGACGAGCGGGTTCGAGAAGCGCGCCGCCCGCGCCCAGCGCACGAACGCGTACGTGCGCGTCCACGTCACGCCGACTGCGAGTAGGTCCGCGAGGACGACGCCTGCTCAGGCCGCGTAGCTTACTGTGTGGTGGGGACGCCGGCCAGCTCGCGCGATGGGCGAGGTCGGGGACGTGTGGGCTTACAACTGTTGTCGTTGGCGTGCCAGTCAGTTTCGATGTGCTGGCGTGAGACGGGAGACTGACGAGAGACGTACATTGTTCCTGTTGAGGTCGGGCCCGGTAGTGGCGCGTCCGCGTGCAGAGGCCATCTTCACAGAGGAACGAGTATGATTAGCGTACGATGGCGTACTGTGAGAGAAAACGTTCGTCGGGATGCCATCTCTGCTCTCAGGCTGCAGACAGAGCACGCACTCACCAGGTTGACGACGAAGGGAGTCAGCCCGAGAGCGTCTCGTTCTTGAGGCTGATCGCGTAGACGCGGAGGGAGGAGAACACTGGAGAAGCCGCGATGGTGAGTACTGGGAGCGTACTGCGCGGTATGCAAAAGACACACGTGCGGTGCTCGCGAAGAGGAGCGCATTCAGCACGGCGCGAAGAGCGTGCCCGTGGCCTCGCAGCTGAGCGCAACCACACGCAGGCATCAGCCAACCTTCGTCCCTTGCAATGCGGCGCAGCATGCGGACAGAGACGTGCGTAGATGTTTAGATCACCGTGTCGATCCGCCCTCTTGGGATTCTCTTTTGCGCGACAGTAAGTTGCTACTATTAGCTCTTGTCAGTATCGTATTTCTTTCAATCTGGCCGGAAAGCTGGCAGTGCTCACTCATCTACTGGCACAGAGCGTATTCGTGGTGCACCAGCGATACAGTGGTTGGAACCTGGAGAATCGTTTCGCTGTTAGTAGGCTCACTTGACCGGTATGTTCAGGCCGCCCTGCTCAGACTCGTTGTATCATCATTATTGGACTGACAACGTTGAAGACGATTCAGGTCGCAGGGGAGGCAGTAGGGCTTGGTGCAAGCTTGGTGACTCGTGAGAGGATCATAGGTCAATATCAGCATTCAGCAATTCTGGATAAATAACTACGAAGATAGTCCTACCAAAGACGTCTCTTAAATAGCCTATGCCTGCACTAAGTTACCAGTGATTGGAACCCGACAGTCAGCCTAGAGTACAGTCATATAGGTTTAGAGTGCTCGACTCACCAGCAAACGCAGTAAATATGTATCCGATAGCGATGCTATATTCTTGGTCAAAGACGATACCAACTACTGAGCATTCCTCTCTCTTGGCAAGAACTTACGATTCCTCGTCTTTGGTACTGTCTATCATGAGCAGGTTGATGATCAAAGGCACTAGTATAGTCGGCTGGCCTTTAGGCGATGAATTCGGGGGGGCGGGGGGACCAACTTTGGAGATCGATGTCCCGGAAGAAGATACAGGGAAGACACGATCTCGCGCAACCTAAGCCGCGCGTCTTAGTACATGGAAGAGCGCCAAAACATAACGGCATTACCTATGTATCACTGTACTGTATCTCGGACGCTCATCGCTATCCCTCATTGCAACGCGCAGCCTGTTAGCGCGGCGATGAAGCTGGTGACAAATTGCGTACCGGGTCGAGTACCCCGAAGCAGTAAAGATCTGTGTTGCCTATCTGGCCGCGATCACTGCTCCGCTGCATGAGAACCAACGAGCGTAAGATGGAGTCCCGGGTGGCATGACTTACCAGAGCGCCAACACGAACCAAGAAGTGACATGATGTGTGGTCAGATACTCCAGTCACATATCTGTCATACGTACACCCATCTTCGACTTGGTGCAATCCATCCATATCAGTAATTGTCCACCGGAGAGAGACACGAGACTCGGAAGGGAGAATTCAGGCGCATCATACGGGATGAAGCTAGATAAACAAGTCGGTAGCCCTCACTCATCCAGCGCACGCAGCGCGCTATCTTCGTACGCGTCCACGTCGCACAAAGACGCTCATCTCCGTAAGTGATGATAGCGCGCCGTACGGTGTCAGCTACAATAACATCAGCCAGCCCGTTACAGCAAAGGTTGCGGGACGTACAGGTACATCGTTCGGTAACTGTCACCCTGACTCGTCGAGCGTATGTAGTGCATCTGCAAGGCTATGATGTTGCTGGGAAGCAGCTTCTGTAGCGCGGGCATCAGTGCGTGCAATATTGACACATGGTCAAATCACCTACAGTATCAGTCAAACCGAGTTGGCCGAGGTATAAGGCGCTGACGGGACATGCGCTCACGCACGGACGCCGTCAGCGAGCCGTATGCCGGATATGATTCCTGAAACAGTGACCTGTGCTGGTGGGAGGATGGAAGTGATACCGTGGGGCTTGTGTGAGTATCTTCCGGCGTAGAAAATGGCGGGCCCGTGCGAGGGATGGGGTGAAGACTTCATATCAATGTGATAAGTTATGGATGCGAAGCGTGGATTCTTCAACAAGCATGCCATGAACAAGACTGAGTGGATTCGCTACTTGAAACCCGGGGCCTTTAGTCACCGCACATAGTGCATATATGGACTGTATCCAGTCAATGCTGTTGCACTATTGATCAGTTCGTCAACTCTGGGATGGTGCCTAAGAAACGCGCACCTGTTGCCACGCCATTTTGGTGATCGAGGTCTTCACTGAGGAGCCACAAGCTCAGCAGCGCTCGGCAGTCGGAAGCCACGGAAGGGCGCTCCGCTCGCTCGGTGTATATCGCAGTAGAATATGTTACATCAGTTCGAGCCTGGTCATTGGCAATACCGTGACAAGTTGACGAGCTCATGAATGATATCTCTGAGGCCACGAATGGTAAGTACCGCGGGGCACTCAGTGTCATGTTGTCTCAGACAGCTTCCACGAAGCACTTACGGGCATGAGCTGAGCAAGTGCACGTAGAGAGTCGAACCGTAACGCTTCCACAAGACAAGAATACTTACATTAGTGTTAGTTCCCATCGCGAAGATGAGTGCCAAAGATGGAAAAGCAGTGGGCACTGGGAGAGTTTCTCAGTGGCAGGCTGGCAGCGGCGCTGTGGCAAGTGTGGCACGCCAACCCGGCAACCGGCAGAGCCTAGTTGATCCGAGATCTGGATCGTCTTGAGATCTCGTCGCCACCTTGCGCCACCCCAGCGCCACCCTGCAGAGTCATTAACTTCAAATTGTATGTAGTCCGTCAGGCGTACTAGTAGTTATTGCACTGGGTTTGCACCGTGATGCCCATGTTTGTTTGAGGTCATGTCATACTTGCATAACATGCGACATGTATAGAGGAAGATTGCCGACTACATATGTCCGGGACGGATTGCTAGCGGTACAAGGCCGCTGTAGTTCAACTGAGTGTTCCTCCTGAGGATCCCTCTGTGTCGTGATGCATGTTATGCCAATGAGAACCCATCGTCCGCACCTTCAAACAGAATCACCGAGAAGACACCAGCGCTCATATCTCCGACAAACGATGTGAGTATTGGGCCGTCATTCGTCGTCGCGGCTTCCCATCGCGATATCGTGATTTCATTTGACGACTCAGATGTCTGTTGTAAATCGATGATGAAGTGCGAGATGAGGACGGATGAGATGCTGGTTGGTAACTCGTCAAAATCGCAAGCATTGTAGACTAGCTGTCAGAGATACCTACGGGACGAGCATGTAAGACGTGTAAGCCACACTGGCCTGTAGACGAGGAATACAGACATGAGTGTCGAAGCTAATCCCTGGTTCATGTAAGCATACTCACTGACGATGAATTGACCCAGGAACGCGTGACGACGAGTTCCAAGACGTTCACTAACAGCAAGGTGCTGATGGCGTGCAAAACGACACGTCAGCGAGTGATTATTTACGCGCTATATGGATCACAACTCACAGGAAATACAGAGTGCCTTTAATCGGCCAACCGAGCGATTAGCCTGTGTCATCTTGTTGAACGATCTGAAATACACACCGTCACGTAGAATGAAGTTGATTAGTGACGCCGCGGCAGTCTTTTCACTCGAGCTGCGTCGCCACAGTCCGTACGTTCTACACCATGTGATGACGATGACGATGAGGTCGGACACCACCGCGCACGCGCAGGCGACCACATCAACTGCGATAGAGAGCAGACCCTGTCATCCCTTCGCGATCCATGATGCCAGAGATTTGCAGACGCTTACAACTGTCATACAGGATCAAAACCTCAGGATAACGATCATAGTCAACGAACGTACGTGTTTGCTGCTTCGATGGTGTAGAAGCGTGTGCGCGAGCAGAATCCGTCGACACCAACATAAGCGTACGACTGCTGCACCGTGGTATACTGTCGAGATATGGTGGTCGTAAGGTTGTTGGTTGCGGATCATGCGCACGGGACACTCGCACCAGATTGATAACCGCGGGGATTATCCCAATGATGAGAACTGCGAGAGCGATCGCCCTGCCTCCACTGCTGACGGCGTACACACGCAAAGCGGAAAACACTAACGAGAGGCACGTCAGCATCATCGCAAGTCGTGATAGATCGAAGTGTGCCTACTCGATGTGACAACAAACAATACAATGTTGGTGATGTACAATGCCACGTTTGTCGCTTCGCAACTATAGACCAAACATCATATGAGATTGAGCTGTATGTATGTATTTGATATGCCAAGGCATACCCCTATGCCAACGTCAGTGTAAGTGCCCACTCCAAAGCATGTCGGCTCACCATAGACGTGGTCCACATTGGGATTTGCAAGAGACAGATGACGCCGTATATCAGGAGAAATAGCGGTTCACGATGAAGATTACAGATGAAGCGATAAATTTCTTGCGCCAGAAGAGGCTATATTCCTGATCCAGATAGAGAATGTGGTCGTAGAAGATTACTACTAGAGACCAGCACGGTCAGGGTTTAAACGAGTATGAGATAAATTCCCGCTCACCAGCAAACGCAGTGTACATGTAACCAGTGTCGATGCTAGAGATTGTGAGTAATAGTGACCAGCGATTTTAGATCGGTGCCCAAAGTCACTCACGATTCAACATCTAGTGTGCTGTCTGTGATGTTAGTCTGGTCAAAAGCATCGCTACGGGTATGCTGCGTTCCAATGTCCAAATGAGAGAATAAGGTCAGAGCAGCGAACTCGGGGAAGCACTCGGAGCAAGGGGACAAAGTTGCCTCTCAAGCTCTGAGTCGGCGCGGTGCTCATAACAATGATAAGCAGGGCCTTAGTGAAGGCTGCCGAAGTGCGCTGATGCTATGTTGGCGAATGCTCCATCATAGACTCTGACAGGCTACGGATGATGAACAAACTGACACTTCACTTTAACTCCGAAAGTGCGCGTTTGCGCAATGTTGAATACACGTGGCATACTCAGCAAAAGTACTTACCAGTACTGTACGTAGACATAGCTTGTCGCCTATATTGCCCTGTGAGTGGAAGGTCTTCGGAGCTGTTGTTCAAGGCTTCAACCTCGCATACAAGGTTTCCAGAGCCCAGCGATGAGTGACCGCGTACACACCGTGATGCTGCGTTGTGACTCGGGAGCTACCGTGAGAGACGGCACCGCGGTACGTAACTGCCAGTGGGACCTTGTCAATTGCGAAAACAGGAAGGAATTCGACATGACATGCGCAGTCCGCGCCCGGGCGCAGATGATTGCTTTCGTAGCTTCACTGCATCGACATGTCGTAAGGGCGACATGCCGCGAGATGCTGTATGCATGATCAGATCCTATGACAACTCAGCAATTGAAAAACTGAATAGCCCCGTATACACGTGCCTCATTGCTCATCCAGCACAGGATGCACCCGATACACCCGACTGGTACCCTCTGGGCAGTTTAACGAATAGACCAAGCTTGACGAAGCAATGCTTTACGATCCGAGTCTTCCGTCACTGACGACTCAAAATCTTCTGCGATGAGTAGATGATTATCCGAGTGACCTCCATACTGATACGCGTGCAAGTACTCAAGTACTCAGCTGCCGTGCGCCATAGAACTCCGAACCGTGCTCGGCGCGTGCACTCTTTTCTGGAGGAGCCGGACTGCTTCAACGAGACGGCGCTCGCTTCCTGCCGGAGAAAAAGGAAGTCACGCACGAACTCTCTTGCGAGAGAACAGTCGATGACTCAGGGCTATCGTGCATCATTCGTCGTTAGCGATGCTCCGGTATTCATACCATACCCACCAATAAACCCCGCGCCGCTGGTCGCTCGCAGAGAACCTCCGACGGCGGTTCGCTCGCAAATAGACGAGCAGGTTGGAGAAAAGAGTGTCGGTGGAGCACAGATGTGGTGAGTCGAAAAAATCAGGAAAAACGTTATGAATAGAGGTTTCGTTCGGGTATTCCTACGGCGAAGGTCAGACAAAAGCCGTGATGCTTGCGCCGAACACTCACATTCATCCTCGCCAGGGGAGTCGCTCATAACATAGTTGTCATCTTGCAGGGACGCCCCTTATCCCGGTACGGATGTGCGCTAACACTCTGCAGTAGCTCGATGATGCTAAGATGAGCGGACTTGCTACAGGTGTTTGGCTGAAGAATGCACTTGTGCAGCGACTGTCATTGATATCGGAGGATCATGTCAGAACAACGTCAAAAGTAATGAGACCTGGATATCTACGGGATACCAGCACGATCAGACCATCAAGCTAGATACCGTAGCCCAGAAAGTCGACGGTGCACCCGTATTCTGCATTCAAGATTCTGGATCCGTTGCAGGCGTAGTGTGTAGATCAATAGGCCGCGGCGTTTCGTTGTTGTGAAAATTGCCAGGCGCTGTGTATAAGAATTGGTGAGATGACGATGAGGGGAACATGGTATTCATAGTCGACTCACAATTTGAAGGACTTGCATCATATATGCCTCACTCATACACTGAGGCTCCCAGCCAGGACCGACATCACTACAGAGGAGACTAATATCAGTCCCCATGTATACGGCACATTCGGCTCCAGGTGGGCATAGCTACACACGGTGACATACCTACTCGTGCATTCGCGTCGTCCTCGCGAGCCACTTCCTCTATATCATCCCAGCATGCATCCGAATCAAGCACAGGCGCAAATGTGAGTGAACCTCCCATATCGCCCTCCATGCCAGATGTAAACTCGATTGTCCTGTTACGCGATTGCAATACCGCAGAATGGTTGCCTTGCATGCCGTCGGTGTAATCTTCCCTCGAAGTGCACTGGGCTGACAGATCTGTGCGCCGCAAGTTGAGATGAAGCGCGATATAAGAATTGGGCCAAGACTATGTGAGATTGATTCAGGTGAATGGTGTGTATATCAGTACATCGCGAAATCTAGTGGATGCAGTTTCACTTACGGGATGGCGAAGTATGAAGTATAAGATACGTCTGCCTGTCATAGCATGTAGTTCACTGTTCAGGCGCGCTTGCTTGGTGCGCAAAATGCATGCTTACAGCTGTGTCGCTGAACCATAACGTTGCCACACCAGTTTCAGCAATGTTCAACATCAGCATGGATCTAGCCATATATACCCGGTCAGCTCGGCTCTTCCCGGAAGATAGAGGTGGCATGCTTCACAAGAAGTATAACGTGCCTGCGCAGACCAATTAGAACTGGGTCAGTACAAGGAGTATAGAGTGGTACCATCGCGCAATATGAGCATCACTAATGGAGCCTGAACGCGTGCTTCTCTAGCTTGCTTCCTGATGAGATATGTGCTATGCCAAGTAGTGCCAATGACGATTGAATCAGAGAGGATTGCCGATGCGCCAGCCAAGCAGTATACTGAAACAAAGGTTGTTAGTTGGACACGAAAGATGGCTAGTGAGATAAACTCAACACCTATGATCTCAAATTAAGTGAAAGTAATCGACAGGCGGAACTTTTGGACTCACAGCTGAGCAGTATGAATGGAGTATTGTACCCTCTGAAGGCATAAAGGACCGTCACCGAACGAGGCAGTGTATACATGCGATGATGCGACCATGTACTATGCGTTGTGTGATCACGAGGGTCAGCTTCGATTAATCCACACCGGAACGACTTACAATGTTCATGCAAACCGGTGCTAACCCGAATGATAATACCGAGGATGTGATTAAAATATTTCTGCCACTGATGGCGTATGCACGTAGAGTGGAGAATACTGCCAGGGAGGCAGCGTGAGCCTCGGTATCATCAGAATGAATATAAGAAAGAACCTGCAACAACCGTGCACAGAACGATATTAGATGCATAGAACAAGAAGAGAGCATTGCACAATCCTACACAGGTGTGAGTGCTTCGAAAAAATTGCAGGTGTCGAAAGCACGCACTAGTAGTTTGTGTCCCAATTGACATCCTGTACCAACAGAGCGACTCCGTATACCAGCAGCAGAAGTCGATTTGCGAGGAAGACCCAAGACGCGCCGGTAAGCCTCCTGCTCCAGATGAGTTGCACTTCTTCTGTGAAGGTGATGATATGGTCGTAGAAAATAACGGCTATCTGGACGTTAGTGAACTCATCGCCGACGATCCGTAGCGAGGGAAAGTCTGCAATGACTCACTGCTAAATGCTATGCATGCATAGCCCGTAAGATTGCTAGTGCCCGTAGAACGTCAGTGCCAATGTCTTCCAGACAAGATATGACATGCGTACACTTGTTGAGACGTCGCAATTTGTTCACTGGCACTAGATGACATGCTGAAGGCGTTCAAAGGCCCCAGTGAAGGATGTATTGGTCCGCGCTGACGACACGCGGGCTTAAGTAGGTCAATGCCACGTAGGATCAACACGGATGACCTGATACGTTCATAAGGTTTAGCCGTCAGTATAGACATTTAAGGTTCGCGAACTGGACCTATTGAACGGAACTGATTCGACACTGCCCATGAGGGGATCGAAACACCCAATGTTCGGCGCGTCGGGTGATACTTCGCATCTTTGAACATGCCAGAGACGAGCCTAGAGGTTCACTGCTGCCTGTGGGAAATTTAAACTACGTTTGAAACGCATTAGAAGCAAAACATGCATCGTCTACCTACCCAGATGCAGTTCTTGGATTGAAGATGTACTTCAATGACAATGAGATTGCCTTCCAGGCTGCGGCTATTTTAGCAAACGTACTGCACGAGTCTGCAAGGGGTAAGAAGAAACGGAGGACCATGGAGGGTGCACACGCACCTACGAATTCTGCCATGAGAAGCAGAAGCGTACCAGCTCCGCGTATGAGATGATTAGGCCTGGTCAGCAGTATTCTCTGGCTGGGTCTCCGTCGCTAGCCTTACCTTGACTTACCGCAGTGAGTAATGCATGATCGCAGAAGCGCAGCTGAGACCGTGACGGACGACATACCACAAAGCAGCTTAGATGTGCTTAGATGTCAGGGTTTCCAAACTTGTTCACGGGAAAGTGAAGCACGAGATTGAAAGTTACCTTCGTGACGCCGACTAGAACACAAGGGGTGATGTAACGTCTGATCATTGATGAAAGCTAGGATGAATGATATGTTATAGCACAGTGTGGGATACGTCTTAGTGGCCATGATGACGTCGAAAGCAAAGACCAAGATTAGATGCTGTACAATGATACCATAACGTCTACTTTTTCGCCTGAGGCAGGCTCTTCTTGTACGCCTCTTCCAGCTCCTTCTGTACTTGAGGCATGACAGGCATGTGGTTCTAGGAAAGCGGGAGTCAGCACGCCAGCATACTGGGCTGAGTCGATCTTGTACCTTGTACTCCATGCTGAATTCACCTGTACAAGGAGGTTGTTAGCGGATAATTATTCCCAGGCCTGTACCACGTACCTTTGCCCTGAGTGACGCCACGGAGGTGGTTAGAGTAGCCGAACATATCGTTCAGCGCGACCTCAGCCGTACACGTGAATTCTTCCTCCCGGACCTCACTGTCTGTGATCGTCCCGCGACGCGCAGTCAAACCACCGATGACCGCACCTTCACATCGCCGGTCAGTTTCCATCAGATCCCATTCGTTGAGAACACGTACTCTGGAACTCGGCAGGTGAGACGACCTCAACCTTCATAACGGGCTCGAGGATGATAGGATTCATCTTCCTGTAGTTCTCACGGAAAGCGCCGATAACTGCCAGCCGGAAAGCAAGCTCAGACGAATCGACCGAGTGCGCTAGACCGTCCTGCAGGACGAGCCGGGCGCCGCAGATTGGGTTCCCAGATAGCGTGCCCTTCTCGAGTGCCTCGTAGAAACCCTGCCGTCTTCCCGTCAGCTCACTACATCATCGCTATCGAGCGAGCACCTCACCTTCTCGCAAGCCGGGATGTAGCTGGTTGGGATGTTTCCGCCCATGACCTGGTTCACGAACTCAACGTCCTTGCCCGTTTCCGGGTCTGCTTGCATCGGCTCGACGAAGCCAATGACACGCCCGTACTGACCGGCACCACCTGTCTGCTTCTTGTGCGTGTAGAAGAAGTTGGCGCGCTCCGTGATCGTCTCGCGGAACGCGACGCGCGGCTTGCCGGTGACGCAGTCGACGTTGTACTCGCGTCTCATGCGCTCAACGTAGATCTCGAGGTGCAGCTCACCCATGCCGGAGATGATCGTCTATGGAAACCAAGACGTTGAGCCGAAGAGATAGACTGGTACTGAACATAATCACCTCCTTGCTCTCCCCGTCGACATGCACACGGAAGGTCGGATCTTCCTTCTGGAACCGATTCAGGGCACGAGAGAAGTTGGGCGTTTCTTGACCCTTGGGCTTGAGAGACAGCGAGATGACAGGTTCAGGCACGAACATCGACATCTACAAGGCAACTCAATATCCGGTCAACTTATCCTATGCACAATCACGTACCATCGAATATGACGTCGAACCGTCAGTGAAGGTGTCACCGGAAGCACAATCGACACCGAACATGGCGCAAATTTCGCCTGGCCCGATCGCCTCAATGTCCTCCATCTCGTTACTGTGCATGCGTACGAGACGCGGAACCTTGACCCTCTTGCCCGAGCGCGCATGGAAGATGAACTGGCCCTTACGCAAGCTCCCTTGGTAGACACGCATGTACGTGAGTTGGCCGAAGCGGCCTTCCTCGAGCTTGAACGCGAGCGCAACAAGTGGTGCCTGAGCAGCAGGGACAAGAGGTACCATTGGAGCATCGACGGGCAGTGAGGTGTCATGCGCGACAGCTCCAGCTTCCTCAGGTGTGGGGAGATACGCGCAGACACCATCGAGCAGTGGCTGTACCGCAGTGTTCTTGACCGCAGAACCCATGAAGACCGGCGAGAACTTGAGGCCAACGGTCGCACGGCGGATAGCCTCCGCGAGCTGTTGCGTGTTGGGCTCCTCGTCCATGATGATCATCTCGCCCATTTCCTCGTCAACATCTGCCAACTGCTCGATGAGCTCACGACGCTTCTGCTTGGCAAAGTCGATGACGGAGTCCGGGATCTCGTCTGAGATCACAACGTTGTTGCTGTGGTGCTAGGGTTAGTGTAGGGTGCATATACGGAGGCTCTAACTTACCCCTTTACGCCCTCGTTGTAGACGGCCTTCCAGCGCACGAGGTCGACGACGCCCTTGAGCTCGTCTTCCACACCGATGGGAACCTGCAGAGCTGCCGCGGATATGCGCAGCTTGGTCCGAATCTGCTCAATGACACGCCACGGGTTTGCACCAGGTCTGCAGGCAATCTGAGCATTAGCCATAACTGGAATATTAGAGAGTTTTGGCAGCAGCTCCTAGAGTTCACGCCACCGCCAGACAGCAGCGCCGACGCGACCAATCTTCCCTTGGATCTGCAACGGGAGACACTGTTCGACCAACTCCACGACAACCAGACCTCAGCTCCACGTTGACTGTTCCAGCTGTTGTGGAAACGATAGGCCGGCCTCCGCCGGGATTGGAGCTGGGGTTTGGGCCGACAGTTCGCTGTGAGCGAGACTGACGTCAAAGTCGAGTTAGGGAACATATCTCTGAGCGGCAACGGCGGGCTCTGACCAGTGCGTGACTTCGCCAACCGTCGGCCATCTCGCCAGCCAAAACCCCGCTCCATACACCCCCGTGCCCGAGCGGTCTATCGTTTTCACAACAGCTGTCAATTGAACTCCGGCAGCTGTTGCCAAACTCTCTACTGCTCTATCACGTACCTGTCCATCTTGTTGATGAACGAAATCCGAGGAACGTTATACCGCCGCATTTGCCGATCGACCGTGGTTGTTTGACTCTGTACACCGGAGACTGCACACAAGACCAGGATTGCGCCGTCCAGGACACGCAGCGCCCGCTCAACCTCAATAGTGAAGTCGACGTGGCCTGCACGACGTCAGCTTACGACGCAGGGACATTGACTGCTCGACGCACCTGGAGTATCAATGATGTTGATAGCGTACTCCTCTTGCTCACCAGTCGCCGGCATGGTAGCAACCCAGTCACAGAAAGTCGCCGCACTTTGAATGGTGATACCCTTCTCCCTCTCTAGCTCCATACTGTCCATCTTCGCACCGACGTTGTCTCGACCTCGGACTTCGTGAATCTCCCGAATACGTCCAGTGTAGTACAGTATCCGCTCGGTCAATGTCGTCTTGCCAGAGTCAATATGCGCAGACACTCCGATGTTGCGCTGGTATCTGAGACGACGCAGATCCTGTTCTGAGAGAGGATATGAAGGGGGTGCGGGGACGACATCCTCAGCGGGCTTGATTGCTGCAGTGGTGCAGCATGTCGTCGCGCTGCCCAGGGCTTGCCCACGAAAGCAGCGGCAAAGCGTGGTCTCGTCCGCAGGTAGGTCTGAAACGCTTGCGTAGCCATACTGGCTCAGTGAAAGCTGGAGCAAACGACGGCTGCCTGGGGACAAGGCGAACGAGGAGCCAGCTCAGCTGTACCGAATGACAAGTTTTCTCCGGACTGCTTTTGCCAGCAAAGTACTGCGCAACTGGGTCCACATTGTCAGATAATACGGATAGAAAGTGTTCGCACTCACGTCGACGAGACTCCTCCGAGTGCTACCAGACGGCGGAGCAGTCGCTGCGTCCTCTAGGGCTCGAGCTGGCGGACAACTGGCGAACGTTAAGTAGCGGGTCGGGACTGGGCGAACTCAGTCTGTCTGTATTCATCACGTGCACAGATTGATCCGTCGAGGGAGGTGATCGAATTAAATAATCCCGGCCTCGGATGCTCAATATGTTCAAGTTAGTGGATGCCACAGTACTTGTTCCTATCCACTGGCATTCCTTTGTAATTACGGACCAGCACTCCCATCTGGCACAATCAAGCTTGTCGTCAAATCATTAGCATGCAAAGCTCATGGCAAATGTCGAATGAAGGCGACCGTGACCAGTCTCGACTACTCTCGTCATTGGCTGTAGATGGCTATGAGGTCGTCGGGGACCACACTGTGAACGAGGAGGAAGTTGCCATTGCGTACGCACTATTTCCAACATTCAAATTTGGATATTTCATCAAAGTACACCGTAACACAGCGTAATGGGAGCCACTGGCTCCGGAAAGTCTACGGTCAGCCTGAGAACCTCGGAGCGACTATTGTCGTGGCCTTGATACTCATACTGCGCAGTTCATCAACCTTCTCAGCTGCTCAGATCTCGCCGTTAGCGACGGTCTCAAGTCATGCACCAGTCAAGTCGAGTTCTCAGAGCGTTCGGCTTGACCGGTAGGACTGTCAGGCTCATAGACACCCCGGGCTTTGACGACACTACGCGGACCGATACGGAGGTGCTGAAAATGATAGCTGTCGCGCTGTCCCAAATGTAAGTGACGTCTTGAACAATGAGGCCGCGCTTTTGCTCATTGCAATGTCAGGTACGAAGATGGACACAAGCTAAGCGGTATCATCTACATGCAGCGCATCTCCGACTTCCGCATGACTGGGATCTCCAGGCGCAACTTCCACCTCTTCCGCAAGCTCTGCGGCGAAGACACGCTCAAGAACGTCGTCATCGTGACCAACATGTGGGGCGAGGTCAACGCAGAGCGGGGGCTTGCACGCGAGGACGAGCTCGCGTCAGACCCCATGTTCTTCAAGCCTGCGCTCGAGAAGGGCGCGAAGATGATGCGCCACGACAACACGTACCACTCCGCTGTCACCGTCATGCTTCAGCTTATCCCGAATACGCCTGCACCTTTGCTCCTCCAGACGGAACTGGTAGAGCAAGACATGGACATCGCCGAGACCGCCGTCGGCGCGGAGCTTGCGCGCGATATAGAAGAGCAAAGGCAGAAGTACTGCGAAGAGCTGGGCGAACTGCAGCAAGAAATGCAGGAGGCCTTCCGCGCAGGAGACAGCGAGACGACTGAGGAGCTGCAGACTGTTCAAGAGGAGACCAAGGCGAAGGTGGCAACGATCGAGAAGCAAAAGAAAAGCTTCTATGGCACCTTTGCCACCTGGCTGCCACTGTTGCTCCTTGGTGGCGACAGCTGCAGCCGTCGGGGTGGCCTTACTTGTGGAGCAGCGCCGGCAAGGACGCTCGCGGTCACCTTCACCGTCGCTGTAACATTTTCATGGGAGCGTAGCTTACCAACACCTCCTCAACAACCCGAGCTGCGCGGTTATGACATCCGCCGGTGTATGACAACTGACACGTAGCCTCCGAACTTGTACCTTGCATCAGTAGTGTGATAGTGCCTTTAGGATCTGGGCCTGCGCTTGTAAAGCCCAAAGTATCTGCATACGAGCACGCGAGTCGTGTAAGGAGTCTCGACCGCAGATTGAGAGCGTTGTTTGCGTGTATTGAGCCTCTGGTGACAAATAGCTACATGGTCTATAAGGTCTGCGGACGGCGAAGTATGTTACAGTACAACCAAGCGCCGAAAAGACACAATAAACGCGGTAGAGGACACCGGTAGAACGTAAGATACTGATAGCTACTAACCAAGCGACCATAGAAACAAACCCACCACCCGAGTAGAGAGAACTTCCAAAAAACAAGGACCGGACGGCGTATCATGATACCCCTGTACAACAATGTCCAACATAGCAGGTATTCAGTACCGCAGCCAGGAACCTCCGATGTCCTTGGGCGTTCCGTATATGCGCACGCGCTAAGTCCATGGGAAAGAGTACCAGCCATGCAGCGCGGCCTATCTCTTGCCGCTCTAACACGCCTGCCACATCTTCACGGAGTCAATAATGAACGCGCGCTGTTGGACGTTCTGCGGCCAGGTCGCGTACCACGTATCCTGCGCCTGGGCGAAGTCATGCATCGCAGCTGTTCCCAAAGTCAGCACCCTATTCTACATGATGAACTCATGTACGCACCGCTCGACGCGTCCAGCCAGGTTTGTCCCGGCGCCATCCGGGAACCACCCGTTCGTCCCCCGACTGCGAGGTCGAGGATGAGGTAGAACGGCTGGTCGAAGGGCGCGACGTTTTCGTGCCGTTCACCCACGGGTTCGGGGTAACGATGTACTCGGAGCCGTTCGCGATCGTCTCGGGGAAGTCGCCGCGGTCGAAGAACGGCTCGTTAAACGCGAGCTGCAGCGTGTGGTCGAGCCGCGTGTCGACGTACATCCGCATGAACTCGGGCGTCCACTCGAGCGAGTATGTGTGGAAGCCATCCGCGTACGTCTTGCGCCGGTTCGTCCACCACCCGTACGTTTTGGAGACACCATTCAGGAAGGAGAAGGGGCCCCAGTTCAAGGAAGATCTCACGTAGTTGATGCCCCTACAATGGAATGAGCACCGAGGCGCGTGTACCGAAACCTTGTACTCACTGTGCTGGGTAGTTGATACCGTTGCCGCGCGACTCCATGATGTCAATCTCGCCAGACGCTGGCCAGGCACCGTAGACGTCGTTGACAGGCATCATCCAGATGGCAGGCCAGAGCCAATCGCCTTGGGGAAGTTTGGCAACGACTTCGACCTTCCCGTACTTGATACTGTGGCTCTTGACGGTTGACATCCGCGCGCTCATGACCGGGTTAATCACGGAGCCTGCGCTCGAGTTGGATACGGCTCCGCATGCCGAGTGGTTGGAGTTCGTGCAGCCAGAGATGTTGTAGGTGTAGCCATTCATGACGTGGTTGTACCCGATGACATCCGAGGTGAGCGTCGGGACGATGTACAGCTGGCCGTCTTGGACGAAGGAGTTGTTGGAGGAGTCCGTCGTCATCTCGAACTCGCCGTTGCTGCAGATTGTTCGTGAGCTTCGAAATAACAACGTTGTGGACGATGCAACTTACCCAAATCCGCCCATCTCCACATCCCGTGTCCAGGTGTTCTGAAGGTCAAACGTGTTGAAGTCGTCCTCCATTATGAGGCACAGATTGCCAACGCGGGGGACATTCCTCCATCCAAAGTAACAACGGATGGCTCCCCCGACCACGCCGAGCATGGCGACGGTCCAAGTGAGCCACCATGATATCCGCACATAGACGTCCTTGTCAGTGATCCAAGGCTTCTCGACTTCTCCTGTAAGCATCGTCGAGCGCTGGTGCTTCGGCGAGGGACGGGCGAGCGTCTCTGCCGCGGATGAGCTGTCATACATAGTCGCGCGTCGCGGCATGACCGGAGGCGACATGAAGGAGTTGCGGATCATCGAGTCCACGCGTGGCATGCTGCCGCGCGACACCTCCCGGACGTTCGGTACGGACGGGATTGACGATGCATGGCGCAAGGTGGAAGAAGGCTGAGAACCCTTGCGGCGGAGGTTGTCCGAGCCGCCACTACGTACCCGTTGGTGGTGAACACCAGGGGTCCCGGGAACGGTCTGCTCTGCGCTGAAGTTGACCACGCTTGCTGGAGGTGAGAACGGGTCGGAGGCCTCGCTCCTGGGCGTAGTGGGGACGGATTCGTCCATTATGCTACGCGTCGGAGTCCGGAAGGGGTCCCTAGGAACTTCTTCAGTCTTGCTGTCGATGAAGAAGAGTGGGGTTGGAGGCTGCAGTGGCGGATGCCGCTTCGACCCATTTGTCGGGGGCGACACATGCGTAGCTGAGCCGTGGGAGGAGGACGCTCGGGAGGACGGAGTGGACGACGATGTCGACATTGCGGGTGGATGGTCAGCCTCGGTAAAGACCAGGGTTGGACTGAAGGAAAGTAAGCGGCCGTCCTTTGTTGGAGGCGTAGGGAGTGCACAACGGCGTTCATCGAAGGTTTTAGTACTGCGCTACGGAATGCACGGTGTCACCGTGATGATACTCCAGACTCCCACTGGGTCCCAAGGCACGACGGACATGTCAGCTCTGAACTGGTAATGCTTACGCGTCCCTGACATACGTGCATAGCCATGCAGGATCTGGTACGGGATGTCAGCAATTATGTCGCGGTGGCTGTTTCGGCGACGCATCAAGGAGGAGTCGCGGGCCAGACTCGACATCTCTGGAGGATGCGGACGCTCGAAGCATTCCGGAGCCGCTGTACAATTGGGAGAAGATCTGCCAGCAGCCAGGACTCCCATCCCAGGAACAATTCAGTCGCGATCCGCGTTATATCCGCCGGTGCCTCAGATCATCCCATTCAATAGCTGACACCCGAATGTGGTCGCAGCCACAATGCAGGTGCCCGAACGAGAAAGGAAGGAGAACGGGCTTACCGGGGCGTACTAGGACACCTGCCATGCCCGAGGACCAGTCAAGTTGCTCGGTGCGCGGTGGGCGCTCGCCGCGTTGGCAGGATCGACAGCCGTCTTCCTGGTCTTCTTCACCGACGCTGCATGCAGATACATACACGTCCGGCTCATGGCACAGCTTTCGGAACGAAAGGCACAGCCTGAACAAGCGTGTGCCAATTGCGAGGTCAGAGTTGACAACGCTGAATCCGCCGAGTGGGACTCCGGCGGGGCTCGAATGAAGAATATGAAGCACCCGTCCATCCAATCCGATCGGAAATTTCTCTTGAGCCACAGGGTGATGTGTTCACCGCAGGGTCCTTGGAATTATGGCGTCCGTGTGCTGTGCTTGTTCAGACGCGTCCCTTGCTTGTGCGATAGATAGGACATTACCTCACGAAGCTGTCTGAACTCTGCAGGCGATCCCGCTAGGTTCGTCTCAAACCGGCTTTTTCACCGCGGCGGCAAAGGCCGCTCGGCGCCGGTCGACATCGATAGAGCAAGACGTGGGGGTCGAAGCGACCCTGGAGGCTATTGACAGTGTTGCAGCCTGGGAACATGCAAGCTGTAAGTAGAGGCAGAAGGAGGAGAGCTCAGGAGACGCCCATTCAATTCACCAAGTCCGACTTGCTCCTGCGGACTTTCTAAATAAGGACGGAGATTGATCGGTACGGCGGCGATCAGCGACCGCGTTTGGACATGCTCTCGATGGTCGCGGTTGCAATCTCAGCTGTATTTACCACTCGGAGCAAACGATATTGAGACTTCGCCGATTCCCTTTCAAACAGATCTTGTGCCTAATTCTTCTGCGGCGGGCCATAATGAAGCCACCGCTATACTGGGCCGAGGTACGATCTATCATAGATCCAGTTCGGAAGGTACATGTCTCCCCAGCCCCGTGGAGTGAACGTTTGAACTGAGAAGATCCCACGAAACACCGAATTTGACGGCCAGGCCCGACGCGATCAGTCACGTAGTATTTGAGTTACCAGATCCATTATAGCTTGAACGACTGCGGTAGCAGCGGGCAGGCTACCAGACCAGCCCATATCGACCCGTGCGTGAGCCTCGAGGTGCGATGTATCGCCTGTCAGACTCAGTTCACAGCTCTGCTGACGCGAGGGTCGGGGGAAGATATGCAATATCACGGATTATCGCCAGTATTTCTCAACTGAGAACCACGGCCAGGCTCGACCGGTGGATAATCTAGCAGACTTTACGTCTGATCAAGCTATGTAGCATGCGCCACCCAACATCCAGCACAAGCTGCACAGAAACACAATCATTGTTCATTCGGCCATCCTTGTGCTTGCCAACCGCCTTCAGAGTCTTCAGCCGCCGTTCATGATGCATGATCATTGACCAAATGCAGACAACTCTGCCGTGTCGGCACAGGGCATCAGAAGAACGGATACTCAGGGCTTCCGTTGTACGGGCGCATCTGTTGCGATAAACATAGAACACTATAGAGCCGGCTCTTGTGAACTTAGCGCTTGCGATAATCCGGAGGCCCCTGCTGAGTGCTACCGAGGCTTCGTAGATTCTTTCCCATGGCATGACGCAGCTTATCATTAACCGGCCTGCAGACGAATCAGTGCGAAGCATACAAGCTTAAGTTGTTGGTCGAATTCACCGTCTACAGATCAGTCGATCTGGGAGAGTATAGTCGCACAAAGGCAACGAACTTACTGCAAAGGCCGTCTTGAACTTACTCTCGCGCCATTAAATGAGCCTACTCGTCGAACACCGTCGAACACCGTCGCTGGCAATATTGACAGACACCTGTTTCGTCATCGCGGCCGTCATTAAGCGTCGACTTGTCACGACTTACCGAGGGTCCTGGAACGCAGATGGAACGTAATGCACCGCATTCGCAGAGGCCTAGGCCTCTGCGAACACACTCCATTGAGTGCCTCGACAATTGTGCGGGTATTCCCGCTCCACAATCCACAGGAAGTTCTTGGGAAGTTATGTCAACTCGATCTCCTCAATGACCTCAATTGCTCGTAGGTGCGTACTTATCTTAGGCTCATCCTCCGAGTCGGCCGCGATCATGGATCGAGCAGTCGGGATTGACGGGAGATCGATTCAGGACTGCACGCGAGTAAGCATAGTAGTAAGCATACGGTCCCTAAGTCTGTGTGACGCACTGCCGTACTTGCCGATAGATGATTCCTGGACAACGACAGAGCGTAATATGCGGCGAGTTGCTGGTCAGTGGTCCACTTGGAGCAAGCGTGCGAATGCCTCGTATTGGGTCGACAAACGCCGATACAATAGATGGCCATCGTAGCTTTGGATCAGCCCACTCTGTTTCGCGAAAAGACTCTGCAACCTTTTCATGATCAACGACGGAAGCCTTCTTTGTATCAAACAGACTTAACCGGGCGTCCCACCGATCCGTGTACCAAACACAGCCCAGACTCAAATTGCCGGGCATTGACGCGGTTCGGAAGATTGCGTAGGTGTTTGCCGCCTGAGAGCCCCAGGGCATTGAAAATTTCGGCCACTGAGTGGATTCTGGCGGCGAGTCGTCTATTGACAGCGTCGTGAGTACCATAAATCTTGCAACAGGAAAAGAACTAAACGACTGGGGAATTGTTTGGCCTTGACTTCGACTAACGAACCACAGGGTCTCGTAGGCACCCCCTGACTGGCGTCAAGGCTGTCTCCGTCGCCCACAAAGTATTGACACTAACTTGGACGTCGGTAGTTTGTAGTGGCCCATCGATTTCAAATGCTCACCTTCACTGAGACACTTGACGCTGTCAGGCACCGTATTGGCCAGTCATTGTGTCGAAGCTTGAAGCTTGTTGAGCACGACGTGAGGTGATGGTGCGGCAAGGATACCGCGCGCGTTACCCTCGCCCGGTACACGCGTGTCGGTCGGCGTCATGTAGCCCATTTATCGCAGATATAGTCCACACGACGTTGGGCGCGCCTTGGCAGGGTATTGCGAGCGTCGGGTCCGAGGACAGAGCGATGTTTCACATAGACACCTACACATCAGTGGTAGAAGAAGAGACGAAGTCTCTTTCCAATTGTCGCGTTCAGTTGAAGTCGTCGATGTCATGCAGAGTGATCAGCATGCATAGAGGTGAAACCAGGGCGGGGGCGACGTCGCTTGTCAGCCTCGCTATCCCCGTCAGTATCGCTCGATGAGGCGGTATGTCGCCCGCAAGAAAGTGTATGACTGCAGGCTTGTGCATAGGATATCGAGGTACTATTCGGTCATGAAAAACAACTTCCGGCTGAGAGGACGGCGCCTAGGCGGAGGTGGCCACATGTAATTAATTATGAACTACTTACCATAAATGTATTGGCGGACAAAGTGTAGTAAACACAGGCGCGATATCCGGGCAGGCGCCGATGATCTGGGCCAATCCACTTTGCTCTGAATTGTCATCTATCTTGTCGCGCGCGACACATTCTGCTGCTGAATGCACCGAGGATCAAGCGTTCTGACCTGAAATCTGACAGACACGCGGATGGTGGATGTTATCCCGCTCGTCTCCGAGCCTGCCGAGGGGGTGCATCCGGATGCGTGGTCCCAGCATTCTCGACTGCCAGTGGTATGTGTGTCGTCCAATTTGGTGGGGATCCTTCACACATGGGTCTGGGCCGCCCAGCGATATGTGCTACCAACGTGTACAGGACCTAGGTTCATTAGGACGCCGCCCCGACGATGCCTCAGCGGAGATAGTAAACGTGGAATACCAGCGAGACTTCTGTCAATCGTCTTACTGACCCATTGCTACTCCTGCATGTCCGCAGTTGATGCCCTCGAGCTTTCGCACCGTCGAGATCTGGAGTCCGTTGGCCGACGGTTCGCACCATTTCCGCTTCACGACTACCTTTCCCGAGCCGAGGAATGGGTACATGACTGAACTCTGCCGTAAAATGCTACACATTGCGCCAACCTTCCCCTTCTCCGTTTGCTATGCCCGATGCCTTGGTGGCCAAGCTGCTCTCTCAGCCGCTCCCCCTTCCGAAGGTTCCGAAGGAACCAGAACTCGAACGTGTTCCCGGCCTCGAAGAGATTGATCCTGTCTTTCCAGCACTCCGGGAATGCAGAATCTTCCACCATCGAACAGTCTGATATCAAGGCACACAGGGCACGTACGCGTCTCCTTCGGGTTTGTCTCCCTTTTTGCCGTCAACTTCCCATACGTCAGCGCCCGCGTTGTCGATGGGCGTCACACGAGGAATCCTGTATGCGGTGCATCGTAACGATATATCGGCTCACTAAGTCCGCTGTGGCCGTCTGAGCCCGCGATGAATGCTTACCAGGCCATTCCAGATCTCGCATTCAATGTCGCACCTGTTGTCTGTCATGCCGTCTCGGACCAGTCATCCCAGGCACCTTGTGCTGACATCGAGTCTGCCCTGGCCACACTGTCGTTCCAGGACGATTGTATTACCGCACGACATCTACACAGGTCTGCGGCTTGGTTTGTTTTCATTCTACTGTGTCACTAGTATTGGGAGGCCGGGATCGGAGCTGTCGGAGGACATCCCACGTACCTGCATGTTTTTGACGAACATTGAGTCCAACCCAAATCGGAGGCATACTTATGTCGCCCTCCTTATAAGCCATCCTACAGTCTCATCGCAAATCGACCGCCCGCATCACTCGGTTCTAGGTGAGCTTGGCCACAAGCAAGCGTCTACTTCCCCGTCTTCCTGGGTGCCATTCGTTATCATTCACTCTACACCGCGACGACCATGGACTACGACGCGTACGACGCTTTGCTCCACCACGTCTTCAAGCAGGTAAGTCTCCAGCACTGTCTTCTACCATACCTCTCTGACATCTGGTATAGACCAAGGCGACGCCTGGTTCAAGCCCTCGGAAGAGAATGTACACGCGGGTGTCTGCTTGCGTGTTGACGCCGGACGCTTCCGTGTCTTCCCTTACGAGAACCCTTACCTCGAGCCGTTTGAGGCTGCCATAAGGCAGCTCAACCCGGTAGTGGCTGTCAAGATTCGTAGTGCTGCTATTCATGCGGCACTCACCACTGTGTGAGCTCTCAGGCTCTCCTTGATATTAACTCGGGCTGCGCTAATGTGTCGACACTTATGCAGCAAGGACGATGCGGATGCCATCTTCATTGATGTCGATACCCGCATTCAGATCTGGAAACGATGACGTTCTTGCCCCGTGCTGACAAGGAACAGTGTGCTGCATTCATCGTAGGGTTTCCTCTTTCTTCCTGACATTCGCTGATGCGTTCCACAGCGCGACGAGTCCGTCCTTGTCGTCTGGTCCTATGCGCTCGACACCATCATCCCAACCTGTCGCGAGCTGGAGGAAAAGCTCATACATCTCGTATGGAAGCAGCGTAACGCATTCGGTTCTCTCGCGTCCTCGATGGCGTCGACCAACGTCTCCGATTCGAATGTCAACCTGACAGAGAAGCAGGCGCCAGTCGTTACCGAGAAGGAGGTCGCCGAGCTTGCACAGCAGAAGGAGAACTCCAGGACGAAGAAGCGGAATTGTGGCATCTTCAGCTACTGGGTGTCGTCGAAGGACAATGACTCGGAGAAGACCGCGAGCAACAGGCCAATAAGATTGTTTGCGCCCGTGTATGGTGGTCTGGCCGCTGCCTTGTCGACCTGTAAGTGATCACGCTCGATCAATGGTGCGCTGCTAACTGACGGTGCTTGGCAGTCTTCATCGCCAGCGGTATTGCAACGGTGATAGAGGAGTCGGTGTTGGACGACACGTACGTCCGATGGGCCCTCTGCGTGACTATCCCGTTCTTGTTCTGCGTCTCCCTGGTAAGTGATCTGGCATCCGATATGTCCTCAATGCTAAAGATTGCTGTTGCTAGTTCTTTTCTGGACAGATCATCACGAACATTTCCTTCATGCTCGGACCCGTCGCTCAGTTCCACGAGAACTCCAAGTACTACTCTGCCATCCACCCTGCACCCAACAAGCTCGTGGACTCGAACCTGCCACATATCACGGTCGAGATGCCAGTCTACAAGGAGAGCCTGAAGGAGACTATGTGAGTATCTTTTCGATCGTCGTCTCGATCATGCAGGGTCTTCGTGCAGATTAGCTCGCGGACGCAGTCGCCGCTGCCGTCGTCGGCCTGCTGTGCTGTTCCATCATGTGTTGTCATGTTTAGCATATCGCGAGGAACGGCTGCACCGGGGATCATGTGCTGTCCGCCCTCGACGATCGCGCTTCACGCGGGATGTCGATTAAGCTCGAATGGACCTTGAGCTTATTCTCGATTCTTCCTCTGCATATGCGTCATTTCGGCGTCATCGGAGTCTGACGGGGCTTTTACAGCGCTCCCTCTGTGTATTCCTTGAAGAAGGCGATGCAGACATACGCGAGGCAAGGCGGCACTTCCTCCATCTTCGTCCACGACGATGGTCTCCAGCTCATCAGCGAGGAAGACCGCCAGGCGCGTATCGCTTTCTACGCGGACCACAACGTTGGCTGGGTCGCCCGTCCGCCGCACGACAGCTCTCCGGATGGGTACAAGCGCGCCGGTCGCTTCAAGAAGGCGTCCAACATGAACTACGGCCTCGCTCTCTCGCTCAAGCTCGAGAAGCACTTGCTCGCACTCGAGGCCGCCGCACGAGGCATGAGTCACGTCGAAGGCGAGGAATCGCTCGAAGACAGGGCGATGAACATGGCCGTCGAGGAGATCTACGAGGAGAGCGGGAAGCGCTGGCGGCCGTGGGCGTGCAACGGCCGGTCGCTGCGCGTCGGCGAGATCATCCTCATCGTCGACTCGGACACGATCGTCCCCGAGGACTGCTTCCGCGACGCCGCGCGCGAGCTGTACGAGTGCCCCGAGGTCGCGATCATCCAGCACGAGTCGGACGTCATGCAGGTCGCGCACCACTACTTCGAGAACGGCATCGCGCACTTCACGCGCAGGATCAACAAGTGTATCTCGATGGGCTGTGCGAACGGTGAGGTCGCGCCGTTCGTGGGGCACAATGCGTTCCTGCGCTGGTCGGCCCTCCAGGACGCGGCGTTCGTCGACCCTGAGGATGGAGTGCAGAAGATCTGGTCCGAGTCGAACGTGTCGGAGGACTTCGATATGGCTCTGCGCCTGCAGCTCAAGGGGTACATGATCCGGTGGTCGACGTACTCGGAGGGTGGCTTCAAGGAGGGCGTCTCGCTGACGTGCGACGACGAGCTGAATCGATGGCAGAAGTACTCTTACGGTGAGCGAGATGTTAGGCGTCTTTCTCTGACATGCTGACTGACATGCGTGCAGGCTGTAATGAGCTGATCTTCAACCCTCTCGTTCACTGGTGGCACATGGGCCAATCACCAAGCAGCTTCGCGTCTTCATCTGGTCCGCCGCCCCCGTTCACTACAAGGTTAGCATGTTGTCCTACATGTTCTCATACTGTAAGTCGTAAAGCCGTCTCCACGATATGCTATAACTCATTCGTACATTAGACGGTCTCGCTGCCGCCGCCATCCTGTCAACGTTGAACTACTTCCTGCTCGGGTGGAACCTCCCAGTCGACGGCTTCTACCTCCATAGTTTCGAGATCTGGCTGGCATGTACCGTCGTCTTTCCAGGCGCCGGTAACGTCGGCTTCACGCTCCTTGAATACCGTCTCGGCCAACGCAGTCTCTTCGACTCCCTTATCGAGAACCTCACTTGGGTGCCCTTCTTGTGAGTATCTTCACCCGTGCTTTCTGCGTTCAACATACTCACGCCCTGCGCAGTTTCTTCTTCTTCGGCGGCCTTTCCATCCATCTCTCGCAAGCGATCCTCGCACACATGTTCTCCTACGACATCAGCTGGGGCGCGACCAAGAAAGAGGTCGAGCGCTCCAACTTTTGGCTCGAGGTGCCCAAGATCCTCAAGCGCTTCTGGCTCGCGCTCGTCATCTGCTTGTTGCTCGTTGCAGTCATGATCATCTTCAGCACGTCCGCAATCCCCTCGGGCTGGCAGATCTTCAGCTGGGACTGGGCCGTCATCCTCCCGCTCGCCATCACCATCGGCTGCCACCTTCTCTACCCGATTGTCCTGAACCCGTGGTTCATGATCTTCTCTTACTAGGCTGGGGTGAGAACGAACATTGGCTATATCTATGCCACTCTTCTGTCATTTGTACGGACTTAACGTGTATCTCGCGCACGACGTAGAGTCTCGGTATTGACATAGAACACTGTCTCTGTAGTATCCTGTGTCCATAGGTTGTACGCACACCTCCCACCTGTCCTTTCTATGTACATTAGTACTCGTCGGTCGTGGTTTCGCTTTGGGCTTGAGTGGTCTCGCTGATTAGGTTACTTGTCCTCTAGAACAAAAGGAATTAATATCAGATATACTACACGATGACGAGGATATGCGAATGCGACAGTAGCCGGCCTGTGCAGTAACTGGGATGCGGGAAAGCGACGCAAAGCGAAAGTACAAATGATCAGAATTCCATGTCCACTGGTCCGTAGCATGCACTCCAGATCCCAGGCAACGCGCTGCTTGGTGTCACAATTGCTAGCTCTTTCCTGGCACCTGCATACTCGGCTGGGGACTTGGCTCTGTGCGCTGGCCCGACGCAGCGATCAGCGGCTCGCACTCATCCGGTGCGAACGGAGAGGATTCATCTGCTTGGAGACGGTCCGAATGCCTGCCACACTTGCAAGCACATTGACATAGATGCTCTGTGCACGCATGTCCTAGGTATCACGTTAGAAAATCGAGAAAGGAGCACCTCTGACACTCACGAACACTAGCGAGGTCAGTCAAGACACCCGCCATAACATCGAGGCAAGCGATGCAAGCTATCGAGATGACACTAGACAGGACTCCGTCGTCGGACATGGTGCAGGCTATGGTTCGAATGTGGGTGTAAGGTTTCTACCGTTTGTGAACGTTCATGAGGAGGACTAGAAGCAAGTCGATGTGGGGTACTATACGGTCGTAGCTGCAGCAGCGCAGGTGTGTGGGTGACTCGCGCCACCAATATGGTTCCGTCTCAAGTTCAGGGATACCGAATTTGGCAATCGACATCTGTACCTGTGGCTTCTGTGGCGCAGCGCCTCTAGGGCCCTTTGAGTCTCTGGCTGCTCTTAAGTAGCAAACATCAATTGACCGTGGACGCTGATCATGAGCTTTCCACTGATGTTCTACTCATCGCTACCTTTTGTGACTACTTACCTTTCCAAACCAAGTCTACGTCTGTGAACATGATTGCAATGCCGCTTCCGGTCGTTCCGGCCGCTCGCTCGACAATCGCTCCTCCCAGATCCACGACCTGACCTCCCTCCTCCCTTTAAGCCTCGGTCGGTCAGCGTATCGAGAGAGGTATGTATTGAAGTATCAGATTTTAGCTCGGGTGTCATGCTGACGATGTTTCAGGACTTATCGCGCGATGACATCGAACCGTTTGCTCTCCTCCCTCGCACATTCATCCCTTTCCTTCTGCAGTCTACCATCCCCGGTCATGCGCTATGGATGGCCCGCTCCTAGGCAGACCCTTCTGACCTACGCGAAAGAACACGGCTTGATCCTGATGATGCGCAGACGCAACCGAACGCTTCCTGACGAGTCTGACGGGGAGAGCAGTGATGATGACGCCAACGAGTCATCCACTGACGACGGCACAAAGAGCATAAAGACCGATGATAACTCATCTAGCAAGGGAGGTGACGAATCAGATGGGAGTAGAACGGCTATTGTCGAGGAGACTTCCAGGACCTTCAAGCGGTTGCCGCCGCTCTTTACGAGGACGGATGTTGACGAACCAGCATCCATGGTAGCTGCCTTGGGACATATCTTCACTCGGCTTACAACAAAGGACGGTTTGCGGCTCCCTGCGGCTATGAATATATTCCTCACTCTGCAGCACGGCGGAGGCGAGCGTCAACTCATATCGGTGTACACAAATTACCATCTCCTTCGTAAGGACCTCCCTCGCCTGAGGATATCCAGACGTTCGGAGATGCCGTGGGGATCACGACGGCGCCGAAGTGGTATATCGACCATGATAAGTACGAATGGCAGTCGGTCAGGAACCCATACCGACGGTAATACCAGTGAGTTTGTCACGTCTCTCGTTGACACTAACTGACTTGGTTCTGTAATGTGTAGCCTTGCACGACACATCTCCCATCTTTTCTCGAGTTCTTCTGAATCCCTATGCTTACCGGTTGCGGACATGAGCTTGTGTATCTATACTCTGTCTCCACATCGTGAGTGGCATCCCACCCACTGCGGGTCCATCGCACGCAAAGGGCCTCGTCTCGAGAGCGTCTGTGTTGCTACGAGAGTTCCGGCCAAGGAGACCCCACCGTGGGCGTTTAAAGGTTCAACGTCCACGGGTTCTCTAGGCCATGATGCCATACCCAGCTGTTGCAGTGGCCAACTGACAGAACCCGGCTGCCATGCCTGGAAACATAGCCACTATAGGGCTATGTCCACGACACGGCGGATCCCACACAAAGCGTTCATAAAGTCTGCGATCATCCATCCGAGGCTGGACTGACGGATCGTTGCTGGGATGATCCCCAGCACTGGAGGCTACTACGATCCCCAGGATGTCGTGGCGATCGCTGCGTGCGTCCCTCTTCACCTGCGGAACGCCGGCTCGAACTGACTGGTCGTCGACTTCGCAGTACCGACGACACATTGAATGTATGTGTCGTATACGGCGGTACGTGCTCAAGGCAGAATCATCACTCTTGGTTGACTCATGATCAGACACCTGTCCCCGCAGCGCTGGTCATATACGACTATGCCACCACCCTCTCGCGCGAAGTCGAGCTCTACTAGAAGCCCCGCAAACTGTCAAGGCCTACCATTTTCTTCACCAACCGCTACGCCCTCGTCCTCTGCGCCGCCACCTCTATCCAGAATGCGCCAGCGTGGAGCACACCGATTGTGAGTTCGTGCCTCTGCGCTGGGATCCAGCGTCGAAGTCTGAGTTGTCGATCTTGGACAGTCTCGCGTTCGCGTGTTGAGCTGCGAAGGCAGTGATACAACGGTAGTGCGGCGTTATCTCTACCTATTGCGGAATGGCGTGTGCTGCCTCAACTGACGATGTTCGATGGATGTTCGTGCTGTTCTTCCACCGTTCTTCCACATCCCTGTGCTGCGCCTGGAGTTGCAATGATCATGAGTGCTGTGTAAGTAGCAGCCGGGAGTAGCTAAAAGAGGGCCATTCTTGGCGAGGCCCGCCATCTGGCATGCTCCCTGCCCAAGGACATCCACTACACCTCAAATACGAAGAATCATTCTCGATGGCGAGCGAGTCTATCCTTGTGGAGGACACCCGCTACACTGTGTGAGTGTCTCTCATCGGCTGCGTTGGTTTTGGCTCTTGTCGTAAGATTGTCGCTGATGTTTGCTCGTAGGATTGGTGACATGTTTGTGACATCAGCTCTCGGTCGGTACTAGATGCAGAAATGACACAACCGCAACTTTCATTCATGAACTCCTCTGTAGCCCTTTATGTCTACGACCGCATACTGACCTTTGGGTCGGAAATCGACATGATATGGCGCCGAAAGAAGATCGGTATTGCAATACCTGTGCTCTACACATCAATGCACATGCTCGTCCTTTTGTACTTGCTGTTGTACGTTTGCCCGCCTACAGTGATATCGCTTCAGGTGAGCCAACGAGCATCATTAGCCCCTCTACGCTCTACCACTAACAAGCACGCCTATCTATTGCAGAGGTCAGTGTGGTATTCGTACCGCGATTTCCTTCGTCTGAGTGGGATGGGACAGCTTATGGGCGATGGACGTCATGTCGGATATTTCGGTCTGCCTCCTCTACCTGACCTGGGGATGTGCGTATCTTGGTCTCGTAGCTGCAATTACACGCACGAACTCACCAGTCTCCCAGTCATTGCCGCAATGCGAGTGTATGCCGTCAATGGAAGAGGCAGTAGTATCTATGCGCCAGCATTTGTTTTTCTTTGGTGGCTGATACCTGTGGGCATCAACATCGTACGTTCGTTGTTTGTTACGCGAGTGTTATCTGATCGTGCCGATTGAACATAGTATAATGCAACTACCTGGTTCGTCATCGCCTCACAGCCGGAACAAGGCTATGATTTAACCTCGAGGACCCCTGTAGCTGTGCACACTATGCAAGTGTCACATGCATTTCACGGACCTGTGATAGAAATAACTTATCACGTCCACCCCTTTCAGATGCGAGTCAAATTTTGTAGTGAAGTCGAACAGCGACTGACCAAACATATCAATCTATTGTTGCTGCAGTGGAAATTGTCATACGAATATCTGTGACCGTCGCCGATGGATGTGCCTTGTTTTTATATGGAGGAAGGCGGGCGGACGGTTGGGCTCCGTGAGATGCTAGGCGGAAAGCCATCACTTTCAACCACATTGCTACGCGGAGGTTCGTGCACTACGTGCAACAATCAAATGTGCTACCTCAGGCTAATATACCGCTTCCAGGGACTGCATACTTCTGGCAAGTCGGGAAGCCCGTGCCATACACGCGAGACTCATGCGACATCCATTCCAGCGCGCTCTTCGTCATGAATGCTGGTACCGCGCTGTCATCGATATTGAATAATAGGGTGAGTGGTTGCATCAATGGTGCCCGCGTATGTTGGCGTGCAATATACTTAATGATTTCGTTTGCAGAATGTCGTCTTCGACATCAGCGATGACGCAGTTTCTTTGTGGACGTGTAAGCTGACCGATCTTGGCTCTGCGAAAAGAATCACTGACATGTTGTGAAGCTTGACGACTATCCTCCTCTCCCGCCTATTCCTGGATCTGCGCGAAGTGGCCGATGCTGATGTCGATCGTACGCTTTCGACTGATGTTTCAGGCTCGATACAGTGGAGAGGTTCTTCCGGACCTGTTGAAGACTCTCTTCATCGTGCCAGGACCAATGATGAGGAAGCTCTCCACGTGGATGGCGCGCTCGTGGATGCAGATGCGGGAAGGGAGGAGAACGCCTCTCAAGATGATCCGCTATTCGGTGAAGAGAATGACGAAGGGGTGCAAGAAGTAGCCATAGCGGTGATAGGTGGTTCACCCAACTGATGGACGAGGTTGGCGCTGTTGCCTCTGTTCGGGTTGGAGCAGGCAGACGCACGGAGCAGTATCGTGTAGTGCAGGCATAGACAATTGATTGAGACGTCTTTGGTAACTCTCTTCGTAGTTATTTATCCGGAATTGCTGAATCCTGACATTGACCTATAATCCTCTCACGAGTCACCAAGCCTTGCACCAAGCCCTACTGCCTCCCCTGCGATCTGTATCGTCAGCAATATGTCAGTTCAATCATGTTGATACTTTCAGTCTGAGCAGGTCGGCCTGAACATACCGGTCAGGTGAGCCTCACAGCGAAACGATTCTACAGGGTCCGACCCATTATATCGCTGACGCACTACGAACACGCTCTGTGGTAGAAGAGCGAGCACTGTCAGCTCTCCGGCCAGATTTAAATACGATACTGAAAAAAGCTACTAGCATCTTACTGTCGCGCAAAATATAATCCCACTAGTAGGCAAAAGGGCGGATCGGCACGGTGATCCAAATATCTACGCACGTCTCTGTCCGCATGCTGCGCCGCATTCCAAGGGACGAAGGTCAGCGGCTGACGGCCTGCGTGTGGTTGCGCTCAGTTGCGAAGCCACGACACAGCACGCTGCCAGTACTCACTTCTCGATGCGGCTTCTCCATTAGTGTTCTCCTCCCTCCGCGTCTACGCGATCAGCCTCAAGAACAAGACGCTCGCGGCCATTCCTCCCGCCCTAGGGCTGACTCCATTCGTCGTAACCCTGGTGCGTGTTTGCGCAGGTTTGAGCTGCCGGCCGAGTGGAAGTATGATACCGATGAGCGTCTTCCTCTCATAGTATGCCATCGTACGTCAATCATACTCGTTCATCGGTGAAGGTGGCCTCTACACGCGGACGCGCTACTACCCGACCTCAGCAGGAACTATGTACGTCTCTCGTCAGTCTCCCGTCTCACGCCAGTTCCATCAAAACTGACCACACCAACGGGGCAGCCGTAAGCCTACCCGCCCCCGACCTCGCCCATCGCACGAGCTGACCGGCGTCCCCACCACACAGTGAGCTACGCCGCCTGGGCAGGCGTCATCCTCGCGGACCTGCTCGCGGTCGGCATGACGTGGAAGCGCACGTACGCGTTCGTGCGCTGGGCGCGGGAGGCGCGGGTCTCAAGCCCGCTCATCACGCTCTGCCTTCGACGTCCTCCCTCCGCTCGCCCTGCCCGTGGCTGACTCGTGGGGCGCGGTACTTTCTGTGAGCACGCCTGTTCGTGCGTGCTTTTGGTAGGCTGATGTGCGCTCGTGGACGCTGGACAGTGCGATCCTGCTGGTCAACACCATCGAGCTGTGCGTCCACCGGAGCTCCGTGCATGCCTCCACGTCCACGTCCAGCACGTCCGTGGACGCCCGCGACGACTGGTACACCATCGTCCCGTACGTGCCCCCCGCCTCCCTTCCTCATCGCTTCGCGTGCATTGCTGACCTGACGCCGACCAGTGTCGCCCCAATACTCGTCTCGTGGTTCCTCCTCCACCTCCGGCAGGTCTCCGAGGCGGGGTGCGACTCAGACTCGGACGCGGACGCGAACACAAGCGTACATTGGTCGGCGGACAAGAATCGGTCGTCACCGTTGGACGCCAGGGGGGCGCGTTCGGGCGATGCGGGCCCCGCAGACAGCGCGACGTTCTCGTCGCGGCTGGTGGGGAATATGGATGCGGAGCTCGTGTTCGCTTCGTTCGCAGCAGAGGGGGACGGGGTAGACGAGTGGGAGGACGGTGGTGGAGAGGCTGGGTTGGGAGAGTGTGGGAGGGTGAGCTATGGGTCGGAAAGGAGCTGTGCGAGTGGAAGTACGGCTAAAGGCGATGGGGGTGCGTGAGCGCGTTAACATGGATGGTGCGCGACTTTAAGGGCACGGACCATAGTCGGCATGTGGGACTTGCTAGCAGGTCGGGGAAGCGCGTGGTCTCACTCTTGTGCAACAAGAGGCAAGATGCATTACAAACACTAGTTGCAAATATGTATACAATGCTGATACTTGAGTCCAAGACGTTCGGTATGGCTTCGTTTGGCGGTTCTCTCCTGCTCGCTGTTCAGGCCCCTCGCAGCCTATACCGGAGGCTCATCCATGCGCACTGCAGCCTCAAAGGCACTCTCCATGCCCAGAAGCCTCGGCTCGCTGTCGAGCCGGGTGCGCTCTGCGCCTCAGAGGCGGACGCGCCAGAGGGGTCGACCAGGTGCCCTACAACCTCGCTACCGCATGAAGTCAATCTCACCGCGCAGTATGCAACACGGAAGAAGTACGCACCCAGTTTCGTGTGCGGCAATGGAAGACAAGCTAGCGAGAGGGACGTGGTCTCTCACCGCGCCCGCAATCACGTTCGTGAGATCCTTGCTCGGAATCCCGAGTGCGACCGCGAGCTCCTCGATCCTCCTCTCAACCTCTCCATTCCCGCCGTCCTTCTCAAACCCAAGCGCGTTCGCATTCGCGCGCGCGCGGCTGCCGTTCGTATCGCGGTGCTGGAGCTGGGGCGGACGCTTGCCGAGGGCGAGTTTCCACCAGCCGCCGACCTCGCCCTTCCACTGCATGAGGCACCAGACGTAGAACTTGAAGGCGGTGACGACGGTGGCGAGGAGGCCGAGTCGCTGTTTTGCTTTGGGCTTTAGTGGTCTCGCTGATTAGGTTACTGTACTTATCCTCCAGAACAATGGGAATTGATATCAGATATACTACACGATGACTTGCCAGGACTTACCTCTGAGATTATCCCACTCACGGACGCTCGCAAAGTCAGTCAAGACACCAGCCACAACATCGAGGCAAGCGATGCAAGCTATCGAGATGACTCCGGAACAGAAGTCCGTCGTCAGACCTTCAGACATGGTGTGGGTGCAGATGAAGTCCTGTGGTTCGGATGCGGGTGTGATGTTTCTACCGTTTGTGGACGTCCATGAGGAGCAGAAGCAGGTCGGTGTGGGGTATACGGTCGTAGCTGCAGCACTGGCAGCGCCGTGTGTGACCAATGCGCACTGGCCAGTGAGCGCCACCAAATGGTTCCGTCTCAAGTTCGGGGATACCGAGTTTGGTAATCGCGTTTGTACCTGTGACTTGTGGCGTAGCGCCTCTCTGGCTCAGGCTCAGTGGCTGCCAGTGCCGCTCTACAACTCAAGACAATCATTTACATAATTGACCGTGGACGCAGAGCCCTTCGCTGAGTTCTACTTACTGACGCCGGCCGGGATCTCGGCCACCTAAGGAGTCGATGCGGGCCTTCGGGTCCATGTTTACTTCGACCGCTTGGGTGAGTATCTGGGACCACGTTAGAACATCCTATGTATGCAGGAAAATTGTTAGAAGAATTTATTGACCACTGGGTCGAAGGTAGTAAGCACTTTCGTGACAAGAATCCTGGGAACCAGATTGACTACGAAGTCGGCCATGCAGCCAGAGCTGGCCCGCTACAAGGCTTAACATTATCCGAATCAGCATATATGTACTCCAGAATGTCAATAGATATATCCCCAGTAATTCAGCAGCTGTTCAGCCCGAGATACAAGCACAATGGCTGAATACTGTCGATGGGTTGAGAATATGCACTCGGCACTTACCATATATGGACAGCATCGTACAGACTGATTTTTTCTACCTTCAGTTCGTACTGTATTGGCTTGAGGTGGTGTATATACATTGTACAGATGGATAGCTCGACCCTAGTATTTTTTTCGTGGCTAGAGGACAGGTTGCAGTAGACTAGGAGTGCGATGACCGACTGCCTAGGGTGGCCGAGATCCTGGCCGGCGTCAGTATTGCCATCTTCATTTGGTTCCCTTTCCAAGTCATGTCTGCAACTATCAAAACGATTACGATCCCGATTCCGGTCGTCCCGGCCGCTCGCTCGACAATCGCTCCTCCCAATGGGCCGCGACTCAACCTCCCTCCTCCCTTCAAGCCTCATGCGGACAGCGTGACGAGACAGGTATGTGGTCTCGCAGTCTCAGCTCGCAGTATCCTGTCGACAATGTTTCAGGAACTATGGGACGCGTGCCATGTCGAGCCGTTTGCCCTGCTCCATCGCATGTTCATTCCCGTCCCTTCTGCAATCTATAGACCGCCAACAATGCACTACGGATGGTCCGCTCCTCGGGAGACCCTTTTGGCCTACGCAAAGAAACACGGCCTGATCCTTATGATAGGCAGGCGCAGACGACCGCTTCCTGACGAGTTGGATGGGGAGAGCAGCGACGATGACGCTAGCGAGTCATCCGCTGACGACGACACGGAGGACACTGAAAGTGGCGATGATGACTTTTCCAGCCAGGCAGGCAACGAGTCAGCCAGGAGTGGCACAGTTGTTGTCGAGAGGACAAGCAGGCCATTGCCGCCGCTCTTCCCGAAAGCGCACAGGAAGAAAATCGACGAACCCGCGTCAATGGTAGCCGCCTTGGAACATATCTCCACCCAATTATCGAAGAAGGACGGTTGGCGTATTCCTGCGACTATGGAGCTGCGCTCCACCCTGCAGCACGGCGAAGGCGAACCGCGAGTCATATCGGTTTATACCAACTACCATTTCCTCCGCAAGGACCTTCCCTCGCCAGAGGATATCCAGAAGCTCGGAGAGGCTGTGGGAATGACCACACCGCCGAAGTGGTACATCGATGAGTATAAGTACGAATGGTATATGATCAGCCGGGGCCCGCGTCGCCGTTGATATCAGTGAGTTGGCCACATTCGCGTCTGCCTTGGTTGGCGTTGACTGGTTCGTTGAGTAGAATGCAACCTGCGACGACACGTCTCTCACTTCTCGCTAGTGCTCAACGAAACGAGAGTGAGTGATAATCATGTTATAACACGGGAACCTCGACCTCATCAGTAGAAATACGGTCCATACTACCTGGACTACTACACGGACTGTACTACGCCTTTGTTGTTCCTCTCTCACTGTAAGTATACAATCCTAGTTATCAGCCACAATATTGGTGGCTTGACCGGACTGGCGGCCCGCGACGCCTACGTGGCTGTCGTCGGCAATGTCCGACTGCCATTGTTCAAACGTTCAACGTTCAATCAATATAGGTGCGGCCACAGACCACCGACAGCCACCGACGGTGACGGTAACCCCATTTCTCCTGAATCCTCTTACCGACAACAGCTACACTTACGCACTATGTCTACGCCTGCGAAAATGATTGCGATTCCACTTCCGGTCGTTCCGGCCGCTCGTTCGACAATCGCCCTCCCGAGAACGCAGCCACTCGACCTTCCCCCTCCCTTCAAGCCCCAGGAGGTCTATGCGACGAGACAGGCATTAATCTTTCAATGTTAGTTCGCAATATCATGCTCACAATATCTCAGGACCTGTTGGACGCGCGCTACATCGAGCCGTTTGCCCTGCTCCCTCGCATGTTCATCCCCGTACCTTCTGTAATCTACAGGCCGCCAACGATGCACTACGGATGGCCAGCTCCTAGGCAGACCCTCCTGACCTACGCAAAGGAACACGGCTTGATCCTGATGATGCACCGGCGCAACCCACCGCTCTCCGATGAGTCTGACGGAGAGAGCAGCGACGATGACATCAGTGAGTCATCTGCGGAGGACAGCGCAGAGGACAATGATAGGACCGGTGATGAGCCTTCCGGTCGAGGAAGCGACGAGTCAGATAGGAGTGGCATCGAGAAGACTTCCAAGCCGTTGCCGTTTTTCATCAGAGCGAAGGGGACGAACATCGACGAACGTCCGTCAATGGTAGCTGCTATGGAACATATGTTCGCTCAGCTATCCGAGAAGGATGGTCTACGGGTTCCTAAGACTATGGACATGTACCCCACGCTGCAGCACGGTGGAGGCGAGCGGCAAATCATATCTGTGTTCACGAACTACCATCTCCTCCGAAAGGACCTCCCCTCACCTGAGGATGTTCAGAAGTTCGGAGAGGCCGTGGGGATCACTGCACAGCCGAAGTGGTACATCGATCAGGAGAAGTACGAATGGTACCTAACCAGAGACCCGTACAGGCGGTGATATCAGTGAGTTCGTCGCATTTTCATCTACATTGACTGACCTCGTGTGTCATCTGTAGTCTGCCGTAACATGACTGCCGTTTGGTTGTGGGCATACTTATGATCTATCATATTGTATATAACAACTGTATGTAACCAGCAACACCCCCGCGCCGCACGGGATGTGGTTCGTGGTTCATCATGGACACCGAGTTCGAAGGCAAGCAAATGTATATAGATCTCACAGCGAACGATGAGCCTGAGGAAGCCTTTCACGCGGGGCTCCCGTCGCGCGGTCACGTGAACGGACGGTACACGGTGGGCTGCTGCGGAGCCAACCAGAGTTGAACCACGAAGCTAAAACATCGACGCGCGCCGGTGGCGACACAGCATTGACAGCGACCGGCTGCGACAGATTCTCTCTGTCCTTCTCTAACGCCATGCCTGCATCGAGGATGATTGTGATCCCCCTTCCGGTCGTTCCGGCCGCTCGCTCGACAATCGCTCCTCCCAATGATGGGCAGCGACTCAACCTCCTTCCTCCCTTCAAGCCTCATGCAGGCAGCGTGACGAGACAGGTATGTGATCTCGCAGTCTCAGCTTGCAGTATCATGCTGACAAGGTTGTAGGAACTATGGGACGTGTGCCATGTCGAGCCGTTTGCCCTGCTGCCTCGCATGCTCATCCCCATCCCTGCTGCAATCTACAGGCCACCAACGATGCACTACGGATGGTCTGCTCCTAGGGAGACCCTTCTGGCCTATGCGAAGGAACACGGCTTGACCCTGATGATGCACAGGCGCAACCCACCGCTTCCTGACGAATCGGACGGGGAGAGTAGCGACGATGACGCTAGCGACTCATCCACTGACGACGACACGGAGGACACTGGAAGTGACGATGATGACTCTTCCAGCAAGAGAGGCGACGAGTCAGATGGGAGTGGCGCAGTCGTTGTCGAGAGGACTCGCAAGCCGTTGCTGCCGCTCTTCCTGAAAGCGCACCGGATCGACGAACCTGCGTCAATGGTAGCTGCCTTGGAACATATCTCCACTCAGCTATCGAAGGACGGTTTGCGGGTGGCGACTTTGGATCTGCACTCCACACTTCAGCACGGCGAGGGCGAGCAGCGGATCATATCAGTCTACTCGAACTTCCATCTCCTTCGCAAAGACCTCCCCTCGCCTGAGGATATCCGGAAGCTCGGAGAGGCCGTGGGGATCACTGCACCGCCGAAGTGGTACATTGATTCGGACATGTACGATTGGTACTTAATCAGGGATCCGTACAGTTGGTGATAAGTAGCGGTAAGTTTGCTGCGTCTTTCATCTATGTTCAATTGGCGTTGACTGACCTCGTTCTGTCATGTGTAGTCTGCCACTCGTCTCTCGCATCTCTTCCGCATCCATGTGCTTACTACTTGCGGTTGCGGATATGTATGTACGTATCTGTACTGTATATACAGACTGCATGTAATACGGAAACATTATAGTATATTGCATTCTCATGCTGACGAAGGGCTGTGATTATCTTTGCCAGTGGCATGCACTACCCACTTCGCGCCGCGGCACGCGTCGCGATGCACGATGGTAGGTTCGACAGCAGACAAGGGACATTCCGAGTACGCTATCTGGTTAGCTACCCCGTCGAGCTCACCTGTGCTGCCTAGTAGGCGCGTTCAGACAAAAAATATCGTACAGAGACGTCCCTGCCGTCAGTGCACACTCGCGTAGTCGGGCTACTGTAGCATGCTAGCGCGCAGCCGTTTCGGGAGGAAGGATATGGGAAGAACATCGCCGCGAGATGTCGAAATGAAACTAGCAGCAGCAGCATTCTGGGCGAGGGTGCACGCGAGTCTTCCATCTGACCTTCGTTGTAGGAACATCGGAGTGAAAATTATATTGTAACAGAGGACGATCGGCCCCGTCATACAAGACTTTGATAACCACACTACCTGGACGAAATACTACTCGGACTGTACCGCGCCTTGCCCTTTGCTCTTCAGGCCATGTTTCTCTTCATATGCCTTGACGCGTGCTTTCCTCGCCTTTGTCATTACGTTCCTTGAATTGCTGTCCATACTCCTCGACCCCGATGCATTCGTCATCGTAGACTGCGATGTTGTACATGGAATGCACTTCGGATACTCTGGTCGGTACGCTCTGCCAATTGTCACTCGAAGATGGCTCGGTCACGAATCGTGGCACCAACTTCTCGGTCTGCTTTCGATCGAATGTAACGGTGCAGAACCAGATGCCAACGTGTAGCATGACGCGCACCACATCGTCATCAAGATATTCGTTGAACACCCTGTAAGCTTGCTCGGCTGCTTGTTTGACAGTGTCTTCCATTATCCCCCAGACGGCATCACTCCGCGCCTTCGCCTTCAGTTCAAAGTAGCCGGGCGGATACCTCTTGACTTCGTGTAAGAACAAGATATGTTCTTCATACTCTAGCTCGTCTCCCGTGGGGAGAAACGATATAACTGTGGCAAAGTCCGGAGAACGGACCTCCTCCTTGGGGACTCCCTGGCTAACCTCCGTAACATCTGTGGTGAACGATGTCTCCGCAAGTGGGTCGAAGCCAGATGGTAGACCCGGGTCGAGCTCATGATGCCCCCCAAACATCGCGACGGTAGGATCGTCCATCTCGCCTCGCTCGAGCGCCTCCCCAATCCTAGCAGCAATATTTCGGGTGAGAGGGCCATGAACGGCATCGGGTGCTATATGGTGCGTGAGTAAGGTATAGGTCGTACAATAGAAGATGACTCACCGACGGGCTGGGCACGATCTACGACGGGGCGCGGGGCACGGAGGGGCGCTTGAGGATGAACGGAGATTATGTAGTGCACATCATCGACAGGCACCATGCGCCCACTTGAGGTTAATCACCCAGCGGGTTTGCAGGGCACATTCAGACTCCGCTGTGGCGCGGCCTCCCGTACGCGCACAAGTCGCGCGTCGCGCCCTCTTACTTAGAGTCGCCAACGCCGTACGCAGCCTAGAACCTACCGCGGGGGCGGGCACAGCGACGAGTGGACGGCTGGGAATGGTGCGGCTGGCGGGGGCGGGCGGGGGCGAGGGTGAGGGTGAGGGCTAGAGCCGTGTCAATACACAATTCTAATATATTTGTTAATGCTCTATACACTCGCGCTATACGATCGACACTAACGTCGATCAATCAACACTCTATGGTCATTACAGAATACTTCAGTACTATTAGTCCGACGTGCGAGTCCGCGCCGCGCGACTCGGACTCCAGCGCGTCGCGCACATCAAAGTACTACCTTCCAAGTTGTGGCCCACGACACTCTCGTCGGCTGCGTTTGCACGCGGGGCACTGGCCCTATGTGCTCGTGGTCGGCGTGTTGCGCACGCCCCGGCCCTGCTCAGCGTCGTCGTTGTCTCCCATCCTGAGCTCGCGCACGCGCTCCGTTCGTCCGCCATGATTGCGTGCTGGGCATTCGTCCAGCACGCTCGTGGTCGGCGTGTGTGTGGTCCCCTGCTTGTGTGCCCGCTGACCCGCCCGCCCACTCGCTCGTGTGCCTCCTCGTGTGCCTCCTCGCCCGCCTACTCACCCGCCTGTCAACCCGTGTGCCTGTCTGCTCACCTGCTCGACCAGTCACTCATGTACTACTTGCCTGTTCACCGGCCCGCCCGCCTTCCCGCTCGCGTTGCGCGCGTTCGGTGGCTGGACATTTGCCCAGCGCGCTCGCAGTCAGCGTGTATGCTGGCTGCCCGTGCGCGCGCGTCCGCTCGTCCAGTGGTCCAGCCGTCCATTGGCCGTGCCTGCACGCAGGGCAGAGGACCTGCGTTCTCGCGGTAACCGTGCGAGTCGTGCTGCACGTTGCCGCGTCCTGTACCTGCGTTAGTGGGGTCGCTCGCGTGCGTTTGCGCTCACCTATGGGGACTCGCTCTCGCCCTCCCCCACCAGCCACTCGCCCTTCCCAGCCGTCCACTCTTCACTGTGCTCGCGCCCGCAGTATGTTCGTGGGCTGCGTACGGCGTTGGCGACTCTAAGAGGGTGCGACGCGCGACTTGCGCGCTGTGGTGATTGCGAGTCCCCGATGCGTAGACGACGCGGAAGGGAATTCTAGGTATCGGTGAAAACGATGGGCGGGGGTCGTTGGTGCGAGTTGACGGCTGCGGAAGGAGGGAGCGAGGTCTCTGGTACCTCGCGGAGGAGAGGGAGGTCGAGATGATACGATAAACACCTCCCCTGCCCTGTCCGTGGGCGTATATCGGCCTTCCTAAGCCTGCTGCGCTCGACGATTTTCCTTCCGACGATCCTAAACCTGTCGCGTCCTTCTTCCTAAGCCTGAGCCTAACCTTGACGAGCTTCCTTAGCCTGAAGTTCCTCCTAATACGAGACCTGAAGCCTGAGATTGCCCGTCGCAACCTAGATACGGAGTCCTGAGAGGTAGTGGTGGGTAACTAACTCCTCCCTCCCTCTCCCCTCCTAAGTCTCCTCCCGCCGCCGTTTTCCCACGTCCTACCCTCGCTGGCACCCGTTCCTCTCCTCTCCCGTTCCTTCCGCACCCGCCTCGTCTCCTTCCGACCCCTCGCCGTGCCCTTCTCCAGCTCCTTCCGGTCCCTCCGCCTCCTTCCGACGCCTCGCCATACCCTTCTCCAGCTCCTTCCGCTCCCTCCCCCTGGCTCTCAGTGTTTCCCCACCGTCTGCAATGCCCGCCGATGCTCCCCCGAACCCGTCCACCATCGTCTTCACCACCCGGTTCTACCGCCTCATCGATCTTCTCCGTGACGAACGTGTAGTCGAGCCTCGTCTGAACCCCGATAGCGACCACGAGTGGCTTGCCTGGGCCCACGGAGCTCGGTGGTTAATCGTGCGTCTTCCCCTTCATCCTGATTCCTGATCCCCCTCTAAGCCGTCCTCCCCGCAGCGAATGCTCTTCGACTCTCGTTCCCGTGCAGTGGCCCACGGCGATGCTTCCCTTCCGCTCGTCCGCCGCTATCCCGACGTGCAGGAGCTGATCGAGTACCTCGACCAAGTCTTCCTCACTCTTCCGTCGCAGCATAGCTACGTGGGCGAACCCTTCCCTTTGATTGCCTGGGCCCCGAATCGGGTCACCGCCGAGCAGGCCGACGCAGAGATTGGTCGTCCCCTCCTTCCGGTTCGCTACTTGGAGCGTCCCTTACAGCTCTCGTCCTACCGCGCTTCGTCCGACAGCCTCGACAGCCTCCTTACTCGGTTCCAGGGCCTCCTAGACGAGTGCCGCACCGCTAACCGCGACACTCGTTCCGAAGCTGTTCGTATCGCCCGAGGCCTGAATACGGTGGAGGGCGGTGTTCGCGACTTGCACGCCCGCCTGTCGGAGGGAGTCTACGTCCCGGACGGCTACTCTGGGGTACCTCGCCGCCTGCGGTTCGCGCCGGTTAGGGATGTCGATGATCTGGAGGAAGGAGAGGTTGAGGACGCCATGGGGGAGGAGCCCGTTGTCCATGTACTGTAGCCGTCTTCCTCCCGCGTGTTCTTATATTGGTTGTCCTTCCGCCGAGTCGTCCTTCCGCCAATGGATGTCGCTTCGCTCCGCATTGCCCGGGCCTGAGTGCGTGTGTCGTTCCGGGCTCGTACCGCTGTTCCCATGTGGGCCTGCCCCACATCTACCCCCACCTTGAAATTCTGACCGTCCCCGGTCAGACTCCCATTCTTCCCGATATGGTACTCCTACGCCGCCTTCAGGATCGTCCCAAGTCTTGAGCGATCGGTGATCGATCACGGCCTTCTGCTCGCCTTGCTTCTCTAGCGCTTCGTCCGACGCGTTGATTGGCCGGGATAGTCTCTTGATCGGGGAATCTTCTTCCGATCAGTGTGGCTGGGCCTCGTCTCCCCGCGTATAAGGCTCGCCGCACTCCTGTTCCTTCGTGCTCCTTCCTCCTCCCTCCCATCTCCTGTCACCCATGTCTCGTCCTTCCCCGTCTCCTTCCGCCACTCTGGACTTCACCGCCGGTCTCCCCGACGAGGACTATCCAGTCCGCCTCGCCGCCTCCGCTGAACTGGTCTCCCTTGAGGCGCGAATCAGCATCGTCGCCGCTCGAGAGCCGACCATGGGCCGCCATCCATCGCACGCGCAAGCGGGCGCGTGGTTGATCTGGGGCCGCCAGCTATGCTACGCCTGGGTGAGCACCTCTGATACCTATCTCCCCGTCCTCCATGCTCACGGGTCCTCCCAGGCCGTGTACGACGTGCACCTCGACTACGTCCTCACCAACGGGCTGTTCGAGACGCGTTTGCGTCCCGAAACCGAGGCCGCCTTGGACGCCTTCTGGGAGCGGCTGGACGGCTTCGCCAGCCAGCCCTCCCGGTACCAGGGCTCCCTCCAGACCCTCCGGCAGGAGGCCCAACTGCGTGGCCGCCGGTACGGCTCGACCGGCTACTGGGCCGGCACCACCTTCGAGCTCTCCCCGGCCGTCCTCGCCACGTCCCGTCGTCCCGCCTCTCGCGCTCCGTCCCCATCGCCCGTGCCTCATCCGTCCCCTCTCCCCGCCACCGCCGCGCATCTGTCTCCCGTCTCCGAGCCTCCCCGGTCGCCGCCCCACGAACCTCGACCTCCGTCCCCTCTCGAGTACGACGAGCCAATGCCCGAGCCTGCGGCCCAGGACGGTCCTGTTCCCTCGCCCGCCGTGCGTCTCGCGGCCCTCGAGGACGTTCCCGCGCCTGAGCCCGCCCTCTCCGTGGCTGGGCCGTTCGGGTTCCCTTTCCCCGAGCCGGCTCCCTCCGCCCCCGGCCATTATGCCCGCGCGTCCTCGCTCGCGTTCACCGAGCGGGACCCTTCCGTCCCTCCTCCCGTTACGCCCGCGCGTTCGCCGCCACCCTCCTCTTCGCCTCTGTTCACAGAGAGAGGCACGCCCGTCGCGCCCCTTCCTCTGTTCGCGCCATCGCCCTCACCTCCCATCGCGCCGTCCATACCATCTCCTCCCCCGGGCCTCCGCGCGGCACCGCCCTGTCTCGCGCGCCACCGACTCCCCCTCCGATCGACACCATCGAGGATGACGCCCTGGAGCGGTCCATGTCACCTCGCGCGTTGGAAGAGGCGATTTTCGCCAGCAACATCGGGACCCGGCTCTACCGCCCAACCCAGCCGTCCCCTCCTCCCGCTCCTCGCCCGTCTCGCCCAATGCCGCGTCGTGTCCTCCTCAAGCTTCCCGACCACGGAGGCGCTTCGGCTGCTCCCCCTTCGCCGACAATCCTCCTTCCGTCCCCCGCCCTCCCCGACAAGTTCCCTCCGGTGCCGCAGCGCACTTCCAATGCCGAGCGCCCGCGGTACGGGCCCTACGTGTACTCTCCGACCACCCCTTGCCCTGAGTGCCGTCGAAATCGCTTCCGGTGCCGCATCGACGCCCTTCCGGGCCACGCATGCGCCGCGTGTAGTTCCCGGAAGAAGAGGTGCGCGTTCAGTGCCTTTAGTGAGTCCCTTTTCCGCCTACCGTCCTTACTTGCTCATCCCCTTGCTTTCCAGAGGAAGGCGCGCCAAGCTTCTTCTATATAGGCCACCATCCCGACCTCCCTCAGTCCGCCCTCGCCTCTTACGACTGGGTAACCACCCCAGGAGGCACCCTCGTCGGTCCCCGTCCTTCGGATATCCGAGCCGACTTCCCCTTCCGCGGTGCTCCAGCGCCGCCTACTCGACCTCCCGCTCCTTCTGCATCCCCCGAGCCGGTCGCCGGTCCCTCGCAGCCTCCACCCGCTCCCTTGGCCGTGCCTGCCGCTCCTCCTCGCCTCCGAACCGTCCAAGATCGACTCGATTGGATGGCCAGCCGGTCTGGGGAAGTCCGGGAATTCTTCCGCCGCCCCGGTATGCTCGGCGCCCCCGAGATCCCCGACCCAGAAGATGAGCACGACGAGCTGG